GTAATTTTTTTTTTTTTTTTTCCAGCTGGATTTGCAAATTTTATTGTTCACAACTAAACAACCAGGCTATTTTAGGATGCTCTCTCATAGTAAATTTGAGAGAAAAATAGTACATAAAAGGCATTTTATGTGCCTTCATACAGCACAGATATTTCAACTAGGCATATATCAAAAACCTTGCTACATATATGACAAGAGGGGCTCAATATATACTTACTGTGCAAATTTCAACCTCCTAGCTTCAATATTAAAAAAAAAAAAAAAATATATATATATATATATATATATATATATATATATATATATATTCTTGAGGAGCATATCTTCTTAAACTGGCGTCGAGCCGTTCAGTTTCACCTCGTGAGCTGGTGCGAATCTGCAGACCAGTCTCTATGGTCGATGTATCGTAAAATTGGCTGAAGAAATTTGGGTCTGCATGTCGCAATCTTAAATTTTCACTGAGGGTGTATCTTGAATGTGGATTTGCTACCTTAAGAAATTTTCAGCTCCCACTCTATGAAAATAAGAATGACACTCTTGCCACAATCCACGACGACCACATAGATGTCAGGGTTAGCAAGGGTTGCGCTTGGGGCACCATCTCCCGACGGACGTCGCGAGCAGACGACACACCCAATCACAAGCAGACTCCATCAAATGCTCACTGCGCTGGTTGGGAGATGGCGACACAAGTGCAACCCTCATTAACTCAATCGCCTGCCACTCAGAATGACAAGTTTGCTGGTCTCATTTTCCACGAGAAGAGTTACGCCTCCAAAATTTATGAGACGTAAAATGCGCCACTAAAATACAGCTTTCGTGAAAATTCAAGACTATTACAAGCAGACACCAATTTTTCCAGCCGGTTTGAAAGCGAGCCTGGGCATTAAAAACTCTTCATATTTCAGCGAAACTATGAGTCTGCAGCAATAGACGCTTTCAGCGAGTCAGTTACTCGAGCTGCCACCAGTCGGCGCGCCCTCCGCGCACTTTCCGGGCCGCCATAGCCGACCTTCAGTTTCTCACCGTTGCTCCGCGTTGTGTGCTGCACAGGCCACTACCAGAGCTTCATTTTCGTCTTCTTGTACGTTCCGTGCTGAATTCTTACATTTTCTTTGGGTCTTTTCGATATTTAGGGCTTTCATTTAATGATTTTATATCTATATTTCGACATAGCTCTTGTATTTTCGTATTTATGAAATGGAATCGGACACCGAATGAATCGACGATACAAAATTATAAGGGGGTGTCCAAACAGGACACTACAAAACGCACGACTCCGACAAATCGTGAAAATTGAAGCAAACGCGCCTGCTTCAATTTTCACGATTCGTCGGAGTCGTGCGTTTTGTAGTGTCCTGTTTGGACACCCCTTTAGGCTTCAATGACCATGTAAGTTCATCCCATTTTTGCGGTTTTGTCGCTAATAGGGGGCAGTCAACACTATTGCGACCTATGTAAATTTCAACTGACGCAGTAAGGCTATCGCAGTCGTGCTTCTCACTGTATGTGCGTGCTCGTTTCCGTAAAGCCGACCCGCATGTAAGCGATTTAGCGTGCGACAAGACGAGCGACGAAGATTTCTCACTCTCGCCCGTCGCATCGCTCGGTTTTGGGATTTCTAGAAATCGTCGCTCATCGTCTTGGTCGCTTGCTCCGTCGCTTCCATGCGGTTTGCCTTGTTGCGCGATTGACCGAGCGAGAGGGAAGCGGGTCGCCATCCCTTATGTCGTCGCTCGCCAAATCGCTTACATGCGGTTTATACTCAATTAATTTACAAGCATACAACATCGAACCATTGGCGCCTCGATATTAAGTATAAACTGCATGCAAGTGATTTGGCAAGCAACGAAACAAGCGATGGTGACCCGCTTCGCTGTCGCTCGGTCAGTCTCGCGACGGGATAAACCGCATGGAAGTGACGGGAGCAAGCGACCAAAGACTGTGAGCGACGTTTTCTAGAAACCCAAAAACCGAGCGACGCGACGGGCGACAGTAAGAAGTCGCTGACTCTCGTCGTTGTCGCCACAGCTCGTCTCGTCGCACGCTATATCGCTTACATGCGGGTCGGCTTTACGGAAACGAGCGCGCACATGCAGCGAGAAGCACGACTGGGTAGCCTTACTGCGTCAGTTGAAATTTGCATATGTTGCAATGGTGTGGACTGCCCTTTATTAGCGAGAGAAACGTTAGAGTGGGATGAACTTATATGGCCTCTGAAGCCATAATCTTGAAGAGCTGTGTTGAAATATAGATATCAAATGATTAAATGAAAGCCCGAAATATCTAAAAGACCCAAAGCAAACACAATTTCAATGCGGAACGTAAAACACGAAAACAAAGCTCCGGTAGTGGCCTGTGCAGCACACAACGCGGGGGACTGCGAGAAACTGAAGGTCGGCTATGGCGGCAGGGTCACGTGACGTCAAGATGGCGGCACCCATGAAATGTTGCCTGAAAGGGTCTATACTCCGTTTCAAACATCGCGTGCAACGCTGGGAAAGCTACTGAAGTAGTGCGCATGAAAAAACACACAAAATTGTGTTACTCCGCGAGATTTCGTGGACGAGCGGTACGAGGCGCTGCTCCGGCGATGCCGGCGATGCCGACATCTCGGTGGCGGTGGTTCGAATCCTCTCAGGGCGCAAAGGTTTCTTTTTTTTTGTTCCTCGATTGATTTTTTGTGCAAGATTGTGCGTATTGCGGAAGTGCATATTTCAATTCCTCTTTTCTTGTTGATTTTTATTTATAAGAAGGTAGACTAGGGGCTGGTGTTCCGCTCGAACTTGCGCCGGCCTCGTCAAAACGGAAGAACGGTCGAGATCCAGGGCGTCTCTATTTAAAGCCGTTTATTTACATGGTAGCGTGAAAATCAGAGAGTACCTTGAGAGTGTGGTGGACGGTCCTTTATATAACGAATATTGTGATTAGGGGACCGCATTGCCATTGTTGAGACGGCTTGGCATTCTTTCACGTGATGTGACTTCATGGAAGTTTCCTTCAGTCAGAATACTCGCCGGTGTATGAAAGAAGTCATCCAGACGGCAGTATCTCGGTGCTCTGGTGCCGGCGCCCACATGAACCGGGAGTGATTCACAATAGACGCGTACACAACACACGGCACTCGAGATCAGGATCGAGTGTTGTTTCCTTTTCGAGGAAAGCAGGGGCCTTGGAATACAGGCACGGGCATGTGCGTCGTTTACTTAGCCGACCAAGGTTAAGGTGCCTCAGGCAGACGGAGCCGACCATGGTTACGGTCCCGCAGGCAGAAGAACCCAGACACTTCGGAATGCAATCACGGGCACCGCCTGCTGTAAGGTCCCGCAAGCAGACGGAGCCGTAGGCACGATTCGTCACCGACACAGTTCCTTCTTGAGGCTTGTTTCACTTTGAAGCCATAAGGCCGATTTCAACACCAGAAATAACAGGTGGCAGTTCACAACACTGTCCGCGTGCTCGGAACTTTCACGTTGCGAGGTCTGCGCTTCGGGGACGCCCCCTTGCCAGACACTCCGGTGTCGTTACTGACCGTCTCCAGGACCTCACGGACCGACGTCTCCGGGAAACACGTTCTTGAACTCGAGTACACGTTGGCGATCACCTGCTTGCACTTTTGCGAGATCTTCACACAACGAATCTTCGAAAATATCCGAGCAGGAAAAGAAAGCTTCCCGCGTAAGACGCCATCTTCACGAAACCGGCGAGGCAGGGGCAGCCGCACAACCCGAAAACCCGAAGCGAGTGCGAGTGCTGCACGAACGAAAACGGAAAATAATTTGGAGTAGTTTACATTATATTTTCCTTTTTATTGAAAAAGAATTGGTGTTCCCTCGAAATCATAACGCCACTATTAGTTACTAGCTCCAAAGATGTACACTTTTCGACTTCTTTTTTTTTTTTTCAGGGGCCGCACTATTTTGTGGAGCGAACGTAGTCGCGGTCGGCTGTGCGAACCGGCGCGCTAGCTTTGACTACATTGCACGCTATGTTTGAAACGGAGTATATATCCGCAGAAGGGTGCCACTTGAGTGCAGTTAACGGCAGGTTGGAACCTTCAAATTATATGTTCACGACTCAAGCAATTGAAAACGGTCGTCGCATATTTAAAAAAAAAAAAAAAAGACTGCATCTCCACGTGGTGAATGATGTTGATTGGGGCAAAGCTCTGGTGGTGCTTGTCTGCGTAGACGCTGAGCCGCAGCATGCCGAGCCTTTTGTTAGTTTTCATCCATGTCAGAAAGAGAATGTGTGGTTTCCAAAAATACAACCGTCCATTTGAGATATCGTTTTACTAGTAGTGTTGGAGGGATTGTAGTGTCCCGCCTACATCTCCAGCATTTTTTTTTTAGTCCAAATTTCGGTTTACCATCCCTTTAAGGCGAGGGACTAAAAATCTATTGGGGTCTCCCCGCACAGGTTCGAATCCTGTCGACTGCGCAAAAATTTTTTTTTCGTCATATTTTTTTGCTTTACACGAGCACGTGAGCTCACAAGCACGAGCAAGATCGATGTGAGCACGGACGCCGGACGGACAAGGCTAGACCCTAAGGAGCTTTGCCGCTAAAAAAACTAATACCTCGCCTCTAGTGTGTAAAAATAAAATGACCGTTTGCATGCGACGTCATTCTGCAGTGCTGGTGGTTTTATATGCATTGCATGGAGCGAAGACCGGTGGCAAATCAGCTAAAAGCGTGGCAGACGAAGGGACATTAGTGGATTTTTTATCTATGCAGTGTTATTTCAAACCGACCACACATTTCGGTGGTGGAACATCACGTGCACGTCACATATTCAGTGAAGTCCCACCTCGGCACGACGTAATCTGGTTTGCAAAATATATCGTGCGTTCATGAAGCATACGAAGTTCTCATCATCAAACACTCCAACTGACTGCCATTGAGCGCTCAGCTGTAGAGGAACAGATATCCAAAGCAGAGCCATCCGACAGAGGCTAATATCGCTGTTGTCAACGTGATCTCATCAACACGAAGTCTCACCTTGAGTTCCTCGAGGCTGAATCCCTTGCCGAGGCGCTGCTTCGTGTTGTACTTAAAGGTAGGGCAGCGGACCACTGGCCGCAGGGATCCCTTGACCGGCCTGGGCGCGATGGCACGGGCTTTCTTGATGCGCTTCGTGTGACGACGCTTTTTGCGCATGGGCTGGTTGAACCACGTCTTCACATAGCGCTGCCAGTCCTTGTGGAAGTGCCCATTGGGCACCATGTTGTTCCTTTTGGGCGCCATGGCTTATGACTGCGGAGTAACCGAGAAAAAAAGGAAAAAACTCCGATTACAGATAGCCTACACTACGTGATGTTGGAAAATACGATATTCACACACGGCACCTGTGGCTACAACTACTGCTCTATCGAGTAATAATGGGGTCTTATAACGGAAATAATAACTGCGAGAGAGGGCCAGACAAACGCTTATTTTATTAGCGATGATATCCAGTCCGAATATGATGCCAATAAAAGGATTTTTAAGGATTTTAAAAGCAATTCTATGTCACTCACCGGAGCGATGGCGGCCGGATTTCCGAAAGGAAATAGAAAAGAACGAGGTGCATTGTGGGAAAAGCAAAGCTAAACTATTGATGATGATGATGGCGGTAAATATGGAGCGTCTGCTGCATATTCTATGCTGCACTATGCTGCATGCATCAAGGAGGACTCCGAGGACTCTACGTTGCATTCACCAAGCATGACTACAGGTTTTTTTTCTAACAGAAACTGCCAAGTTGTACAGTCATGGGTCACTGAAGATTTTAGTGCACGAAAAAATCGTAGGGTAGATGGCGCTGTAGCTAAAGATCACTCGTAGGGAGGCTCTAGTATCACTCGAAGTTCCGCTCGACCTACCCTAGCCACCCGATTTGACTCTTTTAGCTTCTGTATCTGTGAGAAATGTAACGTTTTGTACGCTTTTTCGCCCAACAGCTTTTGACCCTCACGCCCATGGGCCCATGGCTTTATAAACAGAACATGCTCTTGTGAGACGGCAAGCGGGCAAGCCGCAAGCTGACCGCATGTTACTGTGCTCGGTTGGTTCGGATTTTGCGGGTCGCGATGTAAACATAGCCACCTAATTCTCCGAAGTTGTCCCTCATGGTGTGCGTTGCTGCTGCACTCTCCGACGATGCATTTGCTGATCCGAAAGCTGACGGTGCACTGCGGGCGGCTCGGCGTCAGAACCATCTTCAGCGTTTCTTCGGTTTGGGTGAGCGGAGATTGTCAGCTTAAGTTTGCAATCGGCAGGTAGTACTACACTGTTGGCGTCGCATATCGTTGTATTCGGAGCGTTAAGCTCGAGCGATCTCTAATGTTCTTTTTCTTTTAAGTTTTAAGCTAATGGTGCTATCCCTCTCTTAGCGGTCATTGAAATTGTCGGAACCACTGGACTGCGCCACTTTGATCAGAAACCAGTATCTGTTCACTATTCATTTTCCACCCCTAACAAGATACTTTGTATTTTATATTTTTGTTCTGTTTATATGATGTGGTTCGTAAAATAAATTAAAAGTAATAATATTTTTTGTTAATTTTGTAATCTTTTTTAGGTGTTTCAGTGGCGCCCTCTAATTGTTCCTACCCGTGACGTCACGGAACGGCACGTTCAATGTTGTCTGGCTGTTTGTAAAAGCACAGTGGAAGCTTAGAGTCAATGCACACATGAATCAACACCATCAAAGACAATTGAGAACGAGCGTGTTGGTTAATAGATACAAAACTTGAAAGAATAAAACAGGGAGGACGAGGACGGGACCAGGACATCTGTCAGTTGGGGTTTGGACGAAACATGGCTCGAAAAACGTTGTCAGTTACAATTGAAAACAAGCGTGTTGGTTTAGATACAAAACTTGAAAGAATAAAACAGAGAGGACGTGGACGGGACCAGGACATCTTTCGGGACCAGGACATCTTTCAAAGATGTCCTGGTCCCATACTCGTCCTCTCTGTTTTATTCTTTCAAGTTTTGTATCAAAGACAACAGTGACTAACTATTATTTCCTTTGATAAGAGCCGAATTAATCCTACTGTAGTCTGTTGCAGGTTAAGAAAAGCAGGACAAGCTCCTCCCTAAAAGCCCCCCCTTTCCACTTTAGCGTAGCAAACACTGGAGAGGAGGACACTAGAAATCTTGGTGAGCAGAGTTTTAAAGGGGTAGGGAAACGAAATTTCAGCGCTCATTTTTTAGCTTTAATGTGTTGCATGTTGCACCCTAACCTCAAAAACACCAGTCTTCCGTTGAAAAGCACAAGAAAACTAATTTTAAAGTAAATAAACAATCTTTCAATGTGCACCTGGTGGATGCATGCGGAGCCTATTTGGGAGGTAGTCTAGCAACGTTGTGGAATCTGCTACGTAGTCGTGACGTAGCAGATTCCTTCGGAGCAGCGCCGCTCTTTGGCATTTCAATGTTTTCCTTCTTAGCTTTCCTCCTGAACTCACAAATCGCGCATTGTACCAAACGGTCCAAGAAGACGGAAAGGAAGGACTCCCTTCTTTCTCGGACCCTCGTTCGTGCAACCGGAAACAGCCATTCTCCCCCTAGAAGATTAGCCCGTCGCTCAAAACTCAAACAAAAGTTGCTTTCCCCACCCCGTTCAGCCCCAAGCTGACAGTGTTGTGGAAGCTACGTGCTCCTTGAGCCAGCCACACGCTCGTCACCCCACGGGTACTCCGAACGGCTCGGTTGTAATGCGCTGACGCTACTGACAGCACCACAACGCTGACAACGCCACCAAGGGCAAAGCTGATAATCACGCCAGCCTTGCTACGTCATGAATGCGGGGAATCTTTTCTTTCTGTTTTTCTTTGCGCCGGATATCCCATGACGCATCGCGCTCTCCGTTCGCTTCTCTTCGAGCGCTTGCTCGAGCGCACCGTTTGGAACGAAAGTATAGCCAATCGTTCAAAATACAAACGTGCGATTATCATTTACGGTTATTATCCGTCATGCTTGACTTATTTCCGAACAAAATCGGAATATTTAAATTTTTGTTTCCGTACCCCTTTAATATACACCTTTGCAAGTGGAATCCCGGTTTAACGAGGCAGACCTACTCTCTAGCCAGGACATTCGCTGCTTGTCGTATAATGTTGCCAAGCGTCTCTTGCTGAAGCAAACATCACTAAGTGCAGAAATAAATAAAAAAAAAAAAAATTATAAAACATACAGGTGTTATTTTTGACCACGGAATAGCTTAAACACTTAAATGAAATACCTAAATCAGTAACAAATTGAAAAATTTGGAAATATCTAGTCTCAAAGCTCTCATCAGTATGTGCCAGAAGCCGCATGGCGATTGCATTAATAATTGCTGCAATTGCGGCAGCTCTGGCTCCTACGACGTTCTGGAACAGAGGCTGCAATCGTTGTAAAGTCAGCTCCAACTTTTAAAGATGCCCCGCCCCGTCCAACAATATTCAATGCTACGATTCTGTGTGGATACCTCCTCCTGCGTTCCGAAGCAGTGTGTCGCTAACGCTGGCCGTCGGCGATACTCCAGATGCCGCCATCTTGTCATCACGCACCCCAATGACGTGACCCTGGCACACCCTATCATGGCAGGAATATTACACGGCGCCAGCATTACTCAGCGTGACAGCGCACAGGAGTCTTTTTTGCAAACATGTATTTATTAGGTACCTACATTGCACAGTGCTGGGCATTATTGTAGGGGGGTAAGGCAACGCAAAAAATAGACGTGACAAAAATACAGAAAAACACACTGAACAATTCAACATTGTGCGATGCAAAAGGGTTCACATAGAAATGACATTGTACGGTAATTTCATCACAAAAACAAAACGAAAAGGAGGGGCTTGCCTTGCTATTCTAGACTTGCAACAAACTAGGACGTTGTAGTGAGCATTCGACCAATCATTGAAGCCTGCGGCTACAGTCACTCTTTGACTCGCGTGCACTGCCAATAGGGCATGGCACTCCGACAGACGTAAGTTCCGAAACTGACGTCGGATCTTCTCGCCAATTCCCAGGACCCCAAGATAACGACGCAGACCAAATTCAACATCGAGGACTACTGGAGAGGCAGAATCAACGATGCGCCCAACAGGCATCTGGTAAAGATGCACCCTGGGTTTTCGTATCCTATTTGCAGCCGTATATGGTTGTATCTGTCGCTTCCAAAGTAGCTCAACCACGCGTGCCTTCCATTTCCAGGACCCAAGCAAGAAGATGTATGTCTTGTCCATGTTCCCATACCCCTCGGGACAGCTGCATCTAGGTCACGTGAGAGTTTACACCATCAGCGACACGTACGCCAGACTCTACAAGATGCTGGGAAAGCATGTGAGTTTGCCACAGCACTGTCATAGGTTCTAGAATTAACCCACGTCAAGAGTATGTACCATGCAGCCCTGGCAACGTGTAAAAGACATGTTTTGAACTCAGATTGGCACCAGGCATGTTTTCTGGAAGGTTGAGACAGTCTTGTTCAGACGCATATGCCTTGGCGGCGCACCATTGCTGTCTGCAGGTCATTCACCCGATGGGTTGGGACAGCTTCGGCCTTCCTGCTGAGAATGCCGCCGTGGAGAGGAACGAAGATCCACGGAATTGGACGGAGAAGTATGACCTGCCGTTTGTGAATTTATATGTTTATTATCACAAATGTGCCATTTCCACCAGACAAGGCTTTTTTTTTTGGAGCATTCCACAAATTTCTTTTTCTTTGGTTCTGAATATGCATGCTTATATTTGTCAGAGTCTGAGATCTTCTAGATCTGTGAGGTTTTGGACACACGTTGTGATTTGTGAGGCTTGGGTAATCTGTGAAGCCTATTGCCTTGTTCACACAGCCGGCTTTTTGCCCCATCCCGGCGCCGGCACCGTGACTAAAGCGGGACGGTGGAGTGTACGAACCAGCGGCGACGGAGCTGCCGGCAGTGGCTACACGAATGGATGGATGCTGGTGGCTGTGCCCTCTATATTGGGTGATAGCTTCCACCTAGCCTAGAAACCTTTCTGCATCTCCCTTTAAAATTCTGCGTCAAGCTTTTGTACCTCTTTAGACTGTGTAACGGGCATAACCCATTAATTTCGTGCGCAATTTCACACTTCCCTAGATCTCTACTGCCAATCTTTTAACCCCCTCCTTGTCACTACCTTGTGGCTGCGCCAATTCCGAAATGAAGCAGACGATCGACGTCAATTGGTACCACCACAACTTGTTTGTTTCTTGGAGCTTGCCCTTAGGTCGGCGATAACAATCTTCTCTCAATCTTCAATCTCTCGCTGCCGGCTCCAACAGCGAGATTCGGAGCCCAAACTGGCCCAAAAACTCTCTTCCTTGGCAGAAACGCCGCCCTGCGCCGCGCCGGGTGGGGGAAAAGATGGCTGTGTAAATGAGGCCTATGAGATTTGTAAAACCGGAAAGATTAATGAGGTCTGTGAGTTCTGCAAGATCATCAACACTTGTCACACTTACAAGTTCTGCAAGATTTGAGTTTGATCCATGAAGTTTGTGAAATTTGTGATGCTTTTTAGTTTTTAGACTTGCGAGACCTCCGAAGCTTGTGAAACCTGCAAGGTGTGCGAGAACTGTGGCGTTTGTGAGATCTGTGAACTTTATGAGATTCAGGCGAACGGCACAGTCGGTGAGATCTTCCAGATATGAGGCATATTGAATGCAATCTATGAGGTTTTTCACATCCCTGAGGTCTACAAGATTTCTCACACATCTGAGAATTTTTAGACATGCGTCATGCTATTCGGCAAAGGGTGCATTGTGATTGGAGAATGTGTTTGTTTTCCCACTTTCAGGAACATTGACTCCATGAAGAAGCAACTCAAGGACATGAACTTCAACTTTGATTGGGAAAGGGTGCGTGAACTGAATTGAGGACATCTGACAAGTGGGACACGCTAGTCTTCACAGCAACATCCCCTTATAATTTGTCCTTCCCATTCCGATCCTTGCACAGGAGATCTCGACATGCGACCCAAACTACTACAAGTGGACGCAGTATCTTTTCCTCAAGCTCTACGAGAAGGGCCTGGTGTACAGAAAGAATGTGAGCACAGCCCCGGTCCCCACGTCACCTTTCACACCACGCGAAACTATGAGCAAAACGACAGCGCTGCATGTACATGTCTGCTCACGGGTCGCCGGGGAACACTGGTGGCACTTAGTTTTAACATGCAATGTGCACCAACGCTGCACCTGGACTCGCATCATTTGTTTGCATAAGGTGAAGTGATTGGTTCGCTAAGGTATCACATTGAATGTGAAGAAGGGGACAAAAAGATGGCAAGACCAAAGCTTGGCTTCTGTAGCTCTAAGGAAAAAAAAAAGGTCCCTTTTTCATAGTATCGTGGCAAAGGCAGTCGTAAGGAATGTTTGTATTGTGTCTTGCTTTAGTGTGATGTTGCACAGGTAAACTTAATGCACACTTGGCGCCTCGACGTTGCGAACATCATTGTGCACTTGGCGCCTCCGAGAGAAAGCCCTGCCAAACCTATCACTCCAGCAGGAGTGTAACTCGAAGTGTGCGTCTCTTGCGGTCGCACACCCATGGGCTTTGACCCCCGCTATTTTGCGTCTTTCCCTTGGACATACGTGCGTGTTCCCTACCCCTTTGCCTCCTGCACCCTCTCCTACCGCATGTGCGAGTGCACCCATTCTACAGTTCCTGCGTAGCAAGGTCGTAGTGCTGGATTTTCTGCGCCATGTTCCAGAGGCCAGCGCGGGGCACAGCTTAGACACGAGCATTGCGTTAGCGCTCAGCTGGGGTTCACGTTCAGTCGGGGATGACGCAAGTTCCAGCCGAGCATGGACACAGCACTTTTACGGCCCTCTTTTGTTACAGAAGGTGCTAGAAGCCAGCCATCTTAACACATTCAGTGTTAAAAACGGATAAAGAATGCTCGTATGTCGTTCGGTGCACATTAGGCTTTGCATTCCAAGCCGAATCCAGTGTTAACTTGTGGTAGCACTCTTCCGATACCCTGTGTTGCCTACCGGATAACTGGAGGCATTTGTGTTTTGTTCTAGTCGGTCGTTCACTGGGATCCGGTGGACCGGACGGTTTTAGCTGACGAACAGGTGGACGCGGAGGGCCGGTCGTGGCGATCCGGTGCCAAGGTCGAGAAGAAGACTCTGCGCCAGTGGTTCGTGAGAACCACCTTCCTGTCCAAGGTAAAGGTTAACAAAAGAAGGCTGCCTTGGGGAGTGTTTGCCGTAAAATACCGAGCTTGCACCCGCTACTTATGAAACATTTGAAAATATAGACGTTTGCAAGTATGGTCTCTGGGCGCCGCCATCTTGCTACTGGCGTGGGTAGATTGTCCGATAGTCGAGCTTTGCGAGTACCCACGGTTTCTAGACTTGCACCCAAACAAAGCGTTTTCCATCCACGGTGGCCAGACCAGCTCTCGAAGCGCGGCTGCTTGCAAACGTCTATAGGCAGAGGAAATGTCAAGCATCCATGGCAAACTTCCGAGCCCACCTAGCTAACCGAAGTGCCCCTTCGTGTCGGCTGCTTCTTCAAGCACACTGGTGCAAGGTGGTGAAGCCCGTCCTGTTATGTGCCCCTTCTGTATTTTTGCACTTGGATCTAGCAAGTGCTGATCCCCTAGTTTTTCAAGATTATCTCCTTATTGGATGTGCCTTGCCCGGTTTTTCATGCATGTGCTGTGGAGATCATTGGCAAATTTCTTGCAAGTAGTATTCGAGCCTTCTTTTGAAAGTTACTTTCTGCAGGGCCTTGTGCCGAGACAGCACACTAGCTGCTTTCTCCGTTGACATCTCTTGTTCTTTCATTGCTCCAACTGCTGCCTTTGATTGGTGGAAAGTATGTGCCCCTGTTGTTCTGCTAACAGGGCCACTTATTGACAGATTGCTTCATTCGTGTGTGCAGATGAACATAAATTGGCTTTGACGAATAAGAGGCTTATACGCTGCGTGACACTGTTAACGCAAACAAACAATTTCCAATTTTCTTTTTTTTTTGTTTTGTTTTAGAGTTGCATTGTTTGGCATTGTGAAAAGTGCTCATTTAAGGTACTTACCTAAGCAGTGAAATTTGCGGCCTGCCAATACCCTTCCAAAGTAAAACGTGAAAAAGCGGCATTGTGTGGTTTGTGCTGTCATTGTCATAGGGAGTACTGCCTTACAGGTACTATGACAAAAGCAGTTAGCACAAAAGACAAAGGACAAGTAAAATTGCTTTGTCAGTGGCCTTTTCATCGAAGGATGACAAGGTCACTGACATACCCAGTACCTGCAATGTTTTTCCTAAGCTTAATTTTTCTTTTTTTCACTTTTCTTTTTACTCTTTGTTCCCTTTCTTTTAATTTTAAATTTTATTGCATGATGCACGTTAAAGACGCCAGGCTAGCAGTCGTACTGCAGTCTGCACTGGTTAAATTTCTTATCTACGGTGGGTGACAATGTCGCTGTTCTCTGGCAGACTAAACTCAGCGGCTCTCTAAACCTCTTGCGACTTATTTGTTTTTTGCCCTGTCCAGTCTTCTACTCGTCCCTTGTCTTTCATGCCAACTGTTTTTGTGACGTTTAACCAGCTAGGCCATCAACATATATCTTCACAAATATGGCTTGCAACAAATGAAGTGCCATCTTGTGGCAGCTTTCATGCCTCCCAATCTTCTTCAGCAGCCTAAACGTTTTGGGAGAAATTCATACCGGACGCGACGCGTGCAGGACCTGTTGCTCGGGCTGGAAGATCCGACGTTACGAGACTGGGACGAAGTGCTGGCGATGCAGAGGGGCTGGATCGGCGAGTGCACGGGCTTCGCATTCAGCTGGCCATTGTACGCTGACGACGACGCCAGCAGCAGTCCCACGTCCGACTTCCTGCCGATCTGGACCGAGCATCCCGAGTTGCTGGCCGGAGTTGCGTTCGTGGCCGTGTCTCCCGACCACCTGCTCGCCGGCCTCTCGCCGGGGAAATCTGGCTCGAAGTCGGCAAGGGGTCGGCCGGTGATGTGGGCCGGGAATCCGGTGTCAGGCCGACGCGTGCCGGTTTTGGTGTCGGATATGTTCGAGTATCCCCGTTCGACGCAGTCGCACCTCGGTGAGGCTGCGACTTTTCCTTTGTTGTGCTCGCATATTGTGTCTCACAGTTTCTTAGGGGTGTGCAAATGGTGGTTTTAATCGAATAATGCTGCCTCGTTTAAATATTCGTCACGGTGCAAGGACAACCCAAGACATATCGGCTCTCTGTTTGCAGTGTTGAAGCTATGAATGACACTGTGCCATTTGATTTGAAGCACTTTTTGCACACTCCTGCAATCTTTTTTTCTCTCGAGTCACCTGAAATGTGTAATCTGTTGTCGAAACTTTTATGGCTCTCATCTGATGTGCGACTTTAAAAAACCTTCTGCTTTGTTACACTATAGTTACAAGTTGTTTTCTAACTGTTACCAGGCCCACAGAACATGTGCATTATAGACAATTTACCTAAGTTTGAATTGTGTACTCTTGGTTTTGTGATTGCTTTGTCAGGTAGGCTAGCTCATGGAGATTGTGGGGGTGGTCGTAGTATAAACGGACCAAGAGGTGGTGCTTTATTTTCTAATTATGGTAATAATGTGTTAATTATTTCTTCAAGTCATCTCTCTGTAATGCCTATACCTATGACTGCAGTAAAACCCCATTTGGTTAAACCTGATTCTAACAAAAACTTCAGAATCACAACTTTTTTGAAAATTTTCTACCATAGTCTTCAGCTACATAGTAGCTCCACTATACTGAAGTTTGTTTGTTGCGGTTCCAGTGAAGTGAAATTTCACTTTTCAAGCGGAACTTTACAATAATGTTTTTTTTTTTTTATAGCAATAATAATATTTGGAGAAGGGGAACAAAGGACAAACACAAATCTACAAACACAGTTTGGTGGCTGGCGCAGAACTGAAAAAATCCGCCTGGTCCTGATATCGAAACAGAGGCCGCTCCATTTCCAGTGGAGCGCTCTACCAACTGAGCTAACCAGGAGTTAGACATTAGTAGAGCAAACAGGTTTTAACAGCTGCCACCAGTCTTACACCAACAAGGGTGAACAGCCGGCCTTTTAAAATTATGATGATAATGAAATGAATGCAAAGGTGCAAGCATGCTGGACAAGAATGATGATAATAATCTCTGGAGAAGGGGAGCAAGGAGGACAAAGGACAAACACAAATCTCCAAACACAACTAGCTGGCGGGTGCGCGACAAAAAAAATCCGCCTGGTTCTGGCGTCAAACCCGGGACCTCTCCATTTCTGTTTGTTCTACTTACGTCTAACTCGTGGTTAGATCAGTTGGTTGAGCGCTCAACTGGAGGTGTAGAGGATTTGATACCCTCTCCATGGTTCAATACCAGGACCAGGCGGAGTTTTTCGGTGGGTACCAATCACCTAGTTGTGTTTGGAGATTTGGGTCTGTCCTTTGTCCTCCTTACTCCCTTTCCCCAGAAATTATTTTTGGTATTCTTGTCTGGCTTGCCTGCACCTTTGCATTAATTGCATTATCATAACTTTTTGGTGAAGTTCTATAGTGGAATTGGATTACGAAGTTTGATTTTAGTAAAGTTTGACTAGCAAAGTTTGCAGTATAGTGAAGTTTTACTGTACGGGAATTTCACCGTAGTGGAGTCTCAATTCATTTAATACTTTTTATGACCTTCTAACTTCAAACAAGTGCAGATTTGCACTTTGCAGTGCACAATCATGAAATGTTCTTTTACAGCGGAGCCCTTAAGGGCTAGTTTCCCCAGTTTCGTGTCTGTGGACAAATAACTGTCGACACAACACTCCGAACAGCTATCGCTATCTATAAACGACGGCGGCAACCAGACAACCGGCTTGCTGGTTGTCTGGTTGCCGCCGTTGCTCATAAACGGCGGCAACCATTCCAGCCTTTCCACTCTGGCTTGCCGACTTGTGGCCGGCCATTACTTCGTTCCCACCATAGTACAGCTTCGCTGGTCTTCCTTCTTCACCAAAATAAAAATAATTTTTTTTTAAAAGTTTTTTATGATTTTTGGATTATAAGTGGAGTTGTCGTGGTGAAGTCTTGCACTTTGCATTGCACAGTTGGGGGGAAAAAATGTGTGATGTACTGTTTGATCAAAATGCATGACGGGGAAGGAGGCAGGGCATGGAATTTCTAGTGGCTTTATCATTTTTTGACGACCAGGAATCCCAAGTTTGAGCAAGGAAGATCAGGAGTTTGCCAAACAGCACGGCATCGACACCATCCGTGTGATAGACGCCGACGACCATCACCTCGTCAATTCGGGAGATGTAAGGTTCTTTCACAATTGTGTATGAAAACAATCGAAGTTATCCGAGTCGTTTCCAGCGAAGTAAGTTACTTTTTTGCATTGAACAAAACGAAGTGAGACTGAGTTGAGTGTTGAAAACAAGGTAGTATCATGATTAGGACATGGTGAAAATTTAAAACACGGCATTCAACAACAAAGCCAAGGAGCCCTAGAAACGATGGCAAGCTTGGGGTTTGCCGCTCAATTGTTGGACCAGAAATGTCCTTGCCAGAAAGCAGTATCTTTGGTCTTGTTAGAAAAAACAGCTGTAAACCATTGCTATTTTATGGTTACGGATTCCCATTGAGAGGTAATATGTCTGAACCAGTAGTCAAGGCAAAGAAAGAATTCAACAGCTATGCTACGGGAAAAATAGGAGGGTAGGAGCTAGTCAGCTTAGAAAATAGCATGGCTCACGTTAAAAATGCAAGTGATAGGGTGATTTTTTTTTTGCAATATGACCAGACTTTGCAGCAATTTATCGTATGCTGGGCAAAGTTTGTTTTTTTTGTTAGATAAAATGCCTTATGTATTCGAACTTGGACATTTTTTGCTACGATTGCTATTTACAATTGCAATTACAATTGCTACAATACCTCTTCATACAGAACCAAAACGTTTTTTTATGATTCTTAAAGGGGCACTGACACCCCAAAGGTTGTATTTTTTTTTATTGTCTAAAACGATGCAAGTTGCAGTCATAGACAAACAAAAAATACCGCGTTGCGAAAAAAAAACTTTCCCGTGCGCGCGCGCGCCTTTTTATTTTTGGCGTTTGATTCTCCCGCCTCTCGCCTCGCTTCTTTTGATTCGTGACGTCAAGAATCATGAAATTTAGAAGCTTTGTAGGCGACGTCTCTATAACATTTAATAACTGCAATCCTAAAACATGTTTTTTAACGCAATTGCGAACGCACTACGGCCCTTCTTTTTGAAATACCAAAAATCGGGAGTTTGTTGTGGTGCCGTCTCCTGGATTTGTATCCTCCCACGGAAAACAGGCGACACCGCTCAAAACCGGTCCGCCGCAACGCCGGCGCTCGCTCCTTTCCTCCTCGCTTTGGGTCGCCATGGCAACAGCAGGGAGTTGTGAAAGAAAGTGGACTCTCAGGACTCTACAATATTTGACGTCAACGCAACGGCGCGGATCGCGCGGGAACTTCATATTCGGCATTTGGAGATTGTTTTGTTACTTCACAAAAACTAAAATCCCAAATTTCAAATTTCGTAACATTCGTAAAATGCACAAAGGGCATATCTTTACATATGGTTGATCTAAGGAGTGCCCATCCCTCAGTTTTACATGATCATCTCAAAATGTTGAGTTATCATTTGCTCGGGATTTTAAGGTACATAGTAAATGGTACAGAGTGCAGCTAAACTATCTCATTTGATTTCGCTTGCAAAACGAGCGCTCGAAAGCACAGTTGACGACCACAACTGATGGAACAGCAATGGCTTGCACGCAGCTGACGGGGCTGTCCCGCAAGGACGCCAGGGCAGAGGTATGCCGTCGTGCACTGGAAGCCGGCCAGGGAGGCTACCCCTGCAGCCCCATCCTCCGGGACTGGCTCATTTCGAGGCAGCGCTACTGGGGCACCCCCATCCCCGTGGTGCACTGCCCATCCTGCAACGTGAGCGCTCCTTAGTCCTCCTCACTCAAACACCCTCGCCTTTCCTATCTGTTTACGGTAAAACACTGATCATGTCCCCGTGTCGCAACAAGCACCCATCCTGGAATTCCGAGCCCACCCCGTTAGCCGAGACGGTCTTCGATCGATCGGCGCGGGCATTGCAAAGCCGCATTGTTGCAACAACCGTAAGCAACAAAGGAAGTGCGATGTTGTGTAATTGCAACTTCATGCGACGCAAGCGCCACCAGTTACATTGCTGCGAGCTGCGGTCACTCAAAACGGTCAAAATTCGAATTTGGACGATCGGGCACGGCTGGGAGAAAAACGCGGTATGATCGAGAACATTGAAACGAGAATAGAACTATCGAGTAGCCACCGAATCTTTTTGCACCGCCGGTCGTTTTAGAGCTCGGTCACCACGTAAATATGCGAATTGTCATTTTTGCGGTGGACTCGTGCGGTACATGTCCTAAGTTGTGCAGTGTGCCAAACGCAGGTGGTGCCGGTGCCATACGAGCAACTTCCCGTGGAGCTGCCCCCGTTGGACCTAGGGAAGGCATCCGCGCGGAGCGGCCTGTCGCCGTTGTCGGCCGCGACCGACTGGCTCAACGTGCCCTGCCCGAGGTGAAGGATCTCCGCTTTATTACCTGCGTGAGCACTTATTGTCCCGGTGCATGTAGCCGTCTTTGGTATGGACCATTAGACTGGATCGGTAAGGCTGCAGCACTGTTCCTGCCATGCTCTTTTGCTTCCCTCATTCACTCGTTGGGTCCACTATTCCTTTTACAAGAGCGAAAGAGCCTTCTCGCTCGCTTCCAATGACATGCATTCCTCTTGTGACGGCATCGGGGTGTAGGCACATGGTTTCATTTTTCCAGTGTGCGCAATGTAAGCGACAAAGTAAAACCGAGGCGCAGCGTTGATGACGTTTGCACGAAACCTCTGACACCCGGGAGAAAAGATTGACTCTTCAAAGACAACGGTACGTGGACCGTAGACGGCGATGGAGGGAAGCTGTGGTGGCTGCATCCGAAACCCCCAACACTCGGGAGAACAGACAGGCTCTCCGAAGACAGCAATGTATGGGCCAACGCGAGGTTAACACTCCCATCATTCGCCGAGTCAAAATTCCCGCGCTAAATGCCAATGCATTTCATCGAGAATCAGCGTAACGACAGCGGCAATTTGAATGTCTTTTTGTTTTTGCTTTTCTTTTTTAGTTCTTTTAATCCAGAATGTGTTATACAGCTGGCTCCTCGCCACTTTCCGTGACACTCCGGTAACAGAAGAGCACCCACACGAGCGCTGTGTCGGCATTTGGCCAGAGGCTCGAGCCTTCGCTGATCTAATACCAGTCCCAGCCGAGTGCTGACATGGCACTCGTGTGCGGTCTGCACCCCGCGCTGGCCTCTCGCGGAGGATGAAAAAAACCCGACTCCACGGCCTTGCGACCCAAGAGGTGCCAAGTGAATGCGCTCACGCACATGATGGGAGAGTGGGCATAAGGCTACAGAGAACGGGGAGTCGCAAACTTCGCATTCCACTCCCACCAAAGCTCCAGCTTTGGCTGTGTTTTCTTTAAGGGACACTATGCGTGACGGCGTTTGCGCCGTCGAGGCACAATACGCGCGCAGAGTTTGCCTGTGCAGCGTCACTGCAAGGCAATACAGAGCACCTTCTGCGTTAAGTACCAGTGTCTTTGTCGCATTATGTATTTGCTACTTCATTTTGTTCCTTCTTTGTTTATGAAGCACCTCAAATTTCACACAGTGTGGGGCAAATTGCATTTGCGTATCGTTTTGCGGAACATACTGAATGCTCGTGTCTATCGCCGGCAGGTGCGGGGAGCCGGCGCAGAGGGAGACGGATACGATGGATACGTTCGTGGACAGCTCCTGGTACTACCTCCGTTTCCTCGACCCCGGAAACAAGGAGGCGCCGGTGGACGGAGCTTTGTCTCGCGACCTGCTCCCGGTCGACCTCTACATTGGAGGCGTCGAGCACGGTGAGGGGTCCCGTTTCGGCTCCATCTCGATGCTCTTGGGTGGATGATCTTCAGCTGGGGTGCTAGTGGGGCAAGGGAAAGACGCCAGTTTTCCATGCAAGCTTCGTAGCTTTGTGCCACTTCTCAGGATACACGGGATCTTCAAAACCTGGTCTTCTGATCAGAGCCTGTGGAAGATACCTATTCCCAACAGGGACGGTCAAGTTATCGCAGGGAGGGAAGCAAGATTCACGAAGGATTGTTTTTCGCGTAATTGCCTACAACTTTCTTGGACTCTTGCCAATGGTTTTGATTTCGGTTTCACTGGTTCCGACCTGGTCTGCTTGCTGTGTCCTGCAGGGAAAAAAGATGTGCACGAAACTTTTGTTCGACCAAATATGCTCACCTCGAAAAAATATAATTTTAGAAGAACAAGAACAGACTTGTTTATGTTGTTTGGCAGGGGTAAGGTGAAACTTCTTATACAATTTCTGTTTACTATACCTCGTCTCACCTTAGCATGGACTAAATGCAGAGGCCGTGCAGACGGAAGACGTACCCTTCACTTCGCGCTCCTCGAACTGCCAAAAACAGAAAAAAAATACAGTAAAACCTGTTTCGAACGAACCGACGTACAGCGAATTATTGTCGATATCGAACTCACGGAAAGTTTAAATAAAAATGCACGGAAAAAGTATGTTTTATAACGAACAAAATATTGGCTATATCAAACTTTTTCACTCTGGGAAGTCTTTCAAAAATGCACAAACAATCGTCTTATAGCCTGTCCCTTTCCCCAAAAAGGAAGTAGGAAAGAAAAAGATTTCAAAAAGCTCAAGTTGCGAACGAAATTGAGTGAAGAGAAGTGCTAATACTTCGCAGCGCACAACAGACAACACACCATCAAAACAGATACACACAAAGAAACAACACTCACGCAGCGCTGACTGTCAACTCTCGGATATATTAATCTTCGTTCTTATCTTTCACCCTTACGCACTAAAAAGAAATAAATGTTAACCAAGGAAGAACAGCGAAAGAAAAATAAAAATAAAAAGAAAGGGGAAAGATTAATATAGGAAAGAAAGATGGAAAGAAATGGAAGAAAATAAGATCTAGTCCTACTACAGTAAAATTACTGAGGAGGTTTTCCTAAATAATATAACTCTTTTCTTGATAAGCTAATCGACGGGGTACTAACGCATACTCCGTCTAGCAGGTCTATGCTCGCGGCTTCGATGATTTCTCGAGTTAGTTTGTTGTTGCTTCGTCCCAGTACTGTGCAATTGCCCAGAAGGGGGGAACATCCACAATCTCTACAATGAATGCCCAGATGGCCTGAGTTAGCGTTAATGGCGTTGCAGTTATGTTCCCGGAGCCTGTCATTGAGACAGCGCCCCGTCTGCCCAACGTAACGCTTCCCGCACGTAAGAGGGAACGAATATATCACTCCCTCTGCACAGGAAACGAACTTGGTCTTGTGATTTTTCGTGCAGCACTCTGTTCGAAGAGGCTGCCCATTCACCCGCTTGCACAGGCTGGAAAGTCTCTGCGGAGCTGAGAAAACCACGTCGACGTTGGCTCTGCTAGCTACTTTTTTAAGCTTGTGTGACATGTTGTGAATATAGGGCACTATAACAGGCCTTGTAGTGCGTTCTCTTTTTCGGTAGTTAGAAGCTTCGGCTTGCTTGACCTCCTTAAGTAGGCATTCAGAGACTGAAATTAATATCGACAAAGGGTATCCTGCTGAAACCAAGCGAGTTGTTTGCGTTTTGAAGCTCATGTCGGTCATGTGCACGCAGGATTTCTTGAGGGAGTTTTTTAGGCAAAGTTTTGCAATGCCTCGTTTAACAAGTTTCGAGTGTGCGGAACTATGATGAAGTAGTGGCTTTTTTGCCCTCGGTTCATAAGACCAGCAGATGTGACAGTTTTTAAGGAACAATCGAAGGTCTAAGAATCTTATGGAATGCTCGACCGGAAGTTCGTGGGTAAGTTTTAACGGATCAAGGTATTTCTGGAAGGTAGAAAGAACATCGGCCACCAAGGTGGGGAAGGTGCGACTGTTACTGTCAAGAAAAACCAAGTAGTCATCCACGTAACGAAAAACACGCACTATTTTTGAACTGTCTAAGTTTTGCTGTAAGATTCTGTTGTGGAATGCCAGAAAGAGGTCGCTGAGCACAGGAGCTATACAGGACCCTATACATATTCCTGTTTTTTGTAAATATGTTGATCCATTCCAGGTGGCAAAGGTAGAATGCAAATAGGTCGATATTAGGTCCAGGAAACCCTTAATGGACACCCCTGCTGCATTTTGGAAGGCTATTACACCAAAGGAGTCAACACTGTCCTCTATGCACATCAGGAGCCGATCTTGAGGTAGGGCATAATAGAGATCCTTTACATCAATAGAAAAAGCCATGAGTCGTCTGTCCTTTGGTTCTTGAAGAAATTGCAAGACGTCATCCGAGCTTCTAATCAAATACGGATCATTTATGTCAAGAAGGTTTAGTTTTTCTTGAAGGAACAAAGCGATGGATTTTTGCCACGTGCCTCTTTCAGACACAATCACCCTGAGGGGGCACTCGGTTTTATGTGTTTTGGCATTGAAGAAAATTCAGAAGGGGGAGAAAGCTAAAAAATACACTCAACACGCATGCACAGAAAAAAAAAAAAAATCTTTTCATCCCAAAGCGTTTGCCCCCGAAGAAAAGAAATTCAGAAAGGGAGATAAGCTAAAAAAAAACAAAAAAAAAAAACAAAAAAACTTTGCACACATGCAAAAAAAAAAAAGAACTTTTTAGTGCCTTGTAACAAGGTGGAAATGAAGAGATGAGAAAGAAAGAGAAGCTCTCGCCTTACAACGAACGTATCGTAGAAGTTCGTTGTAAATGTTTTTCGCTATATCGAACTACTTGCTATATCGAACTGATCGTAGTGTTTCCTGCGGTTCGGTATAAACGGGTTTGACTGTAGACATATATGCTTTGGCAACGTAAGGCCGGTTTGCTCCTTTGTGGCGACTTGGTCCACGCTGATAAATTTAGCCAGTCTTCTACGACTGCTAACCTGGTGCGTTTGTGATGTGCATCGTGCACCAAGCACCACACACACACCACATGACACGCCAGTTGTGAGGTCAAAACATGGGGTGCGAGCTTTCACCGGACATACTCCTTGCTGCATTTTTATTATTTATTTTTGTTTTTTGTTTGGGGAGGGGGCTTGTGCCACCCACCCTCTCCCCTACCTTGAAATAAAATCCTAGCTATTCCACTTGCCCTCATCATTTTTTTTTCCCCCACGTTTGAAAGTTACTGAAAACGGGATGGCACCTGTTGTAATTCGGACAGTACACCCTGTTTCTGATGGGTTACAAGACGTTTGGGTAAACTCACTTCAGCAGAACTAAAAAATGTGCAACATACTGCATTTTTAGACCTGCCTGTTTGACGTGCAATATTTACAACATATGACGTCCCCCCCCCCCCTCCCACACACACGCACACACAGGAAAGTGTATTGAAATTTGAATGTTAGTTTTGTCATACCTTTATCTGCCTTTTTTTTTCAATAAATATTTTTATTTTAGAAATAACAAATAGCCTTCGCTGAAGAGTAAATCCCATCCAAAAATGTAGTTAGTTTGGAATTGGAGCGCAGCTCTTGAGGAGGAGGAGGGAAGGGCACTGGGGGGGGGGGGGGGGGTTAAACTAACCAGGGGGGGGTCACGTGACCTTGGGGGTCACGTGACCCCCAATGCCGATGATGTCATCACTGACGTCACTGATGACGTCATCAGTGAGGATGACGATGCGGGTACCGATGATGTCATTAGTGACGTCACTGATGACTTCACCAGTGATGATGACGATGACGATGCGATTGTCGGTGACGTCATCAGTGACATCGCTGATGACGTCATCAGTGATGATGACGATGACGATGCGGATGCCGGTGACGACATCAGTGACGTCACTGATGACGTCATCAGTGATGATGACGATGACGATGCGGATGTCGGTAACGTCATCAGTGATGATGACGATGACGATGCGGATGCCGGTGACGTCATCAGTGATGATGACGATGACGATGTGGATGCCGGTGACATCAGTGATGATGACGATGACGATGTGGATGCCGGTGACGTCATCAGTGATGATGACGATGACGATGTGGATGCCGGTGACGTCATCAGTGATAATGACGATGACGATGTGGATGCCGGTGAACGTCATCAGTGATGATGACGATGTGGATGCCGGTGACGTCATCAGTGATGATGACGATGACAATATGGAGGCCGGTGACGTCATCAGTGATGATGACGATGATGATGTGGATGCCGGTGACGTCATCAGTGATGATGACGATGACGATGTGGATGCCGGGGACGTCATCAGTGATGATGACGGTGGATGCCGGTGACGTCATCAGTGATGATGACGATGACGATGCGGATGCCGGTGACGTCATCAGTGATGATGACGATGACGATGTGGATGCCGGTGACGTCATCAGTGATGACGATGACGATGTGGATGCCGATGACGTCATCAGTGATGATGACGATGACGATGTGGATGCCGGTGACGTCATCAGTGACGATGACGTCATCGGGGGTCACGCGACATCGGCGGGGGTCACGTGACCTCGGGGGGTCACGTGACCTCGAGGAGGGGGTCACGTGACCTCAGGGGAGTCACGTGACTTCGGGGGGTCACGTGACCCCCCACGAGGTCACGTGACCCCGGTGGGGGGCTCGCGCGGTGCATTATGGGACATTTCCCATGATGCACCGCGCGGTTACGCCGACGGCGACGGCGACGCCGCTCAAGCCGGAAACGGGCCCCTAAGAGCTGCGCTCTAAAAACTGCCAGAGCTCCCTCCTAGATTGCCTTCAGCATTGAGCTTGATGCAGAACCATCAGCAAGAATTGCAATAAATGTCAGATTTTTTGTTCAAAGAAACAAGCTAAGGGAGACCACTATTTTAGATCTAATGGACTTTAATGAACGATTTCTATAGTAGGGATCCATTATCTAGCAGTGCTAGACCCTCCTGTGGCAGGACAGATTTGCCAAGTTGCCTTCGACCCTGGCGGAGACTGATCCAGCTGCTGTTTTCTTCAGCGGTGATGCACCTGTACTACGCCCGGTTCATGAGCCACTTTTTGCACTCGCTGGGGCTGACACGGCTGAAGGAGCCCTTCCAGCGGATGCTGGTGCACGGCATGGTGGTCAACGAGACATTCCGCCTCAAGGACAGCGGGCAGTACCTGCCAAAGGACGCCGTTGAGCAGAGTGAGCAACTATCCACTCTTTTGTAGTGTGAGCTACACTGGCTGAGGTTGAGCAGTTTTGCGTGGCTATCAGAGCGGTGCTGCGCATACGCGAGGAGCAGTGATGTCACACGGCGCATAGCTGGTGCGTCAGAGCCGCCGCCACCGCGCGCTCCGCCGTTAACGCGCGCTCCGCTGCCACCGCGCGCGCCTCGCCGGTCTGCGCATTCCAGAGGAGTGACGTCATAGCCGTGGCAGGCGCACTGGCGCCGTTGCGTGCCCAGCTGTGCGCCTCCGGTGCACTGTAGCCAAGTCTGACGCTGCACCGGAGCCGCTTGATAGCGCCTCTCATTTTGTGCGCATAAGCTCACGCTACGTATATCCTGGCATAGCCGAGCTAAGCCACCGCAACTTTTTGTCCGGGTCTGCTCTACGCAGAAGCTTATTGACAGTCGCTGGTGCTTCTTATAAATTTAACTTAACCTATTCTGACATAACTAACATGACCTGACTTAACCTAACCTAATTGACCCTGATCTGACCTAACCTGATCTAACCTAACTGACCTGATCTTACTTGACTACAGCCTAACCTATTCACCTGACCTAACCTAACTAACCTGGCCTAACCTAGAACAATTTTGCCCACAAAATTGCCTTTGCTGCCAGCACTGTGATTTCAGTTTGCTTTTATCGCCGAAAGGCTGTGTGTCATCTGCGGCCTCCTGAGCTGTTTTGCTTTTGGTCATCTTTTGCAACACAGAACGTGTTCTAGGGTTCAAAGCCTCAAACGCTACACATTGTTGTAACGAAACTATGATTGCACAGCCAGTTGTCTTCACAAAAGACGGTGTCCCCTGGCAAGATTCGAACCGCCGACCTCTCTCTCAATAATCCAATGCCCTATCCAGCATCGCATAGCACGGTTATATTGTCGCAGACGGAAAAGGGTCGACAAGTGTAAAACTGAAAATAAAGGTCTAATCGGCGAACTTGTCCCAAAAACGAGAGAGAATAAGCTTAAAAAAAAGCAGGAGCTGACGTTGCAGTGTCGGCACGAGAGCTGGCTAGAGCGAGACTGCGAGAGTGAGTCAGCGAGGCCATGCTGGGCTCCCTATCTATTATCCTCGGTATCTCGAACATTCTGTCTAGAATGTTTCAGTGTCGAACACTCGGAAGACTGGGTCATGTTGGCCTTCTCATCTGTTACACTCAGGGTAAGAGTAAACATGGACCTTCTAGAAATATGGAGAAGCGTTTTTTCTCGGCCAGGCAAGTAAAAATATATAGGAGGTATAAATGTATCTACCTGGTGTTGCCGCAATGGTTGGAAAAGCCCGAAATACATTGTGCATTCTTTGTCTCCCAACATAATCTGTAGGACTAAGATACATTTCAATTTTTTTCTCAAGGTTTCTCGATTACTGGGCATACACCGAGATCAAGTTCGTTCTCGTTTTTTTCTTTTAAAGAGGGCTCCAAGTTTTTTGAGAAAGAAACGGGAAAGCCGGTCAGCGTCGACTGGGAGAAGATGAGCAAGTCCAAGCACAATGGGGTCAGGCCAGAGGTACGCCCTTTTTCATCTGTCACAATTCATTTTCATTGTTCCCTGTGTCCCCCATTTTTCCGTAATTCATACGTTGCACGGAAACTTGCGTCATTCACAAAACTTGCGTTACTTGGACGTTTATCTCGCAAACAAATTGAGCCATCGACTTTGGTGCCCGAGCAAGATGGCAGCCCATAACGTGAGGTGGCCCAACTCGAACCATACATCTCAGACTAAAGGCACTTTGAAAGAAATGCTGGAAGTGGGCTCCCCATTTATAGCATACCCCATTTACTTTTGCATCAGGACATTGTATCGAAGTATGGCATCGACACGACGCGTCTCTTCATCCTGTCCGCCTACTCCCCAACGTCGCGCTACAAGTGGCCCAGCGAAAGTGAGTGGAATAAGCGCCTCATGAATTAAAGCACATACTTCTATGCCGTCTAGGATGCTTACTTACAACCTGTGCTTTCCTCATTAAATTCCTCATACCTTGGAGGTAGTTTCTCTATATTCATTCCTCTTGCATTTGTAAGTTCTGCATACTACTTGCTCTGCACTGCATTTATTGTATTGGGTGCTTGGGAGAAAAGGGAAACATGTCTTTTTCGTCACAGAAATATGCATTGCTGAGCGCTCAGTCTCTGCCTTAAGACCCTGGTCATCAACATTTTCTTGTCATTTCTCATTCAGTTTGTACTACATTCTCACATGCACTATAGCCTTTTGTACCTAGCACAAACTTATTATAGTTTTCAAGAAAATCTCTTTACCTCAAATGTCTCTGCCCAACTTTTTTTACAATACCTCCAAAGAAAAAAAGGGCGCAAAGTATGTCAACCAATTGTGCAAACAGTAGAAAGTGCAACAAAACCATTCTTACAATTTTAGCATCATTCTAGAAAAGGTTATCACAAGTTGAAATGTTTTCACTGATAATTAAAAATTAGTTATTATAGTTTTTTTAGAAACTTTTATAGTGATTGTTTCTGAGATGTATTAGTCTTGTTGCATTCAATGATTTATGAGGTATCAATTCCTGAAAAAAAGTATTCAGATCCAAGTTCTACATCCAAAGATGCCATGAGCAAAACTTTGTGTTGTGACAAAAAATGAATTTTGAGAAAACAAAAAAAGCTTTTGCAGACAACCTGGATATGAAACTTTGAATCAATGTAACTGTATAAATATACAGCTCTTGAGTGTAGTACTTAGAAAATATGTTTGTAAGGTATAGATCAGAGGTTCTCAACCATTGATGTTTTGCGAACCCATTGTGGATCGGCAGAGATGATAGAGGACCCCACTCGTGGTGAGGGGAAGGGAAAGGTATAGGCTAATTATGACAATGATCTAAAAAAATGGATATAACTAAGGGCTGGGTGAAGTAGACTTCTGTCGTTGACATACACACAAGAAAACTCGCCCGAAAAGTGGAATGTTTCTTCCCAATCTGAAGAAAGACAACTTTTATTGCCGGGTTTGACTGATGAGGCAGGACTTCACAGAAACCTAGAATGCCTTCGCGGACCCGAAAGGTTCGCGGACCCCCATTTAAAATCCACTATTATAGATAAAAAATAAAATTAAAAAAGTGATCCTTTTTTTTGTTTTGTTTTTTGGTACCATAGTCTCCCCTTGATATGGCACTAGCAGTTCTAACCAGATGCCAAAATTTCTAAAACTTACATGAAGTGATTTACGAAAATTTTTAGTGAGAAAGTGGGGTTTGTTTGCGGCCGCAGACATTGTTTGTCCCTACGGATTTGTGGGCTCCGTTGACCGCCATCTCCTCATTGAAAATTTCCGAATGGAGACTTTTGTATGAATAGGTGCATAGAATGATAAAGACTGTCATTCCCTCTGTGATCGGGTGGTAACTCACGCCTCCTAGCCTCGAAAGTTTGAGGCACCTAGAATGGACGGTTGCCTCCTTTTTAGCCTTCCGGGGCGTCGTGAGCTGGCAGGAGCGGCTGTGGCTGACGGTACACGACTTCCGGATGAGCGTGGAGCGCAGTCTGGAGGAGGCCCAAGCCCAGCCGGACTTTGCCGCCAGGGAGCGCTACTATTACGAGGGTCGGAACTACACCGTCAAGAACGTGAGTGACGGCCGCAGAGACGATGGCCATTCTTCTTTTCGTTTATCCTCTCAAGTGTGTCGTCAAGAAAAGAACAGTTCTGTCTATCAATGTCTTATTTGGGGGAGACCGAAAAGAAATCGGTATGTATTTTTACAAAATAGCCTATTTATTTTTATGCATTCAAATTCCGGTCACCTTCGAAGCCAGATGGAATATGATTGTCGCGACGTTTCTTCCGACGCTCAAAACACCCTCTGAACTCGTCGATTTTGATGCCTTTCGGTGCCTCTGCTGTTTCTTTTGTTTTACCAAAAAAAAAGGTCACATGGGTGAATAGGAAGGGTGGGGAATGGAGGAATTACGTCGTTTCTGGACGAAGACTGCTCCTGTTTACCACAACTCGGGTTGTCATTTTGCCCACACCACGCCGAGTGTTTGGCAGTCTTTGCCACAGCCCGTCTGACTTCCAGTTTTTGTTTCAATAGATGAAAAAATTTCTGGAAGGGAAACGGTTTTTCGACGTGGAAAAGGTGAAACAAAAAAAACGGCAGAAGCACCAAAAGGCATAAAAATTGACGAGCGTAAAACAAAATCGACGAGCATCAGAAGAAACATCTCGACAAGTGTATTGCATCTGGCGGAGAGGGAGTACTTTGAAGGTGACTGAAATTTGGATGTGTAAAAATAAATAGTGCTTAATTTTGTAAAAATATTAATTCCGTTTCTTGGGGGGGATCTCTTTCAAATGTACTGTGACACACTTTTTAAGTATTGAGGTGATATAGTACCAGAGTGTGATTTATATTATAATCAAAAGTTGCAGTAAACTTTCAATGCTGGAACGGGCATTTCAGCTGCTAGTGTTTTGTGATAGATAATATTTTTTTTAGATCTACCATTCTTATGGCGTTCTTTTTTTTGTTTCTATCGTATCAAGGATGACCGAAATTGGTGTGGCTTGACAACATTGAAAACACTCGAGTCACTACCGTAGCCATCGCTTTAGTGATACCGAATCACATTGGAGAGTTAAATTCCTGGCCACACAATCGCTTTATTGCATTGTTGGGAGCATCCAGCTGATATCTTGGTTGTAGACCTCTAGGTGATCTTCCTAGCTTTGGACATAAACACCCAAAGTTTGTTTTGAATCACCAGCACAGTCCTGGCAGCGATGTTAGTACAGTAATTCCTCATTATAGCGAGGGCAGTGGCACAGCAAAAAAATTCCATGTAAGCGGTAATTCAATAAAAGCGAGAGAGCCAAAAAAACAGGGACAGCAGCCTTGAAGGTTGACAGGAACACTGCAGAACACACTGATTGTATATTTAATCGAGCAAACCTTGGTTATGGAGTTTGCCGATAATTTTATCCGGGTATCAGTTATCCTCGCTGCTTTAGGCATTGCAAGAACACTGTCACCGCCGCTGCACTCCGCTTTGTTTGGAAGCTGCCGTTGGTTGTTTCGTATCTCTGCGGTTGTTGGCGTTTCCCGAGCCGCCTCTCCAATCTCGCTTCGTGTTTGCCCTGGCCGCACGTAAGGTCTACGATTGCAGCATCCGTGGCAGGAGCAAGAACGGGAACGTCTGCATCAACAAGCGCAAACGAATCAAAGTTATCCTTGCCAGCTTCGCCTACATGTTTGCACACACTCCTGTAGAGATTGCTGCAGCTCTGGGAATCGTACCTTGGCTCGGCAAGCGTGCTCACGAGAGAAAATCTAACATGCGCAAAGCAGTTCGCGATCTTTCGTTTTCGGGTTGTGGGCACACTTTCTCTTACGTGAAAAACTCTTCTCAAACCTCTCCAGTAGGTCTTGCTTGTTCTGCAAAATGGTGGACAGTGCCAAAAGCCAATGCCAAAAGGTTGAATTCTTTGACGATTTTGGACTAGGGCCAGCCACGTTTCTCAACTTTGCAGATCCAAGCAACTTTCTGTACACAATCCCACTCTCCCATACGACGGACGTGGCATGTGTACGCCGCAAGCGCATGTCGAGGTTTCTGGGCTTTATCGGCTCAATTTTGTGCCTTGATCCGATACGACAGGAATGAGGCAGCGTCGGCCTCCGGGACCGCGAGTAGCGTCGGAATGTGGACGCTGCTCCCTGTCCGCGTCGGTGCATCAGCATCGGAAGCGGCGCTGTGCCCTCCATCACCCATTTGGTTTGTTTTCTTGTTTGCCATTTGCTTCGGTGGAGAAGGGGAAGGCAACACCAGGGCCTCCGTGCGCCTCCGTGTAGGCTTGCATGCTTTCGGCACCGCGGCCTTCATAATAAATGTGATCAGCTGCCGATACACTTTGAATAATCTGGTTCAAAATGTGTGAACTTCGATAAAAGCGAAAATTCGAAAAGAGTGATTTCGTTAGAACGAGAGATTACTGTAATAAAATGGTGATCATGGTGATGATTGAAGTTGATGTTTCTTCGAGCACTGCTTTTGCAGGCAATCTCTCATTGACTGGCCTCGTGGTCTGTCAATTTTAATGCAGGTGAGCTTCAAGTACAATGTGACCAGGCAGCTGAATTTAGTCATCAAGGACCTGCAGATCTACACGAAACACTTGCGGGTAAGTTTGGGCTCTCGGCTGTGACTATTCCCAATTCTCTGATGTCTTTAATGCTTATTTCAAGTTGCTTCCTTCTGTACATTATGAAAGAATGAACTCAAATTTAAGTTAATTTAAAACATTTATAGTAACTTCTTAGCAGGCCTCGAGCGAAGAGCTTAAATAAACAGATCTAATCGCTACTTTGACATGTTTTTATCAGCACTACATGAAAAACAAGCCTAGCTTTAGGACTGGACTTAGCTAAGCAGATGATGGCTGATGGCATCGTTTTGAAAACTGCCTCAAAAGAGAAGACATGGCTGATAGAGTATTAGTATGAATCTGTACTTTGCAGTGTGGATTCTATAAGCCCACAGGTATTGTGTCATTATTTTACCAAAGTTTTCCAGCTTGTGAACTGTTTTATAGCAAGAATACCGGCAAGAGAAAATGTGGGGAAGGCACAGCTTCCTGGTAATCTTTAAGAGATGATCATTGGGCAACTCTGATAAGGATTGTTTTAGGCAAGAGATCTGGTAACCAAAAAAGTCTGCAAACGTGACTCGATCCAGTTTTTAACACGACAGCCGTACAAATTTATAGCCAACAATATCCATTCCAATCCTAGCCTCCATGGGAGCAGACGACTTATCTCACAGAGCAGGCGACTCATCTAGGGTGCCTGGAACGAGTCTCCGACTGGTGTGTTTACCGCGTTCAAAAAAGTGGTCCTTCGATTTCCACCTGATGACATCATAGAAGTGCCATGCTGTCGCTGGTCGCGATCCTGGCGGCGTCCCAACCTCTGTGGTATATATGGCAGACGCCTGTTCTGCTGCAGGACGCTGTCCAATGCGGCAGTCCACGGAAGTTTCTGTAGTCAGAAGTTGGGACGTTGTGGCGACAGCAGCACTCGCGTTCGCTCGTGCTTTTCGCCAGCATTTCAACGACCAACTGCCAGGATCGCGACATACAACGGCATGACACTCCGACTTTTGTGACGTCATTTGTTGCCACATCGGGACCACTTTTGATGTATGGACAGCATAGGACGCTAAACACACCAGTCGGAGACGCGCTCCAGGCACCATAACTGATCTCATGGAGCAGACGGCTGATCGCACAGAGCAGACGACTGATCTTAAGGAGCAGACGAATAGAGTAATGGCCTAGCTTCTTACAGCGTGCTCGTGTGTTTGCGCAGTACAAGAACCGGGGAGAGGTGGTGTTTGGCCGTCAGTTTGAGCGTGCCCTGGCTGCCCTCATCGTGATGCTGGGGCCCCTGGCACCCCACTTTGCCTCAGAGATGTGGGCTGGGTTTGCAGACGCCGCCCGCTTCAGGGACGAGACTGGCTACTTCCTGGTGAGTGCAAGGCTCCCCAAACGGGAGGCTAGATCTGGAGAGCCCTCTGTAGAAAGCGTTCAACTGGAACCCTGTTGAGCACTTACCATTAAATGTCAGCATTTACCAGAAAGGCTCGTGCCATGGCTTCTTATCAACGTTAATAAATCAACTCGGTTGTGGAACTGCCGCGGAGGGGGCACCCCCCTCTCCCCCTCGAGCCCGCTACCCACCGTTTGAAGCGCTATCCAGGGGCTGCATTTCAAAACTGTATTTTTGAAAAACGCTATGGCGAAGTTCCATCTAGATTCTGCACTTCAAAACCGGTGTAAGAAGTGTAGTTACCATAGCAGCCATACCCCCAAAAGACGGTGGCACATTGAACGATGGGAGGAGGACCTTGGTGGGAGAGGGGGTACCGCTCGTGGATGTGGTGTCTTCGGGCAGTTTTGTAACTGAGTATCCAGTAATGTTGCTTCTTATGCTGCAGAATGTTGTCAGAGTACCAGCAATTTACAAGATGTCAACATTTACTTCTTTTTCCATAAAAAACAAGCAAGAAACCTATTCTTTTTGAGCAAAAGTGTACGCTAAAATTAAGCGTGTCTGTCTATCTCGTTCAGAAAATGTTCAAGTTACTCTAGGCTTTTTTTTAGCCGAGTGGTCGGAAAACCATCTGTGGCCGTGTTGGCTGCCAGCAAACAATTATTCACACAATGGTGCCCATCAGCCGTGTGATCCAGCTGAGCAGTTGAATGCTTCCTTATTCTAAGCTCTCTAGTTAATAAACCAGGTTAGATTGGATGTGCTGTAGTGTTGAGGCAACAGGTGAAAGGGTTTCAGGCTGTGGGTTTCGAGAAACCATTAAATTCGGAACTTGAGCACTTCAACTCTTTTAGAAACCAATATCCGGAACTAGGGAACTTTGGCTCCCTTAAAGGTGCCCAAGGTGGGTCTTGGCTTCTTCTTTTTATGGCTCGAATATACTCTGGTTCACAAAGCGTTAAGTGTCCATAATATATTTGCACATGTTTGCCGTTCGACATAAGATGTGCAGCAAATGTCCCGTGCTCTTTCCCTTCTTTATGCCGAGACAAGGGGAGACAACAGATCTTTGCTTTCCTTTTTGCAGCACAAAGGAGGGAAAGGGTATAACATCGATGGCACATTTAATAACAATATGTGAATCTTTTAGACTATGTGAAGTGGGAGACTATGTTAGAGCTATAAAAATGCCAAGTCAGAAACATATTTATCGTTAAGACAGTGAGAGGAATAGGTTATTCATTTGTAACGAATCATGCCGAGAATAGAAGTGTTTTCTTTTCTGGATCGTTTTCAGGACAAGCCCCTGATGGAACAATCATGGCCAGAGGTGGACATGGACTATAACTTGGACTTTCTAGTCAAGGCAAGTATATAAGGCTCTACATTTCGCTGTATGTCGCATAAGCTACTCGCAGCACATGACATCTGCCCATGCACTTTAACTGCGCAACGGTGAATTTCGTCTTAATATTATGTTGGCACCCTCGTTTATATCCATCATTGAGCAGATCTCTAAGGAAAAAGTACTTTACTAGTAGACAATGGATGCAGTTTTCTTTTTGTCCTCTAAACCATGCACAAACACAATGTTCCAGCCACGTTTCGGGCAAGGATCGTGCCAAAGAAAATGTGCAGCTGCCTGGCTGCTTTCATTTTCACAATAATGGTAGTCTCGCTTCTGCGTCCCCCAGATTTAGCGTGTTGCAATCCCACAAGACGGCAACACTGGCACCAAAGGTGAACACTGTTTTTTTAGTTGCCGACAGAGTGAGAACGGCGAGGGGGTCTTTCAGTTGTTCTACCTCTAGCACGAGCTTTCTACCTTCGACAACACTTTTGCATTCGAACGCGTGGAACGAAAGTGCAGTGGAGGCAAAATTATTCCAACCAAAGCTCGATGTTCTGACGTCCCCGCACTTTCGTCTTCTCCCTCTCTCAGTTTCTCAGAGCATGCGTTCGTGGCATTTCATAGTTCGAAGCGATTGGAAGTTTTAAGCCATCTCACTAACAGCCTGCGTCCCACAAAAGACCAGGAGCATTAACTTACAAGGCACACGATTTGATCGAGAAAGTTCTTCTCCGATCCACAGGAAGACGACATGGACCTTTTGCGGATCCAGCTCCCACGCTACCGCCACGACGCCCTTACCAAGGAGACTGCGTACCAGATGGCCATCGAGTCTGAGAGCCTGAGGCACCGCCTGCAGAAGTGGCCCAAGTTCCAGGTGGTCTTCGACCATCAGCCATCCTACAAGGCGGAGCTGCGCTTCATCTCCCAGGGAAAGCCGTCTGCCGAAGTCCAGGAGCGGAGGCACGTGGCTTCATCGCGGAAGGAGGTCGACTGACGTGCGTTGGACTTGCAGCAGTTGCTTCGACGCAGTGTGTCTCGTGACATTTCACCTTCGTTAGTGAAAAACAAGCAGGCAGGAAGAAATAAGGCCATCCCTTGGTTCGTCTGCTCCTCGAGGTCGGTCGTCTGCTTCGAAAGGACTTGGAGGAATCTGCACATGCCTCTTAAAACTGTTGGTGTAGGAGGATGGGTTGTACGATACTGTAAAACGTAGGAATAACTAATAAAGAGTGTTTGTTGTACTTTGGACAACATGCATCAGAAACAAATTAACATGTCTTCATTTTTCTATCTGCCATGCTAGATATATGTTAATATGCTTGCAGCATTTGATAAGGTGAAAGTGCACTTTAATTACCTTTTATCACCAAATGATTTTGTATTACCTATATCTCAGTATTTTGTATTTAGTCATAATCTTTGGGTAAATGATGCTGCTCTCTACCATATTGAAATGTGGATTGCGATCAAATTGTATATACACAACCACTAGTATAGCCATTATTATTGCAATGACCATGCTGATAAGCATAGACTTGTGAAATCGTTGCAGTAGCATTTCCTTGATTGTTTTAGCCCACTCTACGCTGCGTTCGATACAAACCTGTCGCCTCGCAAGCGGACAGGTTAAGTATTTTGCTGAAAGGATAGCCAAGACGTAGACGACAACTTGGTGTCAATGCCAGAAGCAGGCAGAGCACTGCGCAAACCGTATCGCCCGAAGGCAGGCGACATCGGCAGAAAGCAGACGACGAACCTAATGTCCCGAAGCAGCCGACAAATAGGTAAGCATTCGCAGAAGAACGCACCTTTTAATGAAAGCCAAACAAGCAGCAAAAAGAAACAAAATGGCGGCCCAGCAGCCTCAAGCATAGTAGTTGAGGTTAGCCTTTTTCTTGGCCTGCACCTCCATGATGGCGTCCATGTAGTCCTCGTGCGTCACACTGGTCCCGCCACGCCGCAACGCGATCATGCCGGACTCTACGCAGACGGCTTTGCACTGGGCACCGTTGAAGTCGTCCGTGCAGCGCGCCAGCTCCTCGTAGTTGACGTCCTTGTCGCAGTTCATCTTCCGCGAGTGGATCTGCATGATCCTCGCCCGAGCCTCCTCGTTGGGGTGCGGGAACTCAATCTTCCGATCCAGCCGGCCGGAACGCAACAACGCGGGATCCAAGATATCTACCCGGTTGGTGGCCGCGATAACTTTGATGTCAGCGCTGGAGCTGAACCCATCCAGCTGGTTGAGCAACTCGAGCATGGTCCGCTGGACTTCGCGGTCTCCTGCCTTCTCCGAGTCGAAGCGCTTCGTACCGATGGCGTCCAGTTCGTCGATAAAGATGATGGCCGGCGCCTTTTCCTTGGCGAGCGCGAAGGCGTCTCTCACCAGCTTGGCGCCGTCGCCGATGAACATCTGGACGAGCTGCGGTCCGGCGAGCTTCAGGAACGTCGACTTGGTCTGGGCGGCACACGCGCGGGCCATCAGCGTCTTGCCGGTGCCGGGAGGTCCGTACAAGAGGACACCCTTGGGCGGGCTGATGCCCAAATTGACGAACTTCTCCTTGTGGGTCATCGGGAGCACGACGGCTTCGACGAGTTCCTGGATCTGTTTGTCGAGACCGCCGATGTCGGAGTACTCCTCTGTGGGACGCTCGTCCACTTCCATCGCCTTGACCCTGGAGTCGTACTCCTGCGGCAGCGTTTCAAGGATGAGGTACGAGTCCTTGTTAACACCTACCAGGTCGCCAGGGCGCAGCTTTTCGGCGTCGACGAGTCCGATGACTGGCAGAAAGTAGGTCTGACGGGTGGAGGTCTTGATGACGGCGCATTTACCCTTGCGGAGCGAGTCGAGGTCCACGTTGGCGCCGTCCTCTTCGCCGAGCTCCTGCGGGTCGACGTCGAGGAGCTCGATGACGTTGGACACCAGGTACGGCAGGGTCTTGTTGACTTTGATCTTCTCGTTGTTCTCCTTGATCTTCTCCTTTTGGGCCTGGAGCTCGTGCGAGATGCGCATCACCTCGCTCTTCATGATCTTGATCTCGTTGTCCAGGAGCCTCGTCCTGCTAATAATTTCGTCGCTGGACATCCGCAGGACCTCTTCGCTGAGCGATTCCTCGCCATCCTTCCAGAGGGACTGGTCTTCCAGCGTCACGGCAGCCATCTTCCTCGCCGGATTAGAAATTTTTCGCGATCTCACGTTGATGTTGTGAGCGATGCGGATTCTTGCGCTGAGCCGAGTTCACTGCGGCCAACCAACGGGGCCAAACTTGGAACGTTAATTATATTATTATTTTTAATTCAAACAATATAAATAATTTTGTAAAAATATGTTTTTTTGTAGATAATAAAACAAAACAGCTTCTGATGTTGCATTTCTTGGGCAGATGCAGTCTATCAGTCACGGGAGTCACGGGTTTTCAGATGCCAAAACCAAAACCACAGTTGACAGTACCGAAGCATTATTTGCATTATAAATGCACTGATAATATTTTTCTCTACTCTAATGTTACAATGCCTATGACCATCCGCTTTATACAGAAAGCCAAGCGCACACGCTCGATCGTTGGAATCAAGGTTGGAATGATAAGTTAATTAAACGATGTCGCGATTTATAAAAATAAATGCTATTACACAGTATTCAACAAAGCATCGTCTTCTTTATGATTATTATTATTTTATTTTGTTTCACCTCCACGGAAAGCTTTTTACCGATAAGTGCATCATCCGAGGAAAGTGCCGGCCGTGTTTCCAAGAAATTTTCCAGCTTCTTCCGATAATGGCGGTCGATACTGAACCGAAAGCAGACGACACAAAAAGGAAACGGTCTATAAATAAAGAAGAAACATAGTTCCGTTCTTAGAAATAGTGACGATCCCAGGAAGGAAAGTCTGCATTTCGCTCCCAGAAGCGAAATAATTCAGTCATAATATGTTTACTCTGACGGGCAAAGAAGTCTGAGTTGTTGAGGGAGGAAATAGTTGCTGAAAGTGTTATTATGGTCGAGTGATGGCTTGACGGAATAATTCGGGAGCATATTTTGATAATTTAGTAATCTAGGAGAATCGTACCATTATTATTATTATTATTATTATTATTATTATTTGCACATTTTGCTTCGTTTCAGAATTTTGAATTCAGAAAAAAACTATGGTTTAGTAGGGTACGTTGTTGGGCTAGTTGGTTCATCTTAGTAAAACATATAAAATAGCGCAAAAAAGACAAGGACAGGCTAACTTTCAACTGCTGCTTTGCCTGTCGTGTGTATATATATATGTTTACTTTTCCTGAATAAAACTAGTTGAAAGTTAGCGCCTGTCCTGTATGCTTCTTGTCCTTGTCTTTTTTGCGCTATTTTATATGTTTTACTAAGAAAAACTATGAAACGTTAAGGTCTAGCCTTCAAGCAATCGTGCGTAATGAACGATAGCTTTAAAACAAGTTTTAAACTGATACGATACGTCTTTGAGGTCAGTTTTATATGCAGACTTGCATGGCCTGCATTGCATCGATGGATTTACAAAATAATTTAAAAAAGCAATGCGACCTTTACATGAGGATGATTTTACTCTGCAGTCTATGCATGATGCAGAACTGCATGTGCAGAACATGCGATTATTTTCTTCCTTTTTTCTTCTTCTTCTCTCATGTTTATAAAATAATAAAAAAAAAAACGCAACCAACAGGAAAGGAAAATGCAGAGTGGGAGCAAATTGGCTTAGAAGCGCGAGGTTCTTTTGGTTTCTAGGCTAGGTGGCGCAAGCTAACGCCCGTTATAAAGGCTGCAAAGCCATTAGCATCCATCCATTCATTCAACGTTAGAAATGGCTGCAGTGTGGCTCGGCAGGGAACTTCGGGAGCCTCGGACGATGGCAAAGAACCGTCGAAAGGAGCCACGGGGACGCCCAAAGCCCCGATGAACGCGTCGAGGATCCTCCCGCGCTGATTCTCCGGAACTACGGGCTCGAGCCGGAGCCCCGATTCCGGGACCCCGGAAGCAACATCCGTGTGTGTGTGCGTGCGTGTGTGCGTGCGTGCAGCCCTGCGATCAGAGGAGAACGGTGACATTTTGGAAAGCGCTAGATAGATAAAAAACAAAACCAAGATAGGATACAAACGCCCAGGGCTTCACGGGAGATGCAGTATCCACCGTAGCGATGGGCCGTGGATCCTAAGCCTAACGTGGTGAGTTTTTACGTTTTACTTGGCCGTCTTTCGCGGTTTTGAGCCGTCCGTTTGGGCCGTCAGGTCGCAGGTTCAAGCTCCGTGGCTAGGACCAATGCGTCGCGAACGCTGCTAAGGCCTTACGCGTTCGCGGAGAGGTGTGGCTCTTTGGGGCAGTAAGGCGCTTTTTTTAACTTTTTTTTTTAGACTTCTTTCTAAAAAATAAAAACAAACGCGACCATTTATTTGAGTTTGCATTGCCCTGATTTATTTGCGACGCCTTTTCTTTTCATCGTTATAATATCGGCTTCGCTTCACATCCAAGGTCTCTGCTTCCGTAGCCTCCGGGTGTTTGGCATAGCATACGCCCGAGCGCTAAGGAAATGCGCGTTGCTCGGAATAGGGCCAATTTTTGCATTCGCAAATGTTACTTACACCGCGGCGATGTATGCCGAGTGTGCCTTTTGCGAGGTGGCGGAAACCTTGAAACCGCTAGTATCCGTTCGTTGTCGGAGATCTGCCGTTTTATCGTGCACTATCGTAGCTTACTTCGTACCAGCTTATCGGTGCAGCGTTTTCGCACTGCACAGTAACACCGGCACTAATCCCGACCAAAGGTGCGATCTCTCGGGCAAAGGTGTGTGGAACGCTTTAGGCTTAGACGGCTTCTCGTCTTTTGCGGTGATTTGAACGTGTGGCGAGCGCTTAGTCGGTCAAATCTGGGTCTTGAGCGCTCCGGAGAAAGCTCGGGGCTTGGCCGAGACGGTAGCGTTCAGTGCCGGAAGTGTCCGCGTTTGCGTATGACCTTTTTTTCTTAGTGCCGCGAGCAGCAATTTCTGTCGCGCCAGCGCTGCGCGAGTTTTTGTGTTTCGATTTGAGTTTCTGCGTCGTCTGCGATCTGAGAGTTTGCGTGGAAGGTAGTCTTCACCTCGATGCTCCGGAGCGCATCGCGGAAGCGAACGCGTAGGAGCAGCCTGAACGATTCTTTTTTTGTTTTGTTTTGTTTTTTGTTTGCTTGTATTACGCGCGTCGGGCGCTTATCTTTCAGGAACTCTTCGTTCTTGGAATAGGCATGCGTATATATATTTAGGCGTCTGAATCACCTTGTGGTGACGTTATTGGCGTAATGTTTACCCCTGAAATATCACTTTTGTGGTCTAGTCGTCTGCCGCGATGGCATCGCTTTTCTCAACAGTCGTCGTTGGTTCCGTGCGATATTTCACGTGAGTGCAGCTTACTTCTGATTTGTAATCATTGTACTATTTCAAGGTTTTACTAGTAATCACGGGAAACATGTTACACTTAAATTTGTTGGGATGTTTTCTGCGGATGAAAATTTGTAAATACAGACGGTTCACGGAACTCTCATCCGTAGTCTATGGCTTTTTGCTGGATCATACAGACATTAAAGTCATTAGATCATTTGAAGGCGGCGTGCCGTTGCTTCTATATGCACAAAGTATTTTTACAAAACGCTATCGGAATAGTACTTGATATGTTTTTATGTGGGAGCGGACTCGGCAGCGCTGCGGTATCGGTAGCCACATCAACTTTATTAATGCAGTATCTTTACTACATATTTTTTCTCGGTGCTAACAAGTACAGTGATAAATTGTATTGCTCATCTTTAAAAAGTACTGTAAATGCCTCGAGTAAGCGATGCCTTTATTTGCAGTTTTGCAAATAGATCTATTTGCAAACCTCTGCAATTAAAGGTAAATTTACTGGTGGCAGCTGGCATCCCCTTCATTCTGACTTTCGTCTGCTTCATTTTGATTGTCGTCTGCTATGTTTAAAAATAGTCTGTTTTGTTCTTTTTCTTTTTTTTTTTATGTTGATTTACAATTGCATACTTAGCGTCTGAGCCCGGGGCCACATTGCTGGAAGTGAGGTTAGGGGCACACACTTTCGCATCCTTGGGAGCAAGGTGTCGGGAACAAAGCACGCAAAAACGAAGCACCATTGAAGGACGAAAACTCTAATAACAAAGTCCAGTCAGAAATGTGAATCAAATCAAGGGTATCTTATAGAGGGCTAGCATACACGTCAACTCGTAATCGAAAACCTCTACAACCTAAATAATTTCGTAGCTCAGAGGGAAGAGTTTTTTTTAACACAGAACCTGTTACATGGCTGGCACCTAGCAGTTTCTGGTAATGCAGCTCTGTAATGAAAGAATCTGTAATGGAAGGGTTTCCCTCTTTCATGAGACACCATGCCCAACAATCTTCACGCTGTTGAGGCACAAAATGCAATACTTTTTCCATTACAGCTGCCTTTGCCGTGATCGTTACAAATTGTAACGATCGCTAATTCATCATTTCCCCAAATATGAGTTTGAGAATACATTGATTTAGTGCCCTTCGTCTTTTTACGCTGACTGAGCAGAGAAGGAAGACGGCATCTTTGTATCAACTTTGGGGCCAAAGGTATTTCACAACTGGGACAAAAGCAATGTTTGGGGGAAGGAGTGTGTAGGTCACAGCATCTTGACGAGGCAACAGGACGCAGCTGGCGTTTATGGGTATGAATGCGCCCAAATATCGGGGTCGAATGGGTCGCAGAAGTCTCGCAAGCGCTTTGTTTTCTAGCCGCTCCCAGTCTTGAATCCAATCGCGCGCCCAGGTGGCAGCACCTATTGGGTAGAAGGTAGATTGTGCCCATTCTGCTCTATGCACCAATATGGCGGCACCTACGGGGCCTACGGAAAAGGAAGTGCTGACACTCTAAGCCAGTGGTTCTCAAGCACTGGTGTTTTGGGGACTCTTTCTGGGTTGGTGGAAGTGATGGGGGACTCTATCTACCATAGAGGGAGGAGGGGGGGGAGAAGGGGGGGAGTATTGAATGATTGCAATAACAAAAGGGTAAATGAAGGAAACTAAATTCATGCAAACCAACTTTGCAGTCCTGAAATATGGAATAACCAACCCTACTAACTCGGTGCCCATGGTTTCGTCTATTAAGAACAAAAGTTTTAGCGATCGGCTTGACTGATGGTCTAAGGCTTCAGGGACCCTAAGAAGACCTTGAGGGGCCCCAAAGGGTCCCTCAAGCATAGCAGTTTAGTGTCTCTGTCAGCGAGCTGAAACTGCGTACGTTGACGGCGGTCGCTCTTCCGTCTGCCGTCCCTCTCCCAGGTGGCCAGGAGGCAGGGGTCACCATTGACGGCCGGGTCCCCCTGACATGGAGTGCCCCCCCAGGGGCCTCCGGAGGGGCCGTCTCGTGCTAGGGGGCCGACCCCCGACGCTAGACCTCATCGAGAACCCGCTTTACGAGGCAGGGCACGCGCCCTCAGAGCCGCCCCCCGTCCCGTCTCCGGCCCCGGCGTCGACCCCGGCCACGTTCGTCCCGGCGGCCGCCGAGATCCGGCGCCCGCAGCAGCGTCCGCGGGACCAGGCCAGGGTTCGTGCTCCTTTTTTTAAAAAACCTCCGTCGTTAACTCCAGCCTCTATTTTGCCTCCAAGTGGCGTCTTTGGCAAAAGTCGGCGAGAAATAATGTCGTAGGGTTTGCCACGTAACTACGGTGCCTGGCGGCCCCTGCGTTGCACGTTGCTCCACAGCTTGACGGTCCGCGGAAGCTTCTGCAGTTGGGAGTTTTGACGCTGCAAAGACAGTGTCTCAACTTTTCTGACAGAACATCCACGACCGATTGCCAGGAGTGCGACGTTCGATGGGTCGAAAACTATGACGTAATTGGGGGGTTTGTGGGGATATTTATACAGCGTGTTGTTAGTCAGCCATTAAAGTTGCGACGCGTCACACGCTGTAGATGAGCAATTTAGCCAGTGCAGTAACCGCAAGCCTGGGGTCTTTAACGTGCACTATGCAATAGTGATACACGACCGTACGCCGGTACGATGCTCGTCCAGATCGAAACGGGCAGGGGTGGGGCTCGAACCCAGGATCCCCGGGTTCTGCAGTGCGAGCTTTCGCTCCACGCGCGTTGAGCTGGTGTGCGCTTTAGCCCACTCAGCCACCGATCCCCCTATGACGTAATTGGTTGCGATGTGGGACCGCTTTTCTATGCATGGGCGGCGTAGGACGCTTGACACGCCAGTCGAAGACACGTTCTAGGGACCGTAGTGTGACAATAGGGATTGTCTTAGTCGAGACAGTCGATTGCGGGAGTGTCGGTGAAGAAACCGGCTGGACACAGGCGTTGCAGTCTTTGCGGCATCACAGCTGGTCACCACCCTAATTTCCGTCGATGGCCGTTGGCTGTAGTTCAACGTAAAGCTTAATCTAACCCGTCGAGCGAGGATCCGTAATCTGGCGATTCGTCGGCTTACGGATCCCCCAGTCGGCGGGTTTGGATTCCGGCCGAGATGCCCCCAATTTGACGGGGCTCATTGCGGAGAAAGCGCGCAACCAAGTCTCGGGCTGCGCGTCGAAAAACATCCTCGCGTGTGCATGAAATCGACGCTCGGTTCTCCGCCGGGGTGTGCCAGACGCCCTGTGTTTGTTTTGCACATAAATTCACAAAATTCGCTTTCTCTTAGCTGTAATAGCGGCGTACCGCAGCACAACGCGGTCACGATGCGTCCGGGCGGAAACATAGGGGTTGAAATAGAGATGCTGTATACACGCCAGTTTGGAGACCAGCCCAATGAACTTGAAAGCCTGTTCACTCACTTGCGTTGGCTTAGGACCGAGCTCTTGTGATACCTTACGACGAGAGAATAGCCATCTATGAGGTGGCCCCGGAACTGCATTTCACTGGAGTGAAGGTTTTGCGTTACTTGCGAGATCGAATATACGTAGCGTCTATGGGAAATGGTCATTGGTCAAAAGATCTTTCAGCCGTGAAAGAAAGAACGGCGTGCAGAAAAAGTAGGAAATGTACGGAAATCACGAGTGTTCCACTACCGCCCGATAGGTGGCGTCACTGCATCCACTCGTCATAAGAGATCCCAAGAAATTTTAAGGCGAGCCGTCACACGTGTGCGAACTAGCCTTCGGCCTTTGTGCATGCCTGCCGCACACCGCGAGTGACGTGTCGTCGAGTGAGATTCGGTCGCTCTGAGACAAGGCGTTGGCCTGTGGGCTCATAGATTTTTGATTGCGCGCCAAAGGAACCCACTTGATCCAAATTTATCCTCGGTCCTTTCAGGTGGACTGGCTTTCACCCTCCCGGGTGAAAGCCAGTCCACCTGCAGCTGATATATGGAACCACTCCCCACCTGGACTCATGTGGAAATGAAACACTTCCAGCTAGATCCAGCTAACACTAGTTCCATAATCCGGCTACGATTGGACGGACTTTTTTTGGCGCTCTCTCGCAGTTCTTATGTCACAAGCCATAATGGTTCACGAGCTCCCTGCAAAATTACAGCGGTGTCTGAAAGTCCTCGGGACATTTCTAACAAGATTGCGTTTTCACGGTGCAGAAGATGCACTCCTCGCAGCTGTACGTCCCGCCATCGGCATCGGCGCTGCCATCAATGGCGCCGTACGGGTCACGAAGTTCGTCTGCTCCGTCGTCCGTGTCGTCTGCCGTCGGGTCAACCATGGCAGCAGCGGCAGCAACGGCGGCGGCCACGGCAGCGGCGGCGCCAGACGAGGACATGGAAGTGCGGCGGAGGCCCAAGTTGTCGCGGAGCGAGACATTCAAGAGGTGAGTGGAGAGGTCGTGTGGACAAATCCTTGCGTGTTTCTTTTGCTGCGGGGCCCAGCCATTGAGGACGCTCGAAGTGCATTCGGTTTTCGAGAATAGCAAACGAAATGCAATCTTTTTGCTTGGTTTCAGCTGCACTGTTTGACTGTAATGTAATTGTGCTTTTTTTCGGTGCTATTTTCATGCTTTCTTGCATGTTTTGCGTGCTGCAGTTACGCCCAGGCAAATGGAATCCTAATGATCACTTTTTCAATGTCGGGGAGCTAAATGTTGCTTTATTGCCCTGAATTTTATAGAAACAATGACCACCAATAGCAAAAAAAAACTACCCTAGAATACCGCGCATCCGCTCATTCTGCATTAAGCGCCCATTACCAAATTTATAAGATCTGAGAAAATACGCACAGTACATTTATGTGTAAAATTGATGACCGGACAAGCGCCCATTCTCCATTTCTTTGCGATTATCTCTAAAGTTTGAGTGGGTGCTTGCCCGGTATTTTACGGTATGCAGCTCTTTCTTTTTTTTTTTAGAAGATTAGTTTGTAGCATTGTGTATGGAGAAATAGACCAGGCTGTATAACGGTTTCTGGAGAAGCAAACTAGACTTATGCTATATCTCAAGGAACAGACTAGACTGTAGACTGCCTGGAGAAACAGGCATAGAATATTGATATTATCGGAAGCAACAGCCTACAAAAGGAATGCTCTGTAGTCTCTATCTGGAAGACTACACTGTATTACTTTATACAATAAATTAAAGTACTCTGTTGACCAGCTGGAGGAACTGACCAGACCTTGCACTGTATCGAGAGGTGGAGAAGTATACTGTCGAGCCCGGTTATAGCACACTCGGGTATTTCGTATTATTTTTTATAGCAAACTGTCCAAACATCCCCTTGAAACTCACGTGTAATACTATAGGAGCGTTGTCTTTTTGTATCGAACTCCCATGGTGGGGACACTTGATAGAGCGAACAAAACGAAGCTTGGCCACCCGTTGCTTTTCCCACGATCCGATTGTGCCGTTGGCGAGCACATTGAGCACATCACTCGCGTTGCGAGGCTGGCAGACCGCCAAGCCAGCATATGTGCAGTAAGATATGCAGCGAAAAAGCAGTTGTGAAAAAAGAGGAACAATGAGCGATAAAAAAAAAGTGGAGGATAGGTCCACGCGCGCACGTAGGGAGAGCAGGGAGTGTTGGCTGTCGGAACGGTAGCCTGAGCCCTTTCCCCGAACACTGCTGATGCTGCGTGACTCCCTAGCCCAAAATAAAATAAAGAAAGCTCATTAAATTCAAGCAAAAAAAAAGTCTTTGATTAGATGAGTGTGACCACGACAACAGTTCTGCTATTGCACTTCGAACACCTTATCTTTGTTTACCTCTGTCTTTTGCCATTGTTTCTTTGCCCATTTTTTTGTTTGCCTTTCTTTTTTCTTTGCTTGAATTTAATGAGCTTTCTTTTTTGTTGCTTAACTTTTTTATGATATTTTTTATGCACCTCGCTTTTTCTTTTTTTTTCCACTTTCTTTTTATTATATTTGTGTTTTGTCGCGTATGCTGTGTGGAGGTCTCTACCAAGCATGTGTGTAAGTGCGGCGGCGTTTGCGGCCTCCGCCAACTACGCTCTACTGTATTTAACGGCTCTTGGATGCCCTATTTGGTAAGCCCCATTTGTCGCGACCTTCGGTATGAGCAGATACATTAGGAAATTTCAACTTGAGCTTAATTTAACACATTTTTGTATATCAAATTATTGATATATCGAACTATTTTACAATCCCCTTTGAATTCAATGCATCTGGGTGTCACTGTAGACTATATTCTAGGCTTCATCAGGACAAACAGATGGTGTCTGAACAAACTAGACTGTGGAATGTATCAGGTCAAGTAGAGATTGCTATTGTATTTGAAGAAGCAGACTAGCTAGATTTTAGGCTGATTTACGGAAATAGGTAGATTATAGATTGTACCCTAGAAGCAGTCTAGTTCCCTGAAACGATCGGAGGTTTTTTTGCAGATGTGGATTGAACGGTATTCAGGGTCGCACCATTCTGAGAGTGTGGAGGTTTGCGTAAGCGTCACCTTGGCAACAGTTGGCCGGTTTGTTGTTTCGGGCAGAGCGAAGCAGTCGCTTGACGGTTCGTCTTTGTTCCACCTCTCCGCGATGCAGGTACGTCCGCAAAAGCACGGCCTCCTTCTTCGGCCTGGACGAGGAATCAGCACCCGAGAGCTGTCAGCGCTGGACGCTAAGGCGCAAGCGGCTACTCAGCAAGCGCTATGGCGAGATTAAGGTGAGCCCCCCACCTTCCTTTCCAAAGGGTGAAGGTCCAGTGGAACCTTTTTCATGTAGCGAGCACCGTTTGGGGGAGTTGTCTGTCAACTACAACCGAAAAGAGGCCCCAAGGTGCCTTTGCCCATCAAAACAGGTTGGTGTCATGCCACGGTATCGGTGTTTGTCGTCTTTCGTGCCTCACTCTCAAAAAATACGAAAAACGCGCAAAGATAGGCGCCGAATATGTTTGTCATGCGGGGGCGGCGTCCTCCGAGAATGGTGACGGCTGGAAGCGATGCCGGGGGAGGGACGTGTGCATGCACGGAAGCTTACTGGAAAAAGGTCTATTGTAAAGGTGCGCAGGGGGATCGGTGGCCGAGTGGTCTAGCGCACACCAGCTCGGAGCACGTGGAGCGAAAGCTCGCGCTGCAGAACCCAGGGATCCTGGGTTCGAGCCCCACCCCTGCCCGTTTCGATCTGGATGAGCATCGTACCGGCGTGCGGTCGTGTATCGCTACTGCGTGATGCACGTTAAAGACCCCAGGCTAGCGGCTGTACCGCACTGGCTAAATTTCTCATCTACAGCTGGGAGACTCGTCGCCCCTGTGAGGCAGACCAAGTTCTAGGCTGTATAAACACACACACAACCCAATTATTATTATTGTAAAGGTGCGCAGGAGTTACCGCCTGTGCTAAGGGCGCAAGGATGGAGGAGCAGCGACGCGGATAGCTGTACTCATTGTCGGCAGTTTTGTACTTCGTTGTCGAGGGTAGCTTCCACAGTTCTCTGACTGCCTCCTTCGAGGGAGACCCAAGACAAAGCCACATGCTCTCGTGGCGGGGCGGGGCTGCGGCACCGTGGAAGCTACGCCAGTTTTGACTGTTTAGCACAAAATAGTTGACGCCAAGTGTAGGGACGGAAAATCCCACAAGCGCGTCGATGTTGGACGTGTTTTTGGGACCCAGAAAAACTTGGCATGTTCTTTAAACACTTTACACATTAACCGTCTCTTTGGTTTCTGGCAATGCCCGGCAGTTTTCTAATTTAAACTACCGTACAGTTTTGTATAAACGCCCACCCATTTGGGAGGGTGGGCGATCTTTGGAAATGAGAGGACCAAAAGTTTATATAAAATGACCGATATATGCCATCGCTCTCGCTATCAACCACATGACGTGGGAACTGATATTGCGGTCACGGCAGATTCACATTTTACGGTGTGATAAACATGAATGAACTAGAACTTAAGCGCCAACTATGGGGCGGGGCCCTTGTTCCCCTTTGGGCGGCTTTATGGGGGGGCTGAGCCCCCCTTCCTGGTCCCTGGCCTCCTGGCCAGCGGCTAAAGCCCCGCACGGGCTAACATATTTTTTAATTTTTAGGAGACCGGCACGAATCCGACCATGGTCATTGGACTGTTGGTTGTTTTGTCTCCCTAACTATTTGACAGGGGCCTGTTTGTGCCCCCTCCTCTTTCCTTTCAGGCTTTTAAAATTTGGGTCTAGTCACAGGCCCAAAATTCAGTAGCTTATTTACATCTTACCAAAGCACTCATTTCTTTTGCATCTCATTACACAATAAAATTTTTGCCGCTCTTGGCTCTATATGGGACTTAACGTCCCCAGCGGCACAATTGTCCAACGCAAGTTTGAGCCTAGCGGGTCCAAGCTTGCACCTGCCAACGGTGCACTTGGAATAGGTATTAGGCCGTAGATTCTGCCTTGTTACTTCGTTCCCCTTTATTCTTTCGCCCGCCACTTCCTAGGTCTGCCTGTCCCCTCTTCCCGGGAAAATGAAAAGTCTACATTGAGGTTATGTGTGTGTGTATACACGTTTGCAAATCCAATATCGAGGTGCCGCCACCTTGCTCAGTTGGGGGCGTTTGGGTGTGGCCATAATCTGATTATGCCACCTTAGCGAGGCTTCGCAATCTGATTATGACGCGTCCAAGTGCATCCCAACGGAGCAAGATGGTGGCGCCCTGAAGCTGGACTTGCAGACGTGTATGGACAGGGCGTTCCTCCAAATGCGGGCCAAGTCATTACTTCGAAAAGTATGCATCACTTTGGAAAAAGGTTGATGACGTTTTGGTCTCTGTCAAAGAGCCCGCTTGGAGAAATGAATATTGTTTGGTATAATTAGTTAATTACTTTCGAGTAATTAGCCTTTAAATTACAATAAAACCTCGTTAATTCGGATCTCATGGGACCGGCAATAATGTCCGAATTATCCGAAAGTCGAACTATCGAAAGGACAAAGAAAACTGCGCGAAAACGTTTCCCAGTGATATACCTTTATTTTGAGAAGAAATCTGTTATTGCCGCCTGCTTTCTGGACGACATTTGGGCGGAGACAGCAACTTAGCGCGGTCGAGTGCTCCACCGCACTCGCACTGTCAGAGCTACACATCCCGTGCGCTGACGATTTACCACAGCAAGGCCTCTTCTAGTTTTGGTTGCACCACCTTCCACAGCCGCTTTCCTTTAGCGTTGAATTTCTCGCTCTCGAAAGCCCGTAGGCTCTCGGCCTCAATTTTCACTTACGTGGCCAAAGTGCTTCTCTTGAAGTCGTAACTTTCCATCACTTAAGAGGCGCCATCCTTCAAGGCCCTCAGTATTTCCACTTTCGTCGCTAAATTCTTGGCCTGGTACAGCTGCAACGGAAAACGAGTTGCACAACTGGCCGATAATCAAAGCGGCAAAATTGCGACACCCGGCGCTATTTTTCCCGAGCGCGCCGATAGCGAAAGTGCCAGTCACGTTGCTTGTCTCATGACGGGGGTGGCCGGCAAAAAATTGGGAAATAAGATAGCTGTTAAAATGGCGGGCTTTAGGATGGGCTGCTTTCTGCCGGCCACCCAGCATTGAGGCATGAAACGTGACTGTCACTCTCACTATCGGCGCACTCGGGAACAATAGCACTGCGTGTCGCGATTTTGCCGCTCCGGTCGTCGGTCACTTGTGCTACTCTTTTTCCGTTCTTCCATGCCAGGAGAGTAGCGTGCCGACGCGCGGCAATCTAGAGCAGAACTGGTGCGAAATACAAAGAACCGGAAGAGCGAAGAACCATGGGAAAACCGGAAAAACCACGTCTGTACCTCAGATGGATAGTGGTCATACCCTTTGGAACGGACAGTAGCTTGCGCCACCTACCGAATTCGTCCCTATTGACCATAGTGTGCCACATTCCCTCCGGATTAATGAGCGTTTGGTGCCATTGACTAATACACACGTTTGACGGGATCGGATCGGCAGTTCAAATTATTCAAATTTCAGAATTAGCGGGGGTTGAATTAACGAGGTTTTACTGTAGTGAATTCATTGGTACGGTTTCAATTAGAAGCTTGCTGAGGATCATTAAAAACCACTCACTAACTTCAGAAATAAGGAAGAAACTAAATTTACCATCTTTTTTTATTGCATTCTGAAAAAACATTCAGTTTGGACGCATTTCTAGGTTTCAGATTCATATCAGGGTCCAGTCTGTGTTAGCAGTCCTCCCCTCCCCCCCCTTCACAAACAAAATGTGCAGCTACTGCTTCACCTTCCTTGTAAAAGGGAAGGAAGTGGGGCATATGTGCGTTGCGCGCCTCGGCCCCAAGGGTGCACGACTGCTGGCACAAAGATTTTGAGATAGGAAACCGAAACCCAGAAATGAATCCAAGTTAAGCGTTTTTTTTTGCAACGCAATAAAATGCTGTATGTGCCTTCTGTATTTCTAAACTATAAGTTGATTTAGTGGTTTTTAATGATTTTTAGCAAGTTCCTAACTGAAACCATACCATAAATTCACCAATTAAAATTATAGTTCTCAAAAGTAATTCATAAACGAAATTTACCAAACATAATTCATTTTCTCAAATGGGCTTTTTGGCAGAGACCAGAACAACACCAATCTCTTTTCTGCGCGATGTGTACTTTTCACAGGAACGATTTGACTTGTGTTTTCATAAACACCCCGTATATATGTATATATATATATGTATAGTATATCTGTGTTTTTTTGTATCTGTACATGCACATTTTATTTTCATCATCAAGTTTTATTTTCCATCATGGTGTGCCATGCTACAGACAATAGTCGTTTGTGGGCACCGTAATAAAGAGATGGTGGTAATCATGATCATAATAATAATTGAACTAGGCATATAATTATTTTTTTTACTGGGAGTATTAAGTTTTTTTATTACACTCTTGAAATTTACTTTAGGTAACCTCCTGTGCGTGCTTTACCTTGCTCCGACGCAGGACCAGTACATGCGGTCTAGGGACTGGCACCTGTCGCACCTGCAACCGCTCCGGGCGGAGGATGCGCAGGACTCGGTGGTCCGGCGGAGCGCGTCGGCACGAGAGGTGCCACCGGAGCCTTTCCATCGCGACCCCGTCTACAAGATGACCTGGGACGGACTCACCTTCCTCACTACGGTGAGCTCGCGCAATGTGCTTCTGGCGGGTCAAGTCTGCTCATTGCTGCGTGAGGTTCTCTCATTTCGAGTGATTTTCTTTACTGTCCCGGAAACATTTGGGAAGAGCTAGGGTAATCTGGCATTATAGTGTGAGACTGTTGAGACTTTAACACTATCACCTACTTTTTCTTTTTTTTTGCGTGTGTTTTGACGCTTTGTACACAACTTTTTGGGGACCGGTACTGCAGTGCTATGCCGAGGAATCGTACGAATCTGGTTGTTAATCCGCAATTCTGCTGAGCTTTTTTTTTTTTTTTTTGTAGCGCTTGCTTTGTTTTTTAGGAACCGATCAAAATTTTGGATCCCGTCTCCACAGTTCCTGTTGCGTTTATTAAACCGGGGCCGCGTACTGCCAATTTGTCATTCGGCGTCCCTTTTTTTTCTCAGTTCGGAGGTTTACCCTGCACAGTTCAACTTCATCAGTTCTTTGGCGTCGGTACATTTTATCCGCCAACAGAAGCTCTGCGGGAGATAGCGAGACACGCCGTTTTTCGAAAACCGGTTCCCGTACGCAGGAGGTGAGAAAGCGGATGTCATCAGGAGCGCAGCTGACTCGGCGGGGATCACGGCGAAGCTTCATGCCCTCTGTCGATGACTCGGCGCTTCCCGAACCAGACGACACACTTTTGGAATCCCAGGTCTGACTCGTTCCGTTCCTCTCTGCATTGATGTCAAGTCAGCAAAAACGAGAAAGAGAGTAGCAGCACTGTGCCGTGTCGGTTACCTTTTACTTTGTCCTCATCTGCACGCCGTTTTGTTTTTAATTACGTCTACTAAACGTATTTGGGCGGCTATCTTTCAGGCTCGTTTGCTACCTTGGGGAAAGAAAGGAAGAGGTTGGATTGTGTATAGAAACGTCGCCCCTTTGCCGCACTAGCGTGGCAAAGGCAGTGGTAACGCACAATGTGACGTCTTAGTGTGGAGAGGCTTTGTACGCATGTAGAGACTGGATGGCACGAAGTGGCCCTGTGTTGTGCTAAGTAAGCGCGTGAACGCTCCGTGGATGTCTTACCTGTGGCTGCCATCTTCTGCGGTAAATGCGACCCTCTCGGAGCCTGTTGGAGTGTGAGATGCGGTAGGAAAACTGTGTGGAAAACAGAATAATTGGGACGTGGCAACGCCGATCACAGCTTGGCACCAACTTGCGGCAAAAGAGATCCAGACACTCAGAACTGTGTACCTTAGCTCATTGTGGCGAGAGAGTCAGCTTTTTTTTTTTTTTCTCCGCTTCTCTGTCCCTCATTTTTGCGCTCTTTCTCTGGGCAAGTCCAGAGCGCGCTCGTTTCACGGAGCAGGGCACCGGTGTACATACGAAGACGTGACGTTTTACCCCCGCCAGAAGTAACAGGAGGTTCTTAAGGAAGAGGATCGGCTGGCACCGGTCACCAATCGTTGAGGAGACTAGCACTGCGTTGGCGTTTGGCTGGCAGTCGGCCCGTCGACTCCCGTTGCTGGCGCCTAACCGGATCTGGTTAGGTGCCAGCCATATAGCGCGTGAGAGTAGTTGACTCTGCCTAGTTGTCCCGATTGGCTGCTCTCAGTCAGGCTGCGAATTTCAAAATCTGCTGCAAAGCGAGAAAACGTAAACGGAATAGGGAGGAGAGTGAGCTTGGTCATGGTGAATTTTACCAGTTTACTCTCAGTAGAGAAATTTTAGGGAATTAAAAAAGGGGAAAGGGCAAGCACGTTAGACCCTGAGAAAGGGTGAAACATGGCGCACAAAATGTTAAGCAGCATTCATTGTCGTCCGAAGGAGACCCTTGCGTTTGCAGCATTGGCGAAATACGGTACTCACTAATTTAACCCGAAAAGAGGTTGACTTTTAGCGTAGACAGACGGGTACAGGAATGTCCAGTAGGTCGAAGAAATAACAGCCTGTCCTTTCGGTGCACCCCAAAGGCGCTCTAAATGTATCCTATTTATAGCTCCCCTGCGACTTCATGGTTTCACCTGATGTGACATCATGTGACTGTCGGGAAAACATGTGGTCAAGTGACCTTGTGACGACATGTCAGGTGATGTGATGTACCAGCGTCGCACGGCATCGCAGCGTCAAAATTTGGGGGTTTTTACTTGCCAAACCAAAGAAGAGCGTCTGGCACGCTCCCGCAATGAACTGAGGATTAATTTGGACCACCTGGTGATCTTTCGACGTGCAACCGAAAACTCGCCTTCTCCGCAATAAGAATCTGTCATATTCCGGGCACCTCGGACGGGATTTGAACTTGTCACCTGGGGATCTGTGTGCCGGCGCTTTGCCTCGGAGCCACCGAGGCGGCAGGCATCACAATGTCACGTCGTACTGTCGCCTAATGTCTCGGTGCCATGTGGTGATATGTCGGGCCACGCCACACAAGCTAGAAATTTGCAGTTCGATCAGTTTGTAACCACTAAACGATCTTGACAAAAACAGCAACCGGTGCCAGAAAAAGAAACCCAGCAGGCACCAGCAGTAGTGCAAGCCGAGTGCACTACTGACTGAGCTACAGACCCAGCAGGCAGGAACGGGAGGAACAGAAGCAGGTGGTGTGAGAAAGCGTGTGCAGAGGAGTTGAAAGGGTGTGAGAGAGAGGAGCACAAACAGGTGGTGTAGAAAGAGCTTGCAAAACGAGGTGGGGGCAGGAAAGCGTGCTTCCTCTCTCTTGGTGATCCAGAAAATTCAGCACATAGAGTTTATATCCGGGTGGTACTGAAAGGAAGCATGTGCAGCGTCTCAAAGAGACAATGTTGTGACAATCTGTTTTCATGTAAAATCCTGCCCTAGGCACCACCCGAACTAAAGGCACCACCCACTCTATAAAGACTCCGCATTTAAACGCGTTTGACAGAATGGCTAACCTTGCAGCCAATTTTCTAGGGTAAGTGGCTCACTGTTGTTTTCCGACGACGCTCGATTGCAGGCCCCGACCTCGGACGAGTTGGTGGATGACGTGTTTTTCGCCAAGACGCCGAGCGCCACGCCGTCGGTGGCGGGGGACGGGCGGCCGCCGGCGTGGCCTCCTGCGCCGGCCTCGGCGTACGAGGTGCCCAGGCAGCAGGCGCCGGCCGGACGCCGGCGGCCGGAGTCGGTCTGGCGCCGGCCAGCCTCGGTCCACGTGGACGAGGAGGAAGACATGGTGGACGGACGGCTGGGCGTCGGCATGACGCGCATCGGCGACAAGGTGCGTCCGTCGTCTGGAAGGGCGTTCTTCCCTACTTTAAACGAGCGGGCACGAGCGACGTCGCCCTCATTGCCCGTTGATGCCCTTGCGTTTGCTTAGGACCGAGTTCTTGTGATCTCTTACGACGGGAGAGCACGCTCCCGCTATCTGTGAGGTGGTCCTGGAAGTGCATTCCACAAGAGCGAGTGATTTGCGAGATCAAATGAATGTCTTACTTATTAGAAGTGGTTGTTTATAGCATTGTGAAAAGTTTTTCGAGCTGAGAAAGAACAAATGACGAGCGAAAAAAGTTGGGAATATATGTAAACTGCAAGTGTTCCACTGTTACCCGATAGTTATTAAGGCACGCGGTCGTAAGCAGTCGCAAGTGCGTAAACCAGCCTTATTTAAAATTGCATTAACAAAAAAAAAAATTATGACACTTCCTTTTGTTTTTGTTGTGCGCGAAGCCACCTGACTTCATTCGTTTTGAGCTTAGACTACCGTAATATTCCGAAGGACGGCCCAGTTAAAGTCGAGAGCGAATTAGGGGCAAACTAGGGGTAGGTGAACTTTCGGAGTGAGACCGAAAAATATTGAAAAAAACATTGTGGTCATACCGGGAATGTATATTCTTCTGAGGGAATGTGGAAATCGGTTTCTCTGTGTTCTATTCGCACGACTCGTTGCGCACGCCATCGGAACCTGAAAGTCTGTTTGCAGTCACCGACGGACACCTGGGACATCTTTGCAGGACCGTCGGTTTCCCCACAACGGCGGCCAAAATTTCAAACGATGCGCAACTCGTCTTTGAATTCTTACGACTTTCGCGCTTTTTTCCTACAGGACCTCCACCGCGATTCGACCCACCGTTTTTCCTTTACGTCATGGCGTCGTTCCTGCATAACACGCGAGTTGTTCCCGCGTGTATGTTGCACCGCGAAATGCGGATCTGCTGCGTCCGCGATCTGCGGTATCAGTTCCCGGGTCACGTGGTTTGTAGCTGGTGCCAGGGTGTTTATCATCCATTTTTGATAAAGTTTTGCTGTGGCATCCCCAAAGATAGCCCAACGTATGTTTTTCACCATTTGTCTCTTCCTTTTGAGTGGGCGTTCTTTTGGAACTTTCCGGTCAGTTGACTTCTGGTAGGTGGCGTAAAAAAAAAAAAAGAGAGTTCTACAGCCCCATTATTTAGGACGTGTTGGGTGAGTAATATTGATTAAATGTACAGTTTATACTGGCAGTTGCGAGGCAGAGCGCAGTGCAAAGTTTTATCTGTTTACCTGAATTGTGAAAGGAATTATAGTCGTTTTCATTGGGAATGCACTTGTATTGTTTAGGAAAATTATAGTTGGAAAACGAATGTAATACCCAACTTTTTCTTTTTACTAGATACAAAGCAGAATACCTAGAGAGTGGAACTGCAAAAACAAAATTTCCAAAAAGTAATTTTTTTTAGTAACATCGCACTGAAAAATAAGATACATATTTTGCGTTAAATGTCGTAGACAAAACCGAAACATCTTTTATAAAATGCATCCCCAGAGTAAAAAAAGCCATGCCACAGTTGCATTGCCCATTAAATTGCAATTAGAAAGAGCAATAGGAGAGCCTTTCCTTTTGTCCCATTACGAAACGATAGATTTCCCTAAGTGAAATTTATAGCAAAAAGTGGAATGGAGAAAAACGCGTTCAAAGTGCTCGAACCTCTACCTTTTCTTTAGCAGCGGTACACCGAAAATAATTTATAAAAAAATAGCTGTACAGTGTAGACAAATGCAACTTTCTGGGAATACTCTATACTCGTTTTTGCCTCAAGAAGAAGGGAAGTTTTGTGCATTGTTCACATGCTGTGCGAAGTTGTTCTTGTAAGATTTGATTGCATACCTGCCAACTCTTCCGAATTTTCAGTAAAATGTATGAATTGGGACTAATTTCACGATTTGACAAATCTTGCTTCATATTTTACAATTTTTTTTTTTTACATCTTTTTTTTTTTTTTTGCAAAATTGTTGCTGGCGGTATTTTGCACCGCCACAAGAGGGCGATAGGTATCGTCCACGGCAGTGTCGTGGTTTTTACTATCCGTTTATCCGGTGGCCACGGATCCAAAACCAATCCAAAGCTCATACATAGCCTCTGTTTGTGTGTTCGACGGCGCATGTTGGTTCGGCGTGCTCAGACGTGGTTGGGCCTCTCTGTTTTGGCCAGTTTCGAGGCAAGAAGTGCGGTGTCTGTGTCTGTTGCACGTGTAATTGTAGCATTCCCCTGGTCACGGTGGCTTCGCGGCACAATGGCGAACTCCAAACCTCAAAAGAGGTACTTTTAGGTGTTCCTGAAGTTCCACACGTCGGAATTCTTGTGCTTTGTGCCGTCCAAAAAGGAAAAGAAGTTTGGACTTTGTAGCACGTGGACGTGTGATGTAAGCGTTTCGCACGGTGGCAAGGCTGACATTAACCTGCACATCACTTTGCGTAAAGTCAATATTTCATCAATTTTTTGTGTAGAAGTTAATAAACTGAGACGAAAACGGATGCCTGTATGGCATTCAGTGAACATTGACGGTTTGATGTAAAAGTTATCTGGCAAAAGTAAAAAGGTTATTTCATGGTCCCTTTAAGCCAAAGGTTCAAACATTGACCTTTTTGGGTAGTATCCTCCCTTAAGATCTTTTAGATGTTGTGGTGTTCTCCCGGCATTGAACAAGGCGGCCTCTATCGCCCAGGTGCTCAACTGGGCCCTGGACAACTCGGACCGGCGCCAGTACGGCATGGGCCTCGTGGGGAAGGTGCTGCACAGGAGCTTTCGCAGGGATCACATCCCCCGCCACGTCAAGCAGCAGCTCGATGACATCGAGGACCACAGGTGGGGCAGGAGTCGCTAGACCGCGCTCAGACATTGGGCTGCCCCAGAGTAGGACGAGGCCGAAATTGGCAGAGGGCTGGTGATAACATAGTTTCTAGGGATGGAATCCGACTGCCATGTCACAAGACTATTGCGCCGGGTAATTTCTACAAAAGATGACACCTCGTTCGAAGATAGTGACATTCTTAGTTAGGTTTTAGAAGTTCTTTGCTTAGAATGGTTCTCTTTGCATCTATACAGTGTTGCAGTATAGAACTGGCAGTTGGTTTTCGAGCATTCTCCTGGTCAAAAGTCAGGAACCCCCAAATAATATTTTACGTCATGTCCCGTGACACCAGGACGTCGGAGGCCCAGCGATGTCGCATGAGTTTACGAGGTCATGTGACATCACGCATACTCAGCATGTGCCCGGCGCATTCGTAACACATTCTGTGTGTCTCCGCGTTTATAAAATACGATCGAGACGCGCCTAAATTTTTCAATCCACAGTCGCCGACCGATTATTCGGACTCGGAGGGGACCCCCAAGATGGTCCGAATAATCAAGCAGTCCGCAAATTCGGTGTTACGCCTAAGCAGGCTTTAGAAAAGCCGTCAATAGTGGCTTGCTTCATGTTATGCCTGCTCGCGATGATGTCTGCTTGCATTTGCGCGAGCGTCGTATTCTCGTCGTACATTCAACAGCAATGTTAATGCATTCGTAATGTCCGCTGCCAATGGCTGCGGGCGGTAGTCGTCGTTGGTGTCGTCGGAGTCCCATTTTCTGCCGATGCGAGGAACGAGATGAGAGGCGCAAATCCACGACTGCAAAATGGCGACTGGCGACGCGAAAGTGGGGCGGAGGCGCGAAGAATTCAATATGGCCTCTTCTCGGTAGTGTTTCCCGCTGATCGCTCGCAACGATTTTGTCCGAATAATCAAACTTTCGAACTTTGAGCTGTCCGAAACATTGGTCGTGAATATACACTATTCCTATGGGGTAAGTCACGGTTCCTCCTTCAGGTCCGAATTATCGATCAAATTTGAGTTATTGGAGTCCGAAAAATCGGTCGGCGACTGTATCTGAAATTTCAGCTTATAGTACCTTCAGATTTACAGCTCGATCTGGAGACCGTAATATTCAAGTTGGTATTTCTCGAAGGCTGCAAACATATGCACGTGTTTCTTGATAACTGTGCTGATTGCTGGCAGTGGTCTGTTTTTTTTTTTTTGACGCAATGAGCGGGCCGAGCACTAAAACGCATGCTAATGTGAGAGTGCCATTGTGTAGCTTTTCCCAATGCATACCAGTCTCCCTACCATCTTTCACTCGCTTTTCGTCCTTGTAAGGGCTTGGACACTCTTTTGCGTGAGAGTTGGGCTTGGCGAAGTTTTCCGCGCAAGGTTGCCGATTGCTTAAAACTCAAGTTTCTGTTGCTGAGAAGGCATTTGCCAGAATGCTGACATTCTGGGGCACGAGCATTGCTAGTGCAGTTCCTGAACCAGGTCAGTCCTTTGGGAAAAAGGCATTAAAGGGATACTTCAACAATATTTGAAATATTCCCATCGTGTTTAAAAATAGGTTGAATATGATCCACAATATTCGTAAATGACAATCGCACGTTTGTATTTTGAGCCTGGTGGCTGTATTTTTCGTTATAAACGGCCCACTCTGGCAAGCGCTCGGAGAAGGCCCAGCGGAGACCACGTGACATCCAACGCAATCGTGACGTAGGTCGTCTCAAGACGAGCAAAGCTACGGCGAGGCTGACGTTGAGAGAATGGCCTAGTCGTTCCAGCCACCAAAGCGGCTGCTTTTGTACGAATTTTGAGCGACGGGTTAATCTCCTATAATCTTGTAGGGGGACAATAGCGACTTCTGCGACACACAAAAGGCATTCCCTGGAAGAGGGGAGTTCCTCTTTCCCCTCTTCTTTCGTCGTGGCGGGAGACGAGACAACCTCCGTCACTAGCTGTCAAGGTTCCTAGACGAGCATTACAAACGAGGCGTTAGCGACATCCACCAGGTGCTCTTTGCTAATCGTTTCATTCGTTTTAAAATTACTTTTCGAGACTTTTTTAACAAAATATTGGTATGTTCGATGTGATACTGCTCCTTTGAACACATAAAGACCAAAAAATGAGCGCCGAAATTTCGTTGTAGTATCCCTTTAATTCTTTGAATAATGGATGTTTGGTCCCGTAAAACGCTCCTCCCTGTATTAAATCTCTTCTTTATGCAGTAGAACCTTGTTAATACGTTTTTTAGGGAATCACGGGAAAAAAATTTATCGTCCGGGAAAAAGTAACAACCGGTAACACACATAGGGGGGCTCTCGTGAGGTAGAAAGCAGCTCTTATACAATGGTTTATTTTATGTGTACTTACAGAACTGTTGAGGACTCAGACATGTTCACAAAAACGCGTATTATCCGCCTGCCGCTTCGAATTAATGTTAAGCAGTAAAAGCCGTCTCTCCTGGAACTGCAGTCCTCTCTCACTCTCCGCGCAGTCGTGAACATTTACGTCGCGGTGGAAGGTGTACAACGCAACGATCGCGTCCACAAACGTGGGCGCAGCGTAATCATTCGTTTCTTGCTCGACATCATCACTTTTTTCATTGTCGGCAGTAGTGAGGTCGGCCTCGATGTCCGTTATGCTCTGCGGTTCAGAGATAACGACGTTGTCGTCAAGCGACGATGCTGTTCAAAGTTGACGGTGCGAGTCCAAGGTCTTTTGCGATGTCAGATCTCTTCCGGCTGGGACTGCAATCCACCGTCTGAAGTATATCAAACTTCTCTGTAAAAGAGAGTGCCTTCCTTTTTCGCGATACCATGACCGTCATCAATGGGCGCAAAGCGTACGTACTCCGAAACACCATGGTTCACGCAATCGAGCAGAACAGAAACTAGAAGTGCAGCGTGCATGCAGGCGCACCTCGTGCCAGAGAAAGAGAAGGATGGATAGATGAAAGAAAGAGCAAGAGAGAACAAGCGTTTGCCGCCTCACCAGTTTCGCTCCCCGTCCGAACAGTGCTCCAGGGTCACACCCGGGCAAGATGGGAAGCTGTGGCAGAGCTCAGCAAAGCCCAGCGAGGAGACAGAGAGACGGAAAAGAGGGGGAAAGGAGTAAAGGGAAGACGAGCGTCTGCGTTCCCACGCGTGCCGTGCGACCCGCATTGCATGGTTCGGCTTTGCTCCGCTAGCTTCGCTTCGAAGCCAGTGTGGCAACCTGGCGCGCCGAGGCGTTGTGATGTTGACACTTTTGGCCATAACAACCGGGAAAGCTAACATAACAGGCAGGAAACTAATACATGTATCTCTATGGAAGTAAAACGGGGCCGGCGTTTTTGAACGTAACAGCCGGGAAAACGTATCAACCGAGAACGTATCAATGGGGTTCTACTGTGTACTGTACCTCGGGACTTCATGTCCCACACTCACGACTTGCTAGTGCAGAAAGCATTTTTTTTTGGCGTGAAACTGTTTCCAAGGTATTTCTATTCCACTTGTACTCTAGACATGATGCTTCTTTTACCGTTCTTCCCCGGTGTTGCAGGCCGTACTTCACGTACTGGGTGACGACGGTGCAGATCCTCATTGCCGTCATCTCATTGGCGGTGTACGGCCTCGGCCCCATTGGATTCCACAAAACTCAGAGGACCAGCCTGGTGAGTCGGTGCTCGATGGCACTGCTTGTTTCCCACCTGTTCAGAGAGAATGTGGGCCCCAAAAACTCTTTTTTTTTTAGAGAAATTACAACGAAATTTCCAGGGTATATGTTCATAACACGAACACAGGAGTAACTGCAAAGTTTCGTGGTTCTGTGCTTGCTAGGTGTCAAGTTACTGGGGTTCGTCATAATTGTCCATGCGCTTCTGTTGCTCCGTTCCTGGAGAATTCGCAAAAAGTAGCGGCAATGTGAAATTTTTTATATTGATTCCTAGATAGATGCCCCAGGGCAAGACAAAGCCGTTTTCAATATTATCTTTACGAAAAACATTTTGTGCGATATTGAATTTTATGTTTTGGGTCATACCCACATCCGTCAAATTTAACGTGTTTATTATAAACTCCCTACTCAGTTTATCAAAAAAAAAAAAAAAAGAGAATTGTCATTCCTTCTTAATGTTATTTAGAAACAGAAAACAAGAAGCAGCACTCAAATTCATTCAGCAGTTTCAAAGATGTGGCGCTCTTAAAGGGCAACTGAAAAGAAAAAGATTTTTTTAAACAGTCTAATTGGGACACGCGTGTCACAAAATAAATTTTAGGCGAAAATAAATTAATTTCAGAGCAATATTGACGGTTACAGACAACGGTTGTCTGTAACCATCTGTAGCAGAAAGATGGCACGTAAATTCCCATTCCGAATAAAACACAAAAGAAAAGCACAGCAACGTAATGCTTTGTCACTGAAGCCGTCGTAAAGCCGGCTGTGCTCGCCCCACCTGCGCAGTGAGGGAGCATGATGTCACCGCCGGAGCTCCGTGTGTGAAAGGAAGACATGGCGTGCTGCTTGTAGGAATGCGCTACGTGTAGGAGTGCTTTCATATTCCTTCATGTAAGCAGTCTTAAGTGTCTCTGCCGAATTTTCGTTCCCGTGAGAGGCGAGTTCTCGGCAGGTGTCCGCGGGTCCTTCTCACCGTGAAACATGAATCTGCTGCATCCGCAACCTGCGGTATCCTCTATCGTGACGCAGGAGTTTGTAGCTAGTTCCCACGTGTTGATCGCATCATGAAACGCGATATTGCGGTGTCCGCGATCTGCGGTATCAGTTCCCGCGTGACGTGGTTTGTAGCCGCTGCCAGGCTGTTTATCATCAATTTTTGATAAAGTTTTGCTGTGGCATCCCCAAAGGTAGCCAACCCTATGTTTTTCACCGTTTATCTCTTCATTTTGGGTGGCTGTTCTTTCGGAACTTCATGGTAGAATGATCCTGCAGAGTGGATTGAAGTGCACACTTCCTTCCTGTTTCGCTTCTCCCTCTTTGCCTGTTGTCGTTTCTCGGCCTTGTGCAAGAGTGGCGCATCTTTTTCGACAGCTCGCTGGAGGGCTAGAGGATCTGGCTGGAGCCCCAGTGCAGCCGAGATCTCCTTCGTTGCTTTGCAGCAGCTGCAATTGAACTACAGCACTGCTTCATAAAGTGCTGTTTCCACAGCAACGAGCGACAGATGCTGTTCTTTGGGCATGAGTGGCCTGAGGACTGTCTGAAATACTCGGAGGCATTTTGAGTCTTGGCCCCCAAGCACCGCTGCAGAAGGGAAGTCTGAGACAGGCGGGTCATAGTCAGGCTGCATAGCTGCAGCCACATAGTCCAGGGGCTTGTACTTGTACTTGGGCTGTTGCTCACCTCTCGCTGGGCAGCTTTGTGCCGGCACCACGACGTGGTTTTCTCCGGGCAAAGCTCACGGTAAAGCTGGTCGTCTGTTGATGCGACATGGTGGAAAATTGCCAGGATTGCCCGCTGCATTGCTACCACGTCCTTCAAGTTGTTGTGTAGCGCCCAGCCATAGGAGTTGATCAACTTGTCAATAAGAACTTTCGTCAGTTTGCCCTTTCCACTCAACGACTTGTCGCTCTTCTGGACCAGGTTACGCAGTGCCGTCCCCATACTCTTCTGAATGTGGTTCAGGCATTCTTTTTTTAATATGGAACCTATCTTGTAAACATTCTCTTCCACCAAGGCTGAGAGAGACCTGCTGTCGCCGTAGGAGACGAGCGTTCTGTATCGCAAATCACACTTCTCAACGGATCACTTGAAAAGGGTCAAGCCTGCTTCCACTTCCATCGTTCCTGATTTGGTGTCGGTGTTCTTCTGGCATATGTGATGTTGGGATCACTTGTCATACCCTTTGTCTTCAGGCTGCGGTCCCATCCGACATCCAAGGCACAGGTTTGAGAGCACCACGGCATCCAAGATGAGGCCCGTGTCGTACTCATTCACTGATCCAACACCAATGTGAGACATTTGCCCACGCTTATGCGACATCCTGTCGAACACCACAGTTATGTCCTTGCAAAAACTTGCCTTCAACTTCTCGTAGGCTTCCTTTACGGCAGTAGCTGACTCTGCATAAAACCCGTCCAAGCTCTGGGCCTGTGGCTCTCTGAAAGTCTTCTTCAGGTGCTCCTGACAGTCTTGTGATGAAGGCCTGTGTGGGAAACATTCATTGCTGCCCAGAAATCATTGAGAGCTGTCTGCTCCTTTCTGACCCTCTTGATGGCCATCATGGCTTGAATGTTTGCCTCAAAAGCCACGGAGTTTTGCTGGCGTGGCAAACACCAAGCAGAGGACACAATGCCACAGATGGCACATACAACCTCCACCTTTGTGGGCAGTCCAAGCTTGGTGCTTTCTGGGACTTTCATCCCGGGTTCCAAACAATGCTTGCACAGTATGGAGCAGAGCAGCGTGTCGAAAACATTCATCTGGACGAGGCAGAACTTTGCACCTGCATTTGTAGCAGATGAAGTAGTGGGGGCTGCTGAATGAGGCTACATGGCCTGAAACTTCCTTTTGGTCGCTGACATAGCGCTCAGCTCGGCTTGAGCAGCAGTGTGATGTTTAGCAGCCATTTCAATTTCTTCTTGCGTCAGAAAATCTAAGGGCTAGTCCCCATCGTGAAAGAAGAGTGTTTGAATTATGTTCAGAAGAGGATGGGAACGGCGCTGCGCAACCTCGTCCAGAAGAGTGCCAAGCCGTTGAGCGGTAAGGGCAGGTTGATGAATGCCCTCATGGACAAGCTCACCGACTACTATGGCTGGGCCCTCCGAAACAGCTCCAAGGACGTGGTAGCGATGCAGCGTGCTGTTATGACCACCTACCATCATGTCACATCGACCGAGCAGGAGCCTCACCATGAACTCTGCCCGAAGGGAGCTCAATCATGTTGCCGTCGTAGAGTTGCCAAGGCAAAAGGTGAGCCACAGCCCCAGCACAAACACAAACTCCCGGGCTATGTTGCTGTAGCTATGCTGCCCGTCTACCAACGCCTGTCGCAGGTTCCTCTGCTTCAATGCTGCTTGAGAGCAAAGAATCTGAATGCACTTTTTGTGGTCTTTGATGCCTAAGGAACAGCATGTGTCGCTGATCGCTGTTGGAACTGCACTGCAAAAAGCAGTGTTGAGGTCCAACGCCGGCTGCTGCAGGGCAACAGCAGAAATTTCGGTTCCAGTGGGGCTCCAGCCGGCCCATCTAGCCCTCCGGTGAGCTGCCGAAAAAGGTGTCCTACGTCAGCACAAGGCCAGCAAACGACATTGAGAGAAGTTGGATAGACGGAACGAGAAGAAAGTGCGCAAGAACACTTTAGACTACTTTGCAGGGTCGTTCTAAAGCCGAAAATCTGTGCGCAACTTTCAAGTGCTATTTTCTCAGAATGGATTTTTTTTCCTGCCCGTTTCAGCGATATCTCAGGAACTGCTCGATGATGGATTTTCGTGCTGTCGTCCTTATTCTGTTCCTGTATAAACAGACCCCTTTTTTTTTAGAAAATTGTTATAAATTTGTAATAAAAAAATTAAATTTGATGGTTGTACAGCAAGTTTCACCGACTACATAAAATTTGGAGTTGTGCTAAAATTTTTCAACAATGTAATTTTAAGAAAAGGGCTCTTTTATGCCCTAGGGGACCTATCCAGGGGTCACCATAAGAGATCTTATACTGCTACTACCATTTCGAATTCCCCAGGCCTGTCATAAGGAATGGATATGGACGATCTAGATAAATATTTTTAACTTGAGAAATGATGTGCACAGCTTCATGAAACTTTGCAGTTACTCTTATGGCTGTGTTATAAACACACCCTGTAAACTTCGTTCACATATCCCTAGGAATAAGAAAGTTCCTATTCATTCCCTGAAGTGGTGTTTTCTAACATTCAGCCTGCCACGAAACCTGCATTTCAAAGATATTTCTGTTGCCAAATGTTCGCTTGACACAAATGTAAAAATATTCTGGCAAATAGGGCGTTTTATGTCTCGCCTGACTGGTGACGTTTTAAGAGCAAAGAAGCTCAGTGGTAATGTATGGCATCATTATGAATAATTTACTGACTGTGTGGAGTGAACTGGATCTGTATTTATGCAAATTGTAAATGGTTTCGTTTGTACCCAAAATTATGCCACAATTAATACTTGAATACTCACTGCGTCTGTCAGAAACATACTATATATGTACTTCTAGCCACTTTTTTTTTTTTTTTTTGGTAAGGTAGGGAAGGATTGTGTGAGTGTTTTGAATGTTTGTGATCCACATTTTCTTTCTGTATAGAAATTCTCGTACGGAACATCTCACACCATTAGTTAACAGTTTTGCATGCTAATTACCACCATGTGGCTATGTGATAGCTTTGAATTTCGAAATGTGAGAAGGCATTGGACTTGCCCATACTTTGGGAAGTTACACTGCAAGGTTGGGAGGAGATGGCTGCTAAAGCTTTTTCTGCCTTTTTAAACAAATGACAACTCTTGTCAGTCAGGTAAGCATTGCACAAATAGAAATCGGCGTTCCAAATGCGAATTTTTTACTTTATTTCAACCCTTAAAGGGGCCCTGCAATCATATTTAAGTGTCTACCTTTTTTGCGGTTTCCACGTCCTTCGGGGTTCGGGCAAGCCAGCGGGCACAGAGAGAGTGACTAGATATCATTGCGTCATATTTTAACCGGACGACGCGGAAACCTCCTCCACCTACGGGGGCGACCCGCGGTGCCGAAAGCACGCATTATGTGACGTCTTTGGTCCTGGGCTTACTACTGGTCAGAACCGCTAAAATATATTTTTTTAGTCGAAATACAAAATATAAGTGGTGCAAACCATTAGAGTAGATTGTTGGGCTAGTTGGTTTTGGAATTTGGAATACATTTTGGCGCTCAAAAAACAGGGACAAAGAGGCTGTCTGTTTCTCGCCTCTTTGTCCCTGTTTTTTGAGCGCCAAAATGTATTCCAAAGTGCAAACCATTTCCATTATTTATATAAGTAGTTTTTGTTCACTATTTTAGATCAAAAAAGAAACAAATGCAGTTTATAAAGTACGGAAACAAGTAATGACCTGTCGACATACCCACCACCAAGCGGTGGAAAATGCGGCGCATGCTAGAAAGGTGTTGTGGGATCAGGCGCCAACTAGCGGCTAGCGTAGAAAGGTCCCGGATGTACGCAGCGGCGCTGCGGTCGTACGGACTGGAGGATCCGACCGGTTCCTAGCGTTCCCAAGGCCTTCGGCAAGCAGCTTTGGCTTGCGGTTTGGCCTTTTGGCAATATGGCAGCGCGAAATGGCTCCCGTTCTGAACTGGTCTTTACCCCGTGTTTGCTGTCGTTTACGGCGAATGAAGTGTCATGCCGGATTAGTGTTTAATTGAGCAGCAAATGCAATGCGAGCCGCCCTGGTTGCCCGCTTCATACAGCCTATCCAGAACATGCTTTAATGGCACCCTCTCGAGCCGTCGACACGGAGTGCAGCAGCCGTGACCGCTCGCTGAGCTCACTACCCCTCCTGTAGTTCACGGCCACTCAAGCGGCCAAAGACGTCATGAAGGAGGTTATTTATTGCTTGCTTTTATAATTTTAATTTGCCTATATCTTTTGAAATAAGGCGAAATTCGAGGAAAGAAAAATTTCATTAAGCTACTACGTTCAGTGCGCTCAGGTTCGGTGGAAAAAAAAATAAAAACAGTAAAAAAGTTCTTGCAGGGCTCTTTAAGCAGGTAGAATGCTAGAACTGAATATTCTTTTCTTGCCATTATAAATTATTTTCTATATTTTATGTTTTTTTTTTTTTTTTTCAAATAGCCATACAACACACAAAACATATTGCAATTTAAAAAAAGAAAAACAATGATGCGGGCACATTGGATGATTTTTTTTTAGCACTTTTTCTTTTCGGATTTCGCCGGTACGATCGTCACTCGAGCCATTGCGGCGTATGTTTGGCTCCGACACGGCAACTAGACGCGAGGGACGCCGCACATTCCTTTTTCCGGCACTAACGACGCGGCGCCTCGCAGGTGATGGTGACGACGCTGACGCTACAGCAGGTAGACTTCTACGAGCCGGACAACTTCTGGGTGGGGCCCAGAGCGGTGCGTGGAACACTTCCTTGTTTGTTCATTTGACTGCCTGTTTGTCGTTGACCTCTGCTGTCTCAGTACTACGGTGGTATGGTGTCCGGAACGAGCGTCCGGCCGGTTTGTTTACCGCATCCTAAAAAGCGGTCCCTCGGTCTCCGCCCCCCGACGTCGTGCAAGTGTCGCACGATCGCCGGTTGCCCGGCGTTGTCGCAGCCCCGGCGGCAGTGTGTGTGGCAGATGCCTGTTATGCCGCAGTCGCCCCACAACTTCACAATCCCCGGGATGCTAGACGCGCGCCGGCCGGGAACAAGTTTCGGGCGCTGTTAGTCGAACCTCGGGGAGTGTAGATGAAACCTATCCGGTGCAGGAAAAGTCTGAGGACTTTTCACTCTCTGGTCACAAAGTTGAGAGTGTGAACCCTGGTGGTCCCTTCCCTGAGGAGTCCTTTGGGGTGTCGTTAGCTTCACAATGTAGCGTTTCCTTTCCTTTTTCGGTGGGCAGGGAGGTATTCCTATTATGTATAAGGTTTTTTTTTAGCTACTAACGGAGGTACCGATAGAGGAACCAAAGGGTTACCTCAACAGCGGCGGCGACCTCGAAGGAGACGTCGAACCTAGTGGCCCGGTTTCCACAACTCCGCAGCAGTGTGGACGACATTTAGGATCAAAATTACCACGGGCCGGTTCGGTTAAATACCTCCGTAGGTGTCAATGATCACTGCCTCGTTTCGCTCTCTCAAATATAGCGGAAGAGAAGACGCACGTACCAGAGTAACGACAGAGCCTGAGATATTTATTAAAATACTCTCTTAAAAGAACTGCAATGTCCCCATCCAAAATGCCCCCCGCGCCGGCAAGGTAAGAAAAGGTCCTTACCCGCCAGACACGAGTATCGGAGAACCAGAGGGTGGGAAAGCGTCGAAGAAGTTGTCAATGACACGTCCCATCTCTTTTGCGGCCACCGCACGAGTCCCCTTCCCGAAAGTGGGAAAAGACGAGGCAAAACCTTCTTGGCTGTTGGTTGTGAGCCGCATCCGAGCAGCAGAACGGAAGGAGATCCCCCCGGAAGAGAGTGAGGGGAGGGCCACCCAGAGCAGGGGTCCCTCCCCTCTGCTTCACGAACAGGTCGGAGCTCGCGGCGAAGAAGGCCGAGGGTTCCGACCCAGGGCCGTTATCACAACCGTCGGGGACAGGAAGACTACAGAAATCCCCACAGCATTCGGTCCTTAGTGCTTCAGCGTGAACTTTTTCCACGCTCGATCGTATTGAAAGGCAGCTCCGAATCAGACTCGCCCTTCGATATGAAAAACCCAAGCGGGTGTCGCCGTCGTTGACTCGGGCTCTCCCGGGTCTGGCCCTGCCCCTCAGGCGGACCTGGTCCACCTGGGAGCCAAGTTCACGCCGTGCATGCGGAAGGACCGGCGCATCCACGACAGCATCGCCAAGGACCGGCGGAAAGAGCGCAACACGGCCTGCTGCATCCGCAACGACCGGTCGGGCTGCGTCCAAACCTCGAGGGACAAGTGCTCCGTGAGTGGCCTCCTACTTTCTTTCGTTGCATTTTACGACGGCTGGACGTACCTCAGGTCGGCTCCTTCCGAACAAATGGTACGTTGCGCCACCTGGTGTACAGATCCCACGAGTCGTTGACTCTCTGGAGAGGTGCTTTAGTAGGGCTCATCCCTGACGAATGGTACATACCCGAGCCGTTGGATTATGGAGTACCGAAAAATAATGTCTACAGGTGATGGTAGTCGTAGGTTTGTTTACAGTCGCCGACCGTTTTTTTGGACTTCGCAGAGACCGAGAAAATGCCCGAATAATAAAGCAGTTTGAAAAATCAGCAAATTAAAAAACTTGCCTTTATTACGTCTATGCGAGCCGTAAATAGTTCCTTGCTTCAGGTCATGCCTGCGCGCCTTGTTTCAGGTTACGCCTCCGTTTGCGTTTGGCAGCTTTCTATTAGCTTGAGAATCGCTGCTTTTTTTCTAGCATTATGGTCGAGTACTTTCTGCGCTCCTTGGCGACACATTGTGGCAGCGGAAGAACAGTGGGCCAATGACGTCAAAGCCAGCGCAGTCCACAAATACAATTCACCGAGACCAGATCGAGATGAAAAACACAAGTCCACGACTGCAATGGCGAATAAATAAAGCAAAATAGTAACAACAATAATGATGATGATGATAATGGTGCGCAGCTAGATAAAAAATTAAAGACGTTTAAAATTCTCTGTGATGCCGAATTAGAGAGCAGCTCTTGAGGAGGAGAGGGTATGCCCCTCCTCTCTCTCTGTACCCTCCCTTCCCATTTAGAGGGAAATTTTCGCTAAATTTCCCGCTTTATTTGGTGAAAAAATTTTCTGCTAAATTTTTACATTAACTGTAGTGGGAAAATTTCCATGCTAACTTTAGTGGGAAAACGTTCCATAATGCAACGCGCGTTTACGCCGATGCTGATGGCTACGGCAAAGCCGCTCAGCCCAAAAACTGGTGCCTAAGAGCTGCGCTCTAAAAAAAAAGCTGTACGGCGTCACCGAGTGGTACGACTTAGCAGTATTCAAGTAGCACTGCCAAACCAAGCCAATCCATGTGCAGCCAACATAGAATTCAAAATTGCCCCTTCTCGGTAATATTTCCCTCTGTCCGCTCGCGACGATTTTGTCCACAAAATTTAACTTTCGGACTCCCAAGCTGTCTGGGAAATGGTTCGTGAATATGCACCATTTCTATCTGGTAGGTCACGGTTCCTTCTTTAGGTCCAAAATATTGAACAAGTCCTAATTATTGGTGTTCGAAAAATCGATCGGCGACTGTGTTATTATCTGAACCTTCAGCATTGTGCACTTGTGCGGCAGCTAACTATTAGTCGTAAGGAGTGAAAGCAAGCAGTGCTTAGAGTAATGGACTTTTCCCAGTGTAAAGGTTGACTTAGAGCAGGTCTTATGGCATATCACTTCCTGTTCAGTGTTGGATTGTTTGCGCCCTAGTGTAGATTATTTTGGCACTTGAAAATTGGAAGGCCTTCCCAAACACGTAAATGTATATGCGCCCATACTATGGGTAGATAGTTTTGCTGTTGTCCGTTGGGTGCTTTGTTATTTTTGTTGGTTATGAATCAATGCGGCGTTGGGAGTGTGCCCTCTTGCATTCTGGCAAGGTGGCATGATGCAGAAGTATTGCCTACTATTGCAAAACTGAACAGACTGATAGATTAGTTCGAATAAAGTCACGCATTGAAAGAAGTGCAAACGTGCAGTCCGAAAGCAAGGTCAAAGAAGGGTTGGCCCTCGGCGAAGGCGATGGTGTTGCTACTTTCCACTCATGCTGCTAACCTGTGTTTGTCCTTCCAGCTCCAAAAAACTTTTAACGGACATGGTCTAACTGAAACGCAGCCACGGCATCTAATGTCTGAAACACCAGAACGGTTGTCAGGGTTTTCGGCGAGCTCTAAGACGGCAGGAATTTAGCGGAGAACTTTGCAGGAGTACTGCGCGACTTGGGAATATTCGTGAAACATTTTGTGGTTTCTTTCTCGCACATGTTTTAAAGTTGTGAACACCACTTCTGGATGTGGCAGCAGTTGCATCGATACGAAGAATCATGCAAATGGCAATCAAGGTTCCAGGCACGAATCCTGTAGCCTGTGACCCACCGTCAGTGCCATTATTGACAGTTGTCAACATGTCGTTTCCCCAGGTCGTTTAGGTAATCTTGCCAAAATTGTCTAGGGAAGTCCTAGAAAAGTTGGGGAATGTAGGAAGGCGATTCTGGTACACATCCGGTATAAATAAATTGTCTTTGTTGGCATAGTCATTGATATCAAACGATAGATAACAAATATCAATTTTGATATCTATTCTTCTTTTTTCTTTCTTCTGACAAAGTGGCTGCCAAGTTTTTTTTAATGTCATTATCACAATGGAATTCTACATATCTCCAACTTCTTTTTGCGAGCAGTCAATGCAGCAGCGGAGTATATTATTGCTCTTCTATAGCTCAGTAAAAAAATTACGTTTTTGACGAGTGGTTACTGATGTATCTAATTATAATGTGACCTTATTGAATCATTGAACTACCCTGCTTTATCCATGCTACCGGGACATAGTTTTCTGGCAACAGTGGCTCTCCACTGCTATGCCACCAATGATCTCACTGCCATATTCTGTGCAACGGTTTGGCACCACCAAGGTGAACACACCGAGCTGCCATGATGGCAGTTCCAAACTCCACCTGGGACAGTTTGACATTCGTTGGCCACGAGACGCCGTTCAGGCAAAATCTGCTGCGCGTTGGCACTGCTAAGATGATGGCCCCGAGGCTTCACTACAGAAACCAGATGGGGGTGTTCGCCACGCTTTCCAGGATACGTAGTTGAGATCAGTGGATTCCGCCCTTTGTTGTGCGTGCCGCTGAGGGGGTGCGGTGTCGGGGTTTTTCCTCCGAGCTTTTTCGGGTGCTTTTGTGGTATTAATAAGCATTGTTCTTTCCCTTTCCTCCTCTTTCTCTCTCTCTCCCACTTTCTCGATAGACACGAGGAATTATGGCTGGGGTACGCAAACATTTTCTCTCCTTCCACCGTGTCTGACCAATGCCTGTGTGTCGGCGAACGCTGCCTGCCAGGATGTTTTGTCTCTGGCTTGCTTTGGCTGTTTCTGTGAATGACTCGTAGCTTCTGCTTGATGAAATGTCACTGCTGCACACATACCACTTTATTGTTTTTGGAACAGTCCCCTATCCTTTTTACATGATCATTAATTGGTTGTTCCAGGCTTGAGGGGGGGGGGGGGGGGGGGGCAGGCCGGCAGAATGATACAAATCTGTTTGGCACATTACCAAGAACGAATAGAACTCACATATAGTAACTACTTGGTGGACGGTCTTATGATCACTCGAAATGAAAAGTTAGCTTAATGAGCAAGCAAATGTTATGCGCTGGCTCACGTCTGAGAAAGGCCCTGAGAAAATTTCCTGCAATGTTGACCAACAGGGAACACCCAATTATGGCCTCGTCACACTACAAAGCTAACAAATGACCAGCACCGCCCACCAATATGACAGAATCGGCTTTTTGGGCATCTCGAGCGATCTCTAGCAACACTGCTCGTTCACAAACGTCACATTACCCTGGAAGTGGTCGAAGCTTGGCGGCGAAAATTGGAAACTCCTTTTTGGAAACGCATTAGTACTTTGTTTAAGGGGGGACACGGGCTCCAATTCCCGATTTTTTTTTTAAAAGTGCATTTTTCAAATTTGTTATAACTAATTTCAGAAACTAATAATGCACCCTTCCATAAAATTTCATGCCTGTACGTCGAGTATTTAAGCCGATATAAAAGATTTTCGACAGGTCGGCGACGCGCCTCCTATCCCCGAGTCGTTCCGTCGCGCGATCGGTTGACAATATTCGCCATTTTCAAATGCCGACCGCTCCGCGCCCATTTGGCCTACCGCGATGTTGATACCCTCGTTGGAAGCGTCGTTTCTTCGGGCTTTTATGACGATAGTAAACTTCGTTCGAGAGTAAGCATGAACAAAGCCAGAGCCCTCTAGTTGTCGGCTATAATTGGCTTGAAAACGAAACTCAAGCCTGGATTGGCCCGTGACACCCCACGTGATCCGCTCGCCCGAATTATTGTTTCGTCTCGTTGCTTCGGCCGAACGTTCGCTTCTTTTGCTTGCTCGTTATATATTTCTCACAGTTTTATCGTTTTATCTACGGTCTCGTCGCCGCGATGCCGGCCGTTAAACGGCATTCCCTCCAAGCCTTTGGAGCTCGCCGCCGTTCTGTGAAACCAAGAGGCTCGTCAGGTGGACGCGTACGATGCGCTAACCCTAACGGAACCACGTCGGACGCGTCGGCTGCTTCGCTCCCGAGCGCGTCACCATCTCCCGGTTCGTCGCTTCAGGACCTGACCTCTGAACAACCAGCCGACGTTTCTTCGTCTCTTCCTGAAGATTATGAGGTTGTGGAGGAGCTCACGGCGATAGAGCGCAAGATCTCGCTACTGCAAGAGAGCGATCCCGCTGCGGATCCCACGGACGCTCCCGCTGCTCCCGACGGTGCCCCAACCGAAGGTTATCGTCTGGTTGCTTTATCTGCCATCGAAACACTGGTGTCCGCTCTTCTGTGCCCGGTGTGCTGTGGATCAGACCTTCAGCTAAGCGAGAGTGGCAAGGGAGTTCAGGCGCAATTCGTCGTCGTCTGCCCAGACTGCGGGGACGTTGCTCGGACGCCGCACTCGTCGACCATCGGACACTCGCGGCAGAATGAATTGGCAGCACGGATTTCTCTTGCGTCTCGTGAATGTGGAATCGGATACACGAAGCTTACGAACTTTTTTGCCGGTATCAATGCTCCTTCGCCCATGCATCTCCGATCTTACCAAGATCTGGGAGAAAAGGTCCACGACGCCTCAGTGAGAGCAGCCAGCAACGTAATGAGCAAGGCAGCAAAAGCTGTACGAGAAACACGCGAGTCAGATAGCGGTGATTTGATGGACGTTTGTGTGACATACGATGGCACTTGGCATAAGCGTGGGCACACTTCACACTTTGGTGTTGGAGTTGCCATCGAGCTTGAGACTGGACTAGTTTTGGACTATTCTGTCCAGAGCAATTATTGCCATGGATGTAGCCTTGGACCTGCGCAGGGATCTGACAGCCATGAAGACTGGGCCGAGAATCACAGGGCAGTATGCCAGAAGAACTTTGCTGGGTCTGCAAATGCGATGGAGCTGCAAGCAGCAGACGAGATCTTCCGTCGGTCCGTCCAACTCCACAACCTGCAGTATGTGACAGTGCTGTGCGACGGGGACAGTAAAGCCTTCAACCATGTTGCGGGACTTGATCTTTACGACAAGGGCATGAGGAAAGAAGACTGTGTGAACCACGTCGCCAAAAGAATGTATGCTGGCATGGAGGCCCTAAAGAAAACAAAAAAAGGTCTCGGTGGAAGGGGCAAACTAACGAACCTTGTCATGAAGAAATTGACCAGCTACTATGCATCTGCACTGAAGACCAGTGCCCCAGACGTTCCAGCCATGCACAAGGCAGTGTTTGACAGCCTCCTCCACAGCTACTCCACCGATGAAGAGCCCCGGCATCAGGCCTGCCCTCATGGAGAACATTCCTGGTGTCACTTTAATCGCCAGAAAGCGCTGGAGGCAGCAGGAGAGCCGACGAAGCCACAGCCACACCGCCCTGCCTTCTCCAGAGACATCGCAAAGGAGTTGGTGCCCCTCTACAATAGACTCTCAAGGCAGGACCTACTCGAGAGGTGTGCTAGGATGGGAACGCAGAACAACAACGAGTCGTTCAATGCTCTGGTGTGGAGGCGGTGTCCCAAGACGGATTTCGCCTCTCGAAGAACTGTGGAAACTGCCGTGGCTCTTGCCGTCCTGGAATTCAACCTGGGCCCCAAGGGCTTTGAGAGGGCCCTTCATGAAATGGGAATCGAGCCCGGAAGCCACCAGGTTCAGCACGCTGACAAGGCCCTCCAAGTCAAGGTCTCCAAGGCGAAGCAGAAGGCCCTCAACTCTTCGAAAGTGGCCCATAAGCAAAGGAAGCTGGCAGCAATCGCCAAGGCACAGAGGGACCAGGCAGCTGAAGGGGAGACCTACTCTGCCGGCGCCTTTTAGTGGACACAGACTGGGCCAAACTAATAAAGTAAAGGTGCTCAATGTTTGAATGCGTTTTTCTCAGTTTCACTTTTTTGCTGCAAACTTTGTAGCAAGGAATCTATCGTTTGATGGTAAACATATCCAGGTTCCTCGTTCAAAGTGTTTCTTAACTGAAATTTACTGGGGAATTGGGCTATCTACTTCATTTTGTTTTAAGTTGAAGTCATCACTGAGAAAAAAAGACATTTTGGCAAAATGGCATTCAAAGAAAGTGCATATGATTTTTGGAGACAGAATTTCTCTCCGAAATATTTACATTTTAATCATACAAATTAGATAGCCCAAAGCCACATACCCTCTACTTCATATCCAAGCAATAAAAACAGTGGTTTAACATTTCATTTTCATACGATAGATTTCCTAAGGAAAGGTGCCACAGCCTCATACACAAATATGTAACTTTTTACATAATTCTCCTATAGAAGTCAAAGTTTGCACAGTGCCCCTGCATCTGCTCATAAATGCACTCTCCAAATTTCATTAAAATCGGACGAGGAGTTCAAAAGTTAATAATTACGCCAGTGTCTCCCCTTAATAGTTGAGGGCTGAAACCAAACTCTTTCAGCTCTCTGTTTGGCGTCATGTCCACGTTCGACACGCCATGGCCGATTGTTGCTGGGTGAATTTCGCTAATACAATCACGAAAAACTGGGAGAATTGCCTTGATGTTTGCTGCTCCACGAAGTTCAAAGAGTCCCACATTTTTAGTTTGAATGATGTGTGCACGGCAGAGACACTACTAGCTCTATACTCTAACCAAACTAGTTACAAGACTACAGGCCGTTCTTCACAGTGACCTATCCGTTGTTTGTACCTTGTTTGTTACCCGGTTCCTTGCTTCATTTATGTGTTGCCTTTTTCGCTTGAGCCCTTGGTTCGACCTTTCTTTGACCTTTTCTTTGACCTTTTTTTTTTTTTTTGAGCATTCGGTTGTTTCTTGAGGACGGGGGTGGGCTGTCTTTTACTGAAGATTTAGCAATCGGAGGTAGTCCTTTCTATTGTTTGGTTTTGATAGCAGGTTAACATGAGTTTGCAATGTTTTTTGCATGTGTGCATTTTGGACTCACGCATGTGAACGCCTGTTGTACAAGGTACGAGCGAACCTCCGCCCAGCTGCGCAATGAAAAGCAGTGTTGCAACTCGTGAACGCGGATCATGATGGAAGATGCAACAATATAAAATATCTGGTGCTTCGCTGAGGACGAAGAGTTCCGATCAAATCCACCTATTTGCAGTGGCTTTTATTGCGACATAGTTTTCCTAGAAATAATAATTTCATAACGTGGATCGTAAGAATGAGTTGTCTGCTGTATACGAGATGAGAATCAACCTTACATTTGGCCTCAATCATGTGAAACTTGGGGGTATTTGTTTATATTTAGGGTCATGCTAAGAATTATTTGAATGCAGACCTTGCAGTGCATGCACCAAACTTTCAGCCTGGTCAAATCTTTTACAATCCTCTTGCAAACAAGTCTAAATCTACATACTTGGAAGGCACGTTTTGTTGAAAACTATCTTAGACTTTCACATAAATGTCTAAAGGTTTCCTCCAATGGTACTAGCAAGCTAGATATATCCTGAAATATGTATGTGATTCAATCGCAGTGATCGAGAAGCTGTAATGCTACTTTTGCTTTACAGCAACTGTCCTACATGCAATAATTGTGTATATAGATGGATTGTACTATGTAAAGAGAATGGAGGGTAGTTAGTAATGGCAGTCAGATCACGTTCAGAGCTGCTTTTCAGTGCCTGCCCGCCATGCCACTGCAAAAAGGTTTGATTGCATAGAAGTCGGCATGTAACAAATGCATGTCTCTACACAGCCCGAGCAGCATGTGCATGCTTTCAGCTGAGCAGACGACCCGCTGTCTGCATGATTGCAGCTTAGACAGCAATGTAAAGGCAGCTCTCAGCTAAGCGTACAGCCTGCCGTCTGCTTTGCCGTAAACATGCTGATGGCATGTCATCTGCATGTTTGTCGATATGCAGATTACCCACTTTTGCATGATAGCAGCTGAGCGAACGGTGACGCAGAGGCAGCTTTCAGCTTGCACCGTCTGCTTTGCCATAAGCGTGCAGACGGCTGGATGCTCTGCAGGCTATGCAGACGACCCGCCGTCTGCATGATTGCAGCGCAGGAAGCAAATCAAAGGCGGAAGTTATTGAGGCAGACAAATCTAAGTGTGTCTCGCATTCCAGGAGGTGATATCAACCTGGCGCAAGTGGAACGTGAGCCAGCCGGGCCCGCCCCGGTGGGTTGCAGACCCGTCTGCCGTAGGGCAAGACCGCGGGGTCACCCAGCGGCGTCTCTCCGGGTCGGTCTGCGGCCAGGATCCGAGGTGGGGTCGTCGTTCTTCGTAAAAGACTAGGGAATCATGAGAGATTGAATCACTGACCAAGTAATTTGTCGCATTATTTACTAGTTGATCTGGTGGTTGGGCACTCAATTGATTTATTGGACAATTGATAGGTTGGTCATTTGAGCAGGTGATCAATAAATTTATTTGTTTATTAATCGGTTCAATATACTCTTTTTGTAGTATTTCCTTTCTATTGATCATTATCTACCTGTGTGGTTGTTTCTGCGTGCAGGAAAAAGTAACATTCTTATTATGCGATTCATTGGTTATTTTTTTATTCTACTGCTTGTCATTCGAAAGGTTGGTTTACTGTTTGATGATGCAGCTGATTTTGTTCATGAACAGCCTTAGTAGTGGCACACGAATGCCGTGCTAGTCGACATTAGCGTGAAGGATACGTGTGTAGGGGCATCAATTCATGCGAATCGAGGTTGTCGTATGTATATTCGCATAGATGTAGATATGAAACAACATCTACAATGAATTTGGAAATCACACAAAGTGGCAAAGAGCGCCCCAGCTGTAAGTACGGCGGCACCTCAGGATAGAATATATAGGGTAAGACGGCACATCAGGATGGGACGTGCAAGGTACACCTTGGTCGCACTGCCTCACACCGACCGAAGGATGGGGCCCTGACCCGTGCGGGCGCCACCGCATCGTCTGCGCAGGTACTGCGAGGAGCCCGCCTCGGTGTTCCCCTTCGAGTGGCCGGACGACATCACCAAGTGGCCCGTGTGCCGGCGTCCCCAGGCGAGCCGCAAGTCCCCGGACGCCCACATGTCCTGCGAGGTGGTGGGACGCCCCTGCTGCATCGGGGTGTACGGCGAGTGCCACATCACCACCCGGGACTACTGCGACTTCGTGCGGGGCTTCTTCCACGAGGAGGCCGCCCTCTGCTCCCAGGTGACTGGCTCGGTCGGCTGGCCGTCAGGGAGAGATTGTCGGGTCTACGGTGGGAGAGAGGCAGAAGTGGAAGGGCTATTTGAACTACTGGAACCATAGGGGGAGTGTACTTGAGGGATAGGTAAGAAGTTCTGGGCCCAAGTACAAGGGCTGCAGGGGGAGAGTAGTAGGACTACTTGGAGTACTGGGACTACAAGAGAAGGGGAGATGTACTGGGCCAAAGTACAGGGACTACACGGGCAGAGGGAGTAAAGTACTGGGACTAGAGGAAGAGAAATATATGGCCGAAGTACTGGGACTAGAAAGCACAGTCTTAGGAGACAGGATTGGGTCAAAGTGTGGGAACTACAGGGGTTGAGGGACAGGTGCACTGGGACTATATGAAGTACTAGAACTATAGGGAGGGAGTATTTGGGGGACAGGAAAGAAGTACTGAGCTGGAGTACAGTGACTACAAAGGGAGAGTGAGAGAAGTACGGGAGAAACAAGGTAGTAGGACTATTTGAACTTTTGGAACCATGGGGGAGAGTACTTCAGGGACAGGAGAGAAGTTCTGGGACAAACTGCAAGGACTGCAGGGGTAGAGTAGTAGGACTATTTGAAGCACTGGGACTACAAGAGAAGAGGGAGAGGGGGTGAAGTACTGAGACAGGAGGAGGTGAGGAAGAGAAGTATTGGGCCATAGTACAGGGGCCATAGAGCAGTGTTTGGGGACGAAGTAGGGGTATTGGGTCAAAGTGTGGGGACTACACGAGCTGAGGGACTATATGAATACTGAAACTAAAGGGGGAGAGTACAAGGGGGACAGGAAAAAAATACTGGGCCTGTGTACAGGGACTACAGGAGGAGAGGGTGAGAAGTACTGGGACTACGGGGGAGAGTGGTCTGGAGACGGAAGAGAGGACTGGGTTGGAAGTACTGAAGTTGCTCAAGGTACTGGGACCATGGAGAGAACAGGAGACGGATAGCAACTTTAGACTTGAAAGGGGTAGAACACACGCAAGGAAAGCACAAACTGTAGTCTAAAGCCGAAATTCAAGAAACACATAGTTGAATCCAAGACACAAGGACAAGCGACGGGTGTCTGACGCATTCCCTCCTTCCACGATGCGTGCCTCGCAGGTGTCCTGCCTGAACGACGTGTGCGGCATGATTCCCTTTGTAAACCCCGAAGTGCCTGACCAGTTCTACCGGTTGTGGACTTCGCTGTTCCTCCATGCAGGGTGAGCCGTTTGTTTCTCTGCAGTCCTTGACTAATATCGAAAGTTTGGTTTGCAAAGTTTTTGGACAGGATTAGGACAAGTTCAAGTACTGAAAGAAGACACTTAATATATCTCTGTAAACTTAAATGCCTACAGAATCCAATAAGGCATAATAGGAAGCCCTAGGGCAATTTAGAAGTTCTTAATTAGACTTCCAAGTTTTTCAATTCCAAAATTCATTTCCGCAGAAAGTATGGGAGGTAGAAAAAAAAAAATTGGATGCTATGTATAACATATTTCTATTCCTTATTGCGTACCTTGTTTATAAACCTACCGGAGAAACAAAAATTTATGAAGATTGGATGCATGAAAGTGGAGATATGACTCCATAAAATAGCAAAGTATGTAAAATGTTTATCTTGAAACCACAAGTAAAAACATAACAGACACATTGTACTATGCTTCAAAATCAATATTTCAAGTTAAGAGAGACTAATTTCTTGAAAATACTTCAGGAAAAGGTAATAAGTGCCTGTCAGTCTTCAAAAACACAATTTCAAAAATGTTTTTCTAAGTGTTTCTTATTTGAGAGAGCAGTGTTTCCTCTTAAAAGGTGTCCGACGTCCAAAAAAATATAATAAGGAATGCCGGGGTTTTGAGCTTTTGCGAAAAGCTGCTGGAAGGTCTCTTGTACAGCTTTTCTCTTTGTACAGCAACACTGTAAAACCCTTAATGGGCAACACCACTTCATTTTTGTTTCGGAAAAAAAACAATGCAGTCCTCTTCAGTATCATCTAGGAAGACCACACGTCAAATATTATGGCGTAGTTCTGTGTAAATGTTTCTTTAACGGTCCGGCAAATTTTGCAACTCGCCAAGTTGCCGAAATCGGATGACTCGAGCGGGCGAATTGAGGCGCAACAAACAGCGCAGTCAAGGCTACGGCGTGGGCGTAGCCAACGTTGAGCTAAATGTCATCACCATTGCCCCCTTTTGCGTGTTATTACTTCTCCGGGCAAGCATAATGTGACATTAGCAAGGTTTCCTCTCGGCGCGCTTTCGCAGCGCATTTCTTGGGGGCCGTCTGGCCGCCCCGCCGTGATCCCGCCGTTACCGCCGTCTTTCGCATCACAACTGTCGTCGTCGTCTCACCATTTGTGATTATTGTCTTTTGGAGTTTCGTCCACACTACGGACACTATGTGCGCAGATTTATGCCACAGTTGTTCAGACATCATAGAATCTCGTAGGCACCAAAACGTGGTGGAAAGTGCGGTGCAGACAACACATGTGCCCGGCACACGCCCGCCATAATCCCTCCCATTGTTGCATAGAGAATCACGTGACATCTCGTACCACGTGATAGCCATGTTCTTGGTGGCCCGAGGCTAATGTTGCCGGACGGAGCTGAAGTTTCAATTTCAATTTCTGCTCATGTCTAAAATTAAATTTGAAAATTTATATAATTTTTGCCAAGCAATTGACATACTGTAAAATACCGAGCAAGCGCCCCCTCCAAATTTAGAGACTATCCAATCAAAATAGGGTGGGAGCCCTTACTTGGTTCAGGAATAACATTCAAGATGGCGGCCATAAAAATATTAAATTTTTATAAAATGGGAGGGGGCGCTTACACAAGGGGGGGAGGGGGGGCATGCTCGGTATTTTACGGTAGAGTCTTTTTCTAAAGCTTTTTAATGTGAAATCACTCATTATCCTGAAATCTTCTGAATTGAGTGGAGTTGCCCTTTAAGGGTACAACAAGGCAAGTCCTTATAGCCCATGTGTTTTAGTCCATGTTGAGGAACATTTTTCTCTGTAATTAATAGGAGTATTTCTGTCATATGTATATCTTTTTGTTCCAAATTGTGTGTTTTTTTTAGTGAACTAGAACTAACAAATCAACTGAGAAGTAAAGTTTTTTAGAAATTTTTTTTCTGCTAAAACTTTGGCTCTTTTTGTGTATTAAAAAATGTCTAACAGAAAAGATGTTAGTTGCATATTTTTAATTCTAGTTCAGTACTTTTCAACACCTATGTAGTGGCAGGAATAAAAAATCAATGCTCTATATTGGCAGGTTTAAGGGGCACTGACAGGGTCAAAATCTTTTTTTTTTTATTGTTATCCGAAACGATTGAAAACGATGCCTGGACATTACTCTCAAAATTCGTAACTTGGGAACTTAGTATTTGTGAACTAAAAAAATTGCAGTGGTTTAGCTTGGCTATGCCAGATATACGTAGTGTAAGCTTAGGTTCAGCTGGTTATTCTTAGCCTTCCCGGTTGTCTAGGATTAGCTTGATTATCATGCTTACTGCTGCTTCAATGACACTCACACTGAATACGCATTATGTGACTACTTCGGGATCCGATGAGTTAAGCTTCTCCGCTCTTCTTATTGCGGTGGAGGCGCCATGTAACCGAGCTTTCGGTTGCACGTCAAAAGGTCCCCAGGTGGTCCAAATTAATGCTCAGTCCTCCGCTAGGACGTGCCAGATGCCCGTCGTTGGTTTAGCCAGCTGTGCGCCGTGTTGTTATGTATCGAGCAACCGAACTGCCGCCCAGAACAACCGGACAGTGCGAGCCATGATCTCGAGCGGGTGCATGCGCGCGGCGCATGCATCGGGGACTGACCCAGGCGCCATACCAGTCCTGCCCGTTCCGTCACTGCTCCTCGCGCATGCGCATCACGGCTCTCCAGGAGCCATGCGAAACTGCTCAATCTCGGCCAGTGTAGCTTACGCTACAAAAATAGTTTTAAAAAGCCGAATTTGAAGTTCCCGCGCGATTTGCGCACGTGCAGCGACGTCAAAGGTTCAGTCGTCCAGCAACTCGGGTTTCTCTCACGCCTCCGTGTCGTGTTCGCCCGCGTCCCGCGATCAACCGCTCCGTGCGTGCCGCCTATTGCTGTGAGCGGACAACGCTTCACTTTCGAGCTTGAAGTTCTTTTAGGGCTTTTTCAGCGACCTCAAATTCTTTCAAGTGGTGTGAGGTCGAAGAGAATGCGCAGTGGGCTTTTGTGACCGACGTGAGGCGCCACGTTACACCAGTTCTGCGTGAAGGGCTGCCCCACCAGAGCTGCAACCGAAACTGCAGTGCAGAGACACCAAACCCATTTGTTTTGACCGTTGCGACGATCTCCTTTTTGAAGTCCGAGAGGTCGTCGGGCACCTAGAAAAGAGAACTTTGTCCGATTTCCCGATCATCCTCAGCGCTACATGCGCCGTGCTCCACTGCGGCGCCAAGTTTCTTGAGGGAGGGTAAAAAGCCAGGAGCGACATCACTCCGGACTCCAACTGTTGGTATTTCAAAAAAGAAGGTAGCGCGTTTGCAATTGTGTTAAAAAACATATTTTGTGAATGCAGTTATGAAATAATAAGTTATGAAATAATATTACAATTTTGCTTACAAAGCTTCTAAGTTTCATAATCGATTACGTCGCAAATAAAAAGAAGCGAGTAGGTGAGGAGTGGGAGAGAAGGGCGCCAAAAATAAAAAAGAGCGTGCGCACGTGGGAAAATATTTTTTGCATTGTTTTTGACAACAAAAACAAATACGACCTTTGGGGTGTCGTGCCCCTTTAAGGAAATAATGGTGTCTATGTACTGAGAAACACTGTTTCGAGATGATTGAGTTTAAAGTAAAAAGACGGGTGAATAACAAATTGTTATTGGCTCCAATACCCTCAGAGTCATTTCTTCAATAGCCGCCAGCTTGGTAGTCATTGTTAGAGTCGCGTCTTCGCTTTTCAACTTTTCGCCTTGCTTGCCGGGCCTCTTCTGTGACCTGTCGTGTCGTTCTGTCGGCAGAGTATATTTGAATGACGTCAACTTCCCTCAGCCACTTGACGGTGTTCCACCCAGTGTTCAATTTACAAAACTTCAAAATATTGGCTCATGCGATGCTACCACCATTGAATGAAAGAACAACATTCAATGTTGCCATTTTGTCGTTCTAAAAAACAAGGGCGCTTGAAAGTACACACGTGAAAAACGTGCTCAACCTCGTAAAATTGTCTTGGTTAAAAACAAACAAAAAGCTTTGCAATAGTTGCAAGATCATTTTTGAGGTGTAGCTCATTCCCAACATGCTTTTAAATCGGGCACGAATTTTTTTTGTTGGAAAATTTGTCAATAAACAAGGAGTGTATCCCAAAAGGGGGCGTGTCCACCCGCTACTTGCTTTCAGAAAGTGTTTCTCAGCACGAAATATAACTTTCTAAGAAAAGTGTGACAGTGGAAAATGCACAGAAGAAAATTAACTTTTCAAATTGCAAAACAGTTTTTTTTTATGTGCTTTTAATGTTTGAGGGCCCCTGTTTGCAAATTCTCCGAATTCACTAATTTGCAAAGATTTATTAGGGCACGCTAAGATGTCTCCTGTGTAGGGGTCGAAATTCGGGCCTCTATCTAGAGTTAGTGAAATTTAGTGGCCACAGATATGTATGCGTGCCCAATTTGTGCGAAATTGGGACCTTGAAAATAATATGATTTACTGTACTTTAACACGCTCAGTTGTGTTTCTGCGGTCTTTGCAAGAAGGGTGCTGTTTGAACTAGTTTTGGAAGTTATTTGATGTGTGAAGATCTGGCCATCTTTGGCCAAGTGCCACTTGGCATGGCTCAGCTTTTCTTTTATATTAAGTGAAGACTGAAAACAGATCTTGTCGGTTTTGGCAGGTTCTCTTCGTTTGATTCGAGCTTGTGCGAACGACTGCTAGAGTTCCATATTTCCGGTATATTCCGATAAAATTTGAAAACTAACCCCTGAATCAGTTCTATTAATATCGTAGGAAAACCGGAAATCCCCGAATCACAGCTGTCCTTTAACAGGATTAAAAGTATTTGCCTTTTTTTAAGCCCGAGGTAATCCCAGCATGTCAGACACGAATAAGCATGAAATTTGGGGAAAACATAAACCCCGGAAAAGCACCCCCGAATTAAAAAAATGAATCGTGGAAACACAGAAGGCTCGTGATGACAGACTGTCTGGTCAGTGCTGTTCTGGCCGATGACTAAGGAACCTTTGTTCTCTCTCCCCGCAGGATCTTCCACCTGTGTATAACTGTGATAGTGCAGCTGTTTGTGATGCGCGACCTGGAGAAGCTGGCAGGACCCGTCCGCACGGCCGTCATCTACATGTGCTCGGGGGTGGCGGGAAACCTGGCCAGCGCCATCTTCGTGCCCTACAGGGCAGAGGTGGGTACACCCTCCCTGGCTTCAGCTCTGAGCCTGCTTACGGGGAAGAGAACGTTTTTTTTCTTGCGTACCGCACAAATTTGCACGCTGTGCCACCATAAAATACCGAGCGTGCACCCATGTAACTATAAGTGCCCACTGCCTACTTTTGAAATGTTAAAAAAAAAATGAGTAGTGTAGGGGCTTACGAGGCTGAAGTTTTCAAAATGCAGCCAACAATGCATGTTGCATCGCACCATTGTCTCTTTGTGATGCTGCGCACACTTCCCTTCAGCACCACTCGGATAAGACCCCTTTGCGCTGAATTTTCTCGGTCACCGAGAGAGGGGAAGAGCGCTTTCCTGCCCTTTCCATTCCTTGTTCCCCATGCTCTTTCCACACCACCGGTTTCTGCTACTCTCTTTCTTGCTCTTTCCACCCCTCTCCACTCCGCACACTTTCTCGCACCGCCTGCTTCTGCTCCTCCCATTCCTGCATGCTTGGTTCATAGCTCAATAAGCAGCGCACTCGGTTTCCACGCCGGTGATGGGGGTTCGACCCCTGGCACCGATAGCTGTCGTCTTCTAAATGGCTTAGCGGTTACGGACTGACAGATCTACACATTTCGTGCTTCCGCTTTAAAAAGCAAATTACCCAATACTTTCAGTATGACCCCTGTAATGAACCTGTGCCTTCTGCGTTCCTGCGTAGGTGGGGCCAGCAGGCGCGCAGTTCGGACTGCTGGCATGCCTGTTTGTGGAGGTGATCCACTGCTGGCAGATGCTGCGGCGGCCCAGCAGCGCGCTCCTCAAGCTGGGCGGCGGAGCAGCCGTCCTCTTCCTGCTAGGGCTCCTGCCCTGGGTGGATAACTATGCCCACGTGTTCGGCTTTGTGTTCGGCTTCCTCCTGTCGTATGCTCTGCTGCCCTTCGTCTCCTTCGGGAGCTACGACCGCACGGCCAAGGTGGCCCTCATCTGGGCCTGCCTCATCGTGTCGGTGGCCCTGTTCCTTGGACTGGTGGTGCTCTTCTACGTGCACCCCATCTATGAGTGCTCTTTCTGCCACTACCTGAACTGTCTGCCACTCACCAGGGACCTGTGCGACAGCCACCGCATCAACATTACACGTCAGGACACGTGATGACTGCTGCCAGGGGGCAGGGACCGTCAGCACCACACTCCGTGGGACGCTGCCAAAGACTCAGCATGCATCGGTATTGACAAGGCCACAGACATATGCAGCCGAGGACTGGGTCTCTGCAATTGAAGACCCGATCTCTGCGGCTGAAGACCAGGTCCCTGCAGCTGAAGACCAGATCCTTGCAGGTAAAGACCAAATATCTGCGGCTGAAGACCGGGTCTCCGAGGATGAAGACCAGATCACTGCAGCCGAAGACCAGGTCTTTGCAGCTGAAGACCAACCATTGTTGTTTACGGTGGTCTGTGACTAGGCACAAGGCCTACAACGTGCCACATCATTGCTGAAGAAGCTGGGAATGTGTGTGTCGAAGAGGTAACAGGCCTTTGCCATCGATGACCTGTCAGAAGGCCGAAGATGTGGAAGTGATGCAAAAGATCTGCGGTAGTGCTGTTACTGAAGAGGCAAGGGGTCACCTGTTTGGGTGCTGAGGAGGAAAGAGCAGGATGATAAGGGCATCGAGACCTGAAGATGCTGAAGAATGGCCGAGAAATCTGTAGTTACTAGTGCTGAAGATGCAAGAGTGAGGTACCCAGTTGTGTGTCACTCTTGAGTACACCCATGCTGAGGATATTCTTCCCAGTGCTGAAGACCAACTATCACCATTTGCTGTTGATGACAAGGGAAGAAGCTATTGTTTGTAGTGAGGCGATGGTCTATGTGCAGATGGCATTTGCAATTCTAAGAGAAATGGGGCAAAGAAGAGACCTCGGTCTATCGTAGCTCAGCGCTGAAGGTCGATCTACTCTTTGGTCTTGGACAGGAAGATACTGTGCTGAAAATTCTGAAGATCTTCATCAGTTGCAAATAAGGGATCTCTTCTGAAGGTGCTGAAGTTGTTGGGAGTCCCAGCACCAGGGATGGTGTGTTGCACTGCCATCTCAAATAATGAAAGCTGTTTTGATAGCGACCCCTTGCCAGCAAGGGTTGCACCGTTTTAGACGGGGAGAAATATGTTCACTGCATAAGGCTATATGAAACGGTCTTGTTGGGGTAGCCTTCTGAATTTTCCTACAAGGTGTCCAAGCTTTACGAGTTGACCATTGTTGAATAAGGGGATGAAGAAGGAAAGGAAAGTGCAACTGAGAAGAGGACCATCTCGGCATGAAGAGTGACGCCAAATTTATCCAACTGCAAAGGTCTGCTCTTGCGTCGTGAAAACTGGGAGTATTCTTCAGGACTCGGAATGGCTTCGACATCAAGAACATGTTGATGTCAGTTGTCTTTGGGAACTTCTTTTCTACGCCTGGTGTGCTGAAGTGAGAACGTCTCAGCTGGGGTGGGCCTGCGTGTCGTTTGATGACCCATTTTTCCCCCATTGTCTGTTTTGACGTGCGTGTGATGAGGTGTTGTCTGTTAACCGGTGCTTGTTCTCAGAGCGAACGGGGAGGGGGTGCACAATTTGTATGAATTTTTTTTTTTATTACAATGTTGCTGCATTGTTTTCGAATCTTTTTTTTTTTTTTTTTTTTTTTTTTTCAGTTTTACCAAGAAAAAGTTTACGTTGCATTTTCTGTTGTGGGTCCCTTCTCCGGCATCATCCTGCCTTGTTTTTGTTGATGTGATATGACAGGGTTGTTGAGGCACCCCAAAGAGTGAGCTGGATCGTTATTATATTGCTCGTTGCATTTGCGAGTGCCCACATTTCTTTGCTCGGTTTAGTAGGTTGCTCTAGTCAGTTCTCACCACGTTGTATTTACTTAGATGCTCATTTTAACCCCGACTAGGCTCCTTACCGGTTTCCTTTAGTAACGCTTCTGATGAAGTTTGCCATGGATTTGCTACCCTCGGTTCAGCGAGACCAAAGTTACAAGTTTTAAGAGGGAGACGAATACAAAACTTTATACCAAAACTTTATACACCAAAAAGCAGATGGTCCATGTTATCTTTCTGATCTGCAACTTTTTTGTGGGATTTGTTCCTTCTGGAATTTGGAACATCCTTAAAAGGCAGCAGCTTATTTCTAGTGCCCCGCCACCCCACCAGGTGGAGCATTGATTGGCATTTTTTGGTACTCGTCTCTTTCTCTCTGTTACAGCGCTGAAAAGGAAGCTTGGTTACAACAAAGAGCTAGCACTCGGCCACATTTTTTTTAGCGATGGTTGGTTTGAGACGGGTTTCATTGCTGGGACAGACGTGCATGTGTTTGTTATAAACCTGGTGATTGTTGCGAATGTTCGAAGTGACTTGTTTGGAGTTCACGGCGCGTCTTTGGGGTGACGACGACGGAACGGTTTACCACAGGGACAATAGTTTCAAGGCGGGGCGAAATAGTGGTTTGCAGACACTTCTAGGGGACATTTGGGAGAGCTGCTGTTGTGTTTGTGAAGAGTCGAGTATGTATAAATGTGTACACACTGTAAATAACGAGCATGCAAAAAAGTGTTACAAAACCCAACGAAGCACTCGGAAAATTGGAAATCGAGGACTGCGCGTGCCAAGTTACCGAGAGCTGTGTCGGGGAAAACAAGGAGGGCGAGAGTTTTTTGTACCTTTCTACGGCGCGGCGGTGGGGAGTCGTCGGAACCGGCGGCAGCGCGGAGACGCCGAGACGTTGTCCTGCGTCCAGGTGGCTCGGAAGTGCCGGGACGTCATTCCGCGTTTGGGAGGCTCGAAGTGCAACAAAAGAAGTCTCGGCGACCGCCGCGCTCTCGACTCTGCATGCTGCGGAAGAAGGAAGTCCTTTGCGGAGTAAAAGAGGTGGAAAGACGGCGGAAAAAAAAGAAATCCCGATTAACATTCTCGATTGTATAAATATATTTTAATAAATGCACGCACTTCAAACGCAGCACTGCTGATGTCGGCTCTTTGTGTACGAGTTATTATGCACCTTGGCATGCCGCGGCAAGCGCTCAAACAGTTGGAAGATGCGGTACTGACTGTTCTCGCGATCATACTCAAATTTTGCGGAACTACACCAGTGAGTTTTATACAGACGGGCAATTATTGTGAAAATCTGTTGTTTATTCGCATGGAAGTAAAGTTTTAATAAATTGCGCAAAAAAATTAAATTTTGGAGCTGAATTAAATTAATATCTTTCACAGGACGTACATGTCACGAGTTACTGCCCAATTCTCGTCATTTGGAGGTTTGTATCGCCCATGGTTCCAGATGCTATTTTTCAGAGTATGCTACTCCTGAGGTCTAGGGATGTCGCAAACTTCTGTTGAACCTGAGATTCGATGTTGAACCTCAAGGTTCGACTGGTTCGGCGAACCTTCGACCTTTTTGCTAAGTTCGACTGATGGACAGTGTTGGCTGGCTTCTAAGTGGAGGTTTCAAAATTTGGGAAACAAATAATTTAGAAAGTAGCTTATTTTATAATTTATAGAAGGGCAACTCTGGTCGAAAACGAAACCAAAGTTATTGGTATCGCTTTAGTGGCACGAAATATGATTACATTCAAAATATTTCGTCGAAGTGAAGCTGCGTACTCCACTAAAACCCATTTTAAAGATGCGGCCAGCTGATCTTTAACAGGCGGCAAGCGGGTTAGCTTATAGTCGAGAAACACTGGCGCAGCACTGTTGTGACGCTACTTCACTGTAGAGTTGCAGTTGATTGGTTTTACCGCTTACCACAGCACCCTTGTGTCGTCGCGCCTCGGCCGTGCGGCTCGTGATCAGTGTTGCCATTCCTCTAGAAGATAGTTTCGATTTTTTCGTAGACGTCCTAAGCGAAACTTTGGGCCGTCATATTTATAAAACCACACAATATCGAGAGAAGAAAATTGTGCCTTGTAACTCAAAGACACTGTTTTAGCTGAGAACAGTTGTAATGCCAGATTCAAAAATATTGACTGAAGTTGCCCTTTAAATGATTACCGACGTTTACACAATATAAAAACAAACATGGGTACTTTTATTGCTTTCGTTAGTATTGTCGAACCAGTGATACAATCATGGAGGTAGGAAGCTTATGGAGGTGACATGACGCGCACACTGATCTTCACTTGGAGGCTAGATGGTTCGTTCCGCAAATGGGTATGAAGCCACCGGAAGTAAGCAGTTTGTCCCAGAAGTGGGCGTTTGGCAGGCTTTGTAACAGAAATCGTTGGGGGTGCGGGATTTTCGCATGTCGCCTCAAGAGAGCCTGCTTGCTGCGCAGTAAGAGCTCATGCAGACCCGAGAAGTATCCTGGAAAGCCATTCATTGTGAACATTTTGAGATTCTAGTTGATCAAGTGGGCCTACGTCATAAGTTCAAATGACTCGTTCTCGGGAATTAATTAGGAACATGATTATTAAAACCAACTCAAAAACATCAGAAAGCACGGACCAAAACCTCGACTGAATGCACTAGGAAGCCCAGCAGACGCCCGAATTCCGGGACAAGCATCGAGCTTCCGGTGGCTTCACTTGCGCCCTGCTCGGACAGCAGCTATGAGTCATCCAGCCCCGTATAATAGAGATCAGTACCAGAGGTAAAGCCGAGGGGGCAGGGGGTGGGGGCCTTCCGGTTTGGAGGTATACGCCCCCAACCATTGTGCCCCCAACAATGATTAAAAACGAAAACACCTTTTGTCACCCTTGGGGGCGTTCCCCATGACCGCGACCTCTACTTCCGGCTTCACTTGCAATTTTTTCGTTTAGCTGGCCCGAGCCGGTATGTCGCCCTTTCTTCCTACCTCCATGGGTACAATACACCGTACAAATATTGCATTTTTCCTGTGCCAGGTGGTGTCTGTCCGTTTTAATGTGAAAGCATTAACTGCCCCATGGAGCGAGCTCACGTCATCAGCTCCTGTGCCAAACGGCAAATAAATTCCCCCCTTTACGCGAAGCCGAAATCTGAAGGATCCCAGCTTTGAAGCCGCGCAAAAAGCCAAGCCAAATGGCAAATAAATTCCCCTCTCCAAGTGAAGCCGAAATCTGATGGGTAGGACTCCCATTGTCTGGCGCGCCTCGTGGTTTCAAGGAACGAGGCTCCCATTGGCCGAGGCACGTCGGTTTCAAAGAGAGCCACCCCATGGCGCTGCGTGCCTGCGCCAGAGCGCGCCGGTAAAAGGAAGCGATTGGCTGGCGGGGCTCCCCAGAGAGAGCCCACTCGAGCATACTCCGGCCATTTCACGAGAATGCGCACAAGAACGCCAATCATGGTTTCTCATTCACAACTCGTAAGAAGTGCTCAGGTGTACCTCGAGCCTTTATAAATTTCGCGCATGCACGAAAAAGTCTAACTTCTGTTGAACATCACGGAAGTTTGGAAGTCAAACTCGAACCTGGCCACAATTGTGACATCCTTACTGAGGACAAGCATGGGACTAAAGAAGAAATATAGGAAGTTCTTAACCGAAAGTGATTACAAGTGTAACACTGGTCGTACCGCAGTGAGGCCTGCTTCAGACGGGGCAACTTTCTCAGCAATTTTGGGGTTGCTGGCGAGCAAGTCTGAGCAATTCAAAGACGTTTGAAGTGGCAGCGGCCAATTAGGGACGCAATATTTTCACGTGATACCTGGTGCCGGTAATGTAAAGACTTGGTTTTAGTTTGAAATTGATTGTTTTTTTGGTAAATAAACCGGTTCAGGAAGATGAGCTAGTATTCTAAACGCCATTTAAATGTATCAAAACACGTTCATAGTGCAAAAAATATTTAATGATGCTAGCACATTGCAGCAATCGGTTGCTGCGGGTGAATGCGGATTTTGTTTACAGCCACAGAACATGGGTATCATATTTTGTGTCTATTTTTAGTATTGAGTGTGGGCTTTGATTTCCTATGACTGAGTATCTTGTGTCTAACGGCACGTGACCACGGAGAAGAGAGTGAGCGCGACTCAAGCCAGCCAGTTCTTGATCGGCGGTTTTCGAATGGAAAGAAAACGAATTTGGAGCCGCAAATTTTCTTCGGGGTAGTTGGGTCAGATTGGGTTCTCATGAATCGGGTACAAATAAAAACCTTGGCGTGTTCCTTTAAAGGGGCACCGACAGGTCGAAATTATATTCTTTTATTATCCGAAACGATTGAAAACAATGCCTGGACATTACCCTCAAAATCCGAAACTTGGGAACTCGGTATTTGCGAAATAAAAAAAAAAACAAAAAAAAATGAAAGCCGTTTACAAATCTCTGTAACGCCGAATTGGAGCACAGCTCTTGAGGAGGAGTAGGGAAGGGTACTGAGGGCGGTCACGTCATTTGCCGGTAGTCACGTGACCCCGGGGGGTCACGTGACCTCGGGGGAGGGGGGGGGGGGGGTCACGTGACCCCCCCCCCCCCCCCCCTTTCCGGCTACGCCGACGCCGCTGAGGCTAGTATGCACCTAAGAGCTGCGCTCTTAGGGGCATACCCCTAAGAGGGGTATGCAAGGGGGTTTCATAGCCTCACTTTCTTTGCACTGCGGAGTGAATATAGATTTCACATTTAAATATTCTAAGCTTAAATGGTAAAACAAAATGGCTAGATGGCGTAAGCTACCGCCCGATCCGAAGGGCTCAGCCGTATTCATCCATCCATCCTTAACGGGCCCCCAACCTCGTTGCGGGCCCCTAAGGGCTCATTCACACTGGAAGCGGATCCGCGTTCGCAAAGCGGTTGCGAACGCGGTTGTATAAGGATTCAGTACAATTGCACGCGCACACGATGACATCAAATGCGCGTGCAATTGCACTGGATCTTTATACAACCGCTTTCGCAACCGCTTCGCGAACGCGGATCCGCTTCCAGTGTGAATGGGGGTAAGAGCTGCGCTCTAAAACAATCTGAATAGCCGAGTTTGAACTTCCCGCGCGATTCGCGCCAGTGCACTGGATTTTGGAGATTTCGGAATGCGGGCGGTGCCAGCGGCGCTGCCGCTGCTGCCGCCGCATCTCTATGGCCGCCGCGTGGCGGCGTGGCGGCGTGGCCGTGGCCGCGTGGCCGCGTCGCCGCGTTGCGGTCGCCGCGGCCGCTCCTCTCGTTTGCCCGTCTCTTTTCTCCGTCGCTCTCGGACGAGCCACGTTGCACGCCAGCCCAGCCCTTTCAAAGATGTCTCAACGCGAGCGCACCTTCATTATGGTGAAGCCGGATGGCGTCCAGCGGGGACTCGTCGGCGACATCATCCAGCGGTTCGAGCGACGCGGCTACAAGCTGGTCGCCATGAAGTTCATGCAGGCGAGCGAAGAACTGCTGCTGAAGCACTACGCCGACCTGGCCGGCCTCCCTTTCTTCAACGGCCTCGTCAAGTTCATGCAGTCCGGCCCCGTCGTGCCCATGGTGTGGGAAGGCAACAACGTGGTGCTCACTGGCCGCGATATGATCGGCGCCACGGACCCGCTCAAGGCGGCACCCGGCACCATCCGCGCCGATTTCTGCGTCCAAGTTGGTCGCAACATTATCCACGGCAGTGACTCCCTGCCCAGCGCCGAGAAGGAGATCGCGCTATGGTTCAGCGAGAAGGAGCTGATCAACTGGAAGCCACAGATCGAGCCCTGCGTCTACGAGTAACTCACCACGCTTTTGTTATCCGACTAATAAATAGTGTATTTTCGAACCGTACCACTTGTCGCTACTTTGCTGACCGTGCGTGTCACCGTGCCGGTGGCTGGGTGTCTTGGCCCTGCGCGAGTTCCGAAACAAACAAAAAAAAGTGTTTGCATAATTAAAGTTTGCGAAAACTCCCGGTAGAACCGGCCACTTGTGTGTCCGTACTTTGGACGCTTTGGCAGCTACACCGGCTACACCGTAGTCCGCACACGTGCACGCGCGATGACGCGTGAATAAAGGACAAAATGGCCACCGGCAAAATGCAAAAATAGAAAAGCGCCATTTAATTGGGTAGCTAGTTGCGCCACCTAACTAGTGTGGCCTGTGTTTTACTCGCGGTCTTGCAATAAGAAAAGCTCGTCCCACAAGCGTGACGCGCCCACTGCGACCTTTGTATTCATCGGAGAGGGTACCGAGCCCCTGAAAGTAGCCTTTGTATCCATCGGAGGGGAAACCTAACCCCCGGAAGTCGTATTTGTTTCCATCGAGAGGGAGAAATATAACCTCCCTAAATTTCAGGAGACAAACACATTACAATAGAGCACTTGGTATCGAAGTGCCCTGCCGTTCCTGAAGGCGACGATGAGAGGACGGAAGAGAAAAGGATTACAGTGAGAAAAAGGCGATTAGAAGATTGGTGGAAATTATCTAGGGAAAATTGAATGATGGACAACTAACTATAGTCGGTTACAAGTCAAGAAGGTAGGACAAGCTCCTCCCATAAGCGTGATGTGTGTGTTTCAAATCCGTCCGCAGCCGAAAGAATAGTTCCCTGGAAACACCCCTTGTTCCGCTTCAATGTATAGATATTGGCTACAGAGTGATGCCCAACTTGTATCCGACCCCCACTTTTTAAGAAAGCAACCTTTGTATTCATCGGAAAGGGAACAGAGCCCCTGAAAGTGGCCTTTATATCCATAGGAGGGGGAAAATTTTAATCTCCCTCTCGTGGCTTCCACAACGCTAAGTCAAAGTCGAAAGATAAAGCAAATATTTACAGCAAGGCAAAACCCTCTCCCGTTTTGGCCACAACGTCACAGAAACGATGGGACGCTATTGGATGCGGAGGTGGCGGAGGGCTGTACGAATCTCTTTGAGGGGCATTTGCCGCTACCTTCTTGACCTGTAACTTACTACAGTACAGCTGAGCACAGGCGGGACAGAGAAAATTTGGGACTCCCTCCCACATGGCTCCGGCCCAAAGTCTCAACCCTGTCTCCAAAAGTTTAATTTTTGGTGGAATAGCGGGTCAACACACGGGCGTATCAACCAGGGGGCACAAGGGGGGCGTTGCCCCCCCCCCCCCCCCAAGTTCTCAGAGTAAGGGGGGGGGGGGGGGGGCAAGCAGGTTTGGACCCCCCCCCCCCCCCCCCTTAAACTGCCACCACTGGGTAGGGTAAACACTGGCCAGCGGCCCCGAAAGGATACCAAGCCCTCCGGTCCTGGGGGGGGGGGTCAGGTTTGCCCCCCACTCGAAAACAAGTTGGTATGCCACCAGGTCAACAAAATAGATCAGGGCAACGTTTCGACCGTAACGCCATATCTCAACCTGTCACCCCCTCTCCCCCCCAAAGAAAAAGAAAAAAGAAACAAACTTTTTTAAAGATTATTATATGGTCTTGTCGACATTAAGCTGGTCGGGCAAGTTGTTATCCAACAAACTATTGATACCCAGTATGGCTTGTATTTTACTGTTCACGTTCGCACTCTCTTGTTTTTGTGTTGCTGGCTGGGATCAACCAGAGGCAACTTGAGTTCTAAGAACTTTGTGGTGACGTGAGACCCAGGTAGCTTGTGCGAGCCGACGTGACAACCCAAGGCGTAGCTCAACGTCGTCATCCGCATGTTGGCCGCCTTGGTGTCCGGCTGGACCAGCCCGAAGTCATACTTGTAGTCCTCAAGAATCAGAACCAAGACCAGGATGTAGGCTAGGACCTTGTCCTTCATCCTCTGGGGAAATGTCCGCGACGTCATGCCCTTCTCATTCTTCGACGTCAGGGTGAAGGTGTCTAGGAGGATGTGCTTTAGAGGTGCGTCAATGTTTGGCAGAGGGTCTTTGCGTTTCAGGTCGGTGTACTTCAGTCTTGAGACCTGGATGAGCATGTGGTAGTAGATGAGCATCCGAGCTTCTAGAACCCTGTTCAGAGGGTCCCTGGACAGGCGGCCCAAACGCTGAAGGACGTAGTCTGGGTACTCTGCTTCGGAACGCCACTTCGCGACGTCGTCGGCGTCTGCGGTTAGGAACGGCTCCGCCAGTTCGTCTAGGTACCCGTTGTGCGCCGGTGGAATGATATCTTCGAGTCTGTACACCTCTTGAGGTATTGTGGCGTCCTTGTTCTGGGGAGGGATGGACTCCAAGATAGAGTCTGCGGTGGTTGTGGGCGTGTGTGAGGATGTTTTGGCCAGCTGCTCTGATGCGGCGACTTTGATTTCGGCCAGAGTCGAAGTTGCCGTCGAGTGCAGTGTAGATTCGTCGACGTTCAGACGTTGCCGACTCTCGACGGCTTGTCTTTTTCGTTTGCTTCCGAAAGCGGTAGCCAAGGCGTCCGCTTTTTCGCGGTAGGTCGTCGTTGTCGTGTCGGCTGTGGACGCTTTCGTCGACGCCGGTGCAAAGTAAGGTCTCATTGTTATCAGGTTGGCAGGATAAAGACGCACCTTTCCCGATGAGACGTCTTCGACGCCGATGAAGTGCTTGCAGAGCGCATTGGCGCGAACAGAGTGTTCTCCGAAGTTTTCGCCTACGTACTGAACACCGTCGGATTCGGAGACAAGGATTCTGCGGGTTCGGACTCGTCCCGCGATGGTTTCCTTGTGTTCGTAGACGTCGGTCCGTAGCCGCTGGCCCGATTTCAGCGATCCGTGAGAAAACTTGACGACAGGAACATCTGTAGAAGTTTCCCGGGCTTTCAAACGCCACTTTTTCTTGGCCATTTTGAATAGAACGTCCACAACGTGGTATCTCTGGTTTCGGTTTCAAAGAATTCAAAACTCCGATGCGAACAAACAAATGAGACACAAAAATAAATCATTTAAAACGCCTTACCATTTTAAAATAACTTTAGGTGAAAATATGAAGATAAACAAAGTATTGCAAATATACTTGACAATGTTTGTAGCCTTTTGTTTATTTCCGTGACAACTTTTCTGTTCGCCAAATCTTACGTTTCTCCTTTTCCATTTTCACACCGCCTCTTCTCAGCAACGCGTCTATCATGGTAGGTCGCAATTTCTTACTTCTCTCGAATTTTATCCATCTTCATCCTCATTCTTGTTAACTATTTCTGCGATCACGTTTATTCCCAAGAAAGAGCAAACCCTCTACACTTCATACTATGATATAGTTTCAATCTTGGACCTTCAATTCGTGGAAAATTTCCATCTGTTGCTTGCATCTCGCATGCGTTGGACATTTCTTTGCTGCATGGCAGTTTGATCCTAGGTTAATCTGGGCTACGGCTTTTTCTGGCAGTATGGCTCGTTAACGAAACTCGTTTAGATTCTTTTTTGTTCGCGTAACGAACTATAACTTTATATTTTATCACGCCGGTAACCTGCATGGCATGGCAGAGTAGGCCTGCCTAGGGCTTGGTCCGCCGCAATGTTAAATATGCAGTGCACAAATATTTGTGTCTATATTGACCGAGGAGAGCCAATAGCACGAATTAAGATGCTCGAAAGCTATTAAGACTGGATAAACGAACTTGATCAGAAAAAAAAAAAACTTAACGGGTGTCGAAAACAAAAATGATTGTGGCGTTAGTATTTAGTTATCTACAAAGCTTTTCATTCGTAAACTTCCCATAACTTCCATAGTAATTTGTCAGCTTGTGTAGCTAATTTAAGCTAAGAAAGGACTAGCTTTGAAACATTTGGCCAGTAAGGTTACTAAATAATCTGCAATTGTTTTATACTTGGTTCAAACTTGAGGCGACATGACTTCAAATGAAAGAAAAAAAAAGCTCGATTTATTTTACTTCAGTTGAAGCAAATCTTTATGAACATCTAGGATATACCTATCGTTCACGTAACCACATGTTACGTGGGGGCACAATCAACATCCAAGTTCAGACATCTGTAGGTGAAGTACAATTTATGTTCTGTGGGAGCAAGCAGAACCATAAAAAGGGTTTGCTGTCGGAGGTGCACAACAGACACTTAATACCCGTGTACGACAGGTGCTGAGCGAGCGGTTTCGTTCGAAGCAGTTAGTGTAATGAAAATTACAGTACTAGAGGCGGTGTTCACTGGCAGCCTTGCATGATTTTTGAGTGACTGCTTAATCTTCCAATGGAGAATGGTGAAGTCTGGGACATACAAAGCAGAGTTCCTGTGAGAAGTTTCTCTTTCCCCTCTTCTCTTGTGGTTGCTTGAAAGCTCACGGGGAACTGATCTTGAGCATGTCTGGTGAGCAGTCACCTTGAAAACGGCGTCCAGTGAATACCATCTGTGCATGCCTTGTGCTGATGTCGCATCAGTAACTGTTGTGAAGAACCTTGCTGCTAAGATTGGAGTTGCCCTTAAGTTTCTAGACCCTCCTGCCCCCGAAGTGGGGTGTTCTGTTTCGGCACCATTTTAGAAAATCTGGGCCGCTTATTAATGCCTGACCATAAACCAAGTGCTCCCTAGTGTGTGCACTATTGTCTGCAAGTTCAGTAGTCTTCAGTACTGCTTATTGCACCATTTCAGTACCAGGAGGGGTTTCTTGACATTGTGGGGTTTAGAGCCTTTGCTGTAGAAGGTGCTTAAAGGGGCACTGAACTCAATTTTGAGATCTTATGTTTAAAATGTGTTAGTTCTCACATTACGAAGTACATTACAAAACCGCTTACTCATCTCGGGGCAATAGAACATGTCGACTTTTTTCTTGTGAACTACATTGTGTGGACCAATGAAAGCCCTACAATATACGTGCAGATTCCAAGTGATTTTATTATAGCCTGTTTCGAAACGAGTGATAGGTACAGATACTGATCAGACTCCTTTTTTTCTGCGGGCAAAGCCATCGCTTGCAACCCTTTGTTGACCACTTCTCTGGGAAGATAGCAACGTTATGTCGCAATCTTTGAACATGCTTTTATTGAGAAATTAAGCTAAGCACGGTTGTGATTTCGGGTTTGTTGGAATGCTTAAAGCGTCTAGATTGAGTTGTCACCACAAAGGGGCAATCTCAGAATCGATTTTAGGACTCCTTTAAAACCTTTCGCTTTCCACAGCACACTAGGCTAAGACGGTAAGAGTGTTTGCAAGGCAACATTTGGAATGGCGTATGGGTGCTATGTGAAAGATGCTCTGTTACGGTGTGTTGATGCTCTTCAATGTGTTCTCGTTGAAAGCAAGTTTGTGAGCAATGCTTTCCAACACTGACCCTTCCCTCTCCTCCGATCTCGCGAATAGTCGCACCGCAAGTTTTCGGCCCCTCGACACGGGTCGATGGGGTTTGTCCCCAAGAAGCGGAGCAAGCGCCTCCGCGGCAAGGTGAAGGCGTTCCCCAAGGACGACCCCACCAAGCCGATCCACCTGACCGCTTTCCTGGGCTTCAAGGCTGGCATGACGCACATTGTGCGCGAGGTGGACAAGCCGGGCTCCAGTAAGTGCTCACTGGGTCCCCGGCTCGTCTGCCGCCCCCCTGCGGGGCGGCGGACGACGCACCGCTGGCCCCAACCCTCGGGTGGTGGCTATGTGCGGGCCCTCGCGGGCAGTCGGGGGGTCTTCTGCGACTCCCTCGTTGCCTGTCTCTGAGCAGGTAACGTGCATGCTTTTGGGTCCGGGTTTGTCACATGGTGCGAGTTGTGAGAGTTTTAAATGAGGCCGCGGTGCACCTCTGCTATTACGCCCTAAGGCACTCTGTGTTTTCGGCGTACTGCAGTCTGACATCTGCTTGAATGGGGTTGTTGAGCAGTGCAATTGGCTGTTGGTCATCTTGAAGCAGATAGGGTACAGTGGACCTAGAAACATGAGAATCAGCTTTGAGTCAAGTTGCAATTAGCTGGGAGGTGATATTAACATTTGTTTTTAGCTAGGGCGTTGTATGTCGAGCGTCCAATTATGTAGTACGAGAGGCTGGAATGCGGCCTTGCCACCAAACAGAATTTCCAAGTTTTTCAACTCCAGATCTGTCTGAATGTGCGCGGTTATGCCGCTGAGCGTAGGAATTTTCGGTGGTATGGCAGCATTGTGTGGCTCTAACGGTCGGCATTCCTTGTCTGTCCATCCACTATGTTGGCATTACTTGTCACGAGTGCACAGCCAACAGCTGCTTGTGGTTCGAGGGGCCACTTAAAGGAAGATTCGTCTGGTTCCCGACTTCCAGCTTTTGTTTCGTGTTCCCTTTGAAGTGCGGTTTTTGCTTTTGGCTTGCCATTCCGCCCACGCGTCGAGAGTGGTTCCAAAGTGGCAACGAATGACGTCGCAGAAGCTGGAGTGTCGTGCTGTCGGACGTCTCTATCCTGGCGGTCGGTGCCGGAAGTCCCAGCAATAAGTCTGAGCAGACGCAAATGTCTCCGTCGTTGCAGCAGATCAGGTGTCAATTAAATCTACCGCCGCTACTGCAACTGTGCCAAGATCACTGCCGGCGATAATATAACACCTTTATGACGATGTCAGGCGAAAATTGAGGGACCACTTCTTGGGACGCGTTCCATGCACTGTAGTATTGGGTGACCCTTTACTGGCTTTTGTTGATGTCTAAAGAAGCTCAGAAGTTTTCCGTCTTGTGAGTGTCTGCGGAAGCTTGAGTGCTCTGGGGGGGAAATCTGACGGGGTTCTCTTCCTTCTGTGCAGAGGTGAACAAGAAAGAAGTGGTTGAGCCGGTGACCATTCTGGAGGTTCCCCCGATGATGATCGTGGGGCTGGTGGGCTACATCGAGACCCCCAAGGGCCTGCGGGCCTTCAAGACCGTCTGGGCGGAGCACCTGAGCGAGGAGTGCCGCCGGCGCTTCTACAAGAACTGGTACAAGTCCAAGAAGAAGGCCTTTACCAAGTCGAGCAAGAAGTGGCAGGAGGACCTGGGCAAGCAGGAGATCGAGCGGGACCTCAAGAAGATGAAGAAGTACTGCAAAGTGATCCGCGTGCTCGCCCACACCCAGATGAAGCTCATGCGTCGCCGCCAGAAGAAGGCCCACATCATGGAGATCCAGGTGGGTTTGTCCGCTGTAGCAGACGCGCGAGCGGTGACCGCCCTGTGCTGCTTTGCCAGGGTGGAAAGGGGTGGGAGGAGCTCCCCCAAACCCTTTGCCTGTTGACTATAAATATTGGCAGCGAACGTGGCGTTTCTCCTGTCTGTGCGCCTTACGAGAGATTTTCCGTTGTCTCGCAGGTGAACGGAGGCTCTGTGGGTGCCAAGATCAAGTGGGCCAGGGAACACTTGGAGAAGCCGGTGACGGTGTCCCAGGTGTTTGCCCAGGACGAGATGATCGACGTGATCGGCGTCACTAAGGGCAAGGGCTTCAAGGGAGTGACGAGCCGTTGGCACACCAAGAAGCTGCCCCGCAAGACACACAAAGGTCTCCGCAAGGTCGCCTGTATCGGTATGTTGCCTTCCTTCTTTCTATGCCTGCAGGGATGGCAGGGAATGAACGTTCACATGGGAGTGTTTGCTTATGTTTTGCGTTCCAAGACATTCGTGCCTGCAATGCCATGTGCATAGCTACTCGATCTGGTTTACACATTTATACGAAGCGCGGACGTCTTTGGGGCTTTTAGCGTAAGCAAACTGTGCTGTTCTGGCATAGGGACGATTTGTAGCTTGGTTCCAACGGTTGCGGTAAGGAGGGTGGGGCACTGCCAGAATGATGATTCGTATCTGACTTGACTCCTGAGAGTTTAATTTGGTTGAACTAGGACGGACTGACACTGGCGTGCCCTCCGAATTTGTCCGGTAATCTTTGAATCTACCATTTATTGAGGATTCACTTTTTAATCTATGAATCCCCATCTCTCAACCAATCAGTCGAGAAACCTTCTGCTGCACTGCAATAGAGCAGTGTAGAAGCCTACAGACCTCCTAAATGATGCCATTCTAGAGAGAAGGCTCAGTAGGTGCTGTCCAGATGTTTTACCTTATGGATCATTGTCTAGTTCAGGTATCTTGACCGAGGTGCCCAGCTGGCTAGCTCGGCAAGCTACAAGCTTGCACAGTTTTTGAAGCGTCATCCGTTGGGGTGTCCAGGTGCCTGGCATCCTAGCAGGGTGCAGTTCACGGTGGCCAGGGCAGGCCAGAAGGGCTACCACCACCGGACGGAGATCAACAAAAAGATCTACCGCATCGGGCAGGGGGTGCACAAGAAGGACGGCAAGCTCGTGGTGAACAACGCCGCCACGGACTACGACACCTCCAACAAGAGCATTACCCCCATGGTAAGGGAGTGCTTTTTGAGTGAGTTGGCACTGAAGACGTGGTTGTTTGAGCAGGGTAGTCTTGGAGGTGGCAGAAGGGGCTGCTTACGGTTGACGGCTTTGCAGGGGACGAGCTTGTTCTATACCCGTTTCACCTTGCAACGGACCTCGGCGCACGCTAAGACTGGTAGCCAAGCGTCGCACGACCTTTGTTAGAAGTGTACCTGTAGTTCTGCTCAAGCAGCCACTGCAATGGGGGATGCACTGCTGGAATGATGATTCGTATCTGACTCGATTCCTGAGAGTTTTATTTGGTTGAACTAGGACGGACTGACTTCAGCATGCCCCGTCGAGTTTGTTGTTGTTGGTTGCGGTTGGTTGTGACGCGTGCCTACTTTGTTTCATCCACACAGGGTGGGTTTCCCCACTATGGCGAGGTGAACTGCGACTACGTCATGCTCAAGGGCTGCATCATGGGTCCCAAGAAGCGCATCATCACTCTACGCAAGGTGCGTGTCACTCTGGATCATTGACTCTCGCTTCTTGTCGTGATGATTCATTAGAGCCAAACAATTTGTCCGACAGACCGTGGAGGATGCACAATGATAGGGCTGATTGTTCGTTGGAGTTGCGGAGGACGTCAAATGTCGTGGGATTGGGTTTTTAACACCGTCCGTTTCAATCTCAGTCGCTGCTGGTGCACACGAAGCGCGCCGCCCTGGAGAAGATCAACCTCAAGTTCATCGACACGTCGTCCAAGTTCGGCCACGGCCGCTTCCAGACTCCGGCGGAGAAGCACAACTTCATGGTAGGCACTGCCGCCTTCCTCTTTGTTAGCGCAGGGCTAGTTGATACAAGAAACCAACTTGACCAAGCTCGCTGAAACACGCCTAGACCGTGCGGCTCGCATGTACAAGTAGACCTCTTGCTCTTGTGTGACATGTATTGCCCTTGGTCGTGTTTAAGAGAATTCTCAGAACTGGCTGCATGAAACTGGCTTTAGCAGACAATGCCCCCTTGGTGTCAATTGGCTGTTGCATACAGGAAGTTCCCATCATTCATTGCTTGCAACTGGTGCATTGAAGGGCCGTTTCATTCTCAGTAGCAAAATCGAAATGACCAAACATTTAGTTTAGTGTGTGCTTAACCAGAGGTTTAAGCGAGCTGCAGTGGGAAAGTCGTGTTGGTTTCCTGAATTGACCCCTTGAACCAGTTTGTTGGGATGAGAAATTGAGGATGCGCTTTCTGTCTCCCAGTGATGACTAGACCCTAACTGCCTTCCTTCTGATTTTACGATTATTTCTGAAGTTGATTGTTTTTTGTGGCAATGTTTATGCTGATCTGTGGCATGCTGTTGTGTGTCTGCAGGGTCCCCTCAAGAAGGACAAGCTGAAGGAGGAAGCTACTGCCTGAGCTGTCCCTCTCCGAGGAGCAATAAAATGTGCTTGGTGCAGTTTCGTCTCTGTTGTCACGGGTGGGGCTGGGTTCCCCAGTAGCTCGGTTGTTCACATTCTGTGTAAAACTTATTTCCAACTAGCATTGTGAGCATTATCCAAATCCTTGGCTAATGGCCATGCACAGCCGTTTGACACATGGAATTGTCTGGTAGGTAGTTTCCCTTGCAGGTAGTTTCCTTGTGGAATTATCATAAATTTGAGACTGGTTCAAACCTCCAAGTGTGAGTAGCACAGCCTCCATTCTATTTGCAGTACAGGTTGTATTCACTGGCGGTCCACTGCAGGAAGAGAGGGAAAAGCTGCTTTTGGGTACGAATTTTTGAGTGAAAGGTAGTCTATAATCTTGAGGGGGAATATTGACGTCTGGGGAAGCCTGGGACATACAAACGGAAGTCCTGGTGAGAAGGGTTTCTCCTTCCCTTGTGATTGCTGGAGAGCTGATAAACTCCCCGAGCATCAGTTTCATTAAGCGCGAAACACATGTACGACGGGACCGTGCGATCCGACGTCCGACCGCGCAATACGACGGTCGGAGGCGAGGGTTTTATTATAATGAACGGACTCCGACAGTCCGCACGTCGGATCGGACGGTTTCGTCGTACATGTGTTTCGTGCTTCACTCGGAACTTTTTTTTTGTGACTGAGGACACTGCAGCTGGTGACGGGTCAAGAACTCCTTGCCACTTCAGTGGAGCGATTGGTGGAGAGGAGGTCGCCTCCTCTCCGGCGTTTGCTCTACTAAAGTGGAAACAGGTCGGAGGAGCTTCCACTTCGTTCTTGACCTGTCACCAATTATAAGTGCAATGCACGTGCGAACTCTATGTGCTGCATAGTTGGGCAGACATGAAACTGAAGACGTGGTTAATATGGTTAGATAACCCGTGTCACAATGTAGTTTCTCTTTGTGCGCAATTCTTTTTGTGCCACTTGCTTGGGTCTGCTGGAAGTGGGCTGTAGTTTGGGCTCCATTGGAAAGACCGTGGTCATCCGTGGGAGGAGAATAGTGACGGCAAATCTGGGAGAGACAAAAAGGGCCCTGGTAAGGGGTGAGCCCCTTCCCCTCTTCTCTGGTGGCCTTCGCAGCACTCTTTGGATGATGTCATGTGCAAGCCATGCATATTTACAGTCCAATAAATGATGCCAGTCTGCACTGTATGTATCGGGCTATGGCATGTATGATTGTCCAACTTCTCAGCAGCTCTCATTTGAATTCAATTCTATTGTTTGATATGGAAATAAAAAAGTTAAGATATCAAAGTCCACGGTGTGCTAAAGCCAGTTGTTTCTTTCCAACATTAACCGGTGATGGCATGCTATTGGCTGCCTCCTCATCGCTTCCCTGTGCATTCCCTACGATGCCCCTTGATTGACGTGTCCCCTTTTTATTTTTTATTTATTGGATACCGTGGCTCTCAGTTGAAAGCCTTAGCTAGAGTGTAAGTTTTCATAAGAGATACACAATGAGTCGACACCCAAAATGCAAACCTATACATAGATCCAATTAAGTTGTCAAAACTGGTGAGTGATGAAAGCGTGTCAATTTAATTTAACAGTGAATTTCAATCTAGAATTGCCAGAGGGAAAAATTAATACTTGAAAACATTGCATATAAATCTGTATTGCTGTGTATTGTATTCTTGCCCTGGTTTCCAACATCTTCATATTGGCATCTGTAAGCAAGTGCGTACCAGAAGTCCAGTTTGTAAATATGTTGAAGATGAACCCATCAGCTTGTTTTTGGATGCCTTCAAGTCTGCTCATCCTCTCTGCCGTGTGGGCAAACCAAACAGAGTTAGTGCACTCAAGCATTGGTCTAATTAGTGTTTTATATGCTGTATTTGTCTCGGGGTCGGCAAATTTCGGGGTATGCCTAAAGCATAAAAAGTTTACATCTGGCCTTGTTTACAATTCGATCAACGCATTGATTTCAAATCAATTTTTCATTAAGCGTAATGCCAAGGGTATTTATAGTGGTCTCCAGATTGTACATTTTTTCTGTTCACAGTGTAATTAAAATGCAGGGGACTTTTAGAAAGTTACGGTCATTGCTACTGTTTTGTCATAGATTATTTGCATTTGCCGTCTGTTAAACCATTCTTCAATCTGCAGTAGTGCATTATTAAGATGTATTTGATCTTGGTGGGGGATAGTCTTTCCAAATAAATGACACAGTCACCTGCAAAATGCTTGACTGATACTTGCATGTCTTTTAAAAGATAATTCATAAAAAAAAAAAAAGGTGGACAAAGTAATGATTTCTGGGGTGCCCCCGAAATGACGGGAATGTTTCGATGGACCAAAGATGCGTTTTGGAACACTTGCTCGCCGTATAGTCTTGCAGGTTTAGAACAGCAGGAAAAGCTACTCTTGCAAAGCTTGTCATTCTACTGAAATGCTAAACAGGAGGAAAGCAGCAATTGCAGCAAGCAGAGAGCTTTGTGCACGGAGCCTGCCCTACCATTCTACTAACAGGCCAGGGGAATAAGAGAAGGCGACATACCAGCCCAAGCCAGCCGAACAAGAAAATTCCAAGTGTAACCGGAAGTAGAGGTCACGGCCAGTGGGAACACCCCCAAGGGTGACTTACACAGCCTTTTACGCCAAATCAGCTCTGCCTTTTGTCGCACAGCATCTTTTGGTTTTGCTCATCGTTGGGGGCGTGTCCCTCCAAACCGGCAACCAGAAGTCTCTGCCGGCTTCACCTCTGATGGTGTCATGTCGCCTCCAGAAGCTTCCTACCCTTACGGAGCAGGCAATGGAATACTGTATTGAACCATGGTTAAAAGCACTAAAAAAAGACGTACACAAGATAGAAGACAAACACGGGCGCTTGCAGCGCCCGTGTTTGTCTTCTATCTTGTGTATGTCTATTTTTGGCGCTTTTAACCACGGTTCAATACAGTCAACACCAACTAGCCCAACAACAAGTTCTTTTACAATGGAATACTGGGTTTGTGGGTGGGGCACATGTGGTTTTAATTGCCAACCGGCACACAGTTTAGCAGTAAACTCGCCAAGCAGGTTACAGATGCACACACGAGCTCCAGCATACCTCTGAAAGTAAAAATAATAATAATGTACAGAATAAAAGACGGCAACGCAAAATGTGTACTTTTGCGAGAGCACAAGAAACAACCATAGGAAACATTTGTAATGTAAAGCCAAGCGTATCTCCACAGTGCTGATACGTGCAACAATCGTGGTGAGGGTAGTACTACGATCAAAAGACTCTCGTAAGTGCCGTACAAATCCGGGGAACACTCTACGAAGGCAACAACAGCAGGAAAGGGACCCTAGGTTGCGGGAATCTTGGGCAACCCAAACTCGTCCACGAGAACGCCTCCCTGAGTCGCGGGCACGCTATCAGCTCCCGGTTCTTTCGTGGGGATGGTCGGAGCGGTGACTTCGTCCAAATAAGACGTGTCCTCGTCCAGCGCGATCTCGTCTCCCAAGGCGTTCAGCTCCGCTTCGAGCTCGTCGTCGTCGACCTCTGGCATACCGTAGCTCCTCCCCAGGGCTTCCTGGACCTCCCCGGCCTGGTCGAGCATGTCTTCCAGGTCGTCCTGGAGGTTCTCGATGTCGTCGATGTTGACCTTCTTGTATTCGCGCTTCATCTCTTTCACGCCCAGCCGCATCGCCTCCATCGTGGTCTTGGTGTCTTTCAGGGTCTGCGTCGCGAAGTTTGCCTGCTCCATGTTGAAGGACTGCTGCATGAGGTTGTCGCGCTGCTGTTCGTACATTTTGCGCTGTTTGAGGACGCGCATGGCCTTCTGCTTGACCATGTTTTTGGCCGGCCCGTCCCGCATCTTGACCATTTGGTCCTTGTACTTCTTGAGCTCGGCGTCTAGTCGAGAGATCTTCTTGTCGACGGACTCTGCGCGGCCATCGACGCCAGCGATGCAGTCGGTTAGGTTCGGCGGAGGCTCTTTCGCCTTGCCGCGGCCGAAGAGGCGATTCATATTGGTGGGTCTGGGTGGGGTGTGTTGTCTCTTACTCACTCAGACCGGGCGTGAGACAGCGTCCAACGCCGTAACGACGCAAGAGCCAGGATTTGGGGGAAAACTTCTGCGGAGATTGCCAAACAAAATGTCGACTGAGTCACCGTCTGATAGCAAAGTCGCCGAACTTTCGTATAAAAATGTGTTCCGAATATTTTAAATAAATATATCATAGCAATTTTCATAATTTTAACTAGAGTATATTGGAGGGATACAGTATACGTCCTACAGCCTTCATCAACATCTATTACAAGCCTTCCCAGAAACGTCAAGGCTAGGTAGCGCAAGCTACCGCCCAATACAAAAAAAAGTGTCAATCACCACTAACACTTTCAAAACATTAGAGTGCGAAGGTTTCATCTGGGGTGTCGCGAACTTTTGTCGAACCGGATTTTTAGGTCGAACTTTCGGGGTTCGACTAAGCCGAACCGGTTTGACGAACCTTCGAACCTTTTCACCAGATTCGACCGGTTCGACTTTGCGCCCGTGCGGACAGTGTGGCCAGACCTTGATAGACGCATGTCTAGGTTTGGAGAATTTATTTTTATGCAAATGGTTATTTTATTTTATGAACAGTTGGAATTAAAAGAAACCACTTCTAATCACTAAAGACGGTAATAACTTAATTTTGTTTGTACTGTATTAACTGAAATAACCAACCAGCGGTGCCCTTTTTTCATCCATTAGCCATTACCATCCAATCCGAAGCCAACTGGCCAGCCTGTCGCGCATGCGCACACGAGTCAAACCTCAATACAAGGTCGTCGAAATTTCCACGAAAAGTTCGAAAAAGTCGAACCAGGTCGACCTCGAACCTCGGCCGGTTCGCGACACCCCTAATATTAAGTATTAAATTTACCTGTATTTAAAATAAAATGTCAACTGTTGAAACCAATAGTTGAAAAACTGATATTTTAAAATGTATTGTAATAAAACTTTTTACTGATTTATTTAATTGAAAAATAGGATACGAAACTATCAAATACTATTGGAAGCGCGTTGGCCGAATCGGTCAGCTGCGGAAGAACTTCGTAGACCCGATTTTTCGCGTGCGTTGAACGACTTCGGTGTATAATTAGCGTGAAATCTTTTTCAAATCAAAACTCGCTACTATGCCGTCGGGCGACGTGCCACCCAGGAATGCATTCGAGAGATTCTACAACGGCCTATACAACCTATGGGACACGCCGGTCACTTGGTTTCGAGGTGAGGAACGCTCGGAAGGTCAAATGCGACGTCTTCATTCCTGCAGTGTGCATGCTTGCAAAATATCACGTTTACCGAATTTCCTAAGATCCCATATTCGTCTGACCGAAACCTTCAAAGTGTATGTTGCTATCGCTTTGTTGCGTTGCTCTTTTCCTACTACGGCATTGTACGGTCGGAACATAGGCGAGCAAGCGAACATCATCGATGCAATGCCATGAGTTCTAATTTCTGTGGAATGCCCATTCAGCTAGTTGCTCAAAACTTTCTCAACTATGAAAATCTAGTGCGCAATCAATAAAAAAAAAATAATAACTTTATAACTTTGAGTATGAAGTCGCGCTAGCAGGCTAGCATGAAACTGATACCCGTTACAGCGAACGTACGGCTTTACCGAATGTCTAATTACAGCGAACATACGACTTAACGTAGGAAACATCTTAGAATACCATCGTAGTTTTGCTGAAAAAATTAACCTATGCCTTTGATTCGAAATTTGTGCCGTGCTGATTCGTTGTGCAGGCGGGTGATTTCTACTGCTCCAAATCGGACGTTTTGCAGCGCTAGCTGTGACAGGGACTTCCCAGCAGCCTTCGCGGCGTCAACGTTGCGCCAGGCGGAAAACCGCCCCGCGACGCCGGGAAAAGCGCGCGCAATTGGCATCTCGCCAAATGGCAGCATCTTCTACAATTGGCGAGGGATGCATCTGCACATATCATCCCAGAACTTGGTTTTGTGTGTGGTGTCGGATGTGAAGCAGCCCACCACACATAAGGCCCGCTTCAAACGGGGCAGTGTCACCCAGTAACTTGACGTCGCAACACCTGCAACACGGGCCGCCCGCTTTCACACTTAGCAACCGAATTGCTATGACTTGCCGTCATCATCATTCAATTTGGTTTTTATTGTACTATTTAGACGCACAGCTATGCGCTAAAAACGTGTTTTTATATCTCTGAATGGTGTTGAGAATACTGACTCATCTTTCTGAAAAGGTTTATTTCCAAAAACGATCCATTTCAAACCAGAACACAGTCTTTAGCTGTCATCATCACCACCACAGGGGTGTCACGTGAAAATATTGCGCCCCTGATCGGCCTCAGCCGCTTCAAACGTCTTCGAATTGCTCCAAGTTGCTCGTTTGTTCGAGCGGGACCCGTTCTCAGCAATTCGTGTTGCCCCGTCTGAAGCGGGCCTAACAGTACCTGTCTCGATTTACTTTTAGGCAGGGCCACCTCATAGTTGGTGCCAGCGTGTTTTCTCGTTGGAGATCACAAGAACTCTGTTGTTAGCTGACGCAAGTGTGCAAATGGGCCTTAACTGGTCTTGCCAAAACTTCTCTGTGCACGGTTACAAAAAGCTGTAGAATTTTTTGCCGGCGTGGTTCACTTCATTCTCGACTAAGCCAATTTGAGCCAACCCTTACTGCGCGCGTTTCTATTTTCCGTTGCAGAGAAAGTGGTGGCACCCAACAGGAAGCAGTACTACTGGTACCACCGCCAGCTGCCGAGGGTGCCGGAAATCGACCAGTGCTACACGGACGATTTAATGTGCACGTTTGAGGCCAACGAACAGTACAAGAGAGACAGGTCGGTGTTTTCTCTCTCTCAGTCTCTTTTTCGTTCGTGAACCCGTCCAGATGTTACCATGATGCGATTTCATCAATGCCAGTCGGTGTTATGTCAGTGTCCAGCTCAACTGCTGTGCCATGAGCCGATCTTCAGCTCTCAAAACGAAGCGACACCATCATTAACTGCACTCACAGTCCATCGTGTACTAGCAGGAGACAGGAGTGTTGTCTCGGCTATGCTAACAACCCGTTGTTCATCGGCGAAACATTGTAACACAGCCTAACTGCACTAACAGTCTATCGTCTGCTATCAAAACAAAGTGAAACCATCCTAAAGGGGCTGTGCAACGATTTGAACGGTGAAATTATTTGCAGCTCTTTACCTTCAATATTGCTTTTCTTCATACTGTAAAGAGGAAGCATTTCACCCTCCCCCAAAATACCACGTAATCGTAAAAGTATGAAACAAGTTACTCCCCAATCTGCAGCCGCATGTGGCGGTTGTGGGAGCTACGGTGTCGCATCACCGGTTTTCGTGGCGCCATCTAACCTAGGTCAGTCAAACCGTTCCCTTTCCACTACCACCCTCCCCCGTCCAAACTGTCTTTTGTTTCGATCGCTTGCCACGACCTTCGGCGATCCATTCACGGGGAGAGCGCAGGAAGTCTCGAAGAGGGAACCCAACAAGAGACCACCTGGTGTGCCCCCCCCCGTGACGTCATCCAAAGGATGGCATAAGAGTGGATGGGCTGCTACAAGCTTTAATTTGTTTAATTAAAAAAAAACGAAAAAACTAGCGCATGCAAGAATGCATGATTTTCTGTTTTTTTATTATAGGGAACAGTGACTGACCCCCACAATTTAGTGCCAAAATCTAAAAATCGTCGCACCGCCCCTTCGCCTGCGCTAACGGTCTGTCGTCTGCTAGTGAAATGAAGTGATGCCTTCGCAGCTGCATTTTACAGCCCCGTTATCTGCTTGCGAAACACAAGTAGGGTTCTGTAGTTTCGGTTTACACCGCAAAACCCCAAAATCGTGGGGAAAACCAAGAAACCTCATATTGGAGCCGTCGTTGAATAAAAAAAATCCCAACTTTCACGGGAAGAAATCTGTAACTGCAGCTTCACTTTCCGGTACCCGCACACCTCGCTCGTTTCCTTCTTTTGTTTATACCGAGACAATCCCCAGGTTTTTGGGTCAAGCTCTGACCCTGCCAATACAGAACCTGTCTCGTCTGCCGGCGTGATTAGAACCGTGCGTTTGTGTTTTGGCGTCCGTTCCAGGGATGTTGACACAAGAATTCTGCAGATCCTGAGTCGGAGGCGCGACGACTGCTACATCTATGAGTCGCCCGAAACAGAGAAGTGTAAGAAGCTGCACGAAGACTTCAGGGAGGCCGAGCTTAACTGGTTCATCAAATGTAAGTCAGACGTTGGTGTAACATTGGCACAACATCGGTAGAACGTCGGCCTTACCCCGGCGGAAGGTTGGCCGGACACTCTCTGAACATTGGCCAAATATAGGTAAATGTTGATCACACATTAACGGAGCATTGGTCAGATAATGTTGACCAGACGTTGGCAGAAGGGTGGGCAGATATTGGCAGAGCAATGGCAAGATACTGGAAGATTGTTGTCCAGACACTGGCAGAACATTGGCCGGAGTGGCGTTCCTCACGAGCTAAAATGCAGGTCGAACGTTCAACGCATCGCAGATTCGCTAACTTATGAAGTACCCTGGGGACTTTGAATGTATTAAACACCCTTGAATGTGGAATTGTCATTTGGTTGGTCTTTGAAACCCTCGAGTTTAAGTATGACGGTAGCCGAATAACAGTGTTTTAGTTGGGGAGACTGGTCTGGGAGATTTTTGTATTGTTTTATGCCAAAACCTAATGAAACGTTCAAGCTTTTTTAGTTTTCTTTGCTGATTTCAGATACCTGTTTTTTTTTCTAATCAGTCGGTTGGTTGTCAAGATAATTGAAAATCACCCACCTTTGCAGAAATAGGTGTAAACTGCTTAACAAAAACTTACTTTTAACAGATGGCTAGTACTTCAAAGTGTAAGGAATCTGATGTTGGAAGTACTTAGACTAGTGTTATGCAAATATTCAATATTTCGAGTGGTAGTCTCGAATAATACGCTATTCAGTATCCGCTACGAGATGAACGGCAATATTAATATTTCTCAAAATGTTGATCAGACTTGTTGAGCATGCTTCTTATTGAGCGTGGGTGCACTGCGGAAAGGCAAAATCTCGCGGTAGCGAACTCCGGAAGTGTTTCTTCTTCGCAGTGCACCAGTGCTCGGTATGAATATTGCAAGTGCGTGCCTGGTGTATTTGAAAAGAAGCTGAACCTTTGTGAATGTTGATATCTACATTGCAGTAAAATTTAAAAAAATTAAACGGACTGTTGTGTAAGTGTATATGTTAGGCTTCAAACTCAAAATTCACTATTCGCGCATCACTAACTTCGACACATAAAAGGAATGGACAACGTAGAATGTCTCCAAAGGTCTTTTCTTTTTTTTCTGTTCACTGTCTCAGGTTCAGCGATGTCAAACATTAAGCTTCAGGGTTCAGTGTATGTCTCCCAATTAATAAAAGAAATAGACAATTAAAAACTTTGCTAGACCTATATTGAAACATCTCCCCCCATTTGGATGCCTTGCACATTAAGCTACATGTTGAAAAAATGAGAGAGCTAGGTATCTCCTTTTTGCCAAGAGTTCAAAATTTGTTTCGAAAGAGCGTCATTTTAGCGTCGACATCAATCCAAGTTCAATCCGCAAAATCCACGAAATTGGAAACTTGGTGGTCCAGGAGAAAAGCACCTACAGAGTTCGAAGTCACCACTTCCAAAAAATTAATTCTCTAGGCTTTTTTTTTTTTTTTTTTTTTTTTTAATTTAGACAGATTATGTTAAGATGGCCATTTTTATATTCTTCTTTTGTACGTGCCCAGCCACATCCACCGCCACAGTCACATCTCGGTTACATGGATACATCGCTACGTATTTAGACAAGAAACATTCAGGGATGAACTATGTAAATAGGTGCAGTTTTGACGCATTACCGTGGACAACTCACATAATGGACAATCTTGGGGGAGGGGAGGGGGAGGAGGTACAAGATATTCCCTGGAGCACAGTTGCTTTTAAAATGATTGGAAAATGTTTAAATTCTGTGCCTACGCTCTGTTGTAAATTAAGAAAAGCAGGACGAGATTCTCCTACAATGCCCTACACTCACTTTAGCAGAGGGAACGCTGGCGAGGAAGCGAGCCCACCAGCCTCCTCTCCAGCACTTTGCCCGAGAGCGCACGCAACCGAGATACAAGGCGAATTCGCGTGCCTGCGCAGCAGTGTGGGGCGAAAGCGCCATGGAAGCCACACTAACCTTCACAACGTAGCACAAGAAAGGTGGCACCCAGCACATTCCACTTCGCCTCGTCACGAACTGCGGGGTACGCTACGTGCCATTGAAGCCGATCCGATACTGTGCGGCTGTCACGTGACTTGCGGGAGGGGCACAGTGACCCATGAGCGCGTTTACGTTCGCAGTGCCACTTTGGCTGGGATGGCCCATAGCTTCCCGTTCGGTCTGTCGTGAGATGAAACGAAGCAGAGTTGCCGGGGCTGGCTGTCGATTAAAAATTTAAACCCAATTAATCGCCACCCTTTCGTCAACCAATCAATCGATTAGCCGGCAGCAGTGATCTTCGTGCGCGGTATGAATAATAGTAAATGGCTCAAATAGACGCGAGGACAAGGAGATGAACATGGACTCTGTGCCAACTCGCGACATTCGTCTTCTTTTGTTTTACGCGTACATGCACGAGAGGAACAAGCGTTAAAACAAGCGCAGGCTGGACATCTTTTTGCCTAGCCATCTATTGCCCGTAGCGTTGCACCGTTTACCGTTATTTATACTACGTACCGACACGCCCAACTGCGAGCGTTGCTTCGTGCACAGTATTTGGAGAAAGTGTCCAAACTATACATTTTTCGTTTTACTCTTTCTCGCTACATCATCTACGGCAGCATGTGCCGCCTCGTTTGAAACTCGACGCCGCACCACCCAGAAAAGAAAATGCGGGGAAACCGTTTTAAGAATAAAATATTTTTTTTTTTTAAACCTAATATTCACTCTGGATTACAGTCATAGGGAATGCCAGCGTTTTACCGTGGAATACAACAATGCTGCCTCCCAAGATATGTAAATGTGCACCAGCAGTAAAGCGAGTGACTTTATCCCCAAAATTTCCAACTCAAAACTCGGCCGATTAGCCGGATAAAGAAGTGCGTCGCAATTAAAGCGTAGTCGACTGATCAGAAGGTTAATCGATCGATGCAGGGCACATGTTCGTTTGCTTCTTTTGCAGGTGTTACGGTGACGTCGGAACGCCAAACTCTGATTAGCTCTGACTGAAGGATAGTGGGTGGACCTCGAGGCAGCTTAATCCAAAGCTCGACGTTCTGGTGTCACCACAACACCTGCAAAAGAAGCAGACGAACTAGCGCTCCGCATTCATTGCCTAGCCCTAAAAGTTACGTTCATCGGTGCACCGCCAAACCGTGGTGGTGCGAGTGCCTCAGTGCTGCGCGTCGCCTTGCAGATGGCGACCTGGGCCCCCACGTGACGGTGGTGAACGCGTTCATGAAGCAGAAGCACCGGCTCGTCGCCGAGCGACGCAGGGCCCTCAAGGAGCAGCAGGAGGCAGAGGAAGGCGCTTGACCAAGTTGGCGCGCGCAAGACGCAACCGACAAGACATAGGCTTCTAGTTCGACTCTTCGGCGTCTTCGTCCACGAGGCCCAGAGAGATCCGACGTGTCGAGAAATAAGAGTGGAGTGGGTTAGCATACCTCCGACTCCGTCTCACGTGTTGTTGCATTTGGAATGGCGGTAGGGTGACGACGGCGTTCCGTGCACATCACCCAATTAAGGCCCGTTCGCGCATACAATCCAGTGCCGAATCGACCCTTGAAACGGCGTTGATGTGGCACCAACCTTAACGTGACTTAGCGCCAATGCGGTGCCGTATCGCTAATACAGTGCAAATTAAGCCCTGCTTCAGCAAGGTCAGTGCTACTTCCAGTGCTGACTAATAGTGCCGACGTGTACGTGTGAACGGGCCTTTGCAGCGGAAAGGGGAAGCGTGGTGATTGCTCGCTTTTCCCAGGGGCGGAGAGCGGTCCCAGGCATCGTGCCTCGAGCGCCGCTATCACCGTGGCACTGTCTGTAAGCTGGCAGCAGCGTCGTAATGGCAGAAACCAGTCAATTATTTGGAAATTGGGTTCTAAAACGAAGCAAACGAGAAATATAAAAAGAATATAGGTGGTCGTGTTTCCTTTTTTTCGGCTGAAAAATTCCTCCACCGATTGTAATAAAATGCTCGATCCACCCATTTTTGTTATCACCTTGTTTTCTTCTAGCCCCAAGTGCGAGGTGGTGCTGCTTCCCGCATGGAGAATATGTTTCACCCTGTAGGCTCGAACTGTGGGACCGCTCTCGTCCGAACGTTCTTTCAATATCCCTTCATAGCCCGCCGTAAACCCAGTTTCGAAGCCTCGCGTGTCCGCAGTGGGCAGACTGGCATACCCAGGGTGGCCAGACTAATAAACCTTTCTGTCAAATTACCCCAGTCACGGAGGGAATGCTGGGAATGTAGGTACACGCGTTGCACGTGCTCGGCTCGCCTGGTACATAAAAGATTAGAAGGAATTGATCAAAATAAGGTGTTGACAAATGCACCTGAAAAGTGCCATTTATGTTAGGTTTTTACTTGGGAACGGTTACTGCTGCAGATGCAGGCGCCTGCGTCTATGCCCCGCAGCATGCCCCTCGGTGCTTGGATAATTTAGCTGAAGTTTAAAGGGACACTGACATGCCAGAACAATTCTTTTCAATTTTGCCAGGCAATTTTTGTATAGTGTCGGGATACTACTTAATCAATATTTTGCTGCAGAGTCATATATCTCTTTTATAAAGCAAGAGAACTCGCTGCTCCGAAACTGAAACGTGAGCACATAGATTCATGGCCAACTACACGTACCGAGGTGGAGGGGGACATGTGAAGGCGGAGGGGGTTGCCATTAGTCACGTGGCTATGGCTCCTCACCCAGTTATTTTCTTTTTCTCCGCTTCTCTAGCGCGTGAAGCAGATAACGACGAAGTTACGTGCACTGTTTGTCGTGCGATTGTTTTGCACTTATATTCCTTTCGCCCGCTGTTCTGCGCTTAAAGATCAATTAGCCGGTACCATTCCGAAATAGCATCCCCACGCCCGTTGCAACGTTGGTCCGTCGTGCACTGCCATCGTGTTGTCCAGCGCACGGTTCGTCACCATTTTGAGAATGACGTAGTGCATGTACTTCCCTGATCTGTGCAACGTTTTTTTTTTCAATCGACATATTTGCAGCTTCTTCAAGGCCACAAAAAATGAGGTTCATATTCTTTTCTATTTTTAATATTGAATGTGTGCCTTAGATGACCTATAACTTTGAATATATTTGGTAGACCATAGTTCGAACGCCACACGATAATAAAAAAGAGAGCGAGCGCGACTGAAACTGGCCAATTCTCAACCTACTTTTCGGGCGTAAAGAAAACGAATTTCGCGCCGCAGACTGTATTCTGGGTATTTGGGCTCTTATGGGTCATGTTCAAATATAAACCTTGGCGTGCATAAATACCCTGTCAGTGTCCCTTTAAATTTGGGGTCGCCTGCTAACGTGCAGTTTCTTTTAAGCGTGTTTCGTGCTCGTCTTGCAAACAAATACGAGATTTAGAAATGGTGTTTGGAGCGGACTTCCACGTTTTTGTCAGGGAAATGCCGGCAAGTATCGCCTGTGGATCGTTGCGTATTGGGGCATGCTGGTCAGGCCAGGATTCACCCGTGTGATCAAACGGTCTTGTGGCCCTTGACCCAATGAGAGTCACTTGCAGTAATCATTGATTTAGTTCTGTTTGATCAGCTGTTTTGTTCAGACTACCCACTTTACAGCTGGTACCCCAGAAATATCCATTTTAACTTTTCCCAGAAGTGGAATTTGGTAGTGAAACTGGGGGCTTCGTCCTGAAAGCCTTTCAAAGGAACATGGCAACACGACAGTGATGTACAGTGCAATCCACTTGTTACGATGTACTGCTTATAACGATCAGTTTCTAGAGCTAGACTAGAAATAATCAGTTTCTAGTCCAGATACATCAATAATCGGCTAGAACGATTGAATTTTTGGGCTTTCTCTATCATTATAAGTGGATTGCACTGTGTACCCATTTCAGTTAATCAGATTTTTATCAAGGTGCCGACAATAACGTCGGTTTAAACCTGAAAACCTAGTTTGACGAAAACAATGGTTCTGAATTAAAGGGCCATTCTCCCAAAGAACTATGTACAATCTTTTATAGCCAGCGAAAAATAATAGAAGAGTGTTCACTTCTTTTTTCTGCTCTTCATTCTTTCGTCCAACTTGAACTTGACCGAACTCGCGAGGGATGCCAGCGACTGCTGGCTCGACATTGTCTCTGGCTTTGTCTCTGGCTGTGGCTCCCCGGCTTCTTCCACTTTCGGCTTCTTGGCTTGGGTCGGCTTGGCGGACGGCTCTGCCAGCCTCCTCTTCTGCTTTTCCGTCAGGAGCGCGTCCATTCCCTTGGTCTTCTTGAAGTGGCGGTCGGTCGGGTCGATGCTGAAGTGGTGCGAATCGTACAGCGCCGAAAACCGAGGATCCGCAAGGTCCATCTACGACGGAAAAAAAGGTCGACTGTGAACTCTTAAAACTCTTCAAGAACTGGAAGTCCCGTTTTAGACTACGCTCTATAAGGAGGCACGTAAAAACTTCATAAGTAAATTCAAATAATTTGTAGATGCGAATACATTTCCCCTAGAAATGAGGATTTTAGGGACCATGCTTGAGTACCACTTGCGAAAAAAAAGAGCAAAGGAATACGTTCTGTGTCACTTTATGCACAAGTACCGTATTTCTGCAACGGCAAATTACGGGTCAAAATAAAAGTTTTTGCTTAGATAGTCCGCACCCGGTGCGTGGTCCACATGTGGTGCGTGGTCCGCACTTAGTGCCTCATCCGAATGTAAAAATGATCAGACACAGCACATCTTGACAAATGCCCGCAAAGGAGCGTGTATCGTACGTAAATCACCATTAATATACTCTATTATTCGTAAAATTCTTCGTATCTTGTCACAGTAAATGATCTAGAAAAATACAAAAGCTTGTATAATCCGCACCCGTAGATAGTTTGCACCGGGTAAAATTTCAACTTTTAAACACTTATAGTCTGCAAACTATACGTCGGAAAATACGGTACATAATGATAATACACGGCAAAATAAGAAGAGAAAATAATCGGCAACACAGCGTAGAACTTGCAAGTGCACAAACTGCATAATGGGGATCAAAACAATTCTACTCTCAACAATAATATTCTCGTGGCAAGTGTCCAGCCGCCCACACCGCCAAACTCTCGGCATCCGCGAAACGGCGACGAAAAAGCCGCCGAGGTGACGGCATGGCAGACAAACAAACGTCCCAGCACCCCGGCACGTAGCGATGCGGTAAACGCACTTGTCGAGGCAGGTTCACACATTTACGCCTGTAACCGCTGATGACTCGACAAGAAATGGTTGCTCATAACCAAAGTTTCGTGTTTCCGAACAAATTAAAAAAAAAAAAATCTGAAAAAACATTTGTTGGTAAAATTTCTGTCCATTCAAATTTATCGGATAAACTCGGATTTTTTTAGGCCGAAATAACAAAACGAAAAGCAATAGAGAAATGGAGACAATGTCTCACGAACAAATTTTATAAGAGTGCAGCGTCAGTGGTCCTGAGGACTGGCCTCTTCAGTTTCCTTTGAGACGTCGGACTACTGACAGACTGACACCTTCCGCCTCGTCAAGGTTCGCTGGGACAACCGGTCATGGCACCTCTTGGTCACGACAAAAACTATTGTTTAAGATTCTAGTTTGGACTGTACTACCATTCGAAGAGGGGGGGGGGGGGGGAGAGAGAGAGAGCAGCTGGTGCTTCTATGCTTCTCAACAACTACACCTGGGATTTATATTGGAAGTGTCAACTGTTAGCGAGGCGACACTTCTTTGCAGTATTTGCCGCGGGATAAATAGTATTGCCAACGGCAAGGGTGCAATCGCCAAAGGCAGCTGCAGAAATATTGTTCGATACAGGCAAGTTCCGACAAATTCAGAGTACATGCTTGTGCTCAAACTTGGTTTATTTTGTTTTCGAATTTTGAAAAATTGAGAACACGGCAAAATCATACTTTGAATTAACAAAAAGTTAACTCGGATAAACCCCTAATATTTGGCGAAAAATATCTTTAAAAAACAGCCTCCGAATTTCGCGAGGAATACTAAACTTTAAAAACATGGAATCCCACCTGCAACGTCGTCACCAAAAATTCGAAGCCCGCGGCATACGAACGACACGTAAAAGGTTAGAAAAAAAATCCTCGAAGAATGTGGAATGGCCCGCAAAGCTTTATTTGCCCGAGCAGGCAAATAAAGCTAAGAACTTCCACGAATGTCTGGAAAACTCCGAATGCACAATGCAAGTGGGGATTTGCACCGGCCGAGTTTCCACAGCTCGGGCGGGTAGCAGAAATTTCTGGCTAGTGGGGGTTGTACGAGTTGCAAAATGGCGGTTGCCAGAGAGCTCTTGGAGGGGTCTATAGTTGCCGGCAGAGCGAGAACAGCAGGGAGGAGCTCCGGTTGTCCTGCCCACCGGCGCGAGCTTCATACCCTTGGTAACGTTTCAACGTCTCAAGCGCGTGCGCGGCCAAAGCATGGCGATAGACATGGAGCGCATGCTCTTCCTGCCCTTCTCACTCTATCTGTGACTGTCAGCAACATGCTGACAGATTGCTGTTCTCTCTCTGTCGGTGACCGCACCGGAGTGGGCCGTCCCGGACACGGCGAATAGACGTCTCACCTGGAAGGCGGTCTCCGCGGAGGACTCGGTCGCGTTCCCCTCCTTGCGGCCCTTCTTCTTCTTCCGCTTGGAGCCCTGGTTCTCGTCGAGCAGCTTCTGGAGGCTGAAGTGCTGCCGCCCGTCGTCCTCGTCGTCCATCAGCAGGAGCTCCAGCTCTGCCTGCTGTTGTCATCAGCGGCGGGGGTGCAGAAGAACGAGAATTTGCATTGGTAACGGAAGCTTAAGACGACTGCTGCAAAGCACGTCCCTCGTGTGGAATGTGGCCACTTGGAGGGGCATTGCAACGATGTTCGGACCTTGGCTAAATTGTTTTGGGAATCATTCTGCGCCACCTAAAGAATGAACGGATAACCATTATTTCTTGCGTGTGCTAGTTTTTATTACGAAAACGTGTATACACCCAATGACACCACATGTAGTTCTAAATACCACCACACGCAACTGGAGATTGTGAAAAAAACAAGTTTTTTTCTTCGCGATTATGCGGGCGAAATCACAATATTTTGAGGGAAGGTGTCAGTCACTTCGTGCCAAGATAAAGATAAGAAACGTGCTCCAAAGTCTTTCAACGTTAAAATTGTTGCACTACCACTTTAATCGTAACCCCGCCCCCCCTCCCCCTAAGGCCCCTGAATAAAAAAAGGTAGCGACATCTTCTCCCTCCTCCTCTGACGCACACACTTTTTATCTTTATTTTTTGCACCGTCCTTCGCACTCGCGCATGGACGGTAGCGCTGCCTGGATCGTTCCAAGATGGCGACATATATGCGGACTAAAGAGCACTCTCACGGTACACCCTCTGCGTTCAAGTGGACAAACAGTGAAGAACATTCTCGAAAGAAAGACGATGGAAGCCGTGACGCTACATTTTCGGCGTTACTTGGTTGAAGGGCAACTCCTCCTCCCCCGTGCACGCTCCTTTATCTTAATTTTTTTGCTCTTTCGTACATTCACGCGTCGACGGTAGTGCCACCTGGATCGCTCCAAGAGATCATGCAGCATTCTTCAAAGGATATCGCTACTTTTCCGTATAAGGGAGCTTTATTTCCCCCCCCCCCCCCCCCCTCCCTGTCCCCCATTTCTAGCCCCTTGGAGAGCCAGACCACGAGTCCGGCTCTCTGGTTGAGAGCCGGACTCGTGGTCTGGCTCTCAACCAGAGAACCGAAAAACAACATGAAGGGGGTGCACCAGTGCTGCACCCCCTTCATGTTGTTTTGTTTATTTCGAATTCTCACAAAAAAAGAAAACTGCAGACTCTTAGAAGAAGAAAAAAACGATTGACGATTGTGGGCGCGGTGAAAGTCGACATGGCCTTAACGTGGAGGTCCGCCTTGCGGATGAAGAACCGCAGAAACGTTTGTTTCAAAGTAATATGAGTGCCCTACCATTTCCGATAACGAGTTGTACCATCTCCGATGACTCTGAAACTTTATTTCAAATCGGCAATTTGCACGGAAATTAGAGGAAACATTCTCTTGGCAGGTTTGTTGCTCTCCATCTTCGTGAATGTTTCCAACAGTACAACACAGCGAGGAACTACTGATGGACAGACAGCAAATAACGGTGAGAGAAACAAACGACGTCGGGAGGCCGACTGAATGCTTCCTTTAATTTTCATGCAAATTGACACTGTTAAATAAATTTTTATGGTATGCATATACAAAAGAAGATTGGTACGCAATCGGATGGAAATTGTGCCGCTACCCAGATAGTGCTAAACCATATGCGTCGCGTCACGTTGCAGGCGGTATAATATTTTCAGGTGGTGCGACACGAATGGACAATGTCGTCCATTCGTGTCGGTACGTGTCACATAAAATAAAAATGGTGCAGAGGGTAGAAAGAAGAGTCGGGGGAAGTGCAATGCCCGTGTCCTACCTGCTTTCGAGTTATTTTGCACTGCTTTCTCGTCTGCACCCCAGTGCAATGTATGGACGTACATTGCACTGGGGTGCATTGGTGCAGCCACTACTGCTTGACACGCGTTAAAGACGCCGGGTTAGCGGTCACACTGAACTGGCCAAATTGTCCCTCGACAACAGAGATATCGCTCGGCACATTTAAAGGCATCGACTAACTTTTCGTCGTCTAAAAGTTCATCCAACGAATCTGGTGGCACCCAAAGAGAAGGCGTGCTTGCTTACATACAAAGTGTTCTTGCGTCTGAATATATGGGTTTTGTTTTATGGCAACAGCCGTTGTCGGAGAGGTTTCTTGGCGGGCATCGAGGTGCGTCTCCTATCTCGTTGCTGGAAAATTTCTCCGCTCAATTCGACATCGTGACTTCAGTGACACGCGGCCTGATCATATGATGTCACATCTTGTGACACTGAATGACAGACGTCGGTGTCACATGACCCGGTTATAGCTCCCACCACAGTACACTTGCAAAACATGGCAAGGAACTGCGAAATTTTTAAAAATCTTTAAGAACACTCGTAGTGCTTAGATGTGCCTAAATGCGGCCAGACTGTTTTAAACTAGACCCTAAATTGGCAACATTGTATACCGAGTGGAGTCACTTTAAGACGTGGCACCTACAAACATAATAAAGAAAAACACATTATATCCCTAGCTCGGAGCATAAAGGATACTGTGAACTAGGGAATGCGTTCCACACCACACTGTTTATCTAGAAGGAAAGAAAGTGGCCACTGCCTTCTTACCTTGCTTTTTTCTGCTTCGATGTCGCCTACAGGAGCCTGCTTCTTTCCCGGCTTGGCCTTGTTTCCCTTTGCTTTCTTTGCACCTCCTCCTTTGTCAGCTGAATAAAACGAGGATATGTCCAAGTAAAGCGAGGTTCAACACACTCCATCTTGAGCAACAGTGTCGAGTGGTTCCTTGCCGCACCTTTCCGGCTTTCCAACTCCTCCTTGAAGAAGTCGTCGTTGACGTCGACGTCGGAAGGTATGTCGTCGTCCGAGAACGCCTGCTGAACGTCGTCGTTGTCGTCTGCGCCGCTTGCCGCCTGCTCACCGTTCTCGCCGGCGTCTGCCTTCTGCGGAAGACGAGCAGCTCATTCAAAAGTCTGCAACTCTGCCGCCAAAATGATTTTTTTTTTGTCAGATGCCCTACTAACATTTATACTTGTCAAGCACATTATAAGAACCCCAGAAATGAGCAGTGGGAGATGCAGCACAGCCCACCTTGTTCAGAGCCTTCTTCATCTTGTGTTTTTCTTTCCTCTTCTGGAGGAACTCCGTAAACGGAGTTTGCCCCTCTGGCTGCTCCAGCTTCTTCTTCACCATGTCTTCCACTTGCTTGTGGAGGTCTGATGCACGAAGGAAAAATAATATATATGTAGGTACAAATTACGACCGCACATTTCTAACATAAGGTCTCGGCTCTCTGTCGGCTCCGATTTCGCCTTGACCACCAAGAGTAGAGCAGCTGACCTTTCTCAAGAGTACCACACCTGACAGCATCTGGTGCAGCTGTTTTTAATAGGGACGTCACTAATCGCTCGTCAGCGGGGTGGAGGCCGATTAACGCTGTACCGTGCAACTATGTCATAAGGACTTACACCGAGTTATGACCACGAGTCGTTGAGACATCCATACTTTGTAAGAAGTCTGGCAATCGATTCAAGAAGTACCTTTGCATGTGAGCAAGTAACAAAAAAAAGACAACCACACGCTACTGGGTAAATGGGTCTTGACTCTGGGCGAGCAAAAGCCAGACAATATCCTGATATAGTACCACTCTTGTCATCTGCTAGCAAGAGGGCATTTATGTGCTAGGTCCAGTAGTACGGTATTAAGTTAAGGCGCTTGAACGGCCTCGGGCAATATAGACGGCTATGCTCGCTTCACATTTCGTTACAGCCATTTTGCCATAATTTAATACAGAGCTCAAAATTGAAGCCTGAGTGAAACTATATCAATAGGTTTTCCACCCAACATTATCACCATCAGCAGTATATATGCCACTGCTAAGCTGTACCATCTTTGAGCATGGTGATAAAAGGGACTTTTAGCGAATCGTTGCCGTGTTCCACATACCGCTCAACCAGAGCCTTTGAAGCATGGCATGTTTTTAGGTGCGTGCCCCACGGTCACGGTATCACTCAGGCGCGCACTTAAAAGCATGCTTTAAAGGCTCCGGTAGTGCGGTAAGCAGAACATGGTAACAGTTTGCTAAAAGTCTCTAATGTCCTACCTCAGCTCAAAAATGATGAGCTATCAATACGCTAACTGCTCAACAGGTGTTGCAAACTGCCACCCGATGCAAGGGGTTCAGTCACGTGCGTTCATCCGTCCACATATACCTGGATTCCAGGTGACCTCCATCTCTACGTCATCTGCCTTCTCCTCTTCCTTGGGGCCCCCGTCTAGGCTCTTGAGCAGGTCGCGATACTTCTGGATCTGCGCTTCGGCCGTCTGCTTCTTTCTGCCGCCGGCCCGAGTATCTGCGAGGAACGTCGCGTCACATAGGTCAGTAAAAAGACACAGGTTCGAGACAAAAGCAGGACAGTACACGTCCCGTGTACAATAACAAAGTTAAATGTAAAAATATTTCACAGAGGTCTGTCTTATTAGACTAAAATTATAATGTTATAAGATAAAAGGAAGCATACAACTAATCCCAAAATGCAAGGTAGCATACATCAACTCCGTCGAGCCTGCCATCCAATTCGTTGTGGAACGCGAGAAAGGGGACACCTCGCTGTTTCTTGGTGTATGGGTGAAAAGGAAAGAACTAAAGTTCACAGTATGCAGGAAGCACACTGGGCATTATCTTCGGTTCGGCTCTAACCACCCGACATGCCACAAGGCGTCGGTGGTTCGGACACCCCTGCCCACTCTCGTGCATTACGTCGCTCGCTATCAAGGTCACGCTCGCCGACTCCTACGACCATTTGAAGGCACATAGTCTGGCCCTACCAGACTCATCAGTGTCCCTTACATACAAGGTACTGGCAAAGTGCGGCGGAGGTTCTGGCAAAAGAAGGGATACAGGAGGTCTTCGACACTTGGGTGCCGTACGTCACGGCCAAAGGACTGCCCTCCCAAAGGGAGAGCACAGGGAGTTGTCTACGAGACTCTGTGCGCAGATTGCTCCGCCACGTACACTGACAAAACAAAGAAAGGATTGGCGAGCACAGAACCAATGTGTGCTAATTTGACCACGAGCGCGGCGCTGTTGGTCAACACTGTGACATCGAAGATCACTGTGCAGACTTCAACGATGCGTCCATCTTCGCTTTTGAGACCAACCCTCGGCAGAAACTTCTAGCAGAAACGTGGCACGTTCGAACCACGTCGGGAAACGTCAACAGATGCCTTGGCAATTTACCTTCCAAGCATGTCAACGGTCCGCACCATGCGACAGAAGACGAAGAAAGAGACCACCTCCCTGGAAGAAACTAACTGTCGTGCTTCAACGGTCACAGTCATACACTGTAGAAGCAACTGAATTGGGTTCGAAACATTGGGCCCCCTTACATTTAGAGATTGGTTGGATGTTTCTTTCTCTTATCATATCGCAACGAATTCTGAACCGCTTGTTTCCCTCTAAGTACCGCAAGACGTCTGTGCAACTTGAGGCGCCACCTAGACCACAATCTTTTTTATAAAAATTAAAAAAAAAATTGTAAAAAAACAATATAAAAAAATATATATATAATTATTTTAATAGTACCTTTTACTTCATGTGAATCTGGTTTTTGCTCACGCGCAGTGCCCACATCTGACGCGGGCAAGCACTGACTTGTTTGTAGTAAACATCGTGCTGGCCTATAAATGGAGTTTCCAATCGTCACGGGTTGGTTTGGCTTTTGTGAAACAGTAGACCAATCCGGTGACTTCCCCCGCAGTGCCAATTGGCTGACTACCAACTTTTGCAGTGTGCCTCTGGTGCTTTGACTTGTCCCTGGAGAAAACTTTCCCATAGCGTCACGAAAAAAGATGCCGAAATCGCCGCCGTCGCTACGCCGATCTTCGACGAACTGCGTAGGCATTTAGCGCCGGGGTTCCGACTCGGCGAACAACTGGAATTCCAACCTCGCGACAATCCGCACACTGCTGTGTTCGGAAAGCCGGTCTGTCTTGGATGCGACCACCCCAGCTTCCCTCGATTGCCGCCTGTGGTCCGCATGCCGTCGTCTTCGAAGAGCCAATCATTCCTCGCGGGTGACGGCGGTTTCGCGCAAACGTCGTTGTCGCTGCACCTCGGTTTTAGGTTGTCACGTTGTGCACACTGGGGAAACGAAACTGCGTGCCTACGCCCCGGTGCCTTCGCAAGAGCAGTGCGCATCAACGGCGGCGCGTCTTTGAAAGCGTGCAAGAAGACTCTTTCCCTCTTACAGCAGAAGAAAAGTATACGTAACGAGCGAGCAAACGTAATCGAGCCAAAGAGACGACGAACTCACCTCCGGCCTCCTCGGTCTCTTCCTCGTCCTCGGAAGATGAGGAGGCGAGGTAGACCCTGAGGTCGTCCCCGACTGCGTCCCCGTCCCCCTGGAAGGCCCTCTGGATGGCCTGGGACCTGCGGGGGTTTCCCTCGTCCCAGGTGAGCTCCACGTTGACCGACTGCAGGGCCGAGGTCACGAAGCTGATCGGGGTGTAGGTTGACGGGTTGGGAAGGCTGTCCGCCACGCTGCTCGGCTCCTGCGGAAATAACACTTTGGCACCCGGCGACGCTACCAATGTGTCGCACGAAAAAAAGAGAGCAGGTGTTGTGCGAGACGTGTTTGTTCCTTGTGCGATGCTTCCGACACATTGGTTGTACGAAGGTCGTCTGCAGACCTGTTTGAAGCGTACGTTTGTGTGTCGAGCAAACATTCTTTGAACACGTTTGAAACATGTCCACAGATGCTTCTATCATTGCACCTGCAGCGAACGCCGCGCCTTCAGTATGCTGCACGAGCGGCGTGCAGACTCCGGCTTTCGACGACACCCGCGTGGCCGTCTTTTTGCGCCGGTGCCTCCCTGCTAAATTTATCGGGACACCACTACGACTCACGTGGTCGCGTGACTGGTCACGTGAGAGTGTCGCCGTGACTTTGCATTGTGGGTCAGTCACGCTGTGACATAGCGTGACCTGACGCCCCACTGTCACGCTGCCCAGACGAGCGCATAATGTTGTCCCCAATGCGTTCTGCTAATCGGACGTTTTGGGCGGTAGGTTAAAGGAGCGCCTTAATTCCTTTGTGACGCTGCCGGGGTTGGTTGTATAATGGGGGAGGGGGGACGACGGTCCTGAGACTGTAAAAAAAGTTATGAAAGCGTTTATTTTTAAATGTTCACTATTTTTAAAACTTTGCAGCCCAGAGCGTCTCCCCCACAAAATATGATTAGCAAGTTTCGATTCTCAAGCTGCTAGATTTAAGGTATTGAAGAAACTCTGAAATTAATTTTCTCGGCTTTGCCTATTTTTGTCAAATGCCATTCCCTTACGGGGGGTCCTCACAATGTTCTTCCAAGTGAATATCGGGGAACTTAATATCATTGTTTTCTACCATAACTGGACTGCATCCTAAAGCTTTACTTTTCACCCTATAGCCACCAGATAGGAAGTGGTTAGCTGCAACTTATTGTAATTATTGCCCCATGTATTTTGTTTTCACAACTGCGATTTATATATGATAAATAACACCACTTTATAAATATTTGTGTATAGCTTTAGGATGTATGGTTGACACTTGCAAATCTCTATATGGAGCTAAAAGGAAAGACTTTTTAGTGAGATGCACGTGCATACTTTATTTGAGTGAGATAAGTTAATAAATAACAAAAAGTATTCAAGAACCCTCTTAACCCCTTGCCTACTCATTTTTTTCTTGGAGGAACGTGCGGCAAAATTTTACTCTCATCGGGCAATTTGCGTCAAAATAAAACTAAAACATTTCCTCGACTTCAAGGTGTGGTATCTCGCTCTAAATCAGGACTTCTGATCCGAGTCCCATGGACATGCAGACGCCAAAGTTGATGGAATGCTTGCACGATTTGCATAGTTTCTATCGCTCCTGTCACTGTCCATCAAACTATCGTCTGATTCCTAAAAACCGGAAAGGCCGAAGGATTCGTCGTCACAAATGCCCAAGCAATCACCTTCAAAAAGATTTTATATCCTTTCGGCGGCTAAAGCGGACCTCCCTCCACCTCAAAGCCAAGTTGTTTTAGAGCAAACGCTTACGAGCGACTGCTTTTTTTTTTTTTCTTGACTAAACGGAGCGTTCTCTCTCTGTGAAACAACAAAACAAATGAGCAAACTGTCCGAGGTAAATGGAGCAACGGGGATGGTTTAGCAATCTGCCGGAGAGCGCGCTAAGAGAGCGCCCAAACCAAAACGCGAGTCACGCTCGTGGTCGGACTTTATGGTCCGTACAGGTTGGCACGAGTGACACTCGGTATTAGTAGGCAAGGGGTTCAAGGGCAACTCCAGTCAATATATTTGAATTTGGGATTAAGACTGTTTTCAGCTTAAACAGTGTCCCTAAATTACAAGTTTTTCTTTTTGTTTTGTTTTCTGATATTGTTTGTAGCTTTAAAATATCACGGCTCGAAGTTTTGTTTCGGGTGCCTACGGAAAAACCGAAACTATCTGCTAGAGGGATGGCAAACGCTGATCATTGCTTGTTGGGCCGCAACGTGATGCCACTAGGTCGCATCTTTAAAATCAGTTTTGGAGGAGTATGCGGCTCACTTTAACAAAATATTTCGGCTGTAATCATATTTCGTGCCACCAAAGTGACACCAGTCATTTATTTTGGTTTTGTTTTCGACCGTAATTGCCCTTTAAAGAAAAAAAAAAGGAAAAAAAAACAACATATTTTTGACGTTGTGACTTTGAAGATTGACAGGCACTTATCATCTTGTCTTGAAGTATTTTTGTGAAATAAGTTTCTTATCTTCAAATATTGTCGTGGACACATAGAAAAATGGGTCTATTCATGTTTTTTTTGCTATTATTTCAAAATTAACTATTTACATACTCTGCTATTTTATGGAGGCCATACTACTAATTAATTCAAACTCAGGAAGCCAACTTTTTGTTTAAATTATCAGAAGCTTGAATTCTCGAAAATTTATCTAAATATTCTGCAAGATAAAATTATGATTTGTCATATGAATGGCTACACATACAAAGCAGATACTATTTGATGATTTTCTCTACATAGGCCTACTGATCATAAGCAGGTATGGCACACATGAAACATTTGTGAAACATATAACATAAGTTAATTTATCTCTCAAAAATGTTGTTTATAGTGGACTGTTTAGAGAGCACATGACAACTCAAAAGAAAATTAAGGTTGTTCATCGGGCCAAGAAGTTGTCTGATGCGGACTATTAAGCGGAAGACACATAGGCGATGAAAACGGGCACGGCAGTTTTCATAGCAACTTGCACCGACGCTGTGACAGAGGCCTATGCCATGTCGCCACGTCACAGCGTCCGCGCAAGTTGCCATGGAAACTTCTACGTGGTGCCCGTGTTCATAGCTCATGTGTGTCCTGCTTTAGCCCCGTTGAGTGCGCTTCTCACCGAGCATCGGTGCACTGCAGAGAAGCAACACCCGAGGAAGCAAACTCTACGGCTGTTGCCTCTCTGCAGTGCTCCGGTGCTCGGAAAGAAGCGCACTCAACGGGGCCGCGAGAACAGAAAGTAGGAACTACATGAAAACACCGTTCGAATTAAGCGGCTCATGAATAAAATAAAAACATAGCGGGACAATCAAAGTTGTGAAATTTCTTTGAATTAACCACAAGTCTGAAATACCCGAGTTTGAATTATCAAAACCCTACTGTATCTCTTTTTGCACACATCCTATCTTCAGAACTTTTTAGAGCGCAGCTCTTAGGCGCCCGTTTCCTGGTTGAGCGGCGCCGGCATCGACGTAACCGCGCATTGCATTATGCAGGGAAATGTTTCCGCTAAATTCAGCGGGAAATTTTCCCTCTAAATTTAACGGAAATATTTTCCCGCTAAATTTGGCGGAAACATTTTCCCTCTAAGTTTAGCGGGAAATTTAGTGAAAATTTTACGCTAAATCCTGAAGAGCTGCGCTCTAATTTCGAATTACACAAATTTGTAAACGTCTTTCATTTTTTTCTTTTTCTGGTAGGTGTATTTGTGAGGTATGTAAGAAGGGGTATAAATATGTTAAATATGGCATCAGGTGTCCTCTAGATACCCTATCTATTCGCTTCCTGCAATAAATACTTTTAAAACTGAAAAATTCAAAAGTGTAATAAAAATCCTATCCATCATCTTAGAGCTTTCATTTATACCTTACTGGATTATACAGAAATTTCTGTTTACTGAGATATACTATGCTTATTTTGTGATCTCAGTATTTCAGCCTGTCTTAATCCTTGCCATAATCTTTGAAAATGAAACTTTCAATCTTAACAAAACTAATTCAAAACCAAGTGGTTGTAGTCATATTTGTAGCACATATTTATAAGAGCAGATAAAGTATAAAAATTTCATTATGAATTGGATCACAAGTTATGTAAAAAGGCCCTAGAAGCAGTGTTGCCCTTAACACTGAAAGAGGCGAAGGAGAGGGGGTTACTACTGGATGAGTGGTGAGCTTGTTATCCACCTGTTTTCCGTTCCTCTGGGTTTCATTCGGTTTCTTACCAGCTTCTCCAAAGCGCTCCCTGCTACCTAACTTTTCCCCCTTTGCTACATGCAATAAAATAGATCGACACGTTTTCGACAGAGTGCATGACTTGTGTTAGCCTTTTCGAGCAGCACTATGCGCATGTACCATTGCGGACAAGTTAACCTGTCTCTTTCGAACAGGGTTGAGACGGCACCTGCTCTCCTTCCGACTGTCCGCATTAAAATCGGTTCAGATGAGGAGAAGGCCCTCTCGTCGTCCGACGGCGCCCTCTAGTGTCTGCAATAGTTCCAAAATAATCAATCTTTGACACCGATGTTAACAGAGAAATCGGCCATGCATGAATGTAACGTTTTTTTTTTTTTTTAGGAAGCTTAGAGCCCATAGATTGAGCATAGATAGATAGATTACCGCAGAAAGCGGTTTGGCGACCCTTTAACAGTGAAAGAAACATGTTGGATGCGTCTCGGTGTTTCTTGCTGCTCGCTCTAGTCTTACGAGGCCGTCGAGATCGGCACTCGGTGAAAACGGCCCGCACGTTGACGGGGACTCACGTCGTCGAAGGTCATGTCGTCTGGCACGAAGCGGAGGTCGAGGCAGGTGCCGCTGGTCTCGTACTCCCGTCCGTCCAGCTCCCGGTACAGGTGATCTGCCGTCTCGGGGCTGTCGCACTCGGCCACCGCGTAGAAGTAGCGCAGCCGGTCCAGCTGGTACTTGCGGAGGGCCTCGCGGTCGAACCGCTCCCCACCGTTTGTCTGGTCCCCTCTCCCGGCGCTGGCCTTCTTCTTCGGTGCGGATTCCACCAGCCCTGACGGACCGCTGCGCAAGAATCGGTGAGGAGACGGCAGTTGGGAATGTGCATGATGCGTTATAGTCTGTCACAGGTTAAAGGGTCATAACTGAAATCTAGTGCCTATTTTATTGTCTAACTGTCAACCATGTTCTGGCCATGCCACAGAGACAAATTGTTTGGTCAAAAAGACATCAAACATTATTTGTAACAAATAAACCTGTTATGTCCGGCCTAACATGTCAAAAGAAGAAGACGTGCCTCGTCTCCTTCTTCAGAAGGGCACTTTTTATCGGCTCAAATCACCAGAGTTCGCACCTTACACAAAAAAGGCAGCAGAACTGTCAACACACCGAAATTGTGTGACATGGGGGGCACGCATTGTGATCCCCACGTGGCTGAGGACGGACACGTTGACGTTGATTCACGCGGGGCACCGTGGAATTATTGCAATGAAGACATGCGCACGGAGCTACCTCTGGTGGCCCGATATCGACGCAGACATAGAGTCATTCGTGGCAGAATGCACTGCCTGCCAGACCCACCGCAAGACGCCACCGAAGGAGCCCATGCCAGTCTGGCACAGACCCTCTCACCTTTGGGATACTATTCACGTGGACTTTGCGGGTTCTGTTGAAGGCCAAGTTTTTCTGGTGGTCGTGGACGCCTACACTAAATGGGTGGAAGTCCGAGTGATGCAGAACATGACGTCGGCTGCCGTCATTAGAGAATTGAGGGCTATCTTCGCAACTTTTGGCGTTCCCCGAAGGTGGTCCCGGACAACGGCACAGCCTTTGTGTCTGAAGACATCGAGACTTTCTACCGGAATAACGGTGTAATATCCATCACAAGCGTGCCATACCATCCAGCAACTAATGGCCAGGCTGAACGCATGGTTCAAGAGCTGAAAATGGCACTAGCTAAAAGAGGAAGAGAAGATCTGAATTGTGTGGTTAACAGATTTTCATTCAAACAACATACAACAATTCATGTGGCAACAGGAAAAACACCTGCTTGGATGCTTTTTGGAAGGGAACTTCCATCTGCTCTCGACCGACTGAAGACGTTCAGCCCCGAGACACCTGAAAGCACTGCCACCTTTACAAACCCACGCAAGCTGAATGTAGGCCAAGCAGTGTGGGTTAAAACATTTCCAGACGGTAAAAAGTGCACACCGGGAGTGATCGAACGGCAGCTGGGACATCGCTCTTGGATGATTCGAATAGAGCAAGGTTCAATGCGCCGGCACACCAACCACATACGGCCGCAAAGAGTGGCATCGCATAATCAACCTCCGCAGACAGCTGTGGCACCCGCATGGGACATCAACAGCCGTGACGACCTGGCTCCGCAACCTGCGACAACCATCAGGGACAACAGCACAACAACTATTCCCGAGGAATCGGTTCCTCTTGTGCCGCCGGCAGAGCCTGACACTTCAGGCACTCGAAGGAGTTCCCGACACCGGCGACCACCTCAAAGATACTGCCACGCGCGTCGGCGAGCAAGCGCGTGCGTGGCCGAGTGGTTACTGCGCTTGACTTTCGCGCGGTAGGAGTAGGTTCGATTCCAGTCAGCGGACTGTCCTTTTATTCATTCTTTCAATTTGGCCTTCTCGTAAGTTCGAGAACATTCTCGTTTGATCTAGTTCCGAATATTCTACGCACCGAAATTTCTACGCCGAATGATCCAGAAACGGACGAGGGTACATAAGGGACTCCGCAAGCGAGCGGAGTCAGTCTCGCCCCAGCGCTCGATCCTGCGGTTTTGCCGACATCGACGCCCGCGACGCTCTCCCGTTATATTTTGTTTCCTTTTTATTTTTGGGCACAAGTTTGCCCCATTAAACGATTAGTTTCTTCAGTTATTATCGCCTCATCAATTGTAATTCGTGACAATATGGAGATGACATCTAGTGGGGGGAGGTGTTATGTCCGGCATAACATGTCAAAAGAAGAAGACGCGCCTCGTCTTCTTCTGCCATAATCAGATAGCGTATGTGCCAGCGCATGCGGGCATATTCGGTCACGCCGCCATCAGGATCGGCAGTTGTGAGCGACCAGAGTAAAGCTACTCGTTGCGTGCTTTCCGTAATCGGCTCCTGATTACTTCACACATAACAAAACTGATTACCAGATTGCACCTGGTGGATGTTTACGAATATTTTGTTTGATAGACGACAGCACCTATAAACTCCCGTCAAAAATTTGCTCGGATTAAAGGCCGAAGACAAAAAGAGAGGGACATCTAAAGAGGCGCTTCCTAGGACACTGACAGGATCTTTATGCTCGCCAAGGTTTTTATTTGCACGTGACATATGAGAGGCCAACTACACAGAACGCATTTTTGCGGCTCGAAATTCATTTTCTTTCTACCCGAAAACCGCCGATCAAGAACTGGCCAGTTTGAGTCGCGCTCACTCTCTTCTCCGTGGTCATGTGCCATTTTCTATGGTTTAGACACAACCGCTAAATATAATCAAAGTCGTGGGTCATTGAAAGCACAGAATCAACATTAAAAATAGAAGAAAAAATATGATACCCATTTCTTGTGGCTTCTAAAAAGCTGCAAATACGTTGTTTGGGGGCAAAAAGTATCCCAGCCACGTGACATCCGCCACCCTCTCTCCCTTCTCCTCTATATTTCTCCTTCTCCCTCGGTCCAGTTTCAGTTTCGATCAGTTGCATTTGTTTACTTTATTAAAAATATATGTGACGCTGTAGCAAAATACTGATGGGTAGTCGTCCGACACCATAATAAATCGCCAGGCAAAAAAATTAAAAAGTTTTTGAGGGGATGTCAGTGTCCCTTGGTTAACCTGTAACAGACTATGGGCTAAATAGTGATGGCCATCTTGACTCGCTCGGCAGATTGCCGGGAGTTTGGAAAGCAGCAATCGTCTGGCATTCCACGGTATCGGCCTTGTCAACACTGTCGAAAACAGGGTCCATATTGGTGTTGCTACATGTTCATTTTGTTTTCTTTGTATTCTGAACTTGCAGTGATCAAAGAGAAGGGATGAAGCCGCTTCCAGATTGTATACGGAGCCATGGCTGGGCTAGATGACAGCATTCCTTACAGCCCTTGCTTTCCGTTTAGCAATGGGAGTTTTTCGACCGCGTGGGGGTGCCACAAAGTCACCGTTCCGAGTACTACCTAAACCACCCTGAATGACACTTCTGACCATCGTGATGATCAAACAGTGTGCCAGTGTACGAAACAACGTAGTGCGCCGATAGAAATAATTTTGGCTTACGATGAGTACACACTTGTTCATGGAATTTGTCCTTTGGCAGGCGACCTCGAGGCCTGTAGCTCTAACTAGTCAGCAAATTCCTCCAATTCAACCCTGGAGCCAAGAGGCCAACACGGTGAGATTAGGCCGTCTTGCTAGAACGAGTTAAAGCGCCGGTGGAAGGGGTGAGGTAGCAGCGACCCCGCCCAGCTGCAGTGCCAGAGAGAAACTACCCCCACAGCGCGCCTTTTCCTTCTAGCCCGGCCGTGACCGAGCGTACGTTGGCACGGCCGCCCGCCGTTTTTGGTGACGCTTATGGGATGGTAAGGGCAGTTGCTGACATTGTGGAGCTGGGGGCAGCCCAGCATTTCGACTGCAATATGATGCAAAAGACCTTTTTCGAGTAACGGGCGGTGTCTGGGGGTAGTTTGTCTGCTAACTACAAATAAGGGGCAGCCCAACATGCCCTCGCCTGTCGGAATGCGCCGGTATCGTGCCGCTGTATTGGTTTTCGTTGCCGTTCGTGCCCCACACTACCGAAGCACAAGAACAGAATCGACAAAGACTAAATACTCGCAAAGATTGGTGCCTACAATGTTGGTCGTGCGGGACGGTGCCCTCCTAAAAGGGCGACGGTGGGAAGCAATGCCAGGGGAGAGGGCGTACTGTGTGTGCGGAAGCTCACCGGAAAAAGGTCCATTTTGTTCTGCCTTTGTCGTTTGCAACGACGACATGAGCATTATAGCCATTCAAAGTTCTTAAGAAAGACGTCAAAAACGCTTCCCAACTAGCCAACAGACGGCGCCGAACATTCGTGGAAAATGCCCACTCCCCGTGCCGCGCAGTGCAAGGCCGACAAGGGGCCTTTCATGGGATTCTCCGTAAAGGCTTTTGCGGCCCTTTTGTGAAGTGTATGAACGTACAGCGGCCCTGGCCTTCTTTTGTTTGTCGCGCATGGGTGACGACGCCCTCACCTAACGCTCTCCTGCGCCATGCGTTCTTTGCCAAACGTCGAGGGATAGATGGTGACGCCCTTCACTGCACCGCCGGGGGGCAGGAAGGAGTGGAGAAGCACAAAGAGGTCCTGCGCCTTCAGCTTGTCCCAGTCCAGGTTGCACAGCGCCAGGCGCCGCGTCACGTCGTCGCCTTTCGGAGCGTCCCGATCCAGCTCTCCCCATCCGACGTCCGGCTCGCTGTCCTCTCCGGATTCTGAGGCAAGAGACATAGCCGTAGCCAATGCAAAGAGTCCCCTCAGTTCGTTGCAACGACACAAAGAGAAACAAAGATGTTGCAGCCGACACTGGAGCAAAATACGCAGCCATAGCCGACACAAACAATTCTTTCGTTGCATTGCAGCCACAAAGGGTAGAAAAAGAAGCAAAAGGACAACACAAACAGTTCCCTCATTGCACTGCATTCACAAAGAGGGTGGAAATAACTTAACCTGAGACACAGGAAGGAAAAGGAAGACACACAAAAAGAAGGGATAACACACATCATCTTTGATGTTGTCCGTTTTTTTTTTATATGTCTTTTTTTTCTTTCCTGTGTCTCAGGTTAAGTTATGTCAACTTTTCACCAGCTTGCCTGCACGCTTGCCCTTCTTACAACAACAGTGGCAAAAAAGCAAAAGACGTTTTTGTAGCCGACACTGGGGCAAAAGACCTAGCTGCAGCCGACACAAACAGTTCTTTCGTTGCATCACAGCCACAAAGAGAGTAGAAAGAGAAGCAAAAGAAGTAGCTGTAGCCGACGCGAACATGTCCCTTGTTGCATTGTAGCCGCAAAGAGTGTAACACAAAAGCAAAAGATGTTGCTGTAGCCGGCACTGGGGCAAAAGACATAGCCATAGCCAACTCTGACAGTTCCCTCGTTACATTGGAACCATGAAAGGAGTAACAAAGGAGCAAAAGACGTAGCTGTAGCCAGCACGATCAGTGCCCTGAATGCATTGTGGCAATAGCAAAGGAGCAACTAGATAGACAACAGGGACACTGTGTGACAGCACACCTTTCACTAAATGTGTTTAAGAGCATGAACTCAATTTGATGGAGGTACTGATGTTGAGACGTTGATTGTTTACCGAATTTCTATCAAAGTGGTGAAGCAAGTAATATACAAAAAGTTAAATGTTCTTTTCTGCAGTTTTCCTTCTATGCAACTTACGCTGGCTAAAGAACCAAATGCTCAAGACTTTGAAGCTAATGAATTGAGTCGATGTTTCTGGACGAAGTTGGCTTGTTAGCTTGAAGGGATGCTGAACCGAAATTTGGATTCCACAAAACACGGCGGCAAAAGCGTGCAACGGGATGCTACAAACACCAAAACATCACTCATACAGTGATATCTCGAACGGATGAGCATATTTTTCAAAAAAAGGAGGCACATTTCACAGATATGTTTACGTCTTGTTTCTTCGAGAAGGAGAGGGAATGGCCTCGCGTTTTCTCCGCCTTGCCGCCTTCAGGGGGCGAAGCAAAGAGGCGAGGAAACGAGATATCTTGACGTCACGCGCCTCGTCGACCTCGTTCAATCTTGACCTCTTTTTCCAAAAACACGGCCGTCCATTCGAGATATCGCCTTAAGAGTAGTGTTGTAGGGATTGTAGCGTCCCGCCTACAGCTCCTGCATTGTTTTCTGAAATCCAATTTTCGGTTCACCACCCCTTTAAGTGCATCACACTCAAAGCTACAAAGGGAACGAAGCAACAGTTACCATCGCCACTGTCGTCTTCGTCGGAACTGGTCTCGATGTTGCCGACTCCACGAGAAGGATCTCGCTCCTGTTCCTCTTCCCCGTCATCGCTGCTCTGCTCGGATTCCTCTGAAAATGGTAAACACACCAATTTGTTCACGTTGCCTGCTAGAGATCACATTGTAATGCTATACTGATCTAACGAATGTTTTAGTCAATTCAAAACATGTTGCTGTAGTTTCACTGTCTTAGGATGATAGGGAAACCCCAGCTTGATGGCTTGTCTGCAAGCTCGACTGGGAGGATAGGTCAGTGGTTGCGGAATTGGAAACGGTCTCAAATCTTTGTTAGTTGCAATTGTCTGCTTCTTTTGCAATGGTTGTGGTGACGTCAGAACATTAAGCACCGATTGGCTGATTGATGGATAATAGGTAGACCTCAAGGCAGCTTGCTTTGAGGTCTACCCACTATCTTACACTGGAGCCAACCAGAGCTCGGTGTTCCAACGTCACCACAACCCTTGCAGACAAACTTGTGCTCCACATTGTTAGAGTATGTATTAGGCAGAAACAAAGTGGAGAGCTTTGCAATCAAAAGGTTGCCTATTTTCGTGGATTTAGTTTTAATTATTGTTATCACTGCAGCTGCCAGAACTATGTCACTACTTAAACCCACAACTGGCCTGATTGGAGGAAATAATTACCTTCACTTTCAACTGCGCTGTCATCGTCGTCGTCAGTTTCGTCCCCAACATCATCTGTGCTTGGAACGCGAAGTTTTACATCTAAATTGCGCTTGGCCTTGGTTTGTTTCTGTCCGGATTTTGACGGTCCAGGAAGTTCGTCTGCTACGGCTTCAGCGGGTCCGTCTGCTAACTGATCGGAGCGATCGTCTGCTTCTTCGTCGTCGTCATTTTCTGAGCCAGACGACGACACCGCGTAGTACTTCTTGAGGTCCTCCGAAGTGGTCCGATGGATGGGACGACCCCGCTTGTCCATGACGTACTTGAGTTTGAAGCGCTTGTCGTCGAACATTCCGGCGAAGCGGTCGTCGATCTTGACTTTCCGCTGCGACTTGGGAACTCCCCGAAAGCGGGGGTCCGTGGCGATATGCTTGAAGCGATCATCGTCTATTTTCTGGTGTCCTTTCATGGTTGAAGAAGCTGAACAGACGACAGTGTGTCGGATTCGTCGTCCGGGTACTCAGTCAAGCATTCACTGGTTTACTAACGACGCGTTCTTATATGGACAAGTAACGTGTGACATGACACAAAGTATGAGTATATTGTGCGATCAATATTGTTACCCTGCGACACAGTGCACGATCAGAAAGTCCGTGGGGTAGTTTTCTTCGCTTGGCCACCTCGACGAACGCATGCCCGCTGCCCGCATTCGACAGTAACACACGTGGGCGCCGCCATGACACTCAATCGTCGCCCCATCTACTGTCCAGTATTTATCAGTATTCAGTATTCAATGGCACCCAAACCCCTTTTGCATCAGGGCGGTCGTTCCTAAAGGAACGTTGCAGGCGCGTTTTAAAATAAAAAATTTATCGTCGATATGTGGATAAAAAAGGTGGCACTACTGTCGCGCTATCATCATCATCATCATCATCATCAAGGTGGCATGCCATGCGCCATGGCTTGCCGCCTCACGGCTCTCCACATTGAGCGCGAGACGGTGTAGATTCTTGCGTTTATTTTGTCCACAGTATCGGTAAGAAAACAGTTTTAGCGGAAAATAATGCTGTACCGTTCGATGCTTCAGTGAAGAACGAATTGTGTTAGCAGCGTACGGCCTAAATTTAAATAATGCTTGTGTGGATGCGTCGTCTGCCTGCCTTCGGGTGAAGCTCTTTTTATGTTTAATATTTGTTTTCTTTAAAATAGATGTATCGGCTCACAAGCGTGAGAATTCAATAAAACAACGAATTCCAGCTCGGATAACATAATACTGGGACTCTAAGTTGTGAAATCGCAGGTTCTATGCATTTTTTTTTTTTTTGGTAACTTTTAGATAATTACTCTTGTGAGCAATATAAATATTTCGCATGAAGAGTAGTTATACTCGGCGACAACTTTTCTTGGCAATGCAGTGGAAGGTACGTCCCGCGTCCCCTCTCCCATTTTGAGCGTACGCAGGGTACGCAGGCTCTCCTCCTCTCCCCGGAAATGGGGGTGGAGGAAAGCTTGCGTACACTCCAAATGGGAGAGGGGACGCGGGACGTACCTTCCACTGCATTACCAAGAAAAGTCGCCGAGTATAGTGCTGTATTTCGCATGACCGGAGCGCAAGTTCGTCTGGTTCTTTTGCAGGGGTTGTAGTGACGTCAGAACGCCGAGCTCTGATTGGTTCTGTATGAAGGATAGTGGGTAGACCTCACGGCAGCTTGCTTCGAGGTCTACCCACTGTCCTTCAATCAGAGCTCGGTGTCTTTCTGACGTCACTGCAACTCCTGCGCAAGAAGCACATGACTTGCTGTCCACAAATGTTACCCTTCACCAATGTTACCAGAACCCCTCAGCTGGGAAACTGCCATAGAGCCTGCTCTGAAAAAAGTAAAAAGTGCAGCCGATCCTTATCCCAGTACCGTGCTAATGGCGATCGCAACACTGCCATTTCTCCCACAGCGGCCACTCCGTGAACTGCACGGCTGCACTTACTGGTTCCGTCGAGTCACGGACACAAATCAAAAGTTATAACTGATTTTCTGAAAATTTCAATGGGAAAATGGCGGCCGACAGAGTTTTTGAACACATGGGGCCATATGGCACCAGAAACTGAAAACGGGCGAAAATGGGCTCCATTTTCCCATTGAAAGTTTCAGAAAATCACTTATATCTCTTGATTAAGTTATCGGATCAGGCTAAAACTTTGGCATCTGGTTGTTACTTCTAGCTCTTCTACCTTTGGGCGGAGAATGAGCGTTCGGCGATGCCTAGTTTATTTTTGCGGTAAAAAAGACAGTGTAAATTTTCTTTTGTGACACCCTGTATATCTGTCACAAGTGGAACTGAGCAACGCAGTAACGTGCATGTTATTAAATGCTTTTCTTAATAGTGTGGGTTCACCCGCTTCAATTTTCTCGGTGAGGGCCGTGGATGTCAACGGCTAATATTATAAATTTCTGGCTAAATCATCTTTTATTCAAACTTGGTAGACTCTGCAATTCCAAATAACGACCCGCACCACGACATAGACGGCATCGGCCGCAGCAACTTTTACTGATGAGGGCTACCGACACTCACGGGACTTTACGATCACCCTCCGCCCTCACCCGACGCATATCGGGAGTGGGCAGTTCATCGATTAACCTTTACATTATCCGAGTGATGCTTTAATTCTTGTGCTCGAGAAGGTCAGGAAAACATAAAAAATGCCTGGTTTAATATTTCTGACGTATTAATTTCTTTTAGGACACAGGCTTGCACAATAAACCACTTCAGCATGCTTGTGATTGTCATCGAGGGTGATTATACTGTTTAAATAACTTAAAAATGACTTCACTTTAAAAGGCTTCCAACGTTCATATTTCTGCAGGTGCCACAACGTGAAGTTTAAAATTGGAATGCTATATGCCATTTATGACATAGTAAAAATAATTAAAAAATGTGTAGGTTTAACGTCTTTCATGCCATATGACCGGTGCAAAATCAACTAACGCTAACAGATTTATCAATTGATTAAAGGGTAGTGATCAGTAGGGTTAATTTTTTAATCAAATCGGAGCTCCAGTCAACATTCAATGTTTTATGAAAGCTATGATCGCTCACCGCAAAGTATACGATTTAAAAAAGGCGGCACTGTACGTCACTTGAGAAAAAGACCCAAGCTATAGAAACGAGCGTCGTAAAAAAGGGGACTGACATTTTTATTCCCACCTCCGAACAGAAACGAGCGCCACCCATTGCATCACACAGCGCAGAGGCCGCACTCGGCCACCGCGCGTATTATCACCGACGTCCGAGGCAATGCACACTGAGCTGACTGACCACAGACATACCAGGCGCGCGCGAGGGAGCGAGAAACTTCCTCCGCCGGAGAAGAGCGTCACAATGTATGATCTCTATGGCGTCACACGACACATTTCGGGGATCTATTTCACGCAGCGGCTAACGCGGGCCTTTTCACACTTCGATACTGGCGCCATCTAGAAGTCGCGCGTTCAACCACGTTACGAGCCGCGTGCCATCTGGTGTCTGAAACGGACGAATAAATAGAGGTATTGCGCCCTCTTAATAATAATCGCTTTGCTGTATCTCCACGCATGTGAAATGATACAACACTATCTTTAGTAGAAAGAAATGACAACAAAAATGACAAGCGTTTAATGAGGAGGGCTCAGCTCAGCTGGAAACGGACTTACGTCGTAGAGATAAGTGCGTCTGAGCGTGCACCCGTAGGTGACGACGCATGGCAGTATCTCCGCTTTTGTGTTTCCAATTATGGCAGCACAGTGGCGACACAGTTCGATCTCGAGGCAAATACAGCTAGGCAAGTGTCGTATCGATGCGCCTTTCTAACTCTTATGCGCCTAAATTTTGACATTTTATATACAACTAGGATGAAAAAAAAATCTTTTTTCTTATTAATTTTTTGTTTATGAAGGTATTGTAATTTATCCGAATTTCATCTGCTTCAGATGGCTGGTCAGCAAAGAACTTGCTGATAAGACTGCTGGCCTACAAATGACAAACACAGATGCGAAAATAGTTTATCTTTATTGTGAATGGGGCACGAAATAAACAGTGTCCTAGTCTTTTTTTTTTTTTACACAGATAGCTTGAGGTGTCATCTGGGCTGTTACCTTTCCCATTTGAAAGCTCCAGATAACTTCACTTAAAAATATGGTAACAGCCAGCAACTTGAAGCAACACTAACTACTCAGTTGAGGCATGTCGTCTGGTCAATTTATTTCATTATAACAGAAAACAACAGCAGATGAGCTGATGAAGCACCCCTTGTGCCCAATTAAATATCAGCCACCCAACCAAAAGGTCACACATATGTCAATTCATTGTTCGTCCTAGAGCTCAACAGTCTCGGGGATTTCCGAAAGCTTATAGTATTGGTGCTGGATTTTGTCCTCTAGAAGTTTGACTATTCGCAGTCCGTGGCTGTCATTGCCGAGCTGGGCTCCGACAGCAGACGTCACAACCAGCTCCATGTCTTTGTAGAAGCCGCCAGCGTTGCGATGGTAGTGGCCGCAAAAGATCGCGCGGACACCTGCAAACAAAAATAGAGAAAATGAAATCGATTACAGCCCCCCAAAAGGTGGTCCCTGGATTGACATAGGACATAGCGCGTGCTTTAAAAGTCCCCAAACCCTGCCGACTTATTTATTTATTTACAAAGAGGTTGAAATTGAGTTTTTATGAACTCGGCATCAGGGCTACAATATTTACGCACACTACTAAATAGCGATCTTGACGTGTATGAGCAGCAATTTAAAACATATTTTGAAGCTAAATAAAAGACTACATTTATTTTTTAGAGGGCTTAGATAGGACACATATACTTCCTTTTCTTATTTCTCCACAAAAAAAAGTTTGTTTGCGCAATACTGGGTGTATCAAGAAGTGGCCAGGCTCTTTAAACAGCGGCAAAATTTGATTTCTTAAAGTACTACGCCTTTGTGCAGCGTTGCCCACAGAGTGTGCATTATTTTTGTAAAACTTGCAAAGAGCGATCTTACCCGAGGAAAAAGTAAAGAAAGAAAAAGGCTTAGCTCTTATGGAAGTGCAGCGAAGCCAAAGGTCTTCAAACTATGGACCGACACGCTGTTTACAAACAAGCCGGCGTTTGCCTACACCAGGTGTGGGGACTGCGCGAGCGCAGAAACCAAATTCGCATGAAGTGAAGCGTCTGCGCATGCGCAGTGCCGTCGACAGCGCCACCGCAGCGGCGTGACGTCAGGGCCGCGTGTTGCTCTATACGGCGCCGTTTTGCACGGGAGACAAGAGATGGCGCAAGCGGTCGCGATTCGAACTGCGCCAACGAACGAGCATATGGCGCCGAGAGCCGGCGTCTTTCGCAGACAATCTTTTCGACTCAAAAGCGGCGGCAGCTTTTCTGATATTGGTTGCCAATGCATCATTAGAGGCGAAGCTGCTTAGGGTCTAGCCTTGTACATCCGGCGTCCGTGCTCACATCGATTGCACTGCCTCCGGGATCGGCCCACTTTTTAAAAAAAAATGTACGCCCGCCAGGGGTTTGAACTCAAGACCGCTTGCTTACGAGGCAAACGTCTTAACCACTACGCTACACTCCCACGTTGCATGTAGCCGCTCAACGTCCATACAGGAGAGGGCGCTGTGGTCAAATGCGTATATAATCGCGTTAAACTTTGCATGCATTCGCTCAACGTTTATAGACGAGAGGGCGCTGCAGTCAAATGCTCAACTGCGTATATAACCACAATCCATACCACACATTCTCTTTCTGACATGGACCGTTGACCTAAGTGGTGGAGATGCGTTCCCACGGCTTCTAGCGGATCCAAGCTGATCCACAAGAAGAACCACTGGCTCTGCATTTCACCGACCATAAAGCAGTAATAAAGAAGTCGAAACGCAACCCGGAACTCAGCACTACCTATGAGCAATAAAAAAAAAATCAGAACCATCAGCACTACCTATGAACAATAAAATCGGTATCATCAGCACCACCAGAGCCTCGCCCCAATCAACATCATTCACCACGTGGAGATGCGGCCTCTCTTTTTTATCATCCTCACTAATAAAACATATTGAATGGACACATAATTGATTAGAAAAATGGTTTGTCGGGATATTGTGACTGTTTTTTTCGGGGTACCGATGTCGTCTGCTTTGCAGTTCCTTGTTGTTACTGCGCCTGCTTTTGTTTCTGCGACTGTTGCCGCCTGCGGAATGCGCTCCGCTTTTGGGTCGAAATGATTGTCTGCTAAAGACGCCGGCTCTCGGCGCCGGCTCTCGGCGCCATATGCTCGTTTATTGGCGCAGTTGGCATCGCGACCGCTAGCGCCATCTCTTGTCTCCCGTGCGAAACGGCGTCGTATTGTTTGAAGACCTTTGGCTTCGCCGCATTTCCATAGGAGCTAAGCCTTTTTCTTTTTTTAATTTTCCCTCGGGTAAATTTGCTCTCTGCAATTTTTACAAAGAAAATGCACCATCTGTGGGCAATGCTGCACAAAGTCATAGCGCGATAGGTTAAACAACCGAATTTTGCAGTCGATTTAAAGAGCCTGGCCACTCCTTGATACACCCAGTAGTTATGTCGTTAGACGCAATTTAGGTGGAGGTCACGACCTGCTCTAAGCCCCGCCCATTACTACTGGATTAGATTGGCTGCTTGGCCAACGTTGCTTGCAAGCGTCGTGTCTCCTTGTCGCGACATCCGGTGCATCTAGTCTGGCTATGGTGCCTGGGACGTGTCTCCGAGTGGCGTGTTTACCGCGTCCAAAAAGTGGTCCCACGATTTCCGCCTGGTGACCTCACAAACGTGTCATGTTGTCGCCGGTCGCGACCCTGGCGGTGTTCCAGCAGCGGTGGTGGATGTAGCAGACGCCTGTTCTGCTGCAGGTCGCTCTCCACTGTGACAGTCCATGGAAGCTAGGGCAGCCGGAAGTTGGGACGCAATGACGACAGCGACACTCGTGTTTGCTCGTGCTTTTCGCCAGCATTTCTACGACCAACCGCCAGGATCGCGGCGTCCGACCGTATGACACTCTGGCTTCTGCGACGTCATTTGTGGCCACATTGGGACCACTTTTGATGTATGGGCGGGATAGGGCGCTAAACACACCAGTTGGAGAAGCGTTTCAGGCGCCATAGTCTGGCGTCTGGCACCGCCTGCGAGTCGCGTAAGCAGATGTGTGGCAGCCTCTGGCGTCGTCTGCTATTCTACCACCGTTTACCATCGTCTGCAACGTCCATAAGATACGGCCATGAGCGTCTGCATCCGCCATCGCTTGCGTTAGTCTGCTATTCCGCCCTTGTCCAAAACCGTCTGCAAAGCTCGCAAGACACGACCACGAAAGAGGCTTCCTAGCGTTACATCATGCACGAGCCACGGGGCAGTACAAGCATCTGTCAGCGTTTGTCCATGTGCAATAAAAAGTGGCCAAAAGGAATAAAAAAAGATCCACAAAATAAATATGCACAAAAAGTTGGGGCACAAACGAGCTGGTGAAGGTTTAACAGTTCTTTTAGAGATTTACCAAAGTTTTTTAGATCTACCAGCACATGGTTTCATTCAAGACGTGTCTCCTGATGACTTCCTTATAAAGCGTTATGTGGGCGACATCTTGGTTTGCACCACTGATCCTTCTCTGTTCGCATCGCTAGTGAACCTTGAGTATGAAGAAGCTCCAGAGCTGCAGTTTTCAGTGGAAGGGCTGAAAAACTACCACCTGCAAATTTAGAAAGTGGCTCTTAGGCGCCTGTTCTTGGCTCGAGCGGCGTCGCCGTCCACGTAACCGTGCAGTGCATTATGGGAAATTTACCATAATGCACCGCTTGGGATCCTCGTCACGCGACGTCATAAGGGTCCCGCACGGTGCGTTATGAGACATTTCCCATGGTGCAACGCGCGGGAAGGAAGATGAGGGGGGAAGAGGAGAGGAGAGGGGGAGGAGGATGAGAGGAGGGGAGGAGCTTGAAGGATGTGGGAGGAGGAGGAAGAGGACAGAGGAGGGGAGGAGTAGCAAGGAGGATGAGGAGGAGGGAAGAGGGGTATACTCTTCCCTCAGCACCCTTCACTCCTCCTCCTCTAGAGCTGCACTCTCATTCGGCGTTACAGGGTGTTGTAAACGTCTTTCATTTTTTAGATATTAAGTTGGAAACTCCGTCTAGTTTCTGTTGGCAGTATGACAGAACTACATCAAAACCACTCCTGCCCCATAGTAGCTGCCATTAGAAAAATGTGAAGTCTGGCATTTTGTCCGAAACCTCATGAGCAGTGCTCTGAAGAAATCACGTTCGCATTCCACTAAGTCCTCGCTGCAACATCTTTTGACCATTTTGGTTTAGCTGGCTATCCAGAAGATTATACATTCAAACGGTTATTGCACCTTGTTTCCTTGAAAAAGAAGAGTCAAGGGGCTCTCACCAAACATATAGTTCTTCCTTTTCTCCATTGCATCTCCCACAATCCCAAATCAGTTGGCAACCATTACAGTATCGGCACGGTGTTTAAGAATGATTATAGACTAAATCGATCGACCCCAATTGTTTCCGCGAAGACTACATGTACAAAACAGCGCACAGAAAAGTATGTCAATAGTGTGTCGGGTGTAGTCTACAGAATTCCTTTTTGATTGTGGCCTCTGCTACATAGGGCAAACAAGCATTGCCTCAATAACCGATTAACCGAACACAAACATTGCGTTAAAAACAAAGAATCCGACTCAGAATTGTCAAAACATGTTATTGAGTGCAATACTTGTGAACCACTTTGGCAGTCCACCTCAGTTACCTTAACCGAGAGAGATAATCACAAACAATTAGTAAAAGAGTCTCAAGGTCACCCTCTAACCTAAGTGTCTGTATGTTGCTTTTTCGTTAGCCCTAACTGTGTTCCTCTTTGTGTTTTTTCTTTTGTTTTGTGTTCGTTCAACGTTTGAGATTTTTGCCCACGGTGCTTTTGGTTTGTTCAGGGAAAGGGTGGACCTAGTTTTCTTTGTGTGTCTTATCCAGTTGTTTAGGTGAAATGATAAAGGTTCAACCCAACTTCTTTTGTTACTCGTTGTTTCGGCTATGTGCCAAGTCCTGTGCAGGTTGTCCTCTGAGTTCGATCCTTCTCATGCGTTTGTGTGATGGGTGTTCTCACTTTCTTTCTCTTTTCATTTGGTTTGTGGGAGGAGGAGGCATTGAAACCCTATATTAGCACAAACTTCTGTGCCAGTTCTGGTTTGATCGTCCGCTATCAAAACCAGAAGTGGCGCATCCCACACACCTTCGAAGCATCCGCCATCTGTTGGCAGCGTCTCCAAGTCAACAAACACCGTCTGCGTTGCCCGGAAAGTGGCGCTGCAGATTGCCCGAAACAGGTTATTCTTTTTTCTATCCCGAACAAGGTAAGTTTAACCGTTCATATTTTAACTCCCTGCGTGCACCACCTGGACGCACCTTTATGGTAAATCTCGGCGCAATACGTTGAGAAACCAGCTTTCGCAGATCGTCCAAGGTGTGATGGAAGAGTTAGTGTACACGCTGAATTTTCACTGCTGTTACCTTTCTGTGCATACTACTACTCTAAAGGGGACACACCCCCGGGAGGGTCAGCTTTTGAACCCCTGGCTTAAGATTAATGAAATTTACAGGGTAGGCTGGTGGTCATGTTAGAGGGTACATAACAGAATTTCAGGTCTGTCGGTTAAATGGGAAGGAAATTAGAGCAGCTTCTATCAGCAACACCCCTACATTGTTTAGTTAATCTTTTGTTAGAACACTATCACAATATTCAAGATTTTTATTCGCTAGATATGTAACAAAATGCCTAGGGGGTGCGGCTATGAAAAGGTTTTTGTAAAAAGTCTATTATTTCTATAAATTTTCTCTTCCACAAATTTGTCAACTTTTTGGTCTTCTGTGTCTTAGACAAAATGTCAACATTTTTTTTATAAAAGACATCTGTAAAGTGACAAAAAAATTCCATAGCAGCATTCTTTATTAAATTTCAGTCAGGAAAAGTGAAGAATGAGCCTTCCCTGTATAGCCATTACCAAACGATAAATTGACTAAAATGGAATTTATACCAAAAAGTGGAATGGAGAAAAATGTGTTCAACGTGCTCCAAACCCTACCTATTCTTTAGCTTCGATGGACAGAAAATAATTTATAAAAAATTAACTATGCAGTGTAAACTAATGAAACTATCTAGATGTTGGTGGATGTAAATTTGACATTTTTCAAAATCGGCTTTTTTTTACAGAAATTTGTTTTTCTGGGTAGTGTCTCCTTAACATTCCACAAACTGTGTTTGGTACTATATCTTGCGAATTAACTTAGCTAAAACCAAGGCACAACTCTGCACTAAAATGCCGATGTTCACGCTCACAGCCCCCAAACGTTCATGGGGTTCAAGACACTTATCACTTCTGCGACATTACGCGTTTCACTTTCAGTTCCTTAGAGTGAATGTACACCGCAAGGCACCTATAGGCTTCTTGCACCCAACGTTACTTTCGGTTAGACTCGAAATCAAAACCAACATTGTCGTCTGCTATCAGTGCCTTGGTGCCATGTTGGAGGCATTCGGCATCTTACTGCAGCCGCAGTAGTGCCGTAGAGTCATACAGCAGTCTTTGTCAGAATATTTTCTTGTCCTAGTGAATTGCAGAGAAATTCCTCACCTGACACGAGGTGCAGTCCACAAACCCTTAGCTGGGGTCCAAAACTTTTCTGCCACGATCGCAGAGTTAATATAATAATCTAAAGTGAAAGCTCGCATGCATTTGGCTGTTTCGGAACGGAGAGGCATAGAAGCAGACATCGGCGGTACCAGTTGGCGGTCCCAATGAGCCCATATCGCTGACGACAAATTAATATGCACAAAGAAGCAGCAAAACTTCAACTGCAACATCTGTACCTTGTTATTTTCGCTCCCACTTTGCAGGAAAACACTGGAATCGTGCATTGAAAAAATTAAATAATGTTGACAAGCACTCGAGCCACTTCAACTTGTCACGGAAAAACTAACATGCCTGACCCCGGAGATGTTAGCGCCCAGGATTTGCTGCACTTTGCTTATAATTATAAATGACTCCAACGGATAGCCTGGTCAAGGTTGTGCCGGCGTATCCGTCGAAGTCATTCATAATGCCGGCGAATCGATTGCTCGAGAGTCGACTTGTCCCAGTTCCTGATGCTTTCGGGAATTCTAGCAAAACCAATACTCTCCGTTGTCGTCGACTTTTACAGCTGGAACAATTATTACGGCGCAAACTGACCATTTTAGACCTCGAGTGAGCGGACAAACTACAGCGCGAACACGGCCCTAAAGCACACAAAACATAACAAAACAGTGATGAATGCCTCCAACATGGATTCCAGCGGGTTCCAATGAGATTTACAAACCAGTAGTAGCGTTGCATCATGGTCTCGTGCACGAACCCTATTAGTGCGAACAGGGCATCGGCACTTTTTTACATCTGCAGGGTGGCAGTGGGCACCATATTTTACCGCATAGGTCAGAGCCCCACACATGCACTTTCCACCACACCAGTAGTGTTAATGACAGCGTTTCAATTATAAGGAAAGAAAAAAAAACAGTGATCACTTGTTTGCATTAACAATGTCGTGCTGCGTACGTTGAGGGCCGTGTAAAAGATTGGAGTCGTCAGCGACAACGTCGCAGAAAAACGCACGCAACTCCTTCACTTAGGTGCTAACCCCCCGGTCGAAATATCCCACGACCCTACAAACGCATGGCTGGTGATAAACCAATGACACGACGATGGCACAGATGATGGCAATGACGATGGAAACAACGACGATCGAGTGCCGAGGACGGGTTGGGACACTCACCGGCTCTATGAAACTTCTCGAGCATCTTCTGTCTCAGCTCGAGGACAATATTGAAGTATTCGTTCTCCTCCCCGGGGTCACGCAGGAACCAGGGGATGTGCTGGAAGACCACCACATGCTTGTATCCCCCGGACTTCGCTTCCTCGAGCTGCTCGTCCAGCCAGGAACTCTGCTCCTGCTCCAGCTCTCGAACCTGCGGACAATGCGTGGACACAAGATTGGTTTCATCGGTGGGTGTAGTCCAGTAAGGCTTCTGCATGCTGCCAGTCCTATTCGACCTTTGGACAGCCGGACAGCCGGGACGTCGATTCTTCCACTGCGGTAGAAGAATTGGGCCAGTGCAATAAGAGTACAAGATGTTTGCACACAAAAAAGTCACTATAACCTTAGTGCTTCATTTATAAGTAGACTTTGGTGCTTTCGGTTTATGCGGTGCAAAAACCATCTGAACTGCTCGTACAAAATGACGTACACGCGGAAATCGTGTTCTGTGTGGACAGGCGGCACTTCGGATCGTGGCAGGCACGGCAGAAGTCCGTAGCAGGCGTAGGGGACTCACGTGGGTTGAGTTCTCGTAGTACTGCGAGTTGATGACGATGCACATGACGCCGCCGCACCAGAAGACAAAGTAGTCGTCGCCAAAGGTGTCCCGATAGCTTCGAACGGACTCGGGCGTCGGCTCGTTGCCGATGTCGTGGTTGCCGCACACGCACACCAGGGGGACCTCCGAGCTCATCTCGGCCATGACGCGCCGGAAGTCGTCCTCCTGGGCATTCCTGAGGTCGGTGCCTGTGGGGGTTCCAAAGGTCAGCGACGGCAGACGGCACCGCACCCGGGAAGAATGCAGAAGCGGAACACGGAGAGGTATGTTGCGTACATCGAAAGCAGTCCCGATGTGGCAAGAAACAACATCGCGGAAGCCGACATGTCGTACCGTCGGACGTCGCGCTCTCGGCAATCGGTTGTACCAATGTGGTGGAAAAGCACGAGCGAACGCGAGTGTCGCCATCGTCGCGGCGTCCAGACTTCGGTTTGCCGAAGCCTCCGAGGACTGTCGCACTGAAGAGTGACTTGCAGCTGAACAGGCATCCACCATGTCCATTACTGCTGCTGAGATACCGCCAGGATCGCGACACCTCTACGACGTCATTGAACAGAAATTGAGAGACTGCGATTTTGGACGCGTTCCAGGAGCCATAGAGGGGGCAGAACGCAAGCGTGAAGCTAGAACGCGAAGATGGAATGCGGAGACGGAATGCTGAAAAAGGACCGTCGGAAATTGTCAAAAAAAGCCACGTCTTCACTCTGGCTGCTGTCGAAGGAGATGTACTGCGGCGGCATCTGCGATCCTTTGCACCCCTACATATGTTCGTCGAACTCGGTGCTCTCGCCCTGCCTTAATTTGGTGTATAAGTTTACACCAGTTCAGGTTTTTCTCCTTTAAGAAACTGTAAAGCAATGCTCGAATTTTCCACGCTCTCTCTACACAAGATGTACTGCAAAGCGGAGTGAGCGAACGTGACATTGAATGTTTGGACACTGAGGCATTGATCTGGTTTTGAGCTACGATGACGGGTGTTCACGCTGTAGATCAGGGGTTTCCAAACTTTTCGGCTAAGGAACTGGATTAACGATCTGTCACACAGTCTCGATGGCCTAACTAAAAAAAAAAAAAAAAAATCATAAAAAAACCAAAAAAACCTAGATAAATATATTTATATGCCTATCTAGGCTAATTTATTTATTTATTATTTACTAACAAACAAATTAATGTTACGAGTAAGTATTAAAAAAAAGCCTAATAAGAGGGTTAATACATACGCTTGAATTTGAGAATTAATATTTAGTGAATTATGACATTACGCAACACGTCTGGCCCAGAAAACTCGCCAGTCATTAATCAAAGCTCTTAGGTACTTGGGCAGATTTGCGCAATGCAAAAGGCTAATGAGAACGATAGAACTAACGCTGCAACGTACAAGAGAATGCAATGGAATTTTTACGTACTTACACAGACACGAGGGGGCTAAGAATGGTAATGCTGGTGATGACAATGTTTAATTAATAACATGGTGAGAGGACCCGTGATATGATGCAGTTTCTCCAATATTTCTGACATCTGTTTGTATATTTGGAGTGCGTCGTGGTGTCGTTTCTCTACGCGCACTTCGTTTGCACCACTAGCAGCGAACCTCCTGGAAGCGGGCCACACCACTAGCAGCCCACGGCCAACCAGCCCGTGGCCCGCTTCCAGGAGGTCCTCCTGGAAGCGGGCCACGGGCTGGTTGGAAAAGACTTTCGCAGGTCGGATCTGGTCCGGGTGCGAGGTTTTGAAGGCCCTGCCGTGGACAAAAAATTTCACCGGCATGGTGCAACTGCTAACCCGGGGTCTTTACTATAGACCCACGCAGCAGTGAATGCACGACAACATGCCGGGATGATGCTCGTCCAGGTGAAAACGGGAGAGGACCAAGCACAGGATTGCGCGGCGCAAGCCTTTGTCCCACACATTCTAGACTGCATTCTACACTACGCTCCGTTCACCCTTAAAGCCTGACGACCAGTTCGCGCTTTCCACTTTTCGCCCGCTTTCCTCCTCTACCCCCTTCTGCCCTGTCCACCGTTGCCCGTTTCTTCCTCCCCATGGTGAGGAGGATCTTCTGCCTTGCAGAATGTCGAGTCTGGTCGTCGGCCTTTAAGCAAACAGTGTAGTGGAAGCCACGCAATCACCGGACACCGATCAATGCCTCCCTTTCGTCACCTGCCCCGCTCTGCGCGTGGGTGCGGGCACGAGTGCGATCGCGTGGCAAAAGATAAATCCGAGACCATTCCGACGGGCAAGCGGTCCGTATTGCACTGTCGGCCGAGGGGTGAACGGAGTATTGCTCGATCGCGCACACCGATTTTCCCGGTATGCCGACGTACCGGGCATTGCGTCAATGAGGTCTCCGCACACGATGAAGAAGGACGGCTTGGGGTTCATCCGGTTGACGGCGGCGATGGCCTGTCTGGTGAGCACAATCTCCTTGTCCCACTTGGGGTCGGGCTTCTTCTCGATGTAGCTCTCGATCATGCCGAACTGGGTGTCCGCCGCTTGGATGAAGAAGAAGGGACCCTTCCATTCGCTTTGGGTGTCTGTGCAGAGCAAAAAAATGCTGAGTCACCCGGTCGTGGATGTGAGTGCGGCACTGGACATCCCGTGGAATGGAGCAACTGCGCCCACTGGACAGAAATGGCAGCGCGTAGAGAGCAATTATCGGGACGGGTGGCCGAACCGCGAATCGCGGTACGCACCCCGCCCCCCCAAGAAGTCAAAGAAAAAGACCCATAGAAAAAAAGGCAAGCTTGCGCTTTGCCAGCCTTGTGCCATCGTGTCCACGTCAGACAAGGTCCTTATTTTACGGATGGGGACTCGCAATAAAGAAACATACTGAGCAGTCACCTCATGGGTGGAGTTCACCGTGGCCACCAACTGAGAAGAGAAGAAATTGACAGCGACGTCATCCCCAAAGTACTATTATGCATGAAATGCAGTATTGAAGGACCGATCGTTTAAATTTGTTAAGACACTAAACAGTTGTTTCAGGGTGTGAAGAAGCTACATTTTTTAAGAATTTCACCATCAAACTTGGGAGGGAAATTGATTTAGTACAAAGGTCACGCGACATGAATGTTCACACTAAATTTAGCGGGAAACTGAATTGCAGTATAGGTCTCGTGACGTCGGGCCACGTGACATGAATTTGCGTGCCAAATTTAGCGGGAAAACTGAATTGGTCTAAAGGTCACGTGAGGTCAATTTAGCAGGGAAACTAATCTGGTCTGTAGGTCTGGTGACGTCAGGTCACGTGACATTAATTTTTCCCGCTAAGTTTGGCGGGGAAACTAAATGGGTGTTTGCATCACGCGACATCAGTTGCCCCGCTAAATTTAGCGGAAAAGGCATAGTAAATCAATGGACGGATGGGTGAAAAATTTGTTTAGATTGGGGGGTTTCATTAAAAAGCACCTCGTGCTTTAAACATTTGTTAAGAGTAACACGCCCCCTTTTTATTGTGGCTCTTTGCTTAAAAATTGTTCCCTTTTATGGCTATTTGCAAGTGTTTGTCTGGCCACCCCTGATCTAAACAGCTTTCGAGCGCCTATTACCCTCGAAAGAGAATGCAGCCATCGGGCTGCGGATGGCTGCGTGGCGTACAATATTCTGCGTTAGAGAGCGACTGCGCACGCTCAGGACAAATTCTACGACACAGCACACAGAAAGTGATTATTGGATCCATCTACACACCCTTTCTGAAATTCCGTCTGGGCGCTTCGATCACTCTCATTATACGAGCGTGTGACACCTGCACCAGGTGTCACACACCTGGTGCAGGTGTCACCAGGTGTGTGACACCTGATGACCCCCCCCCCCCCCCCCCCCCCCCCCCCAAAATCTTCCATTTTGCTGGGGCCTCCCCTCCCCCCGCCCCCTCATACAGCATTTTGTCGTGGGCAGGCGACCCCCCCTTGAAACAAAATCCTGGCTACGTGCCTGACCTGCACCATATGTGGTGGCTGACAAAGGAAGAAGTTGAAGGCCTTTTTTGTCCAGACGTTAGTGCAAAACAATGTACAATTTTCATGCAAGAGCTGTGCCAGCATTTATTGCGGATCTGGCCGGGTAGGACTTCTCTGTCAGCACATACTCAACTATGAAGTGTCTCGAATTCATTTATTTTATCGATAGCTTTGCTCGGATCAGCCCATCGTACGGACCGATTGTTTCCTTTCTGACCAAAGCAGCCGAAAAGAATCGAGAGAGAAGTGCATGGGTGTGGGTGAAGAACATATCCTTGTCTGCCGTCGACATTTGAAGGTGACAGTGTCCTCGATGAAATCCTATATTTTCATAAAGGCCGTTAATATTTAATTTAGACGCTAGATGGCACTGGAACTGCTATTTTAATGTTCCAAAAACATACTCAAGTGCTGAATGCAAGATTTTAAAATTTTGATGTACACAATTATCTGGGTGAAAAGTAAAAAAAATAAATATTTTTTTAGAGACAAGGTGGAAAAGTGGGAAACGTTTGGGGGGGGGGGGGGGATTTTTGTAAAAATAGACAAATGACACAGAGGGCTTTTGGGGCATATTTTGAGAAAACAAAAGTAAACTGGCACTTCCATGTCTCATAGTTTTATGATAATAGTTACTTTATTGGGTCTGGACATTTTATCGAACACCGTTTCATTGAAGCTGTTTCATTTAATGCCGCTTCATCGAACACCATTTCATTGAACACCATTTCATCAAAGCTGTTTCACTGAGCGCCACCAACTTGAGCAGATGGAATTCTACACAAAGGAAATCATTTTGTTTTAGCACCGGCAGCATAGCAGTGTTATATTATTGGTTATAATTTGTAAACTTATAAACTCATAAAAGAAAAAAACTTTTTTTCCTTGTTTCTATTTTTTTTCATAGTAAATGATGATGTCTGTTGTTAATGTGACCAATAAAAAATTAGAAGACTGACAACACTTTTTAAACCTGTGAACATTGGTGCCGTGATGAATGCACGTTTGCTCAAAAGTGTATCTTTGTCGTTGAAAAGACGTATTCTACTTCACGACGAAGACACATTCTTGAAGCAATGGTCTGTCTCCATGTCGCATGATACAGAAAAAAAGACCCGTCTCCCCTCAATTTATTGTAACTGACAGAACTGTGGACCTGCCGGATTTTCGACATACAGTGTACATTCTTAAAAATGAAGCTATTCTCCTAGGATAGAATGAAAATACTGCGAAAACAGCTGATTCCTTTTTCAGAAAGTGACTTTCACGCATGAACAAAGAGGGGGATAAAGTGGGAAAAAGTGTGTGATGGAGAACAGCCGCTTACTTCGTCAGAAAAGAATAGATTGCGTACGCACTAAGTTTTGACATGAAAGCTACTTTCTATAATTTAGTAACCACCGGCGACACCTCAGTCCTGTGCCCTGTGTTCGACATGAGGAGCTGCCAGCACCTTTAGGACTACCTCGATAAAATGGAGCACTGGGCTCTTGCAAATCACCTGCAGCTTAGTTCCAACAAGGGTGCTGTGATCCACTTCAGTGCCAGGAAGAGTGTGACCCCACCGGAGTACACACTCATGGGAGCAAGCTTGGTGCCGTGCAAGTCGCTCTCCATCCTTGGCGCTCAAAGGATTTTTCTGCTCATGTCGCCTGTGTAATTGCCAAGGCTCGGCATATGCTGGGCTTCGTTGCACGGGTGACGGGGCCCTGTGAGCCGGCTTCACTGCGTACACTGTACACGGCAATGGTGCTCCCATCTCTAGAGTACTGTTGCTCAGTCTGGTCACCAACCCAGCAGCATTTGATCGAGCGGATTGAAAGCGTCCAGCGAAGGGTGTCCAGGGCAATATGCTTCAGGGCACTTGGGCATGTCTCTGGGCTGGACACCAGCTACTGTGACCGGCTGAAGGAGTGGACTGAAGGCGCCCCCTCCAACATAGGCGCCAAATGTTCCGTGTGCGTTTCGCCTGCCGGGTGTTGGACGGTTCCCTGATTGGCACCTACCTCTCGACAGTGGCTCGAATCGGCAAGAGAACTGGACAACCTGATGAGCTGAGGGAAAGGACATTGCGTCATAACCCCTCATTGCTCCCAGCTGCTACAAAAGACTTTCTGAAACCTCCGCTCAGTGTGCGCAGCCCCCTGCCATCAAACGGGGCAGAGTCACGAGAGCTGGCCAGGATGCACGGGAAGCAGCTGGCATCCTCATCATAATGTGATACTTGTTTCCCACCTTCTTTTCTTTCCTTTTTATGTACTTCCTGTAGCGTGTATATTCCGTACATATATATGTCTATTTTGTTTTTTCACGTGTGGTGGCGGGCTGGCAGGTGCTCTGCATAAGGGTTTTCACCCATCTGCCTAGCCCCACACACCACCACATGTGCCCCTTCCAGAATGTGCAAATAGAATTATTATTATTATTCTCATTTAGGTAAAAAACAATTCACCGGGGTAGTAATTCTATTTCTAGTGATTCGAAAGTGGGGTCAAAACCATTTCAAAAGCGATAGTAAATTTTGTGAAAAGTATTGTAATACTCCAAAATGCAGTAAAGGGAAATTTGATGAAATGGCATCAAGCGATTCAATGAAATGGGGTTTGATGAATCAGCATTCGATGAAACGCCCACTTATTCAATGAAACGGCGGTCTATGAAACGGCGTTCGATGAAGCGGCGTTCGATGAAACAGCGTTCAATGAAACGGCGTTCAATGAAACTGCGTTTGATGAAATGGCATTCAATGAAATGGCATTCGATAAAATGTCCAATATCCTTACTTTATAGCTCTTTATAGAGCTCTTTATTTAGTCCCATGTACTGGTGTAAAATCATTGTTTAATGAATCATTTTATAGACACCTAGCTGTTTGACAGTAACTTGATTAGAAAGCACAAGGCCAAGGAAGTTTATAAATGGAGCGTAGTTCAACCAGACAACTATCTTGAGACTGCAGGGAGCAAAGGACGACACATTTTGCTCCGACTTTGTGTTAAAAGAAGTTATTGTCATTTTACAATCTTTTGATCAGTTTGTTACGGCAGTTGATTTGCACCTTTTATAGATTGTTCGGTTCGACTAGCATTTTGATAAATTTATTTTGTAACCACTCTTAGTCGCATAATCAATTAATCAGTCAATCGCCTTTGTATGTTATAATAACATCCATCGTTACAAAGGCGAAGTAGGGGCCCAGTGAGCGCAGTTCAATAAACTCTCCAGTCGGACAGAAGTAAACAAATATGGATGCGTCGTTCACCTGCGACTTCCGCCCAGATAACCCCGCAAGAGAGATCGGCGAGGAGATGACGCCGCAAAAGTGGAGACTCACCTTTCGAGAGTCCTTCGTAGACTCTGTGGCGAGCCCTTATTTTGAAGTCGTTAGTCCTTGTGTTGTCTTCGGTGATGTGGTACGGCCGCAAGGACCGCTGCACCGTACCGCCCGGCATCGATCCGAGTCGCTGGTGCGAACGTAGTGTACTGCAGGAAACCGGCAGTCGAACGACGCAAAACGCTCGTTTGATAAGGAAGCGCGTTATTGGACGCGTGCGCTTTGGCGATTTCAGGCGATTTTAGGAGTGTACGCGCGGTGAACGGTCTTTTTCTGCTGCGTCCACCGCGTCCACAACCAAGTGGGAGGGTGTGGAGTTCTCAATCGTCCGAGAACGTTGGATCAGGTTGGATCGTCTGCTTTGGTCGGCGGGGCCTACGCCTACCGTTCTGTTGAGCGGTTGAAGTTAATGGTCTTGCTTGGATGTTGAGTTCCCTCGGCCGCGTTTGAGTCTCCCTAATTCGCCTGTTGCGATATATCTTCAGCCTCAAAGTTTCTTTAGTTTTGTTCAAAAAACAAACAAATGGAGAAATTGCAATTATGGATTGAATTGGATTGGATTGAATTGCCAAAACAAAGAAGCCTTTTAAATTATCTTTTTATGAAATATTTCAATGCGATTGAAAATTAAAATGTAAGCAGACTATTAAACTAAATTAAATATTAAAAAATTAACATTTTTTAATATTAATTTAATATTTTTTATTTTAGCAATCTACCCCAGCGTTACTCGGTGGCATCGGTGGCATACTCAACGAATTGAGAACTACTAAAACTACTAGAGTAGAGATCCAAACCAACGAAAGAACGTCTAGCGGTTATGAGTTTCGCCTGGGGTCACGTGAGGTTGGTGATGTGAGGGAAAAGGCGAGTTCGGAGAGTGCGTAGGAGCTTGTGTTGTGTGCGTGCGGGCTGCGGATTTTGCGCGCTCCGTTTTCTCCGTGGCTCTTTTTATTTTTAACTGGCGCGCCAAACACATTAATGACTTGGTAACCCCGCGGACCATGTAATCCTAACCCCCAAAATCTTCCGCACTGTCCCAGTTCCGGACGCCAAAGATCCTTACGGCCCAAGATCCGGTTGAAGCTTCGAAGCTCCCAAAATCACCGATGCATTTTTTCCTTCACCGGCAGCAGCACTAGCCAGAATAAAAGATGGCGGACCAACAGCGAGGAATATCACGGATAAATCCCAGTGAGTACTCCCGCAACTTTTGCCGCGCACCTGACGGAATTAACTTCTCTTCGTTTTACGCCTAAGTTTTCTTTGTTCTTTGGCTTGCTCGTTCGCATATCTTGTATTGGAATGCGTTGGTTATCTGGTTCGGCGATCGCGTTTCTTTATTTTCTGTTTCTTGGGGGTTCGCTCAGCCTCTTTTCGGCGTATCTCCTTGAACTCTTTCTTCGCGATATCGCACGAATCTTCAAAATTCCAATCGTTTTGGTTGATTGGGAACGCTTCTTGGTATACCAGCCTCCCAGCGCGTGTGTACGATAACGAGCTGCTATTTCGGTCAAATCACGAATGGAAGAATCTTGAGAAAAGAACACAACACTACGATGATACTAGGTTCTGATTGCTCGCGTAATAAATGTCAATAAAATGCTTTTTTCTTTTCTTTTTTTAAACCCGGATAGACAGTACGTTGTTTTACCTGGTTCCTGCTACTGCTCTAAACAAGAATAAAGGAAGCGAAATAACACGGTCTGCATGCTAATTGAGAGAGAGATAAAGGAAAATTAGTCGTTGAGAATAGCGCATTTTATTATTTCAACTTGGCGACTTTCCTCAGTGTTGCATTTTGGAGACGGAACTTTCATTCCCTACACACCCTCAGCTGTCTTGAAAACGGAATAAGGTCAAATTTAATCGTCATTAAATTTTTTTTACTGGGAACAAGTTATTTCGAAGCGGTTGAAGATGACACAATTGTCTTATTTACCAAGAAATTTTACTTTGGTTATGTAAAACTTGCTCGTGAAGGTATCTTTTCCTTTTAGCTCTTTTGTGTGTTTACCGGTGAAGTGCAAAGAAGTTGCTGCCAAATAGAATTTTACCAGTTTATCGTATAGCAAGAGAAACCAGTAAATTGTGCTGGAATATATTTTGCTTGCGGGAAAAAGAGTGTGGTATTGTTTATAAACTGGCTAATTCGTAGCTATTGCAGATTCCTTTTCCACTTGGTCCTGCTTTGATTGTGATCAATAACGGAGCTGTTGCATGACATTAGGTTCTCATCAAGAAAATGGGCTGCTCCGCAGCAGTATTGTTGCCTTTCGTTTACTAGTTCTTGCTGTGTGACTCAAACACAGTCAGCATAATCGACAATGTATAAATACCGAACTTGATTCAACACAAGCGCAGGACACCAGACATCCTGTTTCACAGTTGCCCACCTGTTCCATGAGATGTCCATGGTCTGGTGATGATTTCTCGCACCATTCATGTCACTCCACTGTGCTGTCCTGCCCTAGCTGACAACAGTGCCTTGGGGTGGTTTTGCCAGTCTTTCTTGAAGTTCAATGATTAATTGCAAGCACTGTCTCCATATCAGTGCAAAACATGAGGAGACGTTGTATGTTTTGGTGGTGAAATACACAGTTACAATTGAAAATGAGCGTGTTGGTTAATAGAAACAAAACTTGAAAGTATAAAACAGAGGACGAGGATGGGAACAGGACATCTCTCATGAAAGATGTCCTGTTCCCGTCCTCGTCCTCTCTGTTTTATACTTTCAAGTTTTGTAAATACACAGTCTTGAGGATTTTTTAGAAAGTATTTTAAGTAGTTTTTTGTGTAGTGCGTGTGCTGGGCAGGAAGTATCTGTGTGCATCCAATCAAAGCAGGGGCTTTAGCCAGGGAAGGGGGGTGGGGGGGGGGGCAGGCAGGCTTATGGTGCTTCAGCTTCCCCTTCCCGAAATATCCAGCCAACTTTGTAGTGTACACATGTATTTTGACCCCCCCCCCCCCCCCTCCCCCTTTCTGTACCCCCCCCCCCCCCCCCCCCCCCCCCCCGAAAAAATATTCCTGGTTACTGAAAAGCCATAATTGGAAAAAGACGCATTCAGAAGGGGTCCTTAAACCTAACTAAGGTTTTTTTAGATAAGACGATGGCCAACACGACAGTTCGACCAAGAGCTTCCTGTTTTTTTTTTTCATAATGTTGGAGCGTTTTTCTGATTACACGCAAGAGGAGGTATGCATGAACGTTGGGCAGAGATTATTGATATGTTCCAACTTCTGTTTTTGAATGTTTAGTGGTTTGGCTCATGATAATCGAGAGACACCTTTGTAGGGAGTTGTCTCGATCCTATGCGGATGTACCTGTTGAAGGGCTACAACGGGACATTGTTTCTCTCTGGTCAACTGCACGCAAAGCATGCGTACCTGTCATCGATCGTCCCAAATTTAGGCTGTCAAGTTACTTCGTTTCAATTGCATCAAAGAGTGTATATTTAATGTCTGTTGGGAGTGTGGGGGTTTGCTTGTGTTTTCGTGTGCCATATTTTCCAATGAATAAGTTGCGGCTTTATCAAAAATTTTCATTTGTGTGCCATGTAGAGCAGTTCAATTTATATGTTCTTTTCTTTTTTTAGATATACAGGTTTTAACTGTGCAAGATAATAATAATAATAATAATTTTATTTGCACTTCAAAGGACGCAGGTGATGGTGTGTGGGGCTGGACAGATTTGCAAGATGTAGGCCATATTGACATTTACAACAAAAAAACAGCAGAACGCCACCGATGTCCTGCTTTTCCACGGTACTAACAAAGTCTTAATGGCATGGGGGATCTTGCACAACGTTTTTGCAAAGAAGCGAGACTTATACCTGACTGTGACTTCTATAAGAAAAAAAGTTTTAGTGAAAAAAAAAAGGGGGGAGGGTGTACAACTTGCACGACAGTACAACCTGTAGGGTGGAATATACGGTACTTGTGGACAACTTTCTGTCATGTTCTAGTTTCCGAGTCTGCAGTTTGTCCGCTGTATCATCTATGAATCTTGCGTGTTTTCGTGCCGTGCAGGCCCCGCATGCCGCGACATGCACGGGAGGGCGTCTGGCCGTGAGCAGCTCAAGCTGACCTTCAGCGCGGGCTCTAAGAAGTACCACGGGAACACAAGCATCCCTGGGCTCGACTATCCCGTTAGAACGTGAGCACCACTGCCGTCCATGTTCTGCCTTACTAGCTGCGCGCGTTGCCGCCGAACCTTCGGGCGGGAGAGAGGAAGGCCGGTTTCGTACAAATTTTAAATGAAGGTCTTATCTCCGACGTGGAGAAAAGCGGCAGGGGGGATACACAAAAGAGGGTGCGGATGAGAGGGGAGTTCCTGCTTCCCCTTCTTTCCAACTGCTAAGGTTACACTCTCGCCCCCGCACATTTGGCAACGCTGCACGCAACTCGTAAGATGGAGGATACAGTCGCTGGCAAGGTGAGACCAACATCAAACGCCCGGCCTGCTGCATGCACTCGTTGCCTATCGCCATGCTTGGGCTGCGCGGTCCAGGCTCGCGAGACATTGACGCGTTATCGATGGTAAGAAGCTCGTGCGGGAGGCGGGACAACCGAAACTCTTCCCCACCCTTCTCATCGTGTCGGCGACCCTAGTACCTCCTACCCTCATTCCACCGACGGGTGGCACCGGCATATCGAGTTGCATTTGCTTGTTGGAAAAGGTGCCGTAAAAGTTTTCTTACAGACTCGCTACAAGGAGTGGGAGCCCTTTGTAAGTCAACTGGGCCATCTACGAGCGGGAAAACGGAAACTGAAATCTTCGGTGATTTAGACAAAAGATCGACGGTGTCGGAGAAATTTCGGAACGTGTGTTACTCCATTGAACGCCTTTGTTTGGAAGACCCAAATGCAGCCTTTCAGAGTAAGGTAGCGCTATAGACCTTTCGCCGAAATACTTGAGCATCGAAGAGAAGGCTGGAAATGTAGGTGCACACGCTGGACGTGCTCGCCTTCTCTACACTAAAGATTCAAAGTAGAGAACTGAAATGAAGCGTTTGTGGAATATGTGTGCAAAGTGCCATTTGTTTTATATCTTAATGCGTTAGCATTAGTACCCACATGATGGAAAAGCTGGCGGCGTCCGTCTGTGGACAAAACAGTGAAAAGGGAAGTGTGCTGCGTAGGGAAGAGGAGGGTAGTAACGGACAACGGCGAGGGGGAGGCGGCGTAATGGGGCGAAAGACAGTGCGCATGCGAATGCTGGGGCAAGTCTGAACTTGCAGGTGTGCAAAGCAGGTATGCCTTGTTTTGTGCTAGAAAAATTGAAAAAGGAAGATCCATTGGTGGATCCTTTAGGGAATGTGTTGGCATGAAATGGATCTTCATTTTCGAACAGTTAGAGCTCCAGACTGCAGCACGTGCACTGAGTGTACTTATGTTCCCGTCATTGTCTTTGATGCGCGGGTAATTCACCAGAAAGGTCTTGATAGCAGTTAAGTGCTTGCAAGATTGCCAGTAGGAGATTTTTGTTTGTTTTATTCTCGCAACAGTTCGCCATCTAGGGATTGTTCGGTGTTATCATTGATGATTTTAAATTCACCCCTTTTTTCGTCATTTTGTTTTCTTTAGTTTTTTTTTAGATTTGCCAGTGTTAGCAGCTTTGTGGCAACTTCGGTCAGACAAATGTGCAAGCAACATAGATTCGGCACTCCTGCGCACCTGCTTTGTTCCTGTCACTTCGTAGCAGACAACTCTCTACAGTCCCCCGCGCAATTGTCTGTCCGCAGCGAACGAGTGTGGCTTCCCCCCAAGATCCATTCGTCGGGCAAGCTGAAGGTTTCGCCCGAGGTGGTAGGTGGCACTTCTGATTTTCTTCTATTTTGTGTTGCACGGGCTCTTACGTGCATTCTGTGTTAAAATAACAAAATGCATAAACTGAAAAAAAAAAACAACAAAAAAACAAGTTGCTGTGGAGAGGTTTAGATTACACGAAGTGATCTTTTCTTGGGATCAAAACCGTTTTAAACTTATTGGCAAGACATGTCCCCTAGTGCACACTTTTGTGTGCTGTGAGTGCACGATAACATTGGATAACATGGGAAGTGTCGGTCACATTATTTGGCACTTGCAAAGCCGCTACAACGAGTCCAAATTTAATACATTTACAAGATACACTGTCGGCTATCGGATAAAATCCGACACCGTCCTATGCAGCATGTCCACAGTCTGCACCACCTCAGAAGTAACTTCTAGACACATGTCGACGGGAAAATATGGAATGGTCGAATTCTTGCAGGAATATGACTTCACGGCAGACGATCTGACGGACCGAGGGGAGATCGGTCGGGGCGCCTTTGGCACGGTGAACAAGATGGTGCACCGGGGTGAGCAGGCTCGAGATGGCCGTCAAGGTGAGAGCTGCTTCTTCCGAGACAGCTGGTTGCGCTGCCGTCGTCTTAGTTGAGCAGGCGCGCTATTGCGTAAGAGCTCGAAGGCACGAGGTATATCGGGGTGTAAGCGCTGACAAGTGCAGGGCCGAGTTTTGGGGGGGGCCATAGATTGAACCAGAGTACACCAGCAGTTGTCCTAGATTGGCCCGACGACGGCTGCCGAATGTCGGGCCGACAACAGCTGCGATTGTAGAAGGCCCGACGTTGGCAGTAACGATAGCTTGACCAAACTCGAACCGATGACGACAGTGAAGCCGGTGGTAGCCGTAGATGGACCCTGCGTGGGGCCGTCGTATGCTGTGAATCATCGGGCCGACATCGGCAGTGGATTATATTTTGATGTGCGTGTTTGTGCAGCGCATTCGCTCCACGGTGGACGAGAAGGAGCAGAAGCAGCTGCTGATGGACCTGGAGGTGGTGATGAAGAGCAACGACTGCCCCTACATCGTGCAGTTCTATGGGGCCATCTTCAAGGAGGTAGGACTCGTCCAGTTCATCTGTTCTGTGCGTGTTGTTAAGGGCTGTCCAAATGGGACAAATTTTCTGCGGTCACAGCAACTGCTGTACCGGAAGCAAAGGTGTTTTTGTTTCCGATTCCGGTCTGCTTTTGCACATTTTATTTTTTTCAAGGGGGGGGGAGGGGGACGTTCTTTGTTTTATTTTCGCTTGTGTCCTTGAAGAGAGGCTTGGAGCGTTCTCATCACGTGGGTCCGGAAAGCCACTCGCGCGATCTGCGGGCCGTCGTCGAGGTCTCCGCCGTTGTCAGTTCCCAATGTTCCGAAACAAGAAAAGAGAAGCGACGACAATGGGAAGTGATGGGAAAGCCACGTCGTTTGCACGGTTGTCCTACAAATCGAAAAACGAACACACGCACCCCAACTTCCGCGTCTCTTAAGAGAAGCGTACACTCTTTTGCCGCATCAGCGTTTGCCGTATCCCGTTTGGACAGCCCTTGAGCCACGGGCTGCCACACAGTAACGCAGCCAGGTAGCAAGGCCCTAGTGCTGTGTTTCCGACCAGCATGTTTAGCGTCCCATATTCTGCCCACGCGTCGAAAGTGGTCCCGAAGTGCCAACAGATGACGTCGCAGAAGCCGGGGTGTCAGGCTGTCGAATGTAGCAATCCTGGCGGTTGGTCGTAGAAGTTCCGGCAAAGCGCTTGAGCAAAAGCGCTCGAGCGAAAGCGAGCGTCGCCGTCGTCGCGGCGTCCTAACTCCCGGCTGCTATCGCTTTTGCGGACTGTCAAGCTGAGAGCAACCCGCAGTGGAATCATTCGCCGTTGTTGCTGGGTTTGCGGCCGACGACGGCGCGACACTTTCATGACGTTGTCGGGCGGAAATCGGGGGACCGCTTTTTCGGACGCAGTACTCACAACAGGCAGAGACGAGTTTCAGGCACCGTGGTAGTCCTCTACTTTCTGCGTTGCCCACCAGAGACCAGTTAAAATTGGACATGTGCACTGTGTCGTTTTTAGGTCGGTGGTCTGTCTGCATCCAGTCGGCGGGGACTTATGTCCCTGTTGACTGAACACGGGTTCCAGCCAAACGCCGATGCAACACCCGCGCCAGCGTCCTGGAGGCGACGTATAAAATCTGGCACCGGCCTTGCTATTTGGGAAGATACTGCCGAAAAGACGCGGTGGGTGAGGTGTAGAGCGTCAACAAGGGGGACTTTCAATTTCTCAATCCCGAGTATTACCTGCCTCTCTTGATTGGTTGCGTTGGAAGCCTTCTTGGCCTCGATGGTAATGCAAATGAGGTACAGTGTAGACCGCATATAACGTATGTCGCAAGAGTCGCGAAAATCCGCACTGTAAGCGGTACCGCGCTATAACCAAAACATCAATTTTTCAGGCCAAAATACGTGCCACGAGACAACTTGCCTTTCTAACAGAATTTATTTTATGGTAGATGAAAAATAAAGCTTAGTTTGAGAAAAATCTTCATTTCACCAGACTAGCACACTTCTGTCTCAAGTGTGTCACACATTTTGAAACAAAATGAGCGACTTTTGCCTGGCGCAGCCTTTTAACAGCGTCGCGGGTTGCGGACGGAGGTTGAGAGCGTTCAGGGCAGGAACGTAGCCAGGGGGGAGGCCCATGGGGCCCGGGCCTCCCCCGAAATCTTCCATTTTGCTGGGACCTCCTCTCCCCCCTCCCCCTCATACAGCATTTTGTCATGGGCGGGCCCCCCCCGAAACAAAATTCTGGCTACGTGCCTGGTTCAGGGGGTCCATATCACAAGAGCGAATGACATTTTAGTGAACAGCGACATTTGAGCGAATGGACTTTTTAGTCCATTCGCTCAAATGTCCATCCGTCGTGCTGCGCTTTACGCCTCTTCGCCGGCGACAGTCTGCGGCAGCTCATTACAAAAATATGAACCCACTTGGCCCACCCGAAAACGCCGCTTCGCGGCGTCAGACTCTTCGCTAAAGTGTCATTCGGTGAAACGTGGGCGTTCGCTAAAGCGTCGTTCGATCAAGCGAGTGCCTCCCGCGCCAGTAATACCTTCAACTTGAGCACAGGCATGAAACGCTCCAAATAAGAAATCCGGGCGATGTTCGAAAACACAAATGCTTAGAAAGCACCACTGTAGTCGAAGTAAACGAACACGACGACATGGGCGTTTCTGCCGTCTTGAGAGTGCCGCCACGACATCGCCACACGAGTAGGTGGATCTTCCCTTCTGTCAGCTTGGGGGTGAATGGAACATGGGCTTGCGCTGCCTGCCCTGGGCCCACGTGGGTGATGTCTTCCATGCTGCTTGCGTCGTTTGACCAAGAGTCGAGCGAGGGCGTGGAACCTGCTTGCGTGTTTCGCAGGGCGACTGCTGGATCTGCATGGAGATCATGGACACGTCCCTGGACAAGTTCTACAAGTTTGTCTACGAGAAGCAGGGCCAGAGGATACCTGAGGCCATCCTGGGGAAGATCACGGTCGCCGTGAGTTCATTCGTCATAAGTGGCACGGACTCTATGCTCGCAACCGGAGCAGTAGGCTCTTCTACTTTCATTAGTTTTGTATGAACTTGGCTAGCATTAAAGGGGTCATGAAAAGATTTTTCGACTTTTTTCTTTTTAGCTTTCCTCCTCAACTTGCGAATCGCGTAGCGTACTAAACAGTTCAAGAGGAAAAGGAGGAACCCCCCTCTTGCTCGGACCCTCGTTCGTGTACCCGGACATCGCCATTCTGCCCCTAGAGGATTCGCCCGTCACTCAAAATTTGGACAACAGTTGCTTTCCCCACCTCTTTCACCCCTAAGCTGACAGTGCTGTGGAAGCTATGTGCTCGGTCGGCCAGCCACACTTTTATCTTTTGTCGCATGATCACGCTCCCTCGCACATACTAATGTGCAGAGAATGGGGCCTGGCGATGAAAGGGAGGCAGCTTATTGGTCTGGCATGCACGCAGCTCCCACTGCACTCTCGGCATAAAGGTGAAGAGAATATAGCTAGGTCGGGTGTCGTGCGACGTGCGTTGGGGCCGGGTGACATACTTTGGGTACTGGGGATGTATCACAGTAAAAAGGCAGAGAGCTTTCCAAGGGAAGGAGGTTTAAAATAGTCTGCTATGTTTTCACATTTTCATACCAAAAATCAGGCTCTTGATGTTCTACTTCAGGGATTGCATGGGTCCCTGAACACTCTTGAATTTTAAAACGGCATTTTCCAGACCTCGAGAAAGTCCTGGAATTCTTAGCAGTGCTTGAAAACCCTTATATTTTCAATGATTTTTTTTTTTTTTTTCAGTAATTAAGTTTTTTTACAAAATAAAATATAATTATTTTTTTTACATGTATGTTAACATAAATTTCCAAATTACATTGAGGAAGTTTTTTTATGTGGCAAATTTAGGCATGTTTAGCGGATGCCCGTTAAGCACCTGGCCGCAATGGTAGCAGTCCCAATGGTTCTGGATCCGTTCTCGCCCGTCCGCTATCTTGCAATCTTGCCCTTTGTTCGCCTTGTTCTCACGCATACTGTTTGGTATATATAGCTACTCCTGGTTTGCTCGTTCCGCGTCTGTTTCACGCTACACATGGTGGACATAGTTTAAGTTGTGCCCAACCCCCGGGAAGTGCAGCTTTCAGCGGTCGTGGCTGGGCCACGACTACAGACGCCAAGTTGCGCCATACGCAGCGAGCTCGAATTGGGCAAAATGCGGACCTTGCGGGAAGACGTTTGACATCTCATTAATGGGCAAGTCTGTACTAAAGTCATATGAAGAGTGCAAAGCACAGTGGGAACATCAAGATGGTAGCAGCTAGCTCCATGAGGAACTATGTGGCGCTGTGCTTGAGTGATTGATCTGTCTCTGCGGTCCCAACACAGTCATTGGACTTGGTCGGCGTGTGCATGGTGCACAAGTTAGTGTTGGATGGCGAGATTTTGTGGACGTTGAAGGTGATTTTGTCTCACTACTCATGCAGCTCACCCTCTGAAACAAACAACCATTTCAGGAGGATGTTCCCGGACTGTGAAGTTGCAAAGGCTTTCGCTTATGGAGAGAAGTGTGTGTACGTGGCGTAGCATGGGCCTTGGGCCATTTTTTTTATCATCCATTCAACGAACCATTGAGAACTGCAATTATTACGTCGTCCTGTTTGACGAGTCCGCAAGTGATTACTTACGTCAGAAGCAAATGGACCGCAAGATACTACAAGTGGCCACAAGACACCACATGTCCCTATAATGGGTCACGTAACAGCAGACCACATCCAAGAGAAACTCTTGAGTTCACTGGAGCCATTACCTTTGCCGAAGATTGTTCAAGTGTTCATGGACAGGCCGAAGGTGAACTTGAAGTTCTTCAGAGGCCTGCAGGAGCACCTGCAACGAAACTATCATGTGCAGTGTCTGGATTTAGGCACTTGTGGACCTCACGCTCTCCTGTCAAGTCTGAGTGTACTATTTCAAGATTCCCCAGCAAGCCGATAAGACTTCTCAGCAGTGACTGGCCAGACAACATTTCCCCTCAAGTTCATCGCCCATCGCTGGGTTGAAAACGTCCCCGCAATTGAGTGAGCCCTTCTTCCGTGGACTGATGTGAAAAAGTACATTGGTTCAGCAAGAAAGAAGCAAGTGAATCTGCAGAAGTGTGCCTCATTTCAGAACTTGTGCGACTTCTGCAGTGACCCGTTGCTGCCAGTAAAACTTCACTTTGCTCTTGGCATTGCAATGGTTGTGAAGCCTTTCTTCACAGAGTACCAGATGAACGATCCATTAGCATTCTTTCTGGCAAGAGACCTCGAAGCAATCATCGAGAAACTGCTCACAAAGTTTGTGAAGTGGTCAGTGCTTTCTGCATCAACTGGGACTACCGGCCTGTTGAAAATGGACATTGAAGACCCAAACAACCATGTTCCACTTGAAAAAGTGGATATCGGCCACACAGTCGAACAAGTGCTAAAGCACTCCAAAGTCAGTCCTGAAGATGGAGTGTGAGCACTTCCTTGTCAGTATGACGAAGAAGACCCTTGAGAAGAGTCCCCTGAGGTTCCCCTTGGTTAGACGCCTCTCATCACTGGACCTCCGGCAGATGTGCGCCAAGCCAGACCAGCGCTTAGCAGGGCTCAAGAAGGTTTTAGGTTTTGGATGCCCTCATCACTCCAAAGAGATTCACTGATCACCAGCGAGACTGTACCCGTTGAGTACATTGAGCTCATGCAAGAACAGAAGCACAAGCTGCGACTGTTTGAGAAGAGCTTGTGGGAGGTGGTTTGACTTCTGCTTGTGCTTAGCCATGGCCAAGCAGCTGTGGAGAGGGGATTCAGTGTGTACCGTCAAGTGTCGTGGAGAACCTGAAAGACCTGCGTATGTTTCGCAGCATATTATACGCTACATGGTTGACAAGGCAGGCAGTATCCTGACCGTTCCAATAACAAAGAAGTTAAGGACCTCTATGTTAGCTGCAAGGCAGCACTATCAAGCATATTTGGAATCGCAGGAAAAGATGCAACTTAAACAAGCAAGTCAGTCGAAGAGATGCCTCGTTGAAGACTAGATTGATAACATGAGGAGAAAGAAAACAAAGCTTAAGTCAAGAGTCGTGACAGCTTCAGCCGATCACTTCACTGAGGAATCAGAGGCAACAGGTGACATCACCTACATTGTGAAATCGAAAAAAATTGGGGTGTGTGTATATGTTTATACAACCTAGGATTTAGTCTGCCTCAGCAGATGAGAAATTTAGCCAGTGCAGTACAGCCGCTAGCCTGGGGTCTCTAACGTGCACCATCCAGTAGTGATACACGACTGCACTGGCTAAATTTCTCATTCAGATTGAAACGGGCAGGGGTGGGGATTGAACCCAGGATCCCTGGGTTCTGGAGCGCGAGCTTTCGCTCCTAGTGCTCTGAGCTGGTGTGCGGCTAACGGCAAAAATCAAGATGCAAATACTTCTAACCATCAACAAGGAAATCAAGGAAAAGCTGCTCTAGCTCTACTGAACTCTTCACAAGCACTTTGGCAAATGTGCCTCCTTCTAGGTATCAAGCAGTTAATAATTTCTGCAGTGCATTTCAAAAACTATTTATATTATAAATTTACTAGATAGAGTATTGGAAGAGGTCCTTGAAAATATCTTTACAGGTTCTTAAAAGGCCTTGAAAACCCTTGAATTTTCCTTTTGAAGCCTGTACAAACCCTGTTCTTTCTTTTGGCCTACTAAACAATATGCTATTAGTAAAATCCCAATCTAAACCCATTTATCCCAGCCCGAAATTCGTTTCATGGCCCCTTTAAGATATGCAAGTACAACCCAAATTATAGCAGACCGAGAGTTGGTGAATCACCTTTGTGTTTCCCATTGCTTGCAGACGGTGAAGGCCCTCAACTATCTCAAGGAGAAACTGAACATCATTCACAGGGGTGAGGCAGTCTCTCCAGTCTTGGCATGGCACGTGCCACTCAATGGCCGCACTTGGGACAACCAACTCTCTCTGTCTGACAACATCTGTTTGTCTATGTCACGCGACGTCCGTTTATAAATTGTAGGAGCTGCCATTTTGTTACGTAGACCTGAACGGTAGTTATGGACCAAATCTGCCGAACTTCAGATTCGGCAAAATTCGGCACATGGCAAACTTTTGAAGGAAACTTCGGCAAATGTGTGCGCACGCTCGAGAACGCGATGGGGCGACGGATTGCAAATGGACGCCGTGCGGTCGTGCGGTTACCATCTTACAGTGTAGTACAACCAGTGGTTACGGCGAGGTGTGGAGTAGGCAACACGGTAACTGTGCATTTGTGAGCCTTTGCGAGTGTGGTTCTGTTCAATAGTTTCTGCCTCAAGTACAGAAGATCGACTAGTAATTTACGCAGGCGACTGCACAAGTGACACGTTACAGTATAGACCACTTACAACGTAACCGCTTATAGTGCAGGACCGGGTATAACGCGGTTTTTTTAAACCACCGGTTCGCCTCCCATAGAACTCCATGTAATTACATACCGCTTAAAACTCAGGCGCGCGACGGGAAATACCGGTTATAGTGCGGTTTCTGGCACAGCCCGCCGACCGCGCCGACGACCGGAGCAGCGAGCACGCTTGCCTGTGCGACACTAGATAACGGCGCTGACGGCGCGAGCCGCAAGCGTTGCGCAAGCGGCACTCGCGGGGCAAGGAGGGTGCTCGAAGAAGCGGGAGAAGCGAAGAGAGAGGCTTCAGTTGCCCTAGCGACGGAGGGACGCACGCACGTGTCGTTCACGTGCGTGCGTCCCTTCACTGCATTGGAAACCAACAACCGCAACGACAGGAGAAGTGTTCGCGCGCGTTGCATGCCCGTCGCGGGCCGGCTGCTTCTATCCGCGAACAGGGCGTCGGTTGTGATCAACGTTGTGATCGTCGTCGTAGACGGCGTTCATCTCATCGTTCCGCGTAAAAGCGCTATCCTTGACTGTGAATTTTCGTCGTGTATCGCTATGATAACCCAGCACGTATTAGAAGATCCACCTACTCGAGCGGCGATGTCGTGGCGGCGCTCTCAAGTCGGCAGAAACGCCCGTGTCGTCGTGTTTGTTTACTTCGACTACAGTGGTGATTTCTAAGCATTTGTGTCCTCGCACATCGCCCGGATTTCTTATTTGGCGCATTTCATGCGTGTGCTCAAGTGCAAGGTATTACTGGCGCGTACCGTATGAAGGATGCGAATTTTCACGCGTTTTCATCTCCGGAGAAAAGTGATTAGGGTTAGCAATCCTGAAAGCTCGCAACATCCGTCCGCAACCCGCGACGCCGCTAAGAGGCTGCGCCAGGCAAAAGCCGCTCATTTGTTTCAAAATGTGTGACACACTTGAGAGAGAAGTGTACTAGTCTGGTGAAATAAAGACTTTCCTCAAACTAAGCTTTATTTTTCATCTAACATAAAATAAATTCTTTTACAAAGGTAAGTTGTCTGATGGCATGTATTTTGGCCTGAAAAATTGATGTTTTGGTTATAGTGTGGTACCGCTTATAGTGCGGATTTTCGCGACTCCCGCGACATACGTTATATGCGGTCTACACTGTATATGGTACGTTCTGGATGACGTGATTTTCATTTGACCTTTCCAGTGATGCGATGAGGTAGTTGAAACATTGACTGACAATTACTCTAAAGCACTTCTCACAATTATAACAATCCTCTTTTTGGTTCGCAAGTACTTTGTGCCAAAATAAAATATTTAATTTCAATTAGCTTTACTTTGCAGTTTTCGTGTATCTGCATAAAACTAAACACAGAACTATCATGCTTGACGATGCACATCCGACATTCCCAATTCTTCCCATGTTCCTAAATGTCCGTGTGTGTCCTAACTCCAGGAACCGGCATTTTAAAGGTTAAAAAAACGAGACGTTGCGTATTTGGGACGCCCACTTTCATGCAAAGCTGACGTCAAGTGACTCAAATCGAAGAACATGCATATCTACAATACTGTCGAGACCGGTTATAACGAAGTCGGTTATAACGAAATAGCGGTTACAGCGAAGCGATCTAGATTTCTCATTCCCTTTTGCACTTCGTTATAACCGAAGTCGGTTATAACGAAATAGCGGATATAGCGAAGTGATTTCCGATTCCCGTTGACTTCGTTATAACTGGTTTCGACAATACTATTGTTTTCTTTTCTGCTAAGGTCAGTAACCATTGCATTAGTTTTCGTGCACGAAATGGTGACTCCCAGAGAAAGTAAGAACGCAGTGTTATTGCCTTTATTTTAACGATGTACACATACTTGCAGGCTTGTGCTGATGAGGCCTCAAAACTGAAACTCTCGTAGCGGGATTCGTGAGTGCGTTCGCTACTACCCAACCTTGTTATGCCACTTCTACAAGAAGTCGCTGTAAAATTGCCAGTAAACACAGAAAAACAACACCGATACAATTATGTTGTGGAATATCACCTTGTTTAGTGATAACTGTGTCAATATGCACTACACATTGTATTAAAGTCAAGAAAAAACAACATTAAACCTTTCTTCGCCAGAAAAAACTAAATATTAATGCTAACTCTGGCAACAATGTATTTTTGTTGAATCTTCGGCAAAAATACGTTGTTCGGAAATCTTTGTCAAAGTTGGACTTTGCCGAATCCCAAGATTCGGCAAAAGTTTGGCCCATCACCGCTTAACGGGCACCGTTGGTGGTTAGATGAGGGTCCCAGAGTGGCGCTCTTTGTGCTCTAGGTTTGTAAGTGCTCTTTATGTCCTCACTAATCATCTGCAAGCATTTTCTTGTCACTCCTGGTGGCTCGATATTCGCTTGGGAAGCGAGTTTGGTCTTGGCCAGCCTCCTCGTACGTCGGCGCTCGAGTGCAACATAGAGTGCGCCGAACCCAGCCATGCTTTTCACGTGCAAAGCTGGTTACTGCCAGTCATTGTGGGCCGGGATTTGTACGTGCATACCTAGGCAGCGATGTTGGCGGGCAAGGAAAGGCACTCTCAGATGTTTTGTTGGGGGAGTAGGGACGCCCGTGGGGGGACTCTGTTGGGGCTAAATCATCTCCATTGTTGGCAGGCTCAACGACCAGAGAAGCCGAAGGGGTGTTTTGCGCCCTCCGTGTGCTTTGTTGGGAAGACCCAACGGCAAGTGGTAGCGCAGGAACTGCCTTGTGTGCAGGCGAAGACTAGGGAAATTCGGGATTTGTCGGTACGAAATAGTCTTCACGAAGTGCCCTCGGGATTTCATACGAGAAGGAAGCCCGGATTCGTGAAAGCCGTAGCACCGAGACTGTTGCAGTCCTAGAGGAGCTGAAATGATGTTGTGTCATTTGCCTAAGGTGGTCGCGAAACATGTAGAAAGATGCCACGGTTAACAAGGCATTTTCAGAAGCATTGTCACAACTTTTACTCGAGACGTATTTTGGTAGGAGAGGGGTTTAATCAGAAAATGACCCCTAAAGAAGTGCAACTGCAACACGCAAATTCCCCACTACATTGAGCTGGAAAATTATGCACCAGTTCAATTTCTCACGTTATATTTGGTGCCACTCGCGTTCCGTGCACCTCGATTTTATCATATAGATCGAGCGCTCAATTTTTTTTCTGTCCTCCTTTGCAGACGTGAAGCCGAGTAACATCCTGCTGGACCGTGGCGGCAGCATCAAGCTGTGCGACTTCGGTATCAGCGGACAGCTGGTGGACTCCATCGCCAAGACGAGGGATGCGGGCTGCAGGCCCTACATGGCCGTGAGTGGCGCCTCTCTCCATTTCTCTTTCTCTCTCTTACACACACACAGCAAGGTCAGTGCTATTTTTAATTTTGAGGTAGCACTGTGGTGTGTGTGTGACCAGGCCTCCTTGTTTGTGAAGCATTGACTGCCGTTTCGATGCTTTTCGTCAGACTTTTATTGTCGTGACCCTAATAGATCTTAGGGTCCCGAAGGGATCGTCAGGATGTCGTCGTGTGCCACGAATGTGCTGTCGACGTCTTTAGAATGTCTATACATTCTATGAATGGTTTAGAGACATCTTTAGGACATTATTACGTCCCTTTTGACGTTTTCTAGGTTGCGTAACAGTCCACAATCATCCAAGGGATCGCTTTGGGCGTCGTCACGTCCCAGAAAAGTTGCGCAAACGTCTTCGGGACAATATTGTCGCGGAGCGAAAGCAGCAAACGAAATTGAAATAATAATTGAGGCGAACTTGTGTCCGCAAACTAAAACTGAAGGGATAGGGCGTCCCATGTCGGCGACGGAGAAGCGACTTTCGCGGAGCGGCAGTTACTGCTGCTTTTGCACACGGTGCGTTCTTGAATCTTCCAAACCAGAGCACACAATCACAGCCGAGAATGAGCTGGAACTTTTCAGAAGAGTACAGACTTGTAAAAGAAACAGACAATCCCTGCGGGGTTCTAATCCCGTTCCTTCACGTGGCAGCCAAGTGCGTCGGCAACTTCGCCCCGTTTATGGCAATATAACGTTGGACGAATGTCCTGGGGACATCCGCAGGACCCGCATATCGTGCCTGGAACAAGTGAGCCTTGTGAGCTTAAGGGGACTTGGCTTGTTCAGCTCGATTGATCGGAGAAAACTTTAAGTTTTTGGAGATGTGATTGCTTCTTTGAGCCTCGCTTGGGGGGAAAGTTGAAAACCGAAATCTTGCGAAAAAGTTGATTTTTGGAAAAACACTTTTTTGGTTTGTATAATCCATAAACTACCTCCTCTGTAATTATCAACACCTAATTCACTGAGCAAACATGTTTAAAAAAATATTTATGAGGTCCCGGCAGCTTCAAAATTGCGCTAAAGCCACAAAATCGAGCTGTACTTTGAGCGATTCCCGCTCTTTTAACTTTGCAGATGGCCGCTATCGTGGTCTTGTTTGGAAGCGGTGTTTTTTTTCTTCTTTTTGCAGCCCTTCACAAAAGTGTCCGCAGCATAGTCTTGGCGTGATCAGCGTTTTCCCGCCACACAATGGCAAAGCGGTGATTGACCAAAGCACCCGCTCAAGGGAGTGCGCAACTACTATTGGCCGCGACATTTGCTCTCCTTCCGTTGCCATGGCTACTACACTGACAGGGCGTGTCTCGCCCCATCAGTGTGGTTTTGCCAGCCTGCGCTTTGTGAACTCCACTTCGCTTTTCGCCATCTTCACGATGGTTTGCAGCCCTCTGTTTTAGTAATTTTGCATACTTTGCCCGCGTGTTTTGTGATTGCAAAAGATGCGGGGAATGAATTAGGAGACAGTGCACGCGTTCGACGCGCGGAAGTGGTCCATGCAAGCTTCTTTGCTTGGGGTCCGTCGGAAGCAGCATCGACGGCAATCCTCTCTGCGGCGAAATACCGATGCTCATTGCATTGCTACTTCAGGTTGTGATTGTTCTATCTATGCCATCGGCCATTGAAACTAAGTAAAGACAACAGCGAAACAAAAAGAAAGTATGCAAGTACACTTCCAGCTACTCCGCGGGTAAAGCCATTTCACGTTGCGCAATCAGTCGTGCCACATGAAACGGGCTCAATGCTAAGAATGTGTGTGCAACTTTCAGCTGTCATTTTCTGAAAATAGATTTTTCCGAATGAAAAAACAGCGCCGAAAAACACGGGTGCAGACGAAGGGAAAGAGGACAAGGTGCACTCTCAACTGAAGTTTATTGAAATTAACGAGCTAATATAGCCACAAAAACCCCTGTTAATCTTATCTACTTAGTCCGTGTTTCGGAAATTCAAACTCATCTGTAGATAAAGACAAGGACGTGTCACGCATTTCTTCTTCCTGGTCCTAATTTTAAATACCTCATGCAATTCTCGCGACACTTTATCTTTATACCTAGCCAAAATCATAGTGTCATTGAAGGCTGGGGTGCAAGCATCTGTTACAATGAATTGCAAGATCAGGGTGCGCACAGGTCCTGGAAACCCTTGAAAACCCTTGAATTTAAAAATTGGGTTTTCAAGGCCCTTGAAAATCCTGGATTTTTTGCTAGACCTTGAAAACCCTTGAATTTGAAAATTTGGTTTGCAGGGCCCTTGAAAGCTCTTGATTTTTTTGGCTAGACCTTGAAAATCTGTGAATGGCTATCTATAAAAACAAATTCGGGTATGTATTGTTTATTTTTATTATGCTTATCGTTTTTGTTTCGTTTTGGTCTAAGTTATCTCTATTTGTTTAGATTTAGCCGATATTCATTGGATGGTTGGCCACATTGGAGCAGACCCGAATCCAATCTCATCCGGGCACTGTTTCCGCCATTGGCCTCATGTTTTGTCGTCGGTCGTTGCAAAATGCCCGGCAAAAGCAAGTTTCAAGGTGCGTGGCTGTGCAGTGATGAATATAAGGACTGGGTGGCGCCAGATACGACAAATCAGCATCGTGCAAGATGCAAGCCGTGCGGAAAAACTTTCGATGTCGCCGCAATGGGCGAATCGGCATTGAAGAGCCATATGAAGAGCGCTAAACATACCGGCATCATGAAGATCGCAGCCAACAGCTCGGTGCACAATTACCTGGCTCCGGGCACGAGTGAACGATCCGCTGTCCCGCCTCCATCGCAGTTGCCAAACATAAACGCTGCTTGCAAGACGCACGAGTTGGTGACAAACGCCGAAGTGTTGTGGACTCTGAAGGTCGTCACATCCCACTGTTCTTACTGCTCATCATCACAATCGGGCAAGTTGTTCCAACACATGTTCCCAGACAGTGAGGTGGCAAAAGCGTTTTCTTGCGGAGAAAAGAAATGCGCCTATGTGACGTGCCATGGACTGAGACCTTTCTTTCTAACGGCCTTGCAGCGGGAAATCGACCAGTGTGAGCACTACGTGGTGCTTTTTGACGAGTCTTCAAACGACTATTTGCATCGCAAACAAATGGATGTGCACGTAAGGTGTTGGGACTCGTCTCACAAGGTGACAACAAGGTACTACAACTCGGTGTTTATGGGGCACTCCACGGCCGAGGACATACAAGAAAAGCTGTTGAGCGCACTCGAACCTTTGCCTCTTGAGAAGATCCTTCAGATATCGATGGATGGTCCCAATGTCAACTTGAAGTTCTTTAAGAACTTCCAAGTGCACCTGCAAGAAGCGCACCAAGTTCTGTGTGTGGACATTGGCACCTGTGGCCTCCACACAATGCCCAACGCCTACAGGGCAGGCGTTGCATCAAGTAGGTGGGGACTAGATTGCTTACTGTCTAGTCTGAGCGCACTGTTTGAGAGCTCTCCAGCAAGGAGGGAAGACTTTACAACAGTCACTGGGCAGGAAACATCTCCCCTAAAGTTTGTTCCTCACCGCTGGGTAGAGAACGTCGCGGTAATTGAGAGAGCCTTGTTGTTGTGGTGCGACATCAAAAAGTTTGTTGAGGCTGCAAGTAGCAAAGAAGTAAACCTGCCAAAATGTGGATCTTTTCAGAACTTGGTTGAGTTCTGCAGCGACTCTTTGGTGCCGGCAAAGCTCAACTTTGCACTGGGTGTTGCCATGGCACTCAAGCCATTCCTAACAGAGTATCAAACAGATAGACCAATGGTCTTCTTCCTTGCAAGAGATTTGGAAACTGTTGTCCGGAAACTGCTAACAAGGTTTCTGAAGTGCTCAGTCTTGTCAGCATCAAAAGGACTCACCGGCCTCCTGAGGGTGGACATTGAGAACCCGGACAATCATACTCCAATTGAAAAGGTGGATGTAGGCCATACAGCTGAGCAGATCGTCAAGAAAGCCAAAGCCAGTTTGAAGGACGTGTTTCAGTTCCGGATGGAATGTAAACAGTTCCTGATCGCCGTGGCAAAGAAAGTCCTAGAGAGAAGCCCCTTGAAATTCCCAGTGGTTAGGGGCCTCTCCTCATTGGACCCACGACAGATGTGTTCAAGGCCAGATGAGTGCCTTCCTGGTTTTAGAAAAGTGTTGGACGTCCTCATCACCGCAGGGAGGATGACTGATCACCAACGAGACACGGTACTGGCACAGTACACCGAGTTCTTGCAGGAACAGAAACATCACCTGCGACTCTTTGAAAAGAGCGTGAACAGGATAGATGAGTATTTCTCTGAGCTCATGAAGTTTAATCCATCGTATACAGAGCTCTGGAAAGTAGTTAAACTCTTGCTTGTCCTAAGCCATGGACAGGCAACTGTGGAGCGAGGGTTTGGTGTAAACCGCCAGGTTTCGGTAGAGAATCTGAAGGACCTTTCCTACGTCTCTCAACGGATTGTGTGTGATGCAGTGGAAAAGGCAGGTGGTGTCCTCAACATCCCACTTACGAAAGAACTGAGGACTGCTGTGTCAGCTGCGAGACAGCAGTACAGTGCATATTTGGAAGCAGAAAAAAAGAAGCAGCGTGAAGATGTGAAGCAGGCAAAAAAGCGCTGCATTGATGAAGAGATAGACACCATGAAAGCAAGAAAGAGGAAACTTGAAGCAACTATAGCTGATCTCACAGCCTCAGCAGATGCCTACGCAGAAAAAGCAGAAAAAGCAAATGACCTCACATACATTGTAAAATCAAATAGTCTTAGGAAAACTGCAAAAAGCAAGGCCGAGGAGCTGCTTAGCATCAGCCAACAAATAGAGGAAAAGCTGCAGGAGCTTCCCTGAAGTTACCACAAGTGGTTTTGCAAACAATTTTTATTTTGGCTTAGTGCAATGCAAACAAGTTTGCAAGAAATATTTTTTTCTTTTTGTTTAGTGCAATAAAAATGATACCTACGATCTTTTGACATGAGTGCTTTATTGAAATCTGTCATGTGTGGCACAGAGTTAGGTCCTTGAAAGTACTCCCACAGGGCCTTGAAATTCCTTGAATATCCTTGAATATCTTTCTTTGAATCCTGTACGAACCCTGAAGATGCCCTGAAGGCGTTCTTGTAGAGGCTGCATGCTCGTGGTTGCGATCATTCACTCACCTGCCCATCTGGCCCACGTATGTCATCCCATGCCATGGGGGTTTCATAGACGACGCCAGTAGCACATTCGACATACAGTAAAACCTCGTTATAACAAAGTGGGATATAACAAACGAATGGATACAACAAAGCAATCATAATTCCTTTTGCTTGCTAATAGTGGGAAGAAATGGACATTGGCTATAACAAACTAATGGTTATGACGAAATAATTACGACCGCTCTTTTAACTTTGTTATAACAAGGTTTTACTGTACTTATTTCGGTGTTTAGTAGTGCACGGATCTGAAGACTGGCGTGCGTAATTTATCCGGCGAGCGCCATCTTATTGGGCACGACAAAGTCGCGCCCAGTAAGATGGGCATGACAAGTTTCGTTTTTTTTTAAATTTCTGTTAAAATTTCATAATGCTCTAATTAAATTTGATGGATTAGGATATGGCCAACAATGTAAAATTCACTGTTGTGCAAAAATTTTTTTTTGAAAATAAATGAATAAAAAGGGTTTTGTCATGCCCTGGGGTGCCTATCTAGGAATGCTTGTATTAAATTTCACATTCCCACTGTGTTTTAAACTGAAAACAATTTTGTGAAATAAGAGCTAATGGGCACAGCTTTATGAAACTTAGCAGTTACTCATATATGTGTGATATAAATGTACCCTGCAAATTTCATAGAGATAACTCTTACATAAATAAGTTTAGGTTCCACGCCAGCTTCCCTCTGAAAAGGTGCTGACACCCCAAAGGTCATATTTTTTTATTGCCTAAAACAATGCAAGTTATAGTCATAAACACGCAAAAAAATGTGGTATCGCAAAAAAAGAAATTTCCCCACGCGCGCGTGCACCTTTTTATTTTTGGCGCCTTTCTCCCGCTCCTCACCCCCTTGCTTCTTTTGATTTGTGACGTCAAAAACCATGAAGAAATTTAGAACCTTTGTAGGCAACATTTCATAACGTTTAATAATGGCAATCGTAAAACATATTTTTTAACGTAATTGTGAACGCACTACAGTCGCCTCCTGGATTTGTATCCTCCCTCGGAAAACGTGGCAGCGCTCGACGCGCACAGCAGAGGGTGATCGGGGAATTGGGACGAAGTGGTCTTTTTTTAGGTGCCTGACGACCGCTCAGACTTAAAAAGAAAATTGTCAAACGGTCAAAACAACCGGGGTTGGTGTCTATGTACCGTAGTTTCGGTTGTAACACTGCCGGGGCAGCCTTTCAGACGTCAAGCGTCGTCTGCTCACACCGATAGGCAGGCGGCACGGCCCGCACGAAGGAAACCAAACCGGTTTTTCCCGGTTAGCTGGTGCCCTTCTCTCTCACTCCTCGCCGCCTCACTTCGGGTTGCGGTGGCAACGGCCAACGACAGTTTGGAGCAGAGGCGTGAAAGAAAGTCGGCTCGCAGGACTACACAATATTTGACGTCACTGCACTGGCGCAGATCGCGCGGGAACTTCGAATTCGGCATTTGGAAATTATTTTTTTATTTCAGAAATACTGAATTCTCAAGTTTCGAATTTTTAGGGTAATGTCCCGGCATCGTTATCAATCGTTTCGGATAATAAAAAGAAATGTGATTTTGATGTGTCAGTGAATAATAAAATAATAATAAGAAAAATATTAAAAAAAGCCTAAATGAAAAAAAGAATGTCATGAATTGAATTTACAACGAAAAAGAATATTTTCACAGCCATATTTATGGCACAAAACGAATTTGTAGCTGGCACCCGCGAGAGCCCGCGGAAAAGTGGCGGCTATGGTCACGGGTACTGGTTGCTATGGTCACGTGGCGCTCGTACTCTTTCGCGAGCTTCATATGGGCCTGAAACGTTACTTATTAATCTTTGTTTGAAGTGCAACAAAAAAACGGAAGATTAAAAGTAACTTTTACAGCCCAAAGGAAGCTCCTAAAAGAGTGCAAGCACCACGTTATGGACCTGTGCAAAGGTCAGAAATTGACAATGGTGGCGCGCCGGAGAATTCTCTTCCGGCGGCAGCGGCGTATAGAGAAACGCATGTGCCTGGCGGCGCGCCACACTTGGCGCGCGGCAGCGACTTACAGGTCTACCAAGTGACCAGTGGCGGCTCCTGCAAGTGCCAGCTACAAATTCGTTGTGTGTCGTAAAGATAGCTCTAAAATTTTTTTTTTCGTTGAAAGTTTGTTTTATGACATTCTTTTTCCATCTAGGTTATTTAAAAAATGGTTTTTTCCTTTGCATGTGTTCTATTAAAGGGCACATGCTTACTGTAAACAAATTTATTTTCGTGGGTTCAATGTTTAGTGAGTTTCGTAAATCATTTGTTCCGGGAATAATTCACGGGCATGAGATTTTTGTATTCGTTACCACGGGGCGATATATTTGTGAGTTCCATTGTTTGCAATGTTTTTCGATTCTCAAAAATTAGGTCTTCGAAAAATTTCAGTTGTTTACAGTACCTGGTTTACGAGCAACTTTTTTTTTTTTTTTCATCCGAAAATATTTGCAATATTTGTGAAAGTTACAGGCATCACGTGTCGGATGACACACGACCTAGTGGAAAGGGTCGCACGACAGTCGTGTAATCTCTCGCTTGGCCTGAAATCTTTGCAATCTTTGTTTCCGAGGGTGCTAGAGTCAAGACCTGACCTTTCTTTTTTTTTCCACGCACGTGCAGCCCGAACGGATTGACCCGGCCAGGGGCATTGGATACGACGTCAGGTCGGATGTCTGGAGCCTTGGAATAACCTTGGTGAGTGCGCCCCAAGAGCCTCCGTCCAGCTCACCCGTCTCGGTTCCTCGGCACTCTTCCAGCTCTCGAAAATCGCCGCAGGTGGAACCCGATTCAAAGTTTTTTTGCTTCTTTCTTTTTCTAGGCAGCTCTGTACCCAGTTGTTTCTCCTACATATTTTCTTTTTTTATGTTACTATTTAGACGGAGAAGAGAGCGTAAAAATGAGAGAATCCGTCTCGTAGGGCAAGTCCAGTTAATATTTATTAATTTGGGATTACGACTGTTTTTCGGCCAAGACATTGTCTCTGAATTACGATGTATATTTATTTATTTTGTTAATGCTGTAGTTTTATAAATATTCTGGCTCAAAGTATGGTTTCGGGCGTCTACGGCGAAACCGAAACCATCTGCTAGAGGGATGGCAACACTGATCATCAGCCGTATGGCCACAATGTGACGTCGCGGGGTTAACGCGCCGGTGCTCCTTGGCTAAAAGGTGCACCGGCGCGTCACCCCTGCTGTTCTTTAGCGCTTGCTGCCCGCTAAAGGACAGGTGGTCGCATCTTCGAAGTCGGTTTTAGTGGAGTATGTGGCTTCACTGCGGCTTCACTTTGACGTAATATTTCGGTTGTAATCATATTTCGTGCCACTAAAGCAGTACCGGTCATTTATTTTGTTTTGGACCGGAGTTGTTCTTCAAATACCTGCCATTGTGATCATCTGTCTCTCCAGTGTCTCTCTGCACAAATGGGAGTAGTAGCATGTTTATTTTGTCTTCAACGAAGGGAAAAGTCTGTGGCAAAAAGCTGCTGCAACACAAATGTAAATAGGCGTCGGTATACTTGCAACGCAAACGGCAGCCACAGAAAGTAGAGATGGAAAAGAAAAGACAGTGGGCAGTTGTGCACGAGGTCAGGGGTGCTTTTTTTTTTTCTCTGATAAAGTGTCAGTTCGTAGTGACGTGACAGGGAATCAACCGTTCAGAAAATATGCGCACTATTGCAGACGATAAAAGTTTGAACACCTTACCATACCTCGATATGCCTGACAGTTTTGGAAAAGCTTGTAATCCGGTTTAGGGCTACAGCATGGAGCGTAGGTCCCGGTCCCCAAAGGCTGCGAAATCAAGAGTGAACGGAGCTCGAATGGACCCCGGGCCTCGCGAAGTTCACTCTCCAAGATTCGGCGCAGGTCACGTTGTTGCAAATAACTGTTTTCTCAACCTCGTTATTAGCTGAATTTGTTGCTTGAAACGCAACTATTCGCCTTGTGTGAGCACTGCAGGAAAGCATGTGAACGGGCCTTGTTCATCAGCGGGGAATTTCTTTTGTCTAGTGTATTCGGTATGCCACGGATACGATTGCCGGGAATACACCGTTTATGCACGATTCTAATGCGCCCCCAATTCCTACGCGCAGGAAGATTTAGCTTACGGATAATCAAAAAGTAAATTGCTGCCAATTCTATCGCGCACGTAAAATAACGAAGATTGAACATATACCTCAAGGAACAGATTTATTGAAATGCACACCAACACAAAAATGAATGCCATGCACTAGTCGCCATAGTTGTTCGCTGGTTCTTCGCTGACCACAGAAGTGATCTCTGCTCTCGTCTGTGCCACGTTTCTTACGCACGTACGAATGAGTGGCCGTAGGCTTTGGGAGGGTCGTCTTCCAAACGACACTTTGCAAGCTTGTCACCCGCTGGACCTGCGAGGCCACACGGTGCTGCTCTGTTGTTATCTTTTTCCGCCAGCGTGATGGCCTTTCATTTAAATAAAGCCTCCTAGCGGAATTTTGTTTTGTTTTTCCATCTTCAAAACGACAAACACAGAGTCCGTGGTCGCGGGAGAATCCGCGTGATACGGATACCAAAATGGCGAATGTAAGCAGACGGCCATGATGGCGATGAGGCTAGCCACCTTATACCGAGCATTGCACTTTTCTTGAGTTTCGGTTTTTGGTTTAGATTGTAATGCACATGTAGTTTTTCGGGACCGATTTTGGCGATAAAAGTGGGTGTTAGAATCGTGCAAACACGGTAGTAGTGCGCTTCGACACTACGGCCATTTCTGCGCCGTTCGAACATTATGGCCCTCTTGTTCTTCATTTTTACATTAGGCTGAGGGGGGAGGAGGATGTCTGAATTGAATTGATGGGGTTGCTGTCAAAATTCATATCTTCATTATAGGGTCGGCTGAATTTCAGTTGAGGGGGAGGGGGGGAGGCAAAAACCTTTCCTTTTGCTGTGCCACTAATTCCAACGGTTTCTTATCATTTTTACATTACGTCGGTTCCTCCACCAGTGTGGCATTACGGCTGTTCTTTAGTCGTTTTTACAGTGCGGCTGTTCCCTCGTCTTTCTTACGCCCCCGTCGTTTTGACAGTTCTGCAATCTCTCCGTTGCCACGGCATTACGGTCGTTCTTCGGTCATTTCTTCAACGTAGACGTTTCCTTCGTTCGTGTGCAGATAGAGGTGGCAACGGGGCGGTTCCCGTACCCAAAGTGGAACAGCGTCTTCGAGCAGCTGACCCAGGTTGTGCAGGGGGACCCCCCGCAGCTGAGCCCCAACGAGAACGGAAACTGCTTCACCATGGAGTTCGTCGACTTCGTCAACACCTGGTGAGGCCCTCCGGGTGCTGCCCTTTTTTCTTGTCGACGCAACCGCGTTTTGAAAAAGATGGTAGCAACTGAAAGACTTTGTTTTCATCTGCCAGAAACCGTCGCACGCTGAAAGACTGACATGTCTGTCTATCGGAGCGGGCCTTTAGGTCATCCCTGGGAGCCTGGTGGAACTTATAAGATGCCGCTTCAGCCTTTTTATTTTTAATGCGAAAGCATTAACTGGGGGGTCCCATATAGTGAGCCGACATCATCAGCTTTGAAGCCGTGCCGAACGGCACCTTAAAGGGACAATGAAGGCAATTTCGGAGACCTTTTTGGCGATTGAACTGGGTTCCAGGCACGTCTCGGGCCACGTTGCCCAAATTTCAGCCGAAACCGGCGCTTGTGTGCCGCGCAAATCAATTAAACAGTCGCGGTAATAATCGCACCGGGATCGACTGGGGCGACGCCCCCAAGAGTTGCGGGAGAAGCCAGGAGAAGCGGAGCTCACGTGACCGATGCGGGGCCAAGGAGCGCGACGTCACAAGAGACGCGTCAGCGATTGGTCAAAAGGAGAAACGTGCCCTCGGTCACGTTTTGGTTCACGATTTTTAGAAATACTGTTTTAATTTCCGCTTGAATAACCATCAAAAGTATAAATCGGATCGGAAATGATTACTAAACCGTAAATAAAGCAGCATCATTGTTTTTTTCTTTGCTGCGCTGGACGCGAAACCGACAACGAGCAACTATGGGCCAACAAAATAAAATTAAAAAAGAACATGGTACTCGAAAGATTTTGCAAAATGGTAGCTGTACATGGCTGTTCTAACGGTCGACTGAAGACCAGTATTCGTTCGGGTAACGCTAGTTTTCACGAGTGGGTTACTATTCGTGTTCTTTGACGACGAAAAGAGGAAGTCCGCGGAGGAACCGTATCTCGGAACCGCGGGATCGCTGCCGCTTTCCCTTCGGCATCTAACCCGCGTCCGTCCTTCGGCACGCGGGCCGCTCGTTGCCGTCTGGGCGGTCTCCGTCGGGTGATGGCAGAGGCCGCCACACACGTACTCCCGTTCCGTTGGTGTTCGGTCACTGAACGGAAGCTCGAACTCACTCGCGAGAGCGGCATTCGTCCATGTTGACAGTCGGCGCAACGACCGCGCCACCGCGCTGCTATAACCCACCGCGGTAGCCAGAGTCTCGATCTCCTAAATACTACCGATACCGACTATTCACACTTGACGTCACTCCCTACGTCACCTCCGTTTTCGGAGGCCCAGAAACGAGAATAAAGATTGTTCAGTTTCGGTTTCTTTACTTCTTTCGTAGGCACATAAATACGCGTCACAAATGTCTACAAAAAATTGGGCGGCATGCTATGTTCCCAAAAAGCATTAAAACACCATTAAAAAAAAAAAAAAAATTGTCTTCATTGTCTCTTTAACTCCTTTCTTCCAATAAAGCCAAGTGAAGCCGCGATCTGATGGCTCCCAGCTTTGAAATGGTGCAAAAAGCCTAGCCAAATGGCATCTAGTTTCCCTGCTCCCAATAAAGCGCAGTGAAGTCGAAATCTGATGGATTTCGGATTCGGTCCCATTGGCTGTCATGTGCGTCATATTTCCGAGGAACGAGGCTCCCATTGGCGGCTGCGCGTCAGTTTTGACGACCGCCACCCTACGGTGCTCCGTGTCCGCGCCGCCAGTGCGCCGGTAAAACGAAGCGTCTGGCCGTCGAGGAGAGCGCGCACTTGGCTGTCCACACCAGTCCGCCGCAGACGAAATAAGGGAGTGGAAGAACGACATGCATGCTTTCGCATTCACAACTCATAAGAAGTGCTTAGGTGTACCTCCAGCCTTTTTTTGTTTTCCTTCGCCTGCATTGCTACTTCTGAGGCTTGCGGCCCCGTTCTGTTCTATCTCTGGCGAGCTTGGCTAAGCTGATTGCTCATTCCCTGGGTGTTGATCTACCTGCATTTAAGTAAGGGTAATAATGCTCTTTTGGCAATAACTTGTTCTCTGCTTCATAAATGTAAAGTGTTGATTCTGAATACCAGATAACCAAAGCGAAATAACCCACCAATTTCATGGTTTGTTTATAACTCAGTATAATGAAGTTATACTGAAGAATCAGAAGCTTTGTTACAGTGCGAATTTCATTGCTCAGGGTTTTTTTCGGTGCTGTCATCTTTCTGCTTCCCTATCATTCTCTCATCCTTGCATTGTGATATGTTGCAGAAAATAAAACAACCTTGTTTTTATGTTTTAGTTTTCTTTCAACAGTTTTACTTGCACCCTATACATGGTATGAGAAACAAGGGCCAGGAACTCATTTGCATGCCAATCTAATGACTTGATTTGAAGATGTTAACATGTTAATAAAAATGCTTCATTTTTTTCTTTTTTGTGATAGCCTCATCAAAGAGGAGCAAGTGAGGCCCAAGTACAAGAAACTGCTGGTGAGTTGGATGCCCCCTGTCACGTGACATCCGGTCTCTCGACCTCCGGCATAGACAAGCAACACGGTGGTTCACTTTTAGTTATCCCGTGCTTGTCTGATGTTATGGCCCATTCAGTGTTGCATACTGCTAAGTTGCACTTGTCCCCTAGAACTGTCTCCATGCAAAAAAAAAGGCTGTTGACTGCAAGAGTTAGGCCTTGTTTTGTTTGGGTTATTCTTCCTTCCCGGAACGTTTCACGTGGCGAGCCTGGCAGATATTGAGTGCTCTCGACGAGCACACAATGGAGAGAGCACTCCAAATTGCGAACCCGGTGCCACTGTTTGTTCGAGCTGTGCCTTGTGTATGTGCAATGAGGACATTGATAGCGCTCCTGTCGTAAGTTCCTGCAGGTAAAAAGCACAACATTGACTCGTTTCCAGCAGCACAGCGAACGAAAGAGTGCAGAAGTATGAGGAAATTCGAATAGCTCTGCAGTCAAGGTTGATTCTGCGCATTTCGACAGAGCTCAAGCATCGCATGTGCATTCTATTGTTTTTGCGCCGTCTGCTTGTCTCGCGGCTGCACAATGGCGTGTCCTTTCCCATTCCAGGACCACCCGTTCATCCTGCGCGCGGAGTGCGACACGGTGGACGTGGCCTTCTACATCAGCAACATCTTTGGGCAGATGAACGGCGGCACGGCAGCCGCGCCGCAGGAGTCTCCGCCGTCCTGTTAGGGAACAGCAGCCGCCGGGCCTTCCTACTCCAACGCACACCCGCGACAGCGCGACGTCGGCCTCACCCTCCTCTCCCGAACCCGTCTCTTCCTCGGTGGCACCCTCTAAGACCGCATTCCACAGACGGACCGGGAAGAACCGGATTGCAGACCCGCAGGCTTTGTCGCATGGATTCGGGTACTGCAGACTTCGATCTTGAGAACTTGGGTACCGTGGTCTTGGATGCTATGAATTTAGGTCCCAGGAACTTGGGTACTGTGTGCTTAGGTTTAAGGACTTGGGTACTGCGGACTTAGGTCCCAGGTACTTGGGTGCCATGAACTTCGGTACTGTGAACTTTGGTTCTGGTTACTGTGGACCGAGGTCCTGGGGACAGGCACCATGGACTTCTGTACCATGAACTTAGGTCCCAGGGACTTGGGTACTATGAACTTCGATCCTGGGGAATTTGGTACCGTGGACATAGGTACGGAGGACTTGGGTATTATGAACACTGTCACAAAAACTTAGGTACTGTGAACATAGGTCCCATGGGCTTGGGTACTGTGAACTTAAATCCCCGGTACCTAGGTGCCATGGACGGTACCAAGGACTTGGGTCCGAGGACGAAGGTACCATGGGCCTGGGTACAGGAGGTATGGGTACTGCCCATTCTTTTGAGTTTTTTTTTCGTCCCAGGAAGGCATGCCATAGTATGACTTGAATGTGTGAAAACCGCCGACAGATATGGGGAGTTTGGCTTGGTCGTAGGCGAAGCCAAGCCCACTCCACTTTGGCCCCTCAACCATTAGGTCGTGAAGGACAGAGGATGCCAACATACCCATTATGAAATTCTCTCATGCGACTGTTCCTTCTAAGCAATGTCAGTTAATTTTATTATTTTACTGTTTTTATTCTCAAATTGATTTTGTTATGGGCTTGTGAACTGCACCATTGCTTGCTGGTGCCATAGCCATTGTTCATGCTTGTAACGGTTGCACAAAGAGAAAAGGGATCTTACAGTTATTAACTTGACTTGGCTTCGACCTTGACTACAAGGTTGAGCTTTTTGAATAACTTGCATATTGCCCGTTTGTGGTTGTTCAGGCCGTTGCGACCTTGGGAAGCGAAATGTTGCACAAGGCTTCAACTCTGAAGTTCGTTGCATTTTTCTTTGGTTCCATTGTCTTGTAGTGTTGGACCTCGACAGACAAAGCGTTTTATAAATGACCAAACATCTTGTATTTTGGATTGGTTCTCAGTGTGAATGTGTCTAGCACTTCCTTTGCAAGGGTTTGTGGTAACAAACATCATGTTCTTGGGGTGGGAAGCTTGAAACGGATTAAAAACTGACAAGTTGTTGGGATGGCAAATTAAGTATCTCTAAGAAAAAAAAAATTCCACCCAAGTTTAATAACTCTGCTTACCACTATATTATTATTTGCATCCATAGGAGTGTTCAGCAAACCTTATTCTTAAGGACATAGCAGAAGGTACAATTGTTTCAGTTTTGCTGTGCCATCTTCTAGATGGGTTGGCCGATGGCGCAGCTTGTTGAGGCGGATTTTCTTAAGTTTCCATGATTGACACTGATCTACGGATGTCGGTTGCTTTGCGGGTGAGAGACCTCCATTTAGTGGATCTTTTTCGGCAGATCCCCTTGTCTTGGACTCTTATAATAATTTTTTTGACGGCGGCAGGAGGCGCGAGCCTCTTGCCCAACCTTGTTTCTCATGTCACTGCCGTCCATTGTGTTAACGAGCACCTCTTTTTTTTCTTTATTGCTTCGTGGACTTTGTAACAATGGGGTTCTTGAGGACTGTTTTTTTGCATTCTATGGTTTCGAAGCATTCCCATTATTGCTCACTCTTCGGTTTGGGAGCGTTCTTTTCTCGCGAGCATCCCTAAACCTTTTCTGTGCGTCGTCTGCTTCCACTAGTGCGGCCCATTTTCGGCGGCGACCGCGTTCATTCATTCCACCCTCGTGGCCCTAAAACCCATAGTCACATGACCGAGATTGATTCGAGACCTTACCAGGAGCGCTCGATCCTCGAGAACCTTTGTCGCCAACAAAAATTTGCGAAACCTTTAGCTTTAGTGACTCTCACTGACTATTGAAACAGATGGGTTGTCACCGGAAGTTACCCCAGGGTCGTTTGAGAGGGATTCTCGAACGCAGTCGTCAGCCACCTGTGCCCGCTTTCAGTAGGCGTCGTACTTAGATTGACGTCTGTGTGCTTCTTGTCGGGTGACTGGCGGTTTGTCCGAATCTGCGACGTCTTGAAGGACCCCGCGGTGTTGTACATTTGTAAATAGTCTCGTGTAATCAAACACTCCTTTTCCGAACGTTCTCGGAGTAGTCGTGCAAGCTTAGTCTCCAAACAAAGGATAATGTGGCGCGCATTCTTTCAGCAACTTTTAGCACGCAAGTAGTACAGAGTGCGGCAGTTTGGTTGTTCCGTAGCCTGCGCTGACCATGGAGTTTTGTTTTTATGGGCCTTACTGATAAAGTGTGTGTTGCAAAGTGGGTGTGGGATGTTTGGGAAAAGCCAATCGAATTCATATGGCAGAGAAGAGATGGTCTTGGCTTGGATTGGACTACCATATTCACTGGAGTAATAGCCACACTATTTATAAACAAGGCCCTTGCGCCTGCTTTCCCGCAAAACACATATAGTATACCCAATCATCGCATTGCGTATAGATTACATAGCGAATAGCTGGACCGAGAACACGATTCTCCACACAAATGCAATCTTCACAGATGGCATCTTTGCGCAAAGACGTTATCTCTGTCCTGTAAACCGCTGGAATCATGCTGTCAATTGCGGCGACTGGCAATTCGCATGCTCTGCGGAAAAGCGAACCCTCAGGTTTTTTTTCATAAATAGTGTGTCTATTACTCGAGTAAATACGGTAAGTGCCAGGTATCTATATTGGCTTGACCGAGATGGCCCACAAACTTGGGCTGTGATTGCATCACTTTTAAACTCGTACGAGTCCTGCTCAGCGGTTTTTGTTCCTCCCACCGTCGGTAGCAGCTTGTTTACGCACGATTACGAGCACAGAAGACCGAAGCAGAGTCGTTTTGACGTCTGCCTCTTTCAAAGCCGAAGAAAGTGTGTGTGGGTGTATGTGTGTTTTGTTTCTGCTTTTAGTGCAACGAGTGCAGAACAACTTTTTTACATATTTCTTCTCGGCGTGATCTGTCGGGTTCTAGGCTTGCTCGCAGTCCACTCACTACACCACTAGTTGCACCGATTGCACCGCAAGTGGAGGCTACAAAAATGTGCAAGTGTTGCTCAGTTTTGTTTTTCTCTTATTGTTAAAACATTTTACAGCGTAGCGATTGTTTGTCACGGATGCGATGATATTTTCGAGTATTCAGTTTGTATCAAAGTGAATTTTAGTAAGAATCCCTCTTTACTTTCCTTACAACCGTGCAAGCGACTTGAGGAAGAATATATATATTTTTTTCCCCGCATATTGTGCGTTATTAAAGTGCAACTTTTTTTTATTTTCGATTTTGCTGACCCTTTTGTAGCTGTGCCGCACTTCATTCCGAAATGGGTTTGAGGCACAGATGCAACTTTTTTGGAGGAAGGAACTGTAGTCACTGGCAAGGTGAAAACTGCAGGGCGTCTCCTGTGAACGCCTATCCTCCAGCACGGACTCATTGACTTTTGCGGTGCTTTGGCAGCATGCGCGTGAGGCTCACGTTGCCCGTCGCCGTTTGGTTTTCCTCTTTGCCTGCCACGGCCCGCACCGAAAGTCGCCAATTTTCGCTCACGGGGCCCGGCCCAGAGTGCACGTCCTTCCACCATGCGTCGCCCGCCATCGCCTAGACCTTAGCCGCAGCAGAAAGCGTGTCCGAAATAGGCCGGAAGGGTGCCGTTTGCTCTGCTTCAAATGTCATGGCAAAGGGTCTCTGGCGTTGCAACGGTTTCCCGTCGGGGACAAGCTTGCAGCAAGCTGCACCGAGAGGAAACAGTGAATGAATAAAGCGAGATCTAGTCTGGAACAAATCTTGGTTCATTCTTTTTTTTTTTGTTTTTGGTGTACCCCACTATACGTTTGTAATTGGAGATTCAGTCTGGGATGTAGTCTGTTGCAGTATAAGAAATGTGGGACAACCTCCCACAAAGGCCTCCATTCTTTCCACATTAGCAAAGCTGTTGGAGAGGAGGAAACCGCCAGTCAGCCGGCTCCTATATCCCCTCCATCCATTCAAGCTTTCTGGAAGGGACTTTTCTTGCGTTTCTTAACTCGCAACAAACTACAATTTTGATTCCCTCTAGTTTTTCACCATTGTGGGTTCCAACACAAATGTTGCAGCATTGAGTGCATTTTTAAGTTGAGGTGGTGCGGCCAACAGCCATAGCAGGGGCTGTGTTCCTCTCCACCGGCAAGTCCCCCAGACGGCATTCTTGGAAGACCCCACCCCGCTCACAGTGGGGCAGATGCCCGACCTGCTGTTTGGGTCCACCGCTCTTCTGCCAACTGAGCAATGCACTGCGAAGGAGGTGCCAGGAGAGGACGCGAAATTAGTCCACTGCCAATTTCACTATCATTAATCAGTTTAACCGAACAAGCACCAACTCAAAATTTGAAGATAATCGCAAAAAAAGGGGATGGGGACATGTGAGGTCATAAATTTTACATATATATGTACTGTGCATATTTTTTCAGATGTTTAAAATTTTGGGGGTGGGCACTTGGTGCAAAATGGGCGGATGCACAATATTATATGGTAGATATTTTAGTACAATGCGTATCACTACATTGATCACTTCCAGAAAATAATTTAGCTTTGTCTTAATTACCATTGTGATTTTAACTCCCAATATAGTTAGTGAATGTATAAGGAGTATCACTCTAACTAAAGGAAATGCCCTTATGTTTTTATTATACATTGTACTGTCCTAAAAAGACATTTCCATCTTTCCATAGGAAGTATTTAAGCAATTCGAGGTTTTCGAATCAAATGTTCAAGTTGAAAATTTGTTTTGCTTGTCTGTGGCCAACTGTGTGTAGTACAGCAATGAAAGAAGCATGGGGTCATGTGTGAAACAAGCTTTATTTTGTCACTCCGCGGCATCCAACAAAGACTACTTGACATCGAAGCAAATTAACTGCTGTAAATGGTCTGCCAAGACAAGAGAGTTAAGAAAAAGGGGCCAACTCTAAAGAGTCTTTCTTGCCTCTGCTTCACTGGGCCATTACCTACTAGGCAGCTTTCATTTTTGCTGCAATGCGTTTCCTGACCCAAGCTCTCTTTCTTCACAAACTAAAATTAATCTTCCTTTTTTGTTTTTTTCAGACCTTTTACAGATTTTGAGTTTTCTCATTTTGGTGAATCTTTTTGTCATTGAACGTTTATTAACGGGAAACTTGGAACTTCAACCAGGTCCTTTAACTTTGGGAAATGTGTCTTTGGGAGCTCAGTTTTCTGAAGCTCTGCCGTCGGGGGCTGTGACTTCAAGGGCTCCGACATCAAAAGCTCCTACTTCAGGAGCTCTGTCTTCAGGAACTCTGCCTTCGGTCAGCGTCCTCGGCGTATAGAACGGAGGTCTGCCCCCATTGAGGCCGAACCCGTAGATTCCTGAACCGGGCGAGGGGTAGCCAAGGTCTCCGGTTGCCTCGCCAGAAGCCCCGGTCCCCAGCAGTTCATAGGGAGGCCTTCCGCCCTCTGGCCGCTGGTCGTACCCGGTCAACGTGCCGGGACCGTACTCGCTGTGCTGTTCACCCCTGGACGGAGGTCGGTACGGCCGTGTCCCGGACACGTCGGAACTTGACGGAGACCACTCTTCGTGTCCGCCGGCACCGGGCCGTGGGCCAAACATTCCCTCCGCTCCAGACGGTCTTTGTCCAGAAGGGGACACCCAAGGATCGCGCACACCATACGACGAGGATCCAAGGATTACGCCGGACCCTTGGCCTGGGTGCCCTCCGGGAGGGACTCCTTGCTGTGACCCTGACTGTCCGGATCCAAAGGAGGTTGAGGGAGGGTAGAAGCCTGCCTGGGATCCGTGGTTGACCCCAGACAAGCGTTTCGGGGCAGTAAAACTGGAAACGCCGATTGGCTGAAAAAAAATGACGTCACTTCCGGTTTTGTTATTTTGTTGATTTTTAGATAACGTTTTAAAGTAAAAATATATAAAAAAATACTTTTCTTGTTTTTGTTTGTTTTTACTTTTTTTTTTTATTTTCTTTGCTTGATTTTTTAATTTTGGCTGGTACGGTTCCGTTCTGTTCCGCCTTGGCGCCCTTGGCCGCGGGGGCAATGTTTTTGTTTTCGTTCTACGTTCAGGTGTTGAGTGGCGACGTATTAACCGTCGATAACCAGCTGAATCAGCTCAAGTGGCTCAAGTTCTCTAGTGGAACGAGGTTGACCGTGCGCAGTGGCAGCCGTTGACAACAAAAACAATGTATGCACTCAGCTTCGCCGGATGAGTGCCGGCGTCGATCGCGAACCGCCAGAGCCGCCAAATACCTCTCGTACATCTCCAAGAACACCAAGAACAGGAGGTATTCATAAAGGTGAGTGTTCACCGCACTTTAGTGCTTCAGTTCCGTTTGGAGTCGTTTGACATAATTTAGTCCGGTGCGTCCGGGAACAAAGGCGCTACCAGGAGGGCTATGTTGCGCTTTTTGCACTCCCAGGAGACTTGGAAGAGGGAAGTGACGTCAACGACACAGCAAATGCAGATTGGATGTTGACAGAAGAAAACGAAATCAACACCCAATCTGCGTTTGCTGTGTCGTTGACGTCACTTCCCTCTCCCTAGTCTCCTGGGAGTGCAAAAAGCGCAACATAGCCCCCCAGAAATGGCGGGAATGGTCGGTCGGTGCTGAATGCTGATGCCATCCAAGCGGATTTGAATTGGGTTTCGTGCGCTCAACGTGTCGATTTGTTTCTTGAGCTGCCTTTACCAACCGCTCGCCCGAAATCGTTCGGTAGAACATGCGGACGTGACGGCTAGCAGAGCCCTCCGCAAAGGCTTAGGAGCGCGCTCACAATTTTGGAAGCTTCCGTATGACCGCAAGTGCTCAATAAGTCGCTATAGCAATGATTGCATGCCATCGACACAGACTTCGATCCAGTTTTTCAACGAGACAGGAAGGCCCAACGAAGCAAGCGTAGAATCTGATGCTTCGCCTGTCACTGTCTGCGCCGGAACACGCCGAGAGGCGCTTAAACGAGCTGCCAGGGCGTAATTAAAAAAAAAAAAAAAAAAATCTAACGCAGGTCTGAACCACGCGAGGATCGTCTCGAAGCATGGTAGCCTCAACAGACGCTTGCCGCCACACGCGAGGAGAAAGCAGGAGGCCCGAAGTTTGAATGTGAAGGTAAAACGTGCTTTAATAATAATGATCTTTATCTGCACGTTCCTTTGTATGACTAAGGTGATCGTGCTGAGACACAATATAGCAGCGATTGCTCTCGAACAAAGGACAGGACAGCAGAAAGGCAATGAGAGGCAGGGAGATAACTGACCTCTCTGTTGTAAAACATTTTTCAGAGGAGGTGCGAAGAGCTGGCCCTCACTTTTTCAAGGCAGCCGCAGAACACTACGAGCCCCGAATCACTGCCGCGGCTGACTCGCGCGGATGCTGTGCTGCACCCTGCACTGCACATGGTTCGAAGCACACTTCAGGGGACCAGTGCATGCCCCTGATGCATCGTCGCGGTATGTTTTGTACTGCTTTTCCTAGCGGTGCACTGAGCAGTCCAATCTTGAAGGGAGCACGCGAGTGCGTAGCCAGTGCTCCATGCAGCAAGGACCGCAAGCACTCGCGGAAGCTTGGAGCACACGCAGTGACGCCAGCAGCCGTGCACGCTGGCGTCGTCTGCTACTGTACCGTCCTTTCGTTCGGTGCGCAGAAAAAAAAAGGAGTGACCGCTCTGTTAAAAGTCTGATGGTGAAGGCATCCTTTACAGAAGCACTGTATGGCTCTCTGCACGCTAGAATGGGGGCTGTCGTTGATGCTCGCAGAGGCGTCGCCCACAACTAAGCAGACGATCAAAGTCCTGAGCAGGTGACTAATCGTTTCATTGTTCTTTGGTAGGGAAAGGTAGATAATGTGCTTCTACTCCCAGCTTTGTTTTTTTTTTTTTTTTTTATCACCATTTAGTATGTTACCATCAAAACAGCATCCTGGTGTTCACATAAATATGTGTTAACAATACCTATCGTCAAATATGTGACTCAAAGAGCCAACTGCGGCCGAGGATATCTTTTAAGTGTTCTTTTTCTCACAAAGATCCCTGGCATTGACTTTTTAGCCACGTACCTTGAGTCCACAAAAACAATGTGCTTCAGCTAAATGGTATTCACACAAAATACATCCTGACAAGCTGCTTTCACTCTCGAGCCTCGAAGAAATTTTGCAGTTTGATTTGAACTATGTTGCAGGTTAAGGAGGTAGGGTCAGGGAAAAGAAGGTGGGAGAGGAGGAAGCGGGCACAATGCTGGTCAAACCCTCTCCCTTCGCCGGCGTTGCATCCATCTCGTCCTCTCCCACCTTCCTTTTTCTTCCCCTACCTTCTTGAGTCGTCACCGACCATATAAAAGGCATGCATTGATATCACTTGTTCGTTTTGTGGCCATGGCGCCAGCAAGGTTTGAGAAACGTATCCTGCTTCACAGGAATTCAGCACTCAACATGGAGAAACTATTGGCAGTGCTGCTGTAATGTCTTTGTCCTCGTCTTTTGCAGCCATCTAAAAAAGAGAAATATAATACTAGGAACACAGAGCAACGTCACGCGCCAGTACATAGTGTACTACGAAGGGCAGGTAAATTGACTGCGGAACACGATTTTCTCAATGTCCTCACGGTTCTTTCGGCCAAGTACATACAGATAAGACGATTACCATTAGAAATGTTGAACGCCAATCCGAAATGTTTTTTGGCGGTGTGCCGAGCAAAAGGACATTGCTGCAACAGAAAACATGTGCCATCCTCCGCCTTTGGTGCTTCTGTGTCTGCGCCGAGCTTCCGCAGCCACCAACAGTCAACGCTGCATGGACTGCCCGCCATGCTTTCATGCGTTCCATGTATGATTGGCACGGCATGTGGATGTGTCATGCAAGTGACATCAGCGCTGTTGGCAGTGCCATGCTGGTGGTGGTTGAGCTTTGCTAGGCTCTGACCATTGACAAGCTGTTTTATGCAATAATCGCTCTTGGAAGTCCCCAAACTGTTTTTAGCAATTCAAGTGTCAGATTTTTTTTTAGCTATGGTTATACAGGTTTTCTTCTTTAACATTTACAGATTTCAAAGAAAAAGTGAAAGTTATGACAGTTATACGGCCAGGCGGACATTAGATTCATGGAAGAATGCAGCTAAAAGTCCGTGTAGATCATGTGTATCATGCTTCTCTGCAGCGCAGCTACATACTTGCGTAGGACAACCCCCATGAAGTGGGGTGGGGGGGCTGCATGCGTGTGTTGGGTAGCCCCTCTTGGTTTTACAACTCTACCCTGTTGTAAAATTTTAGATTTTAATGCGAACAAGTTGATAAAAAAGAACTTGGTCAACATTGATCTTACAACTAGAGATGTAAAAGGAACAAAAATAGAGAACAGCAAAATGTGGAAGAAGACATCTCGCTTCTTTCATTTTCATTTGACTAAGTGACATTGGTCGGCGACTGTAAGACTTTTAATCACAATAGTTATACACCACAGGTCCCGGGGATCATGGCATCGATGAGCTCGCTTTCACCTTGTCCAAGGTAGCAGCGGAACACTACGGGCAGGCCCGGAGTCACCGCACCGGCTGGCTCACGGGCGTCGTCCTGTACTCTGCACGGCACTGCGTGTGGCTTAACCGGCCAAGCAGAGGGTCACTGCATGACCTTTATGAGGCGTCGCTAGCCATTGTAAGTATATTTTGGACGCTCGTGTCAGGGGATGTACTTTTGTGTTCTACAACAGAACATGTTTGGTGGCGGTTCAGTCTTGCCAATTCAGCTATTTCGAAACATAATTTTGTGGCGACTCGGCTTAGGTTTTCTGGCTCGGCCGTCTTTTGCACCAGTGTCTAGGCTCGGCGTAAGCCTCTTTGTTCTTTATTGTCAAGGCTAGTGTAATTTCTGCTACGCCGTCGAAGCAACTTCTGCATGCGAACAAGATGCAAGACGAAGCTACATGCTCGTGCACAGTGCATGACCACATGTGAAAACTAATAGCGAGTTTGTTTCGCTGCACTCGTGCCCATGCGCACCCACTCGCAACATGAAGTGAGTTTGTTTCGCCGCCGGCACTCCACACGTGCATGCGCTCGCTGCACCCTGAGAATTAAGGCCCGTTCACACTCTTGCGACCGAGTACGACTGAGAGAGACGAGATCTCTTACAACTTCTTAAATGTTTCTAGAATGAGGGAACATACTGACATTGTGGCGCCATCTATGCGGTGACCCTAGAACAGCATTTCACAAAAGCGAAGGTTTTGCGGGATTTCCGAGGTCAAATGTGCGTAATACCCATAGAAAGGCTCGTTTATAACACTGACAAAAGCTTTTCGAGCCAAAAAAGAAAGGATATTGCGCGAGAAATAAAAAAAAATATGCCGGACCGCCGAGTTTACACTGCTTCCCAATAGATGGCGCCAGTGTGTTCTCTGGTTTAAGAAGTTTTAAGGAACCCAGGTTTAAGAGGTCGCAAGCAGTCGCAAGAGTGTGAACGGGCCTTTAAGTGTGTACCTGAATGCACTCCCGTCATGCATCACTTCGGCAGGGAACAAGAGCAGATGACTGGTTTGTCCACCATGCGGGACAGTAGAACTGCAGAAAAAGTGAATTTCTGCTAAAAAAATGACGTCCCACGAGCAACAAAATCGGACACGAGCTTGAATTGTGTGTCTGCTATTCTATAAAGCAAGCAATCCACAACCTGTGCTTAATTTGCAAGTTTTCAGTCATTTTGTTGCCGTACAGACGTCCAAATACACTGGTGGATAAAGAAACGTTCAGAACGAACATCAGCCACTGCGAGATATCTCTCACCATCCGTGCGGGGCTAAAGAGTTGGGACGTTAGTTGACAAAGCTTGCCCGGCAGAAACCTGCGACGCGTCCAATCGGGAGCCGAGAAAGCTAAACTGTTTTTACCCGAGGCTTGGATAAAATCACAGTGTTTAAAAAGGAGCCATGGAATTTATTTTGGGTGGGATAAATTAATTTAGATTCATGTTTTGCTAATACAGTTGAACCTTTCAAGAACGAAATTCTCGCGGCAACGAAGAAATCTGGCGGCCCCAGCGAACGTCCATAGGGTTCAATGCATTTGCACCCTCTCAACAGCAAAGAGTTTTTAAAAAGCAGTCCCGCATTAACGAAAGTTTGAGGTAGTGATCTGCCATAGAGTTATTCAATGTGTCTACCAAGTTGGCATTTTCAAATTACCTGAGTTTTTCAGGTTTCCCCTGAGTACTTTTGTGAAATTCCCTGAGTGACACAGAACTTTGTTTTAGGTCAAGATGGGCGGACACCATGTCGCCAGATGCTGTCACTCTCTAAAAAGCATGTCATAAAATAAAATAACAACACAATACAGTTTTGATGATAGCGAGTAACTTTTATTAGATTTAAAAAGAAAACAGAACGAAGTGGTTAGTAAAATTGATAGCGAATAAAGTATAAAAAAAAGGTAAACTGAGGTTTACGTGACCCCCCCAGGTCTGGTCATGTGACCTCGGGGGGGGGTGTCGAGACCTGACGGCGACGCCGCTCAAGCCGGAAACGGGAGCAATAACGGGGAAAGGAAAGGGTAAACAAACATAAGGCGTTCAAAGTGTGATTGCTCAACCCTTGTTGTCAAAACACTCCACCTGACAAAATCTTTTTTTTTTTTTTTTTTGGGGGGGGGGGGGGCTAAGGAGTTGCACAGTGACAGCGGTGTTTGGGAAAATGAGCGCACGCGACCGTTCCAACAGCGAGCACTCCCTGCCCTCCCCACGCGCGCAGGTGCCCTTCCCCTTGCTTTTGCCATCCTCCACTTCTTTTGTTTTTATTGGTTGCTTTTTTTATTTTTTATACAATTGCTTTTTCGCTGCGCATCCCCGCGTGCGCATTCCCGGGTGCGCGTATGCTGGCTTGGCGGTCTGCCAGCCCCGCAACCCGAGCTATGTGCTCCCGGCCGGCGCAATCCGACCTATAGGGAGAAGCGAAGAACCGCCTTCGTCTTCGTTCCCTACATCGAGTGTCCCCTCCATGGGAGTTATGGGCATTCGATACAGAAAAACAATGCAATTTTCTAGGGGATGTTTGGACTGTTTCATATAAACAATAATTCGAAATACGGGTGTGATATAACCGGGTTCGACAGTATGTTTGGCCGTCTCCCTTAATTTCCAGATACCTTCGTTCGTTTGGCACATATATCACCGATGCTAGAAAACGCCGACGTCGTGTTCGCGCTGAGAGTGTCCGACAGTGCACATAAATACACGTGCGAAGCCGTTTTTGCACCATTTTTTTTTTTCCCCCATAGAAATGCATTACCGGAAGTCAATTTTCCACTGGTTGCTGTCTGCTTCAACTTGCGTCGGCACACTAGCGCCACTTGAACCTCTAGCGTACATTATAATAACCCTATGTGATCTGCAACATTTTTTCGTCACATGAGCCAGTTTGGAACCCAGAATTACGAAAAGTGGAGCAGTACACTCGTCCGGCAAGTTGGGCACATGCGTTTCCAACAAGCATCAGCGCAGCCATTGCTGTTTACATTCGGTCAAAAAATAATGACAATAGCAACTAGATTCTTTTTCTTTTTTTTGGTTGGTGAAAACAGCGTTTTGCAAGCCCATCTGTTGGCAACTACCAAGGTATGTGACGTTTCACGTGACGACACCGCCCGCTGCTATTTCGCCGACACCGCAGTTGCTGACGAGCTAATGCTCTTCAGCAAGTGACGGATTAGCTCCTCCCGCATCGAATACGCGGCAAAGAAGTTTGTCACATCGCGGCAATTTCAGGCGATCGATTAATTAGTTCTATCCAATTTTTACTAAGAATTGTTTACAAATGTAAAATTGCTCGCTGAAAAGCGCATCACACATTATGCGCAATTGGGACCGAAAAATTAAACATACAAACGGTAGGAATTCATAGCAGGTGTATACCTAATTTTTTGGGATGCTAATTGTCACCGACTTACTAAATTTAAGGCTTCGGTCGCGAGGGGGTCTCGCATGCTTCACGTCGATCGAGTGAACAAGCAGGGATTTCATTGAGACGACTCTGGAAGCCAGCCACCGTCAATGCCAGTTGTTTTGAGGAAATGTTTGTTTACTGGTTTAAAAAGACCAAAAATGAATCAACTTGGGACTAATAAGAAATCAGCACTTACAAAACACATCGGAACCACCAAGATACACGGAGTCGCTTTCACTGAAGTGTTTACTACACAGGTTAGAGATTCCCGAATTTCGCTTTCCTATTTTCAATTTAATGAGACATTTCTTTCTCAGCTTTATTTTGTCTGAATAATGATAAAATAAATACACCCTATTCGCCATGCTAGCTAGATGTTGTAGTGGGGTAAAGCGCTGGATATTCTATTTTTAATCGTCCATCTTTTTGTACTGGGGTGGAGAACAGTACATCACCATCCCAGCATTTCGACACCTTAGTGCCAAAAGTGTTTGTTAGCATGACTACGCGTGGCACGGTTTCAAGTATAACTTCACCAAATAAAAACAATGCGCGAAATGGGCTTTGCTGCGCGATACAGCGCATAACGCTGACTGTCGAGCCGAAGGTTCCAAGATCTGCGCAGTCTGTCCCAGTGTGCCCTACCCGTAACGTCAAAAACGACGATGATGATAGCTAGTTAGCGCATGCCGCCAAAGAGTTGTAAACTGCGGACGTTCCGTCCGGAGTTGTCTGTCTTCGATCCTGCTCATTCCGTATCATGTAGGGGAGAGTATGCCATCCTGCTGGCCTACTGTCGCACACTGCCAGTGTTAAACTTTCAGAACTCTATGAGCCGAGAAATTGATGGAGAGGGGGAGACGAGAGTGCAGGGACATCAGAACGCAGAGGCACCTAAAGCTAGGTGCCTTTGTCTTCACTGCACTTGTCAAAGACGTTCGAGTGCGAGAGCCAAACGCCGGGGGCGGCCTTTGGCATTTGCATCCCAATACGTTCGACGAGTGCAGTGGAGACAAAGGCAGCCTTTGTTTCTGCTGCACTCGTCGAACACATTCGAATGCAGAACGCCGGTATCCAGCTTTGGGCTCTCGCATTCGAACGTCTTTGACGAGTGCAGTAAAGACAAAGGCACCTAGCTTTAGGTGTACCCACTAATCATTCGAACCAGAGCTCGGGTGTCCTGACATCCACACCTGCTCTCGTCCTCACTTTTCCCTCAGTTTCTTGGCAGATTTTAGGGGAAACTGTGTGGGTGGGGGAAGGGGGGGGGGGGGGGGGGACGGCCCCCCCTGAAGCCTTCGAGGTTAACTTTTTCTAAAAAAAATGGACTTATGCCGGCTTTTGTTAGGAAGAAATTAAGTTTTTGACAATGTGACTAGTACACTCGGTTGGAAAACTGCTATAGGAGCCTCCTTTGAAAAAGTGGCTTCAATCCATATGAGAGAATCAAACTAAACGCAATCGCAATGCCACTGTTTCTCCCGCGGTGGCCACTCCGTGAACTACACTGCTGCACTGACTGGTTCCGTAGATTCTCGGAAGGGCCACTGGTGTCATCTCGCAGGGCCATCTTGGAGTAGCTATGCAAGGCAACTTTCATGTTTTGACTTGTTGCTAAAGAGTGGCACTGTTATCATATTTAGTTTGGTCTCGGTGGACGCCAGCAGTCCAGGTTCCAAGGTTGAGTTTCCTAGCTGAGTGTTTTAGTAACGTTGGTTTTTGGTGGCATAACAAATATTAGGTAAACAAAACAGATCTTGCCCTGCATGTTAGGGTCAGATATTAGTTACTGTTCACCTGATCGACCCCTTTGTTCTCTGCATTCATCATAGGTTTCAAATCGTCCTGATTCATGGGCCAAGCCTTTCAAGACTGCACTCTTAGCCCCAGTCCTTTTTGGTGGATCGGATCTTGCCATCTTCCCCTCTCGTGGCTTCCTGTTGTACTTAAATAAATTATCATATTTTTTTCTTATGGTGGTGCATACGTTTTGCCACACTTCACAAAAACAGTGTGGTGAATCCATGCCGCAGATTACTGTGAAACGTGCAGGAAGGGTAAACTCCGAAAAGGTTTATGGAAAGAAGATAGACATCCCCCATTAATTTTTTCTGGACACTCTAAGCGTGCTATCTACGCAGTATTTCTGCCTATCATGGCATCGGCTTTTGACCATTCACGCTTGCAAGGAAAGGCTATCGGCAAGAAGGGTTACGAAGTCTGTGTTCTGTTTGCATTTAATTACTGAAACAAGATTTATAGACTTTACCAAGTGTATTTTAACATAACTAAATGTTTAAACTTTAGATCTTTATTTTAAACTTTACCATTATTTTAAGAAGTTTTTGCTAGGGTAAATGTTTTCCATAAGTTTTTTTTTTTTCTTTTATATATCGGATAAAGGGATTACATTTGTTCTCTGAGTTTTTATAGAAGCCCCATCGCTATCACCATCACTATTTTGATTTTTCCAAGATGGCCGTTTTTGTTTCGCGAACGTTCTGCGAGGAGAGTTCGGCGACTTGCGTGACTTACGAACAGAACTGCCTAATTGGTATGTTAATTTTGGTGGCTACTTATCGCGGAATATCGTGGGTATCTTGTATTTGTACAAGAACTAGTATTTAAGGTTCAGATTGTTCGTACAGAACGTTAGCTCGGCGGGTCTAGTCTCTTCTAAATTGCTTGGTTGCCTTTTGTCCACGTTTATTTCCCTCCCAAACCCATCACACACTGGTTCATTTTCTGTTTCCAGTACCTACAATTGAGTAAATTGTTTTAGAGGAGGGGATGCCCAGCTTCAGCAGCTTCAATGTGCGAGGAACACTCCAGCCCCCTCAACAAAGCTGGAGGTGCGGATAGAGTTGAGATTTTAACTGACTAATGAATGCTGCATCGGATGTTATGCAGTAGTAAGTCATGACATTTTTGTATTTATGTCGTGCATCGGCCGTAAAGCGAAACTTACGTTGCGTAGGTTACATAGGACGTAACTAACTTTTATTTTGGGTTCTGTTTGTCATAGCTTTAATTTTCATATTAGGTTACGTCGGACCAAACTTTATTTTTCATATTGGGTACCTTAGATGTAACTCGAAAGCTTGGGGTAAGGTTACGCTAGACACTGCGTTGAAAGATGCACTTTTATTTTTTTGAAAAGTATTCTTTAACTTACGGCAGTGGCGAATAGCACTTGTGTTGATGAGATGTTTTGATTCCGCATGTCCGGAAAGTTGCCGGGGCAGCTGTCGACTATCTATATAGGACGGTAATGTTGCAGGTACAAAAGTGAATAATACACCGTGTTGAATATTTATTTATTGGTCTTTTTCGGCAGTGCCGCTTGTGCCTGGACAATGGAAGATGATGCAAAGGCCAAAAGAAAGCTACTCTGCATCTGCACTCTGAATAATGTGATGTCTCGGTAGCTACACATGCTTTGTTAAAGGGAAGTTTATTTCGCCACTTGCTAGGCATCATTGAGGTGATTTGGCTGTGTGCCTTTATTTTATGCTAATAGAATGTACTGCACTTACAACTGCTTGTTGTAGGTGCAGCCTACAACAATCAGTTGCAAAGGAGCACCGTTTAGTGAATCCATTCGATTAACATAAGCAAGTCTGGAAGATGCTAAAGACTAGAGCATGATGCACTGAGGCATGTTGACCTATGCTTGAGCACCCACTCTCCTCTCTTGGGCTGTAAACCAGGCAAAATGTAAAATTATTCTTGCGAAAACAGCAGGGATGTGGCATGCATAAAAACTTGTCGATCATGCTCTGAATATGCTGGCCGCCCAAGCGAGCGACTCACTGACTGACTGGCTCGGCTTTGCCATCAGCCAAGGCAGGACAAGCAAATGCTAGAGCAAGCAGTCAAGTTCGGTGAATTCTGTTTTTCTAAAAACAAATTTGCTAAAAGGAGATTCGTTGCCATTTCCTCTAAACGGAGTGCCTTCTTGAAAGAATTCAATAAAAAAAGGGGGTTTCAAAACTTGTGCTTGGAAAAATAGATGCCTCTGCTCGGGCCGTACACATCAACTTTCTTAGATCTGTCGGTTGACAAGCTCCATAGAAAAGCAGCAGTAAAAAAAAAAAAAAAAAAAAAAAAAAAATTGAGACGTTTACAATTCTTTGTAACATGAAATTAGAGCGCAGCGCTTGAGTAGGAGGAGGGGAGGTTATGCCTCTCCTATCCCTCCATACCCTCTCCTCCCCCTCCCATTTAGCAGGCAATTTTCGCTAAATTTCCTGCTAAATTTAGCAAGAATTTCCCCGCTAAATTTAGCGGTTTAAGTTTCCTCTCTAAATCTTGTGGGGAAATTCATGTCACACAACCTCAACACCAATTCAGTTTCCCCGCTATATTTAGCAGGGAAACTGAATTGGTGTTGAGGAAACAACCCTGCTAAATGGCACATGACTTCATGCCACGTCACTCACAAACAAATTCAGTTCCTCAGCTAGATTTAGCAGAAAAATTGACATTGCGTGACCTCAACACAAATTCAATTTCTCACTAAATTCAGCAAGGTGATCATGCAGACGGCGACACAATGAAGCGTGGAAATGGGCACCTAAGAGCTGCACTCTAAACCAGTTTTTCTCTGTTGCCGGTGCACAAGCAGGTAAGGGCGGATAGCATTCCTAGTGCCAATTCCTTTGCGGTCAACGAAAAACGCTTTTTGAACAACGCTCTTTCTGTTTTAAGTATTGTGCAGGCCTTAAGTTTACTATAAGAACAACAACAACAAAAAAATCACTTTCCACTGCAGGTAATGTGCATCCAACGTTCCACTGGATCTGTCCGAAGGGCAGGCTGATACTGCGGCAGACGCCACTGAGCGGACACACTGCAAAAAGGCGTCGGCCGTTTTCCGAAGTTTGTCAACTGACCTAGATCTGAGAACGTTGGTACATGTATTGCTACCGTTGCCAAGCAGGACTGGAGATTGTTAGAGTGTGAACAATGTTCACACTTTGGTCAATGCAAGCACATCTTTTTTTTTTTAGTAATATTGACTAACAAGATTGCAGCAATCAAACAAGTTAACACCGAAATGTTAAAAGCAATAAAGAAATTAAAGCCCGGCTGTTCTGCGAGTGCAGATTTTATATCTTGCTTTATTTTAAGGGCTGCACTGATTTGTTTGCCCCTTCATTAAAGGGGCCCTGCAACCATATTTAAGCGTCTACCTTTTTTGCGGTTTCCACGTCTCTTGGCGTTCAGGCAAGCCAGCGGACACGGAGAAAGTAACTAAATGTCAGTGCGTCATATTTTAACCGGCCGACGCAGAAACCTCCTTTACCTACGGGGGCTGCATTGCTGAAAGCGCGCGAAATGCGACGTCTTTGGTCCTGGGCTTACTAGTGGTCGGAGCCGCTAAAAGCTAAAAGAACCGTTTCAATTATTTGTGAAAGTAGTTTTTGTTCAGTATTTTAGACCAGAAAAGAAACAAATGCAGTTTATAAAGTACGGAAACAAGAAACGACCCTTCGACATACCCGCCACCCAAGCGGTGGAAAAGGCGGCGCATACTAGAAAGGTGTAGTGGGATCAGGCAATGACGAGGGCAAGCGTAGAAAGGTCTCGGGTGTATGCGGCGGCGCTGCAGTCGAAAATCCGACCGGTTCCGAGCATTCCAAAGGCCTTCGGCGAGCAGCTTTGGCTTGCGGTTTGGCCCTTTGGCGGTATGGCAGTGCGAAGTGGCTCCCGTTCTGAACTGATCTTTACCTCGTGTTTGCTGTCGTTTGTGACCAATGAAGTGTCATGCCGAATTAGTGTTTAATCGTGCAGCAAATGCAATGCGAGCCCCCCTGGCTGCCCGCTTCATACAGCCTTTCCAGAACATGCTATATGGCACCCTCTCGAGCTGTTGACACGGAGCGCTCGCTGACCTCACTTAGCCCTCTTCTAGTTCATGGCCACTCGAGCGACCAAGGACGTCATGAAAAAGGTTATGTTTTGCTTGTTCTTGTAACTTTAATGTGCCTATAACTTTTAAAATAAAGCGAAATTCGAGAAAAGAAAAGTTTAATTAAGTTGCACTGACTACGTTCAGTGCGCTCAGGTTCGGTGCAAATGAAAAACCAGTCAAAAAGCCCTTGCAGGGCCCCTTTAAAGCATGCATTTCATCTCCGAGAAGTTGTGATTTTTCATTGTTGTGGAAGAGGTCTCATAGCACCAGTGAAGGACGATGGTGATATGTCTAGGGTAGACAGTCACTGCCTGGGTCTTTAATATAAGCTTTGAAAGAGTCTATAGTCAGTTGCAACCTAAGAACGAAGGGCGTGGGTAAGACGTGTTGGGGAGGAGGAAGCAGGCGGAACACTAAAGAGAGAAGGAGGTTTCCCCCTCTCTTCTCCAGCGTTCCGTCTGCTTCCTCCTCCCCGGCCCATCTTACCCTCGCCCTTAGGTTGCAACGGACTATAGATAGTTGTACACAGACATGGGTCTCTTTACTCCAGTTAAAAACAGCACCATTCAATGGAATTTTTTTAGGTTGTCAGTAGAAATGTTTTTGTAAACTTGAATACAAGGCACCATCCGTTTTTCTCACTGAAGCAAGTTGATATTTTTTCTTTCTATTTATAACTAGCTTTTGACAAGATCAATTACAAATTGCTTTTGTAAAAACCTTTATTGTATGGTGTAGCACTGCCACTTTTAAAATGGTTTAATGACTAAGTCCCTCACAAGATGAGAATGGCTATGAGAAGCCTCAGTTGCCCTGCCTCCAGCAAGAGAGCTTCCTACCTTCGGCAACGCGTAGAGGCGGGACATTTGTAAGACACACCCAGCCGTTCGCATTCCATTCAGCAATGCTTAGGCATCTTGCAAACCTCAAGAATGCACGCACAGCCAAAGCATGAGGAAAGGCGACGAGTGCTCGCTGGAGGCTGAGCTATAAGACATGCCCTGCATTTCTATTCTTCCCTGCGATTATTAGCACCGAGATGTTCTGGTGATATCCTATTTCGCTCGCAACATCATGCGCGGTTTGATACTTCAACCCTATGTTCCAGGTGAGAAAAAAAAAAGTGCCTTTCATGGAAGGCTTGTCAAAATAATAGGCGCCAGAGAGTAACGGCCATCTGCGTTCAGTCCTTATTTAGAACCCTATGTTCATGTTCTGCGGCCGCATTGAAAAGTACTGCAAGAGAGCCCAAGTGTGCTCCTGATCTCGCCCCACCAGTCTCCTCCTGCACAATAAATTGACTGCTACGGTCACCAAATGTCAATAGATGCACATTCGAACGCAGCAACTGAAGGCAGCTACAGACACAGTATCTTTCAAAGTATCTTTGAAAGATATCTTTGTATCAAAGCTACAGACACAGTATCTTTCCAAACAGACTGCAGGTCACCCCTCACTTGGGCGAGGGGGGTGACTCGTGTGGTCTGCTTCTGCGGTCTCCAAAAATATTTTCGTAAACAACTCCCACATCTACCTACAGTAAAATAAGCAATATTCAAAACTTAAAAAAAAAAAAAAAAAAAAAGCGTTTACGACTTTCTGTAACGCCGGATTAGAGCGCAGCTCTTGAGGAGGAGGATGAAAGGACACGGAGGGATGGGTGACGCCCTGAGGGCCCCCTCGCTTTCGCGCTGCGGGGCAGTCCCAGACACGAAGCTTTGAGGTTCTCCGGCGCGGGCTGCGGCACCCCAACACATGTGTGCTGGGCTGTACATGTCTGTTTTTTCGTTTTTTTTTTTTCCTCGGGCGCTTAAAAGCCGAAGTCCAAAGTCTACTCGTCGAACAGCGTTCACCCACACCTTCTCCAGTTTTTGGTCCGTTGGAAACTAGTGAAAAAGCACCTCCGTGTTGCACAGCGGGTTGTTTGAGCAGCCCACAGCGCTACAAGTTGTACTCGGCATCTTTTGAGGAACAGCTGGGCAGTCTTGGGCGCACCAAGTTGCTCGCTAAAACGAGTCTTGGAGTCCTCACAAGCAGATAAACAAAAGGCTATAGCGAAGCTACATGGGCTACAGATAAAATCAACGGCTAAACACGCCAATCACAAGCCGAAGTACCGGTGGTAGCGGCTCGAAGAAACGCACTCCGCGCAACGCCCGGGCCGGAGGAAAAGAGAATGATACTGACGTCACGGCGCAATGTTGCTTTAGCGATCGCCAACCCGCTGGCCGCCCGCTAAGAAGCAGCGGCTTGCGGCAGGTCACATTTTTATTATCGGCATTAGTTGAGAATGCGGCGTCCCACGGACGTAATATTTTGGCTGAGGTCGTATTTTGTGTGTCTACACCGATACCAGTAATTTATTTCATTTTGAGTTTTGGCCGGAGTTGCCCTTTAAGTTGGTCAGAGTATCTGACTGCAAAAAGTTAATAATCCATTTTTAATCGACATAGAGGCGAACTAACTAGCCACTCGGCGCTTTGACGCAGCGCGTCGTCTGCTCGATCCTACCAGCACCGCTACAGGAAGGCGTCCGCGAGATGAAACCAGCAAAACATCTCGTCGCCAATGGTGACACAGTGGTCGAGTCTAACATGTGAGCTAGGGCCGGCTCACGTGCTTTGGGTACCACGGATGTGTCGCACTGAAAATGCGGAAAGCTTTCGAGGGAAAGGAAGTACAAAATAGTTCGTCATGTTTTCAAATTTTCGTACCGAAAAGCAGACTTTTGACTCTCGGCCCGCTGAACAATATGTTACAGTTGAACCCCGTTGTCACAGGGTTCTTTGTGGTTAATAATTGACAAAATACAATGTCCTTCGTTTTTCATGAAAACTTGTATTTACAAAAAAAAAAATCGAAGGGTTCATATGCTTATACAAAAAAAGAAAACTTAGTTAAAGAAATGAAAGAAAGGAAAACGCATCAGTCACCATGTCTTTAAGTCCCTGTGCAGCAGTGTGTCTTGTGCTGTCGTTGTCGGCCCACGGTTGTGGCTGGAAGTCAGGAGCGGGAGCGGTTGGCTTCCGTCGGCGGCCCCAGAGTTACCGCACCAAGCGCTCCCGCTGTAGGAAGCCGGGGGCAGCGTAGGTTTCTATTCGCTGTCCTCGCTGGAACAGGCTGCTGGTCAGACAGTAGGAGGCCGCCGATTGCCCTGGCCGATCGTGTCGTTCCGCTCTCTGCGCAATCTCCCGGCCAGTCCTTTTCACGCCCTCCGAGCACGCACTCCAAAATCCCTCTTCTTCGTTTCTCCCTCCAGGCCGATCCATGGGTTGACTTGCACTTCTTCTTTTCCACATTAAGTCACATCATCACACCCGTAATAACCAAACCGCGGGGGAAGGAAACGTTTTTTGTTCTCGCGAGAATTTCGCTGCTGCAGAAATGGACAACTAAGCACACCTATTACTTTTCATGATGCTGTCCTTGGATTTCAGAATCGTAGAAAGCGAGAAGCAAAGGATACTGAACTCCTCTGTAATATCAGACTTCTTTCTGGCTTTGGCAGTGATCGCAGAGTTCTCCTGAAGTGCAAAAAACTTAAACTTTTTAATGGGAGGCGGCATCTTTCCGACAGGCCAAACGAAAGGTAGTAAACAAGGCGCGAGCGATCTCGGCGTGCACGCGGCGGACGGCAAAATAGCAGCAGGCGGTGTCGTCACGTACCTAGGTAGTTGCCAACAGATGGGCTAGCAAAACGCTGTTTTCACCAACCCCCAAAAAAAAGCATCTAGTTGCCATTGTCATCATTATTTGACCGAATGTAAACAGCAATGGCCGCGCCGATGCTTGTCGGAAACGCATGTGCCCAACTTGTCGGACGAGTGTACTGCTCCACTTTTCGTAATTCTGGGTTCCAAACTGGCTCATTTGACGAAAAAATGTTGCAGATCGCATAGGGTTATTGTAATGTACGCTAGAGGTTCAAGTGGTGCTAGTGTGCCGACGCAAGTTGAAGCAGACAGCAACCAGTCGAAAATTGACTTCCGGTAATGCATTTCTATGGGGAAAAAAAAAACGGTGCAAAAACGGCTTCGCACGTGTATTTATGTGCACTGTCGGACACTCTCAGCGCGAACACAACGTCGGCGCTTTCTAGCATCGGGGATATATGTGCCAAACGAACGAAGGTATCTGGAAATTAAGGGAGACGGCCAAACATACTGTCGAACCCGGTTATATCACACCCGTATTTCGAATTATTGTTTATATGAAACAGTCCAAACATCCCCTAGAAAATTGCATTGTTTTTCTGTATCGAATGCCCATAACTCCCATGGAGGGGACACTCCATGTAGCGAACGAAGGCCGTTCTTCGCTTCTCCCTATAGGTCGGATTGCGCAGGCCGGGAGCACACAGCTCGGGTTGCAAGGCTAGCAGACCGCCAACCCAGCATACGCGCACGCGGGGATGCGATGCGCAGCGAAAAAGCAATTGTATAAAAAATAAAAAAAGCAACCAATAAAAACAAAAGAAGTGGAGGATGGCAAAAGCAAGGGGAAGGGCACCTGCGCGCGTGGGGAGGGCAGGGAGTGCCCGCTGTTGGAACGGTCGCGTGCGCTCATTTTCCCAAACACCGCTGTCACTGTGCGACCTCCTTAGCCCCAAAATAAAAAATAAAAAAAAAAAAATAAATAAAAAAAAGATTTTGTTAGGTGGAGTGTTTTGACAACAAGGGTTGAGCAATCGCACTTTGAACACCTTATGTTTGTTTACCCTTTCCTTTCCCCGTTATTGCTCCCGTTTCCGGCTTGAGCGGCGTCGCCGTCAGGTCTCGACACCCCCCCCCCGAGGTCACATGACCAGACCTGGGGGGGTCACGTAAACCTCAGTTTACCTTTTTTTTATACTTTATTCGCTATCAATTTTACTAACCACTTCGTTCTGTTTTCTTTTTAAATCTAATAAAAGTTACTCGCTATCATCAAAACTGTATTGTGTTGTTATTTTATTTTATGACATGCTTTTTAGAGAGTGACAGCATCTGGCGACATGGTGTCCGCCCATCTTGACCTAAAACAAAGTTCTGTGTCACTCAGGGAATTTCACAAAAGTACTCAGGGGAAACCTGAAAAACTCAGGGAATTTGAAAATGCCAACTTGGTAGACACATTGAATAACTCTATGGCAGATCACTACCTCAAACTTTCGTTAATGCGGGACTGCTTTTTAAAACTCTTTGCTGTTGAGAGGGTGCAAATGCATTGAACCCTATGGACGTTCGCTGGGGCCGCCAGATTTCTTCGTTGCCGCGAGAATTTCGTTCTTGAAAGGTTCAACTGTATTAGCAGAATACGAATCTAAATTAATTTATCCCACCCAAAATAAATTCCATGGCTCCTTTTTAAACACTGTGATTTTATCCAAGCCTCGGGTAAAAACAGTTTAGCTTTCTCGGCTCCCGATTGGACGCGTCGCAGGTTTCTGCCGGGCAAGCTTTGTCAACTAACGTCCCAACTCTTTAGCCCCGCACGGATGGTGAGAGATATCTCGCGGTGGCTGATGTTCGTTCTGAACCTTTCTTTATCCACCGGTGTATTTGGACGTCTGTACGGCAACAAAATGACTGAAAACTTGCAAGTTAAGCACAGGTTGTGGATTGCTTGCTTTATAGAATAGCAGACACACAATTCAAGCTCGTGTCCGATTTTGTTGCTCGTGGGACGTCATTTTTTTAGCAGAAAGTTCACTTTTTCTGCAGTTCTACTGTCCCGCATGGTGGACAAACCAGTCATCTGCTCTTGTTCCCTGCCGAAGTGATGCATGACGGGAGTGCATTCAGGTACACACTTAATTCTCAGGGTGCAGCGAGCGCATGCACGTGTGGAGTGCCGGCGGCGAAACAAACTCACTTCATGTTGCGAGTGGGTGCGCATAGGCACGAGTGCAGCGAAACAAACTCGCTATTAGTTTTCACATGTGGTCATGCACTGTGCACGAGCATGTAGCTTCGTCTTGCATCTTGTTCGCATGCAGAAGTTGCTTCGACGGCGTAGCAGAAATTACACTAGCCTTGACAATAAAGAACAAAGAGGCTTACGCCGAGCCTAGACACTGGTGCAAAAGACGGCCGAGCCAGAAAACCTAAGCCAAGTCGCCACAAAATTATGTTTCGAAATGGCTGAATTGAAAAGACTGAACCGCCACCAAACATGTTCTGTTGTAGAACACAAAAATACATCCCCTAACACGAGCGTCCAAAATATACTTACAATGGCTAGCGACGCCTCATAAAGGTCATGCAGTGACCCTCTGCTTGGCCGGTTAAGCCACACGCAGTGCCGTGCAGAGTACAGGACGACGCCCGTGAGCCAGCCGGTGCGGTGACTCCGGGCCTGCCCGTAGTGTTCCGCTGCTATCTTGGACAAGGCGAAAGCGAGCTCATCGATGCCATGATCCCTGGGACCTGTGGTGTATAACTATTGTGATTAAAAGTCTTACAGTCGCCGACCAATGTCACTTAGTCAAATGAAAATGAAAGAAGCGAGATGTCTTCTTCCACATTTTGCTGTTCTCTATTTTTGTTCCTTTTACATCTCTAGTTGTAAGATCAATGTTGACCAAGTTCTTTTTTGTTATCAACTTGTTCGCATTAAAATCTAAAATTTTACAACAGGGTAGAGTTGTAAAACCAAGAGGGGCTACCCAACACACGCATGCAGCCCCCCCACCCCACTTCATGGGGGTTGTCCTACGCAAGTATGTAGCTGCGCTGCAGAGAAGCATGATACACATGATCTACACGGACTTTTAGCTGCATTCTTCCATGAATCTAATGTCCGCCTGGCCGTATAACTGTCATAACTTTCACTTTTTCTTTGAAATCTGTAAATGTTAAAGAAGAAAACCTGTATAACCATAGCTAAAAAAAAAATCTGACACTTGAATTGCTAAAAACAGTTTGGGGACTTCCAAGAGCGATTATTGCATAAAACAGCTTGTCAATGGTCAGAGCCTAGCAAAGCTCAACCACCACCAGCATGGCACTGCCAACAGCGCTGATGTCACTTGCATGACACATCCACATGCCGTGCCAATCATACATGGAACGCATGAAAGCATGGCGGGCAGTCCATGCAGCGTTGACTGTTGGTGGCTGCGGAAGCTCGGCGCAGACACAGAAGCACCAAAGGCGGAGGATGGCACATGTTTTCTGTTGCAGCAATGTCCTTTTGCTCGGCACACCGCCAAAAAACATTTCGGATTGGCGTTCAACATTTCTAATGGTAATCGTCTTATCTGTATGTACTTGGCCGAAAGAACCGTGAGGACATTGAGAAAATCGTGTTCCGCAGTCAATTTACCTGCCCTTCGTAGTACACTATGTACTGGCGCGTGACGTTGCTCTGTGTTCCTAGTATTATATTTCTCTTTTTTAGATGGCTGCAAAAGACGAGGACAAAGACATTACAGCAGCACTGCCAATAGTTTCTCCATGTTGAGTGCTGAATTCCTGTGAAGCAGGATACGTTTCTCAAACCTTGCTGGCGCCATGGCCACAAAACGAACAAGTGATATCAATGCATGCCTTTTATATGGTCGGTGACGACTCAAGAAGGTAGGGGAAGAAAAAGGAAGGTGGGAGAGGACGAGATGGATGCAACGCCGGCGAAGGGAGAGGGTTTGACCAGCATTGTGCCCGCTTCCTCCTCTCCCACCTTCTTTTCCCTGACCCTACCTCCTTAACCTGCAACATAGTTCAAATCAAACTGCAAAATTTCTTCGAGGCTCGAGAGTGAAAGCAGCTTGTCAGGATGTATTTTGTGTGAATACCATTTAGCTGAAGCACATTGTTTTTGTGGACTCAAGGTACGTGGCTAAAAAGTCAATGCCAGGGATCTTTGTGAGAAAAAGAACACTTAAAAGATATCCTCGGCCGCAGTTGGCTCTTTGAGTCACATATTTGACGATAGGTATTGTTAACACATATTTATGTGAACACCAGGATGCTGTTTTGATGGTAACATACTAAATGGTGATAAAAAAAAAAAAAAAAAAAAAAGCTGGGAGTAGAAGCACATTATCTACCTTTCCCTACCAAAGAACAATGAAACGATTAGTCACCTGCTCAGGACTTTGATCGTCTGCTTAGTTGTGGGCGACGCCTCTGCGAGCATCAACGACAGCCCCCATTCTAGCGTGCAGAGAGCCATACAGTGCTTCTGTAAAGGATGCCTTCACCATCAGACTTTTAACAGAGCGGTCACTCCTTTTTTTTTCTGCGCACCGAACGAAAGGACGGTACAGTAGCAGACGACGCCAGCGTGCACGGCTGCTGGCGTCACTGCGTGTGCTCCAAGCTTCCGCGAGTGCTTGCGGTCCTTGCTGCATGGAGCACTGGCTACGCACTCGCGTGCTCCCTTCAAGATTGGACTGCTCAGTGCACCGCTAGGAAAAGCAGTACAAAACATACCGCGACGATGCATCAGGGGCATGCACTGGTCCCCTGAAGTGTGCTTCGAACCATGTGCAGTGCAGGGTGCAGCACAGCATCCGCGTGAGTCAGCCGCGGCAGTGATTCGGGGCTCGTAGTGTTCTGCGGCTGCCTTGAAAAAGTGAGGGCCAGCTCTTCGCACCTCCTCTGAAAAATGTTTTACAACAGAGAGGTCAGTTATCTCCCTGCCTCTCATTGCCTTTCTGCTGTCCTGTCCTTTGTTCGAGAGCAATCGCTGCTATATTGTCACGGGTGGTGATTCGTGACCAATAAACGAGAAATAAACAGAAATAAATAAACGTTTAATGTGGCGAACTTGTGCCAAAAATAAAGAAGGAAACAGAAGAAAGCAGAGCGTCGCGGGCGTCGAAGTCGGCGTGTCAGCAGAATCGAGCGCTGGGGCGAGACTGACTCGACAAGGTCGCAGGCGGCCTCTTATCTAGAGTGCGTCGCTATCTCGAAGATTCGGCGAAAACGGTTCGAGCGTCGCGTGATCGGGGCGAGAATGAACACGCACTTTCTAGAAAACAAAAGCCGGACAAATGATAGAAGTTACGGGCGGTACATGAATAAACGGGAGCTTTCTGGAGGACCGCGACCGAGCGTTGCTTTCTCAGCCTTGCGCGCGGCATTACTCCCCCCTTTAAAAGTGCATCGCCCCGATGCAGTGTAAAACAAATCAAAATAAAAAAGAACGATAAACTAAAGAGTCTTTTGGAGCACAAAAGGTCCACAGTCCTATCGAGCGTAGTACGGCTTCAGGCGCACGACGTGGACGACCTCAGGTCGTGGTGGGCGGCGTGACGATGTTCGTGTTCCGTCGGGCATCACCTCGTAGTTCAGATCCCCGAGTCGACGAAGCACTTTGTAGGGTCCAAAGTAACGTTTCAGGAGCTTCTCGCTGAGACCGCGGCGGCGAATCGGTGTCCACACCCACACCCTGTCTCCGGGCTGGAAGTGGACGTCCCGACGACGAAGGTTGTAGCGGCCAGTGTCGACACGTTGTTGAGCCTGAATCCGAAGTCTGGCGAGCTGACGGACTTCTTCTGCCCTTTGGGCAACCACCTGGGCGTCGTCACTTGCGTCGACAGCCACTTCGTGGGGTAACATAGCGTCCAGCATTGTCGTTACCTTGCGCCCATGCACCAGCTGAAAGGGTGTCATTCCGGTGGTCTCTTGTACGGCCGTGTTGTAGGCAAATGTGACGTACGGCAGCACCTCGTCCCATGTCTTGTGCTCCACGTCGACGTACATGGAGATCATGTCGGCGATGGTCTTGTTGAGTCTCTCCGTTAGCCCGTTGGTCTGCGGGTGGTACGCCGTGGTGCGGCGATGGCTGGTGTGGCTGAGACGAAGGACTTCTTGCGTCAGCTGGGCCATGAATGATGATCCACGGTCTGAGATCAGGACTTCGGGAGCGCCGTGCCGGAGGACGATGGATTCAATGAAAAACTTGGCAACTTCCACAGCAGTTCCGGAAGGAAGGGCTTTCGTTTCGGCATACCGCGTGAGATAATCTGTGGCGACGATGATCCAGCGATTTCCCGACGTCGACGGCGGAAAAGGGCCAAGTAGATCCATTCCGATCTGCTGGAAGGGTGCTGTTGGCGGAGGAATTGACTGCAAGAGTCCGGCCGGCCTCGTCGGAGGTTTCTTTCGTCGCTGGCATTCATGACATGATCGCGTGTACAGGTGGACAGTTTTGGGGAGCTTGGGCCAGTAATACTTTTCACGAATACGTGCCAGGGTCCGGCTGTAACCAAGGTGTCCGGACGTCGGGTCGTCGTGGCAGGCTTGAAAGATCTCCTCCCGAAGGTCGGTCGGGATTACCAGCAGCCATGGCGAGTTGTTGTTCCCGAAGTTCTCTTTGTAGAGTACACCTTGTCTAATGGCGAAGGTCGGCAGCGCTCGTGAAAAAACACGTGGCACGGTACTCCCGCGCCCTTCCAGGTGCTCTATTAGTGCGCGCAGCTCAGGATCGTCTCGTTGACGCCGGGCCATGTCGTCGATGTTCACTGCGCCCAGAAAACACTCGTCGTCATCGTCGTCGCTGCTGCTGGAAGGTGTTGCGACGGGAGCTCTGGACAGGCAGTCGGCGTCGCTGTGCTTGCGGCCTGACTTGTAGACGACGGTCATGTTGAACTCTTGTAGTCGGAGACTCCACCGCGCGAGGCGTCCTGACGGGTCCTTGAGGTTCGCAAGCCAGCAGAGCGAGTGGTGGTCCGTGACTATCCGGAACGGGCTCCCGTATAAGTACGGACGAAACTTCGTGATTGCCCAGACGACCGCAAGGCATTCTTTTTCAGTCGTGGAGTAATTTCTCTCCGCCTTGGTCAATGTCCGACTTGCGTAGGCGATGACTCGCTCGGTGCCTTCTTGTACTTGAACCAAAACCGCGCCAAGCCCTGCGTTACTTGCGTCCGTGTGAATCTCGGTTTCCGCATCCTGGTCGAAATGTCCAAGAACAGGAGGAGTCTGCAGTCGTCGCTTCAGCTCGTCAAATGCCTGCTGCTGTTCATCGGCCCATTCGAACTTCTCGGCGTCCTTCGTGAGGTGTGTGAGCGGTGCGGAAATTCTTGCGAAATCTCGAACGAAGCGCCGATAGTAGGCACATAGCCCAAGGAACCTTCGGACGGCCTTCTTGTCTCTTGGCGCTGGAAACGCTGCGACGGCACGAGTCTTCTCGGGGTCTGGGCGGACACCTTCGTTACTAACCACGTGGCCGAGGAACTTCAGTTCGTCATAAGCGAACCGACACTTTGACGGCTTCAGGGTGAGTCCGGCGGTCCGTATGGCTTGGAGAACTGCTCGGAGTCGTCGCAAGTGCTCGTCGAAGTCGCTGGAAAACACGACGACGTCGTCGAGGTAGACGAGACAGCTCTGCCACTTCAGTCCTGCCAGTACGGTGTCCATGACACGTTGGAAAGTTGCTGGCGCCGTGCACAGTCCGAAGGGCATCACTTTGAACTCGTACAGTCCATCCGGCGTGACGAAGGCTGTCTTTTCTCGGTCCCTTTCGTCGACTTCGATCTGCCAGTAGCCGCTCTTCAGGTCCATCGATGAGAAATATCGAGAGTGGCGCAGCCGGTCTAGAGTGTCGTCGATGCGGGGGAGTGGGTAGACGTCTTTCTTCGTCACCGTGTTCAGCTGCCTGTAGTCTACACAGAACGTAAGCGTCCCGTCTTTCTTCTTAACCAGTACGACTGGAGAGGCCCAAGGACTGCTTGAAGGTTGAATTATGTCGTCGTTCAGCATTTCTTGAACTTGCTCCTGGATCGCCTGCCTTTCCTTAACGGAGACTCTGTATGGCGATCGATGCACAGGGCGCGCGTCGTCCTCGGTAACGATGCGGTGCTTCGCAACGGTGGTTTGGCGCACCTTCGACGACGTGGCAAAGGAGTCGCGGTATTCGGCGAGAAGGTTAATCAACTGTCGTCGCTTCGGGCCCGGGAGCTTAGGGTCAATGTCGAGCTGCGCTGGCGACGCACTGTCTTGCTGAGGTGGCGAGAATTCCTCAGTAATGGCGGCGACAGCGGCGGAGTTTTGGAGTTCCTCGACCTGGCCCACGGCTGCACCTTTTGTGAGGTGTTGCGCTTCGTTTCGGAAGTTCGTGACGAGGACCACAGTGCGGCCATCCTGAAGTTCAGCAACTCCTCTTGCAACGCCTATTCCTCTTCCCAGAAGCAACTGGAGGCTTCCTTCGAGCAGAACTTCGCCGCAGAAATCTTCGGTGATCCCGACGGGTACGAAAACACTCGACCGCGGCGGTAAGTTAACGTGGCTGGCGAGGACTCGGACCGCAGATGACGTCGCTTTGGGTTCCTCCGGTGGTGAAACAGGCTTTCGCAGCGTCAACCGGTTTGCTCCGAGGTCGATGACGGCGCCATACTCGCAGAGGAAGTCCATTCCGAGGATAACGTCCCTCGAACAGTCTTGCAGAACGACGAACTTTACAGGGCACGTCTCACCATGGATCTCGACGCGAGCGGTGCATCGCCCGATTGGTGTGATGAGGTGCCCACCGGCGGTTCGTATTTGAGGTCCATCCCACGGCGTCGTGACTTTTCGAAGGCGGCGGGAGAGCCTCCCACTCAAAACTGAGTAGTCTGCTCCGGTGTCCACGAGTGCCGATGCGTCGTGGCCGTCGATGATGACGTTTAGGTTGTTGGACACCGTTTCAGGAGCGTCGTTTCGGTCTTCGGTAGCGTTCGAGTGGAGGCCCTCCGACGTTCGTGGAGGATCTTGGCGTCGGTCGTCTTCGGCAACTCCACCTCCAGGGGTTGCCGCGCCTAGTTTCCCCGGCGTGGAGCAAGGGGCGACAGGCTTTCACGTCGGGGTCGGTGCATCGGCGAAGCTGGACGTCGTGGTGAAGGCGATCGGAACTCTCGGCGGGACGCAGGCTCGGGGGACTGGGGTCGTCGCAAGTACTCGTCGATCTCCCGAGGGCGTTCACCATACCTGGGACGCGGGTCGCTTGGGTGGAATCCGCGCAGCCCGAGTCGTCGGTATGGGCATCGGCGGTACACATGGTCAGCTTCCCCGCAGTGGTAACACAGCGGGCGCCGGTCGGCCGTCCTCCAGACGTCTGTCTTCCTCGGCGCAGATCGGTCTGGGTGAACGTGCGCTTGATCTTCCTGTCGTCGGGGGTAATGCGGCGTTGGGGCGTCTCTTCGGGGTGGCGACGTGGCTTGACGGGGGGCTTGCGGCGGTCGTCGGGCCATTGCGGCGTAGCTCAACATCGGTTCCTCCGGTGCCACTGTGGTGACGGGAACCTCTGGTTGGAGCGCCCGACGCACTTCTTCGCGCACAGCCTCGGCAATGGAGAGTGTCGCTGGACGACTTGCGGCTGGCAGCAACTGGCGGAGTTCCTCCCGTACGACCTCCCGGATAATTTCGCGGATGTCCGTACCAGGAGCGTTCTCGGCGCCAAGCAGCGCGGTTGCAGCGACACTTGGATGTCGCTGGTAGTGGGAAGCGCGCGCTTGGAGGGCGCGCTCGATGTTTGTCGCCTCGGTGACGAAGGCTTCGACGGTGCCCGGCGGGTTGCGCACGAGGCCTCCAAAGATGTCGTCTCTCACCCCGCGCATGAGGACCCGCAGCTTCTTGTCGTCTGTGGCTCGTGGGTCGGCACGGGCGCTCAGGCGGAGGACATCTTCTACGAAGCTTGTGACGCTTTCGTCGGGGCCCTGCGTTCGAATTCGGAGGAGATCTTCTGCCTTCTCCCGTCGGTGTAGGGTGGCGAACGTCCGCTGCAACTCGGCCACACAGATGTCCCACGACGTAAGCGAAGCCTCGTGATTCTCGAACCAATGCCTCGCAGTACCCTCCAGCGAAAAGTAGAGGTTCTGGAGGCACTGCTCCGCAGTCCATCCGTTGTGGCGCGCCACACGCTCGTAGTGCTTGATCCAGTCTTCGACATCCTCGTGGATCTCGCCGTGGAAGGGTGTCGGCATACGGGGAGCGGCGGGCAGGTAGACGATGGCAGCTGGAGCGGCGGGCGTCGGCGACTGGTTGGCCATCGTCGGCTTTGTTGGCTGCTCGGTCCTGGGCGGCAGAAGTTCGTGTTCCGGGGGTAGACCTCGGATGCGGCGACTTGACCGGGTCTCGATCTGGTCTTCGTCGGGTCCTCGGGAGGCTGGGTCCGGACTTGTACTGCGGGACCTCGGAGGGGTACGCGGCAGGGGCATGCGTTACCCCGCACCTCCACCAGAATGTCACGGGTGGTGATTCGTGACCAATAAACGAGAAATAAACAGAAATAAATAAACGTTTAATGTGGCGAACTTGTGCCAAAAATAAAGAAGGAAACAGAAGAAAGCAGAGCGTCGCGGGCGTCGAAGTCGGCGTGTCAGCAGAATCGAGCGCTGGGGCGAGACTGACTCGACAAGGTCGCAGGCGGCCTCTTATCTAGAGTGCGTCGCTATCTCGAAGATTCGGCGAAAACGGTTCGAGCGTCGCGTGATCGGGGCGAGAATGAACACGCACTTTCTAGAAAACAAAAGCCGGACAAATGATAGAAGTTACGGGCGGTACATGAATAAACGGGAGCTTTCTGGAGGACCGCGACCGAGCGTTGCTTTCTCAGCCTTGCGCGCGGCAATATTGTGTCTCAGCACGATCACCTTAGTCATACAAAGGAACGTGCAGATAAAGATCATTATTATTAAAGCACGTTTTACCTTCACATTCAAACTTCGGGCCTCCTGCTTTCTCCTCGCGTGTGGCGGCAAGCGTCTGTTGAGGCTACCATGCTTCGAGACGATCCTCGCGTGGTTCAGACCTGCGTTAGATTTTTTTTTTTTTTTTTTTAATTACGCCCTGGCAGCTCGTTTAAGCGCCTCTCGGCGTGTTCCGGCGCAGACAGTGACAGGCGAAGCATCAGATTCTACGCTTGCTTCGTTGGGCCTTCCTGTCTCGTTGAAAAACTGGATCGAAGTCTGTGTCGATGGCATGCAATCATTTGCGACTTATTGAGCACTTGCGGTCATACGGAAGCTCCCAAAATTGTGAGCGCGCTCCTAAGCCTTTGCGGAGGGCTCTGCTAGCCGTCACGTCCGCATGTTCTACCGAACGATTTCGGGCGAGCGGTTGGTAAAGGCAGCTCAAGAAACAAATCGACACGTTGAGCGCACGAAACCCAATTCAAATCCGCTTGGATGGCATCAGCATCCAGCACCGACCGACCATTCCCGCCATTTCTGGTAGCGCCTTTGTTCCCGGACGCACCGGACTAAATTATATCAAACGACTCCAAACGGAACTGAAGCACTAAAGTGCGGTGAACACTCACCTTTATGAATACCTCCTGTTCTTGGTGTTCTTGGAGATGTACGAGAGGTATTTGGCGGCTCTGGCGGTTCGCGATCGACGCCGGCACTCATCCGGCGAAGCTGAGTGCATACATTGTTTTTGTTGTCAACGGCTGCCACTGCGCACGGTCAACCTCGTTCCACTAGAGAACTTGAGCTGCTTCAGCTGGTTATCGACGGTTAATACGTCGCCACCCAACACCTGAACGTAGAACGAAAACAAAAACATTGCCCCCGCGGCCAAGGGCGCCAAGGCGGAACAGAACGGAACCGTACCAGCCAAAATTAAAAAATCAAGCAAGGAAAATAAAAAAAAATAAAAAAAAGTAAAAACAAACAAAAACAAGAAAAGTGCTTTTTTATATATTTTTACTTTAAAACGTCATCTAAAAATCAACAAAATAACAAAACCGGAAGTGACGTCATTTTTTTTCAGCCAATCGGCGTTTCCAGTTTTACTGCCCCGAAACGCTTGTGACCCCAGTGGCCTGGGACAGGGTGTCGCTGCCCTGTTCGGACCACACGGTTCGGACCATGTTCCCATTCTCGAGGCATCTTCTGACGGGCAACGCGGAGACACTTGCGGTGACTGCGCCGGTGGGCCGAACGGTGGCTGAATGAGGCTGTCGTTTTCACCTTGTCCCGTTACGATTCTTGAGGGTATGACAGGGAGGGGTAACTGGCTTATTTGATACCGTCTTTCGAGTTGCCCGGCGCTCGAGGGAGGCTCCGGGCCGTATCCGCGCCCTTGCCCTACGGTAATGGGACCCCCTAGTGGTCTGGATGGTGGCGAAAAGAAGCTGCCACTTCTTCTTTGTGTTACGAATGGTGGTAGATAAAGTCTGCTGTTTCTTCCTTGGGAGCCCAAAGGTGGCCAGAAGGGGCTGCCGTTTTCTCCTTGTCCAAGTGGGGGCAGAAAGAGGCTGCTGTTTTCTCTTTGTCCATATGATGGTGGAAAGAGGCTGCCATTTCGTCGTCCGAACGGTGGTGAAAAGGGGCTGCCGTTTCCTCCTCCAAATGGGGGCGGAAAGAAGCTATCATTCTCTCTTTGTTCAAACAATGGCGGAAAGAAGCTGCCGTTTCCTCGTCCGAACGGTGGTGAAAAGGGGCTGCCGTTTCCTCCTCCAAATGGGGGCGGAAAGAAGCTACCGTTCTCTCTTTGTTCAAACAATGGCGGAAAGAAGCTGCCGTTTCCTCTTCCGAACGGTGGTGAGAAGGCACTGCCGTTTCCTCCTTGTCCAAATGGGGGCAGAAAGAGGCTGCCGTTTTGTCCTTGTCCAAACGATGGTGGAAAGAGGCTGCCATTTCGTCCGAACGGTGGTGAAAAGGGGCTGCCGTTTCCTCCTCCAAATGGGGGCGGTAAGTAGCTACCGTTCTCTCTTTGTTCAAACAATGGCGGAAAGAAGCTGCCGTTTCCTCGTCCGAACGGTGGTGAAGAGGCACTACTGTTTCCTCCTTGTCCGAATGGGAACGGAAAGAGGCTGCCGTTTTGTCCTTGTCCAGACGATGGCAGAAAGAGGCTGCCATTTCGTCGTCCGAATGGTGGTGAAAAGGGGTTGCCATTTCCTCCTTGTCGAAATAGTGGTGGAAAGAGGCTGCTGTTCTCTCCTTGTCTAAACGATGGCGGAAAGAGGCTGCCGTTTCCTTGTCCGAACAGTGGTGAAAAGGGGCTGTTGTTTCCCTGTCCAAATAGTGGTGGAAAGAGGCTGCTGTTTTCTCTTTGTCCAAATGATGGTGGAAAGAGGCTGCCATTTCTTTCTTGTCCGAATGGTGGCGGAAAGAAGCTGTTGTTTCTTCCTTGTGACCCGAACGGTGGTGAAAAGGGGCGGTTGTTTTCTCCTTGTCCAAATGGTGGCGGAAAGAGACTGCTGTTTTCTCCTCGTGGTTCGAACGATGGTGGAAAGAATCTGCCATTTCCTCCTTGTGACCTGGACGGTGGCCAAGAGGGGTTGTCATTTTCTCTGTGTGGTCCCAATGGTGACTGAAAGAGCCGGCCGTTTCCTCCTCGTTCTGGTCCGATTCTTGAGGGCAGAGGTACCTGGCCCATTTGGTACTGTTTTCCGAGTTGCCGGGAAGGCTCTGGGCCGTATCTGCTCCATTGTTCGATGGTCTTGGGACCGAGGTTAAATAGTCCGAAGCTGGCCGGCCTCACCGGTGAACCTGCGAGTGTTTGAAATTATTAATGCGATTCCCAAATTGTTATCTATTTTGACAGGCGAAGAACCCCGTATCATTTCCTGCGTTCTCTTGGGGCATCTGTTTCTTAGGTGCATGCCGCTCTATGCGAAGATGAGAATGATGTGTGGTGGTGTCGGAGCACCGAGCTGCGATTGGAAGGATAGTGGATAATTGCAAAGGCTACCTGCCTTTGCATTGCTGTGTTTTTGGCCAATGGGACTTTGGGTGCGGTTTACTCAGCCAATCGTAATTTGGCTGCCGTTTTTCGCTGCTACGACTAAATTTAGGTGCCGTTTTTTGCGGTTACAGTCAACGTTGGCTTCACTCCATGGGACAGTTAATGCTTTCGCATTAACATGAAATAAAAGCATGCGATCCCGGTTTTGTCCCGTTTTTCAAACGGCTTGCGTCCGTTGTGTCGTCTGCTACCAGTCCTCTCGGGGTGGCGCCCCCCCCAAAGGCGTTGCGGCGACGGTGCGCAACTTCTTCGACGATCAAGACCCATTGTATTCGGCGCCGTCCTGACGTGGAAACAAAAACTTCAGGAAACAAATACAAAAAAAAAAATGGCTGCTCCAACCTTTAGGTCTTTGGTGAAGAGTTTTGTGACTTTGCCGCGTATGCTATGAGCGAAGCAGCTTTTCAAAAGCATTCACCATGTAAAATTTTACCAGTAATTAACACAACGAGGTAGAGGGGCTTAGAGCGATAAACTGTTATCCCATTCACCAGGAAAAAGTAGCCCCCATTGGCTGCCATGTTGTACAATTTTTACCACTGTAGACGTGTAACCGTACTAAATCATGAGGCTTTTATGCAAAACTGAGTTAAGATTTGTATTGTGATCACTGTAAAAAACGTGATAAACTATTTTTCAATACTGTTAGCTCCAGAGATCTGTGTCTAACTCCGATAAAAACCAAAAATACAGCACCAGAGTTTTTGTCGTAAAAGCACATTTTGGAGTAAAAACAGATGAAGCAAAACTTATTTTGTCGGTACTGTTATTAAAGATGAATAAGCTATTTGTGTGCGGTACTTTGTTAAAATCTAAATGTAAAACTGTAAGGTCCTGTGTCTAGAGGTAAAAAATGTGCAACATGGCGGCGGCCGGTTGGGGGTCACTTTCAGCTGCTAGTTAATCGCTCTAAGCACCTCTACTTCGTTGAAAATTAAAGGGACCATGAAAAGAATTTTGGGCTGGGATAAGTGAATTTACATTGGGATTTTACTAATATCATTTCCTTTAGTGGGCAAAAAGAGACGGGGTATAAAGTCAGAAGCCAGATTTTCGGTACGAAAATTTGAAAACGCAGTGGTCTATATTTTATACCTCTTTCCCTTCGCAAGCTCTCTGCTTTTTAACTGCGATACATCCGCGGTACCTAAAGCGCATCACCCGGCCCAAATGCATGTCGCACGACACCGGACCTCGCTTATTCCCTTCACCCCTAAGCTGACAGCGAGGTGGAAGCTATGCGCTTGCCGGACCAATCAGCCGCCTCCTTTTCATCACCGGATTTCATTCTCTGCACATGGGTATGCGATAGGGAGCGTGATCACGTGGCAAAAATGTGGCTGGCCCAAGCAGCATGTAGCTTCCACAGCACTGCCAGCTTCGGTACACAAACGAGGGTCCGAGCAAGAGGGGAGTTCCTCCTTTCAGTTGTCTTGGAACTGTTTGGTACAATTCGCAATTTTTTGAGTTGAGGAAAGCTAAGAAGGAAAAAGTTAAAAAATTGTTTTATGACCCCTTTAACATCTTTTTTCTCTCCCGTTTCTGAGAAATGCGGGGCGTCTTCTAACCGCCACCCGCTCCAGCATGCGCTTCATGGCTTGTATTGTGCTATGGCTCCTCCCTGCCGTTCTCAAAACCGAAAACGAATGAGTGCTCTCATTGTTCGACAGGCAGCTAACGCAGGTCACTCTTCTAACATGGCTTCGGCTTCGTAGCACATGCAGTGTTGTCTGCAACTTGCGACTTTCTTGAAAATAACTACCTGATGAGATACTCCCATATCTATTAATTAAAGGGCAACTCCGGTCCATACTTTCGATTTTGGGATTATGACTGTTTTTAGCGCAGTCAGCGTCCCTGAATTACAAGGTGTAATTTTTTTCTCGTTATTGTGCACGGTTTCAAAGATATAGATGCCTCAAAGTTTTGTTTGGGGCGCGGCCGACAAAACCGAAACTAGCTGCTCAAGGCGCCGACAACACTGAAAATCAGCCGCTATGTGGACGTGACGTTAGGATCGTTCTCGTTCAACGAGTACGCAGGCCAAGCGGCGCCTACCTCTGTAGCGCTAGCGGTCTAAAGATAGAAGGTAAGATGATATTGTTTTAGTACTGTATACCCGGTAGTTATCCAACATATATAGCAAGAGTTAGTGCGTACACCTTAAAGCTGGCGACTGGATAACCCGTTACCTCGCTCGGTGCCGTACTCGGCGACCGCCGCCGTACGTGCGCTCTGCCGTACTCGTCGCTTGTATACCCAAAAGCTAGTGATTAGAAAACGAGTGAACTTGTTCGGTGCTGTACTCGGCGTCCAAAGCTTTCCAAAGTCCACTCGTCGAACAGCGTTCACCCACACCTTCTCCGATCCGTTGGAAACTTGTGAAAAAGCACCTTCAGGTTGCGCAGCGGGTCGTTTGAGCAGCCCACAGTGCTACAAGTTGTACTCGGCATCTTTCGAGGAGCAGCTGGGCAGTCTTGGGTGCAGAGTTTCTCGCTAAAATGAGTCTTAAAGTCCTCAGAAGCAAATAAACAAAAGGCTATACCGAAGCTACACGGGCTACAGATAAAAGCAACGGCTAAACACGCCAATCACAAGCCGAAGTAGCGGCTCAAAGAAGCACTCTTTACACTGCTCGACCGTGCAACGGGGGTGCACCCGCCCGAACCGGAGGAAAAAAAGAGATGGATCCTGACGTCCCGGCCCAACGTTGCTTTAGCGATCGGAAACCCGCTGGCCACCTGCTAAGGAGCAGCAGCTCAGGGCGGGTCGCATTTTCATTGTCGGCATTAGTTGAGAATGCAGCGTCCCCCCCCCCCCCCCCCCCCGACGTAATATTTTGGCTGGGGTTGTATTTTGTGTCACTACAGGGATACCAGCAATTTATTTCATTTTAAGTTTGAGCCGAAGTCGTCCTTTAAAGGGGTCATGAAACGCTTTTCCAACTTTTTCTTTCGCTTTCCTCCTCAACTCATAAATCGCGCATTCCGCCAAACAGTTCAAGAAGACGAAAAGAAGGGAGGCCCCTCTCGCTCGGAACCTGGTTTGTGTACCCGGAGAGAGCCATTGTCCCCCTAGAAGATTAGCCCTTCGCTCAAAACTCGGATAAAAGTTTCTTTCCCTACCCCGTTCACCCCTAAGCTGACAGTGCTGTGGAAGCTACGTGCTCCTTGGGCTAGCCACACTTTGGCTGCAGAGAATGAGGTCAGGTGATGAAACGGAGGCGGCTGATTAGTCCGGCAAGCGCGTAGCTTCTACCACAATGTCAGCTTAGGGGTGAAGGGACTAAGTGAGGTCCAGTTTCGTGTGACGTCAGTTTGGACCCGATGACGCGCTTTTGGGACCGCGGATGTATCACAAAGAAATGGCAGAGGTTACGAAGGGGAGGAGGTACGAAATAGTCCGCTGCGTTTTCAAATTTTCGCACTGAAAGTCAGGCTTTTGACTACCTTTTTTCTTTTGGCCCAATGAACGATTTGCTATTAGTAAAATCCCAATCTAAAATGATTTATCCTAACCCAAAAATCGTTTCATGGGCCCTTTAAGGAACTATATAAAGGGTTGAATTATATGTTCGATGTAATCTCTAGGGATGCGTGCTAACCGGCATCTGGCTTACCTTGCTGCGCTGCAGTCAGATCAAGTAACATTCCCAGAAGACAGCAAAGTGTCCATGCCGACCGTGCGTTCACCGATGTCGTGCGGGTAAGTGGCATTTTTCCCGAAGTTACTTTTAAACGTAAGAAGCTCACAGGCGTGCATTCGAACCAACCTCGTTGATTCGAACTAACACCGATTTAAAGGTGAAACCCTTCTGCTTGGTGTAAAGAACTGTAAGACTGCTGTCAACCGTCTGTCAGCAATACGGTTGCTCTGAAGCTTTAAAGAAGCCCTGTTTGTTTTCTTACGAAGGTCAGAGTGAGGAAGTTGGATGAACAACAAATTTGACTTTGACAGGCAGGTGTCAACGACGCATTCGACACCTGTTGTTCCTTCAAACGTGCGCCCTCTATGAAAAAATAAAATAGAGCACGTTGGTGCCGGATGGTCTTCGCGGTTGCACGACGTTACCTGTTTGTGGAATGCTGTCACACACCTGCATTTCCGCAAGAAGTGCACATGAAGAGTCGTCCTTTCTATATGGAAAACGAGGGCAGTTGCTATGGGCAAACGCATGGGGGCTCGATGCAAGGTTAAAACTTTTGACAAAAAAAGGTAATTTTTTTAAGTATTGTGTTCTGACTTTTATATCAGTGCCATAGTGATGACAAAAGCCCGTAATAAAACTTTACTACTGGTGCTGCTTCTCACGGGTCCAGTGGTTCTAGCTGATGGCTAGCGAAGAAACTTCTATTCTCAGGTTGAACTTTTTGTGGTATTTCGGCCCATGCATAGCTCCAATCGACGCTTGAGGCGCACGACTACCTGCCGAATCACGTAATGAAAGTTACAACAGGACAGCATGCATTTCAAGAAGTCGTGACAGCACAAAAGTTGCTTCAGTGCACCCTCAAAGAAACTGTCTGGAATACAGGGTCTTTTTCTTACTGCAAAAATAATAGAGGTCCGAATCGAATGACAACGTTTTAGAACTAGCAGTTATTCAAAAGCTTCTTAATTAGAGAAAGAAACGTGGTTAAAATTAAGAACTTTCAGAGCGTCACAGAAAATCATGGAACAAGTACATTTTGGAATTATTAGGGGCCCTTGCAGTGGCGTTACTAGGGTCACCCACGGCATCGGCCCGCCGCGACCCTTCCCTGGCGACGCCACTGGGCCCATGGCAAACGCGGCCACGCGCTCAAGTTGCTACTTGTGCAACGGGCATAAAGCTGCGGAACGAAAACATGCCCCAGTTTTTTTGTCTGGATTTTCTCACCACCAGCCTTACACCCGTTGCAAGAGTGGCAACTTAGAGCACCATTCTGGTCCCCACAGGCCCTTAATTTTTACAATATACTAGTTATTTGGTGATTTTTTGATGACGCTCAAAAAGTTTTTAGTAAAAACCATTTTTTGTCCACTAATTAAAGAGCTAATTTACATATTTTAGTTAATTATCTAATTGTGACACAAGTCGCCTGCATAGACCGGATTACAGGAGCTTTCACGGCTCTTCTAAATCAAATATGTAAAAGCCTAAAAAGAAACCCTTTACATATGAGAACACAGAGGAATTCTAAACATATGAGGCGCATTCATCGAGTTACAAGAGGGTTGCGATCACGAGCTTTGGTGGTGAAAACCCTGAACGTGCTCTACTCATTTGGGATCTTGAGGAAGTCTTCTAACTGGACTAGAACCTCACATATCCACAGATCGTAAGCGGATACCCGCTGTCAATTGGCAGATAAAAATTATTCAGATTTGGCAACTTGTGGATCGAATGCGGGGCTGGATCTACATTTTCAGAGGCGACCCACAAACGTGTGCGACCACAGTGATACTATGGAGCGAGTCATCGCATGTTCTGCGGGAGCAAATTCTCAGAGAAAAATTTCTCCCGAATGGGGGAGAAAGCCGCTTTTTACGCCAAGAAAGACCCCACCGGCAGACGAGAAGTGAGAGGCCAGATGTGAGTAACCCATTTATTCGGATCCCCCGCGAGAGCGCCTAGTCGTCGTCCTCTTCCTCCTGGGCGGTGCCTCCCTGGGCCTTGCGCATGTTCTTCCTCTTGACGCGGCCTGCCCGTCCGCCGCCAAACGGAGACTTCAGCGAGAAGTCAATGTGCTTCTCGGAGTCGAGGCGCACCACGAAGGACGGCACGTTCACCACCTGCTTGCGGACCCTGCAACCCGAGAACGAGAAAATTAAGCCTCTCCTTGTCCACAGCACCGAAGCCGCCTGCAACGGTGTTTAGCATCCTATCCTGCCCATGAAAGTGGCACATGACGTTGCAAAAGCCGCCGAGTCGTGCTGTTGGATCTCGCGATTCTGGCGGTACACAGTACAAGTCCCGACAAAGCACACGAAAAGATGCGAGTGTCGTCGTCGTTCCGGCGTTTCAACTCTTAGCTGCCAAAGTGTCCGTTTGCTGTCGAGCTGAAAAGCGACCTACAGTAGAACATGCGTCTGTTCCGCCGCAGACCCTCTGGCATCTGTGACTGCTCCGATGTAATTGATCTTTGATACAGATTTTAATCGGAGAAATCGGCCATGTGTGATGTCCAGTCTTTGCCTAGAGCCCGCAATAAACAGACTACCGCAGAAAGTGGTTTAGTGCCCCTTTGAAACAGACGAAAACTTCCGAGGAAAAAACTGGTGACACGTACACCGGAAAACTTGGTATGTCATTGCCGCATGTTACTACTGGCGGCAGGGTTTCCTTCAACGTAGAAATTGTCAGTAACATTTATCGAAAGTTCTATGATGCGTGAAAGGCAAGGTGCGATAGTTTAAAATTATTTAGAAGACATTAATCCGTCGTTTCGGTGGGTGAAAAACCTCCATTTTTATCAAATTCACTACACATTGATTGTGATGTCGGGTCATGTGACATTAAATTTACCGCCCAATATAGCGGAGAAAGTGAATTGGCACATAGGTCACGTGACACGACACGTGACAAGTCACGTGAACTTCATTCATGTATAGTTCACATGACATCGACGACGTGCGACTAGAACACCAATAGACAATATGCGAAACTACTGTTTTTCGCATATTGAGCACTGTTCACGCGGCCATCTTGGTAACGTCAAGTATCTTGAGTTTCAGTTTCTCAGCATTTCCAGGGCATGGATGTTCTGCCGCTGCAGTGCCATTCGGAAACTTTATTGTTTTCCAACTTCCGATCACTTGACATGGACAAAGGACAAGGACGAGAAAGGACGAGGACGCTTTTAATTCTTTTTAGAGCGCAGCTCTTAGGCGGCCGTTTCCGGCTTGAGCGGCGTTGGCCTAACCGCGCGCCCCATTATGGGAAATGTCCCATAATGCACCGGGCGCGCCCCTTCCCCGAGGTCATGTGCGACCCCCCCCCCCCCCCCCCCCCGAAGTCACATGACCCCCCAAGGTCACATGATTCTCCTGAGGTCATGTGACCCCCTCCCCCGAGGTCACGTGACCCCTTGACGTCACCCGACCTCCCATGAGGTCACGTGACTTTAAGGAGTCACCTGTCCCTCAGTACGCTTCCATCCTCCTCCTCAAGAGCTGCGCTCCAACCGGCGTTACAGGGAATTGTAAACAGCTTTATTTTTTCTTCGATATTTTATTTTTTTCAATGTAAATACGCATGAAGCCATACTGTTTTTTTTTTACAGCGGAGCTGTTAAGGGCTACTTTCCCCAGTTTCGTGTCCGGTACCAAACAGTACGACACAAAACTCTGGACAGCTACCGCCATCTATGAGCAACGGCGGCAACCAGACAACCAGTGTGGTTGCCGCCGTCGCTCATAGATGGCGGCAACCTTTCCAGCTATCATAGAAGAATGGATAGTTGGGTGAGTTGGTGGGAATTGATTGTAGGAAACAGTGCGAAAAACAGACGAGGGCGTAAAAACACGCGGGACGAGCGCAACGCTCGTCCCGTGTGTTTTTTTTTGTCCTCGTCTGTTTTGCACACCGTTTCCTATATTCTTAGTTCAATTACCAAATCACACCTTAATCCCTACATTGATAAATACTTCATTCCCGCCATAGTACAGCTTCGCTGGTCTTCCTTCTTCACCAAAGTGAAAAGGCTGAAAGTTTTTTTTTTTTTTTTTTTTTGTTACTGGCAAAAGGTATTTTTTGGTGGAAAGCTCTGTGTTCTCTAAAGGAAACTGTTCCCTGGGCAATATTATTCAGGCATTGCAAATAGCTTAAATTTGTTTCAGATAGCATGGACCTCAAAAACACAGTTGACGAATTTTGTGCTATAATAATGAAGATTTGTTCAACCCTGGCTGCAATCAAAGTGGCAATGCAGGCGAGTTGGTTCATCGTTACAAAATGGAATCAGCGCGCAAACAACGAAGACACAAGGAAGAGAAATTGACAGGACAAGCGCTGGACAAAATGGAATCAGCGCGCAAACAACGAAGACACAAGGAAGAGAAATTGACAGGACAAGCGCTGGATCCTCAAAACTACCCCCCCCCCCCCCCCCCCCCCCGGGCTCCTTTGCACAAAACAAAATTTTTACAATACAATAAAACCTTGTTATAACAAAATCGGATATAACAAACTAATGGATATAACAAAGCAATCATAATTTCCCTTGCTTGCTAATAGTGGGAAGAAATGAACATTGGGTATAACAAACTAATGGTTATAACTAAATAATTACGACCGCTCCCTCAAATTTCTTATAACGAGGTTTTACTGTAACTGCAAAAAGTAGATTGTGAAATGGAGTTGCCACTGCCCATGTTGCTCCACTCGACGTCCACGACGCAAGTTTTTGCTGCCGCCGACATCCATGTCTTAGCCACTGCGATGAGCGTAAGTCTAACGTGGCGTTCGATAAAAAAAAGAGCAAAATCCCGTCTCTGTATGTGTTCAGCAAACAGACACGTCGTCCGTGTCTATTGTGTTTTCTATTTATCATGACCACGCTTTAGATATTCGAGAATTTTTTAACGACAAACTCTCCTGTTTAGTTTTAGAGGTGTTTTAGAAACACTGTTCACCGACGCCAGATCAAAGCAATGAGGTTGTTTTCTGGTCATCCAAAGTAATAAATTTTTCTTATATACAACATTAAAAGGAGGGCTCAGTGGTGCTTTCAGCTTTTGTTGTCCACTTTTAACCCTACGCATCTTCAATTATAGTCGGTGGGGTAGATTATTAAAACTGTCATCGGTTTGCCACACTTAACAGCCTGGGTCTCGTCCGTAAACATTGAGCTGCATCAAGAAAAATGCAGGCCGACACTACAACGTGCGTAAAAGAAAAAATAAAGTTCAGAAACAAATTTGGCACAACTTCATAAAAAAATCAGGACTGAGTTCAATAGTTGCAAATGGGTTCACACCCACGCGATAATGTCCGCAACTTCCTTCACATTGTCACCAATTGTTTTTGTCAAAAGCTGCGTCTCAAGTAACAAATAAAAATAAAATATTGTGAACCTTGTTCAGGCTTGTGTTCACGTCACGGACGAATCGAAGGTTTAACGCTCTATCTGCAGTGGAACACATCTCTCGCACGAAGCGTAGCTGCTTGTTTACGTGGGGTGTTTGCAGGTCGGGTCACTGGTTTCTTTTTCTCGCTGCTACCAAGATGGTGGACGTAGTTCTCAACGCACTACAAGATGACACTACATTTTGCATATGGTCTATTCAGCTCTGCTGCTAAATTTAGCGGGAATCGCACAGACGGACGGTTGGACAAAACGTTAAGACCAAGGGTTTCGATATATATATAAAAAAAGCCTATTTATGCTTTAAAGCATTTCGTAGAAGGTGCAGAAGTGTCATGATCAAGATCAAGACGTAGCGTCACCGCCACAGCAGGGCTCCTTCCCTCAACCAATGGAATTCTCGTCTGAAGTACTGGCAGTACGGTGCTCGAACGAAAACTCAGAACGCCAAATTCAAAGAGAGTGAGCCGTCTTTGCCAATAATCATTCCAGCCAGAGCTCCCCCTTCTGACATCCCCACCATGCCTCCTCTCCCTCCAATTCTACCCCCATACGAGTATGCTGCTGTTGAACCTTGACTGGATAGTCATTTCGCCCGAGGTGAAAACAGACATCCCTCCCTTTCAGAGAATAACTGTCTGCTCCGTAGCACCCCTTTATACTTTCAAATGACACAATTCTTCCCAGTGACAGTCGTACCACCTAAACCTCAAAAACCAATCCCATCTTCATTAGGACGTCATTATGCAAACAGCCTCTCGGCTTTCACATCGACGATCATATACCCTAAAAATTTTCCTGCGCTATAAAATCCGTTTTTAAGAAAAAAAAAAGTTTTGCTTTGTTTTTACGGCACCTGGGCACGCATTCTTTCCGCAACGGGCTGCCATCAGCGACACGTCGAGGAGCCATCTAAAGGCACTGCTTGCAACCAAGGCGAGGAGAGGATTTAATATGGCAGCCGCGAAGCACGCAGATATACATCCTGCATCGCAGCCCAGAGCAATTGCGTTCTCTCAAAACACACGCGACAGGTATAATCATAAACGGAATAAAAACATCAGGGACGAGTGTCATTCGTCTAGCCTCCAGCACACGCTCCATACTTTTGGCAACGCATTGGAGTCTGGAGGCTGGGCGACTATAAAAGCCGGAATGTGCAGAATTGTGGCCAAAGAGCTTTCCGCGACATTTAATATACGGCAAGCGTTTCGGGAACAGGGTTACTACGAAGCACCGAATTGTGCGGGCTCAACTGATCCTGCGCGAGACTGCAAAAGAAAAATAATTCCCTGACACAGCCGACGCCATGACCTAATCGGACCGATCGGATGGCGTCAAAAGCGTACCGTCACAGTGTTCATTGTGTTTTTGAATGTGTTCCGTCACTGCCGAACCAATCGTAAAGGGAAAAAGACTAGAGCCCTGTGCACTCAGTGTCGGGTGCGTCTGGATTTGGGCTGAAAGGAAGCATGTTGGCAAGATGTGGCAACATTCTGCAAAGTATCCCCGAGGCAATTTCGGCTCTACCTTACGCCAGACTGCGGCGGACGCTACGAGCCTTCCCAGCCAATTTGGCTCTTTGAACGTAGCAGGTGATACCGCACGTGCTACACTATCCGCAATCATGTGATACACGCACAGCCTTGGTTTGGCTTCGATGGCTCGCAGCATCTGCCACGACCCGACGTAAGGTGGGACAAAGTATTGACAGCAAAATTTACAAAATTAAACCCGCAATTTTTTTTTCTCTTTTTGTGTGCGTATGCAAGCGTATGTGCAAGCATCAAATTATAAACTTCCCAAGAAAATCCACATATGCGGTACGCCACGTCCGTATAGAAGATTCCGCAAAATGCGCAAACCGGAAGGCGGGGATAAGAGCTCGGCGACAGGAGCAACGCTTTTCCGTTGCGCAAACAACTTGCAACACCGCAAAAAATGCAAATGAATGAGGCATGCCTATCAAATGCAAATAAAGATTAGAGAGCCGTCGAAAGACAAAACCAGTAAGCTTCATTCAGCCGCCTATTTTGATTACAGTAAAACCTCGTTATAACAAAGTTGAAGGAGCTGTCCTAATTATTTTGTTATAACCATTAGTTTGTTATAGCCAATGTCCCTTTCTTCCCACTATAGCAAGCAAGGGGAATTACGATTGCTTTGTTATATCCATTAGTTTGTTATATCCCATTTTGTTATAACGAGGTTTTACTGTATTTACTCTTTAGAAATTGTCAAAAAAAAAGAATGAAAACAATCCGAGATCAACTTTAGTGACAAAAGTTGGAAGACAAAATGCGCGGCGAGTTTTTAGCCGAGCTGACACACAAGAATTTAATAGTGTCATGCAGCTTGACCTCGCACCTTTGTGTCACGTAACAGAATGACATTGGGCTACATAGTCTGTGTCAAGTGACGTCAAGCTGCTCGACCATCGCCATACCGACAATGTCGAGCAAACACTACACACTAAATTCGGCGGATGTGTAGCGGTTTCTCGTTGTGCCACGTCACGCTTTCCTCGAATACCAAAGCCCCCGAACACGTCGAGTTCAAAAAGTATGCGCGGGAATCGCAGAAACGACCATGGGGGAAAATGGTCCCCAAGTGCGTTAACACACCGTAGCTCGGAGTAAGTGGAGCGAAAGCTTGTGCCACTGAACCCAGCTCAGACACGAGCATTGTACTGGCCTGTTGTCGCTACCAGAGGCGTGTATACAGAGTTTGGTCAATGGGAGGCACAGGCAGAACCAGGGCATGTACCAGACGCAGAAAGTGGGCTTGACATATGCTCTCGTGGACAACCAAAGCCTAATAAAATCCCCCAGCGGTGGTAGCGAGAGACTGTGTTAATCAAAGGTATATGTTCGCATGCAATTTTAATAAGCGGATAAGCATGAGGTGTAATAACCTTTCGTGGTTGAAAATAGGGTGCACGTGTTGCTTCAATCATGATCATGCAGAAAGATGTAAGAAACGAATGCGCCACTCAACTCTTGCTCGGACAGAGTTCGACCGCTCGGACGGCAGATTCCCGGCTGTCGGCGCTTGGCGTACGGATTATGTCAATCGTTCTGCTAGTTCCACTCTTCCACTACGAATTTGGATGACCGTGACTGAAACATCACGTGCAGCATATTTCCAGTCACCGAGAGTTACTCCGACGCACTTATCAGGTTTGTTTCTCCCGACCACCGCCAGGGTATTATTTCCGGCTTCTGGTTGGCCACACTCGAATTTCTGAAGACGCCCTGGAACACGCCCAGCCCGCTTTCGGCCAATGGCGCCTCCTCATTTGTCTCCTATACTTCCCAACGAATGGCCGAACTCTCTAGACATAGGGCTCTGGTCACTACTATGTGACGCACGTTAGAGACACCGTACAAAACCCGGTACAGCAGTGGTACTGTACTGGCTAAATTTCTCATCTACGGCGTAAACCAGAGCGGCCACGCCTCGAAGGCAGATCAGCCTCACGCTGCCCATAGACAAGCATCTAAATTTTGGGCCATTTCTCCGCAAAACAAGACCCACCGGATGTGCCTCTGTCGGATGAGCACACGGGCGTGGTGGATGCTCTTGGCGAGGCCGTGCTTGAAGACCTGCGTCTGCAGACGACGCTCCAGGAAGTCCTCAATGCGGAGGCCCAGCACGTAATCGAGCTTCATCTTGTTCTCTTCGAGGACGCCCACGCGCACCAGGCGACGAAGGAGCGCATTGCCTGCGGGGAAGGGAGGCGCGTCGTCACTGTCGGTCCGGCCAGTTTGTAACGTCGCCCACAAACGAGAACTCAAACGGGGGCAGGAACAATACATCTGCATATTCGAGACGAATTTGTATGATATTACCCAGAAATGTTCGGAACCCAATCTACGGGACACGTAAACCACGATGGCGGCACGCAGAAAGCAATCCTTGGAATTCACCATTTTCGGAAATTGCGTGGTCGGGAAGTTTCAATTTACTATGTGAGCACGCACTCAAGAAAGCACAGCGCTCCCTTGAGCAAATGCTAAAAGACATGCCCCGCAGTTTTCGGACTGCCTGCGACTATGCAGCGACCTAGATGAACCCCCTCCCCAATGTCCCCCTTCCTACTGGCACTTTACCTCTCACAAGGCATCCCTGAACAGAGTGTACCCACAAGTGGTGCCAGCTCTTAAGAAAAATTGTGGAATTTATTGGGCCAGGCCAGTGGAAGCAGATGCCATGGTCGGCTGCCACACGGCGCAGCTAGCGACAAATACGGAAAAACAAATGGTGCATTCCTGCCACGAAACAATACACCTTTTCCACAAATATTGGTTCAAAGGTGAATGGACTGGTGCCCCCTCTCTCCTCCTGCTGACCAAGCAGAGAGGGAGGATGGATTCTTTGCATTGACTGCAGGGCTGACGACGACGGGGACAAGAGCGAAGTTTGGGAGAGCCGTATTTAAAAGGGATGTCGCGAACCACCCTAGGTTCGATTTCGAAAGGTTTCGATATTTGCGAAGCGAACTGAGGTTCGATTTCGAAAAATTTCGATATTTTCGTACCGACCGAGGTTCGATTTCGAAAAATTCGCAACTTTTGTCCACAGCGCAGTTTCGAATTCGAAAATTTCGAAGCTTTCACGGTTTCTAAAATTTCGAATTCGAATATTTCGAATATTTTTTTACTTCAGGTTCGATAAATTCGAAGATTTCGAAATTCTTTGTAAAAAAAATTCGAAAACTTCAAACGCTTCGAATTTTTATAGACATGAAGTTCGAACAATTCGAAGATTTCGAATTTCTTTTGGCATAAAGTTAGAAAAGTTCGAAAGTTTCGATTCTCTTTTAACGCTAAATTCAAAAAAAAAAAAAAAAAAAAAAAACTTTGAAGATTTTGAATTTTTTTTAATCCAAGTTTTCAAAGTTTGAAGTCCGATTTTCAAGTTTTTCTACAGTTTCAGTTTCAAATAACGTTTTCACGACTCACTTGTTTTCACAAAATCAAGTTTAGAAAAGTTAGGGTGTGATATCTAGATTCTGCGAAGTTGGTAAGGCAATTAAATGAGACGACGAGTGTCCCGGACGTGCTAGAATATTTGCCAGTGCAGAATTGTGACCGCCAGCCCCCCCGGGGGGGGGGGGGGGGGGGGGGGGGGGGGGGGGCGGGGGGGGTCTTTATTACGCAGTAGTGATTGCACGAACACACTGTTTTACGAGACTCATCCAGTTCGAAACGGCCAGGGGCGAGCAGGAGGTTGAGGCTCAGAGAAACCTTGAAGCGACCTAGCAAACTAGCTCGCCACCCCTTGCACGCTGGTAGTAATCCGATCCGGTGAAGTTTATAATTGTACTGGAGGTTTATTTTCTGGGACGGAGGAATCGCCTCGCAAAAACACAAAAGCCGACACAACTCGAGGTCGAGGAGCGTTCTACCATACAAGTGGCGTCGGAAGAGGAAAAACGGGGGGAAAGAGGGTAGCGGGGGGGGGGGGCTTCAGCCTTCTTCTTGCCCTTGCAGGTATTTCGGACTGTTAAAGAAAACAATACGGGGAAAGAGGGCGTGGTCGAGCTTATTTTAGTCTGAAATTATTTATGCATATGTATAGCTACTGTCGCTCTTCACTGCATAAAAGGTTGCGTAGATGGTCATTGTTAGAAACTCGTTGTCAGAAGGCACTACTCGTCACATGCTTAGTGGTTCGGAAGTTCAAAGCTGTCTTTTCGACCTAAACACCTGTGCCGATAGTAACAAAAGAAAAAAAAAAAAGAATAAATGCGGGAATAAAAAGCAGGAGAAAAAAAAAAAAAACTATCAAGAATTCGTCGGAAGTGTTCTATTCTTGCATATTCAGAGGTTCAGAACTTCGAAACAAGTTTCTTTTACCAAAATGTGTACAGGCTAAAAGAAACACGTCCCAGGAACGTGAAGTGAAAAAAAAAAAAAAAAGTTCTTTTAATGACGTGCTGAACTTGAACACTACTAGAAATCTTCTGCCATGAGTTAATTTATTCCTTAACGTGAAAAAACAATAAATATATTATTTTGTATTCTGCCGATGGCAATGATATGTACTGTCTGTGGTGTTAATTTAAAGGCGATACCTCAAACAACTCAGACGAAAGTAAATATAAAGTTTAGGTCATAATTGTATGCAGATACATGTTTGGACATTTCTTCGAAACTCACGTTGAATAACAATAATCACATCTTAAGACGGCACTTACCTACGCTATACATAGATCATTCTTTAAAAAAAAGTATAACATATCTACCATAAATAGCTCCGGCTGCAGCGTGCTTCAAATCTGGCACAAACGATAATCGTCAAAAACCCGTCGTCCGTCCTCGCCCCTTCGGGGATTTATTTCTTTAAACCTAAGCATGCCAGAACATTGAAATAAATGACAGTGTCTTTTGTAAGGAACGCAGCACCGCATGTAAAAGTTCGAGAAAAAAAATTACGAATGTACCCCACTACTTGAAATCAAATGAAACCGTCCGCCGGTCTTTCGAAGTTCGACGAACGTCGAACTTTTACCCTATAAGTTCGAAGTTCGTCGAACTTCTGACTTTTCAGAATTCGAAAGTTCGAAACTTTTCGAATTATCTTGATAAATAGGTTCGAAATTTCGAAATTTATCGAATTTTTTGGTCAGTCAAGTTCGAAAGTTCGACAAGCATTGAACCTTGCAGCGCAATAAGTTCGAAAGTTCGAAAAAGATCGAATTTTTTAGCGTAATAAGTTTGACGGTTCGAAAAGCGTCGAACTTCTTAGCTTAACAAGTTCGAAAATTCGACCTCCGTCGAATTTTACGATATAGACAATTCGAAAAATCGAAATCTTTCCAACCTTTCGAACCGCTTGATTCGATCATCGAAACTTCGATTCGAAAAAAGTTCGCGGCATCCCTAGTATTTAGGTCACAGTGTCTCAATGGGCTAACAGGATGTAGCCGACCAGGTGGTAGCACTTTTTTTTGGAAAAAAAAAAAGCAGATTGATTACGAGTGTAGGCCACAGTTTGGCAGCGCTCTCGCAAGCTTGCGCACAAAGAATAAGTGCAACATTTGCAACGTCGCGAGAGTTTCACACTGGACAACACCAAACACTCAGCTGAACTGCCGTACAGTCCCCACAGAAAGTGCACTAGTGCTCGTCAAAGTGCAGGGTGCCTGGAGGATCCATTTAAACTGAGTTCATCCAAACTTATTTTGCACGCTCCATTTAGCAAGCTGCGAGCATCGTTGCTGCTTGGTACCTTTTACAGAAAGCATAAAACAATAGAGGAAAGCAAATGATAGACCACAGTTACACCACCAGTGCCGAAATTTGCAATACAACGGTTGGCCTTTGGTTGCAACACAACACCCGAACACGAGCGGCCTAAACCCACTTTGGGGTTTAGGCCGCTCCTTGCATGTGCCAAGTGGCACGAGCTGACACCCAACACAAAAGGCACAACCACTACCGTCCGTCCGTTGCACTCCCACTCGGCCAAGAGAGGATACCTTCGAACAGCCGGCGCTGGTCCTTGTCGTCGAGGGTGAGCAGTTCTCGGGCGGCTTTCCGAATCTTGGCCAGCGTGTACTTGACACGCCACACCTCGCGCTTGTTGCGGAGTCCGTACTCTCCGATCAACTTGAGCTCCTGGTCGAGGCGCTCCTTTTCGAATGGACGACGGGGCGTCACATACGTCTTGCTGTGTACAGTTGGGATGCGACCCATATTCTAGCCTGTGGACGAACAGAAAAGAAAAATTGGGGGAAAAGGTCAAGAGAAGTGTGATATTACACAAAATTGGTGGGTTAGAAAGTTCAAAAGAGAGTCGTCTGCTTCTTCAGCAGGAGTTGCAGTGACGCCAGAACGTCGCAGAGCTTCGATTGTCTTTGAAAGGATAGATGGTAGACCCCGAGTGCTAGACACCTTGAGGTCTACCCACTACTCGTTTCAATCAGTGATTAAGAGTTTGGCGTTTTGACATCATCGCAACCCCTGTACAAAAAGCAGACAAATTCGCGCTACGCATTGCTTAGTAATATTTATCAGTGTCATTCATCAGCATACTGAATAGCAACCCGGCGAAATAGGCAAGCTCGTGGCACCGTCTGCTATGAGCTAGCACTATCGGCGAAACTGTTTTATTTCACGTTCAGCTTAGGTAAACCAGCTACCCTGAGTGTATAGAAGCTACACAAGTTTCAACCAGAATTCCAAAAAGTTAAGCTGTCCGCATGGCGAAGTAACGAGAAACGTGGGATAAAACGCAAGACGCGGTTAACTGGCGCTTTCCGTAGATAGTAACAAGCTAATCCTAATTTGTGGTCTTTCAACAATAAAAACGGTATTTTTTTTTTTATTTTTGCCTGGAATTAAAGATCACTACACAAAAGACGCCCAACCAGTCGCCACGGCGAGCAAGCGGCTGACATGCTCGGACATACGAGCCTCAAATAGTTTGTAGGTGCCCTTAAATTACTTTGAAACGCACCGCGGGCAATTGGCATGCAACGTATGAACAGGGTGACAAAGAAACATCCAGACGCAAAAAGAACGTTTAGAAGTTGGCACTGCGGGCTTGTCGGTGGCATGGAAAGCTGCATCCTCAAGACGAGCAGTAACGGGTTCTTTCTGGACGAACAGAGCATTTATAGACTTCGGTTTTGAATCAAGAGTAGCAGATCGTTAAAACTGACACAATTCTTAACTCAAGATTAGCTCCGAAACGCTTGATAGCGAAGTCGCCGCGCTTTGCGGCGACTTGAGATGAGGCTTAGCCGAGCTGTCGACAGCATGGTAAAGTTTGGGCGATTTTTGTGAGTGGATAACAAATGATCGGAGCGCAAAAATGGTTCTGAGGTGAGCCCAAATAGTTTACGAAGAGGTTAGCACCAGTCATAAAGCCGAACGTGCCGAAAAAAGCGTTCCCATCGCTTACCGAAATCACACCGCCACGTGTGGCTGGAATGGCGGATCAAAAAGGAGATCTCAACGTTTCGTTCATTTAGAGTTAACGGCCACTTGGGGGTCCAGAGAGCGCTAGTAATAAGTTGACTTTTCATGCTGACCCACAAGAAACTCAAAGTAAACCTAACATTATATATTTTAAGAAGTTACACAAAAAACTTAAAGAACTTTTAAAATATTTATTTATTAAGGCAGGTCAAGTAGTACGTTATGTTCAGTTATGTTTTACATTTGACCAATTTGACACATAATTTGCCAGTCCCTGGGTACGTCAGCAATGCTTCGATCCAAGCCAATCCAAGTGTCAATGTTCATTTTAAAATGGCTACCTCCAAGGAGCCAGACAACGTGTTCGACGTGATTTTGGGCACGTACGAAGAATTCGTGCTCGGCTACTCCCTCGAAAACCAAGGCAAGGGCAAGTACAGTCTCCGACAAACTTTCACGAACCATTCTCACCTGGGATCGGTGCGATGCATCGCCGCCAGCGGCAGGTTCGTCGCGTCGGGCAGCACCGACGAGACCGTGCGCCTGTTCAACATGCGAACGCGCTGCGAAATGGGAGCGTTGATGCAGCACGACGGCACCATAGCAGACGTTCAGTTCTACAAGTCTAGCCACCTGTTCAGCGCGAGCGAAGACAAAACGATCTGCATCTGGAACACGGGCAGCTGGCAGTGTCTCAAGACGCTGCGCGGCCACAAGGCCGACGTGACATCCCTAGCCGTCCATCCAACCGGCAAGCTGCTCTTGTCCGTGTCGAAGGACAGAACCTTACGTACGTGGAACTTGGTGAAAGGCCGCAACGCCTACATCACAAACATCAAGGTCGCCGCCGACTTCGTCGACTGGTCTCCCGCCGGAGACCACTTCGTCGTGGGTTTGGGCAAGTCCCTCGACGTTTACAGTGCCGAGAAAGCGGGGAAAGTCCACTCGATCGACTTCGGGAAGCCGTTATGTTGCGTGGCGTTCCTCACTAACGACGTTCTTGTGCTGGGAGGGGACGGTGGAAGCGTCGAGGTACACAACATCAAGAAAAAGAGCGTCTACCACATGTTTACGGCGCACTCGACTCGAGTCAAGGCCGCCGCCGTTGTGAACGTTTCGAAGAAGACCCTTCTGGTGACTGCCGGGAGCGAGGGTTCTGTCCGCGTTTGGAAGGTTAACATGAAGAAGTTGGACAATGATCCGACTCTGTTGTGCGAAGCGAAGTGTGGCTGTCGGATCACTTGCATGGCCCTGCACATGCCGGAGGTACTGCAGGAAAAGCCGAGGAAGAAAGGAAAGGAACTGGCTAAAGCAGACGATGGAAAGAAGAAAGCCAAATCAGATGACAGCAGTAGTGGTGGAGCAGACGATGGGGACGATGGAGCAGACAACGAAGATGAGGAAGCAGATGGCAGTGGGGATGATGAAGCGAACGAGAATGGAGAAGGGTATGAAGAGGGAAGCGAGGTGGATGACGAAGAAAGCGAAGATGAAGCGGACGTTGAAGGCAATGTTGACGAGCAGGCTGGGGACGAAAGCGAATGTGAACAGTCTGAGGAGCAGGAGGAGGAGGAAGAGGTTCTTGAAGATGAGACAAGTAGTGAGGAAGACCAAGAAACAAAACCACCCCTGCCGAAACGAAGGAAGATGGCCGCAAGGTGAACATTATTTGGTTTCAGCGCACACTGAATGAGTCGACGAACACACATTGAACTCTGTACATAGGCTCTATTCATAAAAAATACAATGGCACTCTTCACCACCTCAAAGTCCTGTGTCCTCGTTTCTTCATGTTTCTTTTGCCGAAGCTGTCCTGGAGAGACATTTTTGGGATGGTACAGACAGCGTTCATTTCTTCTAGTGATATCAACTATGTTTTGTGCCAACTTCTATATAAAAAAAAAAAAAAAAAAAAAAAAAAAAAAAATTGCTATAGAAAAGAAAGAAAACCCGAGCCACGCATTTCTTTTATGTTTTTTCGGTCTTTTGCTGAGCTTCTTCCTTGAGTTCTGCTATGGACTTGCGCATGTTCTCTGGTTCATACTGCTCCCACGGATGACGTGGCAAGTCCATCTTGGTGTTCTTGAGCCAGGCGTCGTAGACTTTTCTGAACTCAGCGTAGCCGCTTTCCGAGGCCTCTGTCACAAACCTAGAAGTGGTCCCTTTCTCCTGGAAAAAACAAACACAAGTTATTAGGATTTCATTGGCTAGTATAGAAGGGACGGGACGTTGCACTGACGCTAAGTTTGAGCTCTGCACATTGCGTCGCATGGTACAAGCATGTTAACGTGTAGCGCTTGCAGTCCCAAAGCCTCCTCACCACAACGTAATTTTAAAAAAGTACAGTAGTCTTTGCTGACATGACTGCACTGCTTGCAGCACCACATGGTACACCCGGTACTGTGAGAAGCTTATTGGACAGTCTCAAACTTTTGGCTGCAAAAAGGGTTTTCAAGTTAACAGACCCCACATACATTTAGATGAGTTTTGTTCATTGCATACTAATATGAAAAACAATGCAAAACAGCAATGCTGCTTTGCCCTTCTAAAAAACAACAACGACGCAGTACCGTGGAAGAGGGACTGGCAGTACGAAAAAGGCGAAGAGCTGCAATGTATCTCCTCGGGGACTGCACATTGCCCCCGGGCCAGCCTCGGCCTAGATTCAAACTGGTGCAGACTCGCAAGCGGCGACGTGTACCTCCATCGTGTTGTCGCAGGCAAACACTATGCGTCTCCGACTGGTGTGCTTAGCGGACCCGTAGCGTCGTGTTGTCGGATGTCCCGCGAAAAACGACAAGCAGACGCAAGTGTCACCGTCGTCGTGGCGTCCCAACTCATGGCTGCTGAAGCTTTCGTGTATTGTCGAGCCGGGGGGCGACAGACGGAAGAACGGGCATCTGCCACGTCCACGTCCACCACACCCTCGTCGCCAAGATCGCGACGAGGGTGTGGTGTGAGATGAGTGTCCTTGGGTCACAAAGGGGGTTTAGAAGATTGGGGGAAGAAGGTCGTCTAACGAAAGCTGAATGACGTACGGCTGACTAGCACGGTTGGGGACGGGCGAGACAAAGGAAAATTGAGACTCCCACTTGCGTGACTCTGGCCCAAAGTCTCGACCCTGTCTCCCAGTGGGCCCGGTGTTGGTGTGAAGCCGACGGGGTTCAATCAGAGAAAAATCGGCGACTCCCTCGCCGGGGAAGGAGGCGGGGGTGTTGTTTTTATTTTATTTGCCCGATCCCCCCAAAGTCATTCTAGCGGTATCCCACACTGCCTGGTGATATAGTTACAAAAATGCAAAGGGAAAGGAAATTGGCTTATACTTTGTTTCAGCTTATGAAACATGCAATGAAAAAAAGAATTCTTTTTGGGGACACATATATTAAAATAAAAGTTTTACACAAAAAAAAAAAAAATGTAAGCAATATTTACACTGCTAGACGCAATTTAGGTGCAGAATGTGGAGGTCGCAGCCCGCTAAGCCCTGCCATGTGCTTTCATCTCATTGGCTGGAGAGATGATTGACATGTGAAAGGTTGGTTGCAAGTGTGTATCTTTGTGCCATGATAGTACATTAATCGACTATATTTTTAAGTTTGAGTAGCAAATTATCAAGATAGAGTCATAATTTTTTTCAAACGTATTCTGAGATTGCTTCTCCCACTTTGGTCGGAAACGTTAACAAATATGGCTGTTGGCGTCTGCCAACGCTACTAGAACCACTCAGTTGGGACACTGCCATAGAGCCAGCTCTGAAAAAGTGGCACCGATCCGTACTCGAGAACTGAGCTAATGGCGATCACAACACCGCCATTTCTCCTGCAGCGGACACGTGGGGAACTGCACGTGACTTCTATTTTGGCTTTAATCTACCATTTTGGCGCCAAAACAGATACAGCAGAAGAGGTTACAGGGGTGCCACCCCCGTCTCCCAAGAAGACATGCCACGAATTACTACCCAAGTTAGGATGCGCCTAGGTCGGGACGCGCTACCTGAAATCACCGTTGAGACATGGTTGTATAAAAACAATATTAATTGTGCCGCAATACCTTGCAAACTAAAGATTTTAGAAAACATCACGCGCTCCTCATTTTGTATTAAACTCCAATAAAAGTTACTACAAAAAGAGTTTCTTCTGTTTGATTGCTTTTATGCAAAAACATGCTTTTTAGAAGCTCAAGGTGACCACAGTAAAGACAAAAGATTAAGAGTGGCAGTGTTGTTGTATTTAGCTCGGACTTGGTGGACGCCAGCGGCCCAGGTTTCAACAGTGAGTTCCCCAACTAAGTGTTCCAGTAACGTTAGCGTCTGCGAAGTGCTGAACGAGCGTAGCTCGTTGAGTTTGTCAATTTTTATGAGTGCGGGTTGTTTTGTGTTCACAGAGGTGTGAAGACACCTCTGTTAAACAACTGTCGCAAGATCGCGCCTTCGGAAGCGCTATGCAGGTGATTGTTTTCGTAGCAGGACTGGCCTAAGCCTAGCATCCAACCACATCAACTATCTTGATCGATCTGGCTTGATTTCTTTCTTTACACGTATTGATGCTGAATAAAGAGTTGGTTTCTGTAAATGCCGCCATGCTGCTCTGTGAATTGTGTAACGGTCGTGATTGGGACCATAGTTTCAATGCCGAGATGATACCTACATAAGTAAGAATTTGCGAGCCACTTGTCTGGAGGCAATCGGGCATTCGACTCTTATCAAGTTAGTCCAGGTATCTTCTTGTCATTTCTCTTCGAAAGGAAACTAGCTCTCAAGTTTTGCAGTGCACCTGACCTGCTAAAGCGAACAATTTTAGAACATTAAAAGTTGAAATGACTGCATATTCATTTTGTTGATTTTCTTAGTCCTCTTCGTCGCTTTTTACCGCACATCGACAGACGGTGACATACGCTTGTATTGCGCTGAAAAAAGCTTTTAGACGGGCGCAAGATAGCAGACAACCGAAGGTGAAAACGGAACCAGGAGGCAACGTTCATATCTGCGTCCTATGGCTTGGCTGACGACAATGGACGGTGGTGAAATAGCAGACGATGCCGGAGCCTGCCGCGTGTCTGCTCGCACAACTAGCACGCATTGTCAGACGCCAGACTAGACGTGCCAGATGCTGCAAAAAGGAGACAGCAGGCTTGTTGGCGTGTTCGGCCGAGCAGCCAAGCCAGTCCAGTGGTAACAGGCGGTGCAACTGATTCGTGGCTGGGGCATAAAGCGGTCCGTGACCTCCACCTAAATCGTGTCTCACAGCAAAAAAAAAAAAAAAATTCTGTTTTTTTTGTTTTGGGTTTATAGGAAAATATTTAAAAAATTCAAAAAAAAAAAATGATTGCAGTGATTTTGTTTAAATGCAGCCAATGCTATAAGCCAATGGGATCAATCAAGCAGCGTCAAAAGTCCCAATTGCTAGGTCTTTTCTGTTGATGACTAGTTCAGCGACCATAGAACAGATAAAGAAGCATGACTGACACAATAACGGTGTGCTTTTAATACTGTCTGAGAAGTCCACCAGCTCGTAGAGTCGGCTGCATCTGGACTTAAGACAAAATGAAGGATAGAAGGGTAAGGGGAGGAATCACACTTTTCATTCTTTGGTTTTAAGGCCAGGTGGTGCAACCTTCTGCCCGTTATAAAGGGTACAGCCACTAGCATCCGTCCATCCATGAGCAGAAATCAAAGGACCACAAATGAGAAGGTGGGTGATTTCAGATAAGATCGACCAAAGGGTGGCTGGTCGACATTTTTAAATCAAATGATGTTTTTATATGACATTGTCTAGTGTCTGGTATAAACGAATCCACACTTAGTTTTGACCAGAAAAAAAATGTGGAGACAAGAAAAATCGTAAGGCAGGGAGAGGTGGACAGTAGCAATAACGCGCACTGATGGAGGGGGCAAGTTTGAAAGTGAATAATTAAAACAATAAAATTAGGAGAATTTTAAAACTTTTTACAAACAAACTATGGGTACAACTTGCTTGTAATATAAAGTAATAATATTTATTAAAAATTTATTTAGTTTTCTAAAAATTGCCAAACATGCCTGCTCGAACGACAAATGGCAAACTTTGGAAATCTGTATCTCATGAAATAATTTAATCATTATTACATAACTTGCAGACATTATTTTACTAATATATGGCTATTATTGAAAAAATAAATAAGGTATCTGAGTGACACAATAGTTACAATATATTTAGGCAAACATGGGAAAAAAATCAAACAAAGAAAAATTCCAATGCGAATAAAAAAAAAACACCACCTTAGATTTTTTTTAAATTTGGGTACCCTGTTATACTCTATTTCGGCATTCATTTCTATTAAAAACATGTTGCATCATTGCACTGTGAAAGAAGAAACAACTCCCCAAAGTAGGGTCCTTTTTCAAAGCATACACTTAGCAGTGTCCTATACAAGAAGTGACTCTGAGTTCCAGTTTCATGAAACTTGCACAAATCTTTTATATACATTTATTCAGATGAGGTCATTGATAAAAAGAGCGATCGGTCACACAGTAAAAGGGAGGAGAAACTATATACAGCATTTTACATAAGCGTACAAAGTGGTATCATATTAGAGACTAATGATTTGAGAAAAGATGATGCAGTGTGAAGTTGTACCTTCCGGTATATTTTACATCTAGAGTAAAATAAATAACTTTACTTCCACACACAAAAACAAAGATATAATAGTAAGATATTTAGGTTGGCTGTGTATTTACGATTACAAACAATTTCAGGTGACGGATGCCATAGTGCCTAACTGGAGCAGCTTCGATGCTCTCGGTGTATGAATGAATCGTGGCAAGCCAATATAGTTTATCCTGCTCGAGGATAACATTTTGGGATTTTTTTTTATAGTGATCAGATAAAAATTATTAGTAACCACCAACAAAAACAGTAGGTTAAATACCCCGTGAAGAAAAATGTGATAAATAAGATGTCCCTGCATTCAAAATGAGCAGTCCTTGGGAAATCAAATTCGGCACTTTACGCTAAGGTTTTCCTCGCTGTACCCATTTAATAAAGTTGCTTCCAAGCAGATCCGACTGTCCGTGCTACATATACGTCACAGGTCCCTTCTGTTGATGACTTGCTGAGCCGCCACGCGTGCCAAGACTGAATGCCAGGGAAGGCGCGCACCGTCAGCCACTCTTCTTTTTTTTGTTCACGATACCGAACAACCTCATTTTCGTCCAGATATACAAGATGCACGCCTTTCAGTTTCTTTGATAGAACGCTCACCATTGTCCTGGCCGTCTGAATTGCACTTACTGAACGTTCTCTCAGGTTGTTCAGCGTGGCCTGGTGCTTCACGAGTCCGCCAACTCCGTCACATGCATTTTTCCCATGTCCAGATGCAGAAAATAACCACTGGGCTTGTGGGCAATCGTGCTTTGCAAATTAGTGAAGCTGGTAGCGATTCTTGAAATGACTGGCGGCGCCGTCACTTACGTACGTCATGTACGAGTATACCGCAACGTTGTCTTCAACCCACTCCTTCACTTTTTCTAGAGCCAAGCAAGCGTGAGCGGCGTCGTGACACAGGTCCTCACTGATGATGGCAAAGCTGTTTGTAGATTTTCTTGTCGTCACTACACATGTAAATATCGAAACTTGTTTTTTTTTCCAGTGATATGCTTGCACTTTGTCAGGAAGCACGATGGTCCAGTTTTCAGCAAAGTCAAAATGAAAGACAATGCTCCCGCGTTGCATGCACTGTTTTTCATCGTAGATCGCTTTACCTTGCGTTTGCCGGATATGGTTGTGAAGTACCCAACTTCCAACCGTCACTTGGATGACTTTTAGGAAAGTCTCAGGTTCCAAAGTTTTTTTCACAACGTCGCCAGACTCCCATGTTGCAAGCACAATCTCTTCATCCTCCGGGATATCAAGTTCCTGGAGTGTAAGAAACTGGCCTTTTGGGCAGTGATCACAGTCTCCTTGAAGGCACAGTTCTGTTGCTGGGTCGCACAGAAATGCCGAGTTCATTTCACCAGTGTTGAATGTTGAGCCTGTAACGTTCTCTAGAGCGGCAGTACAAAGATAATAATTGGCGCAGCGCACACAAACGCACACTTCCTGGTGTGGAATACATTGGACCCATCTAGGGCGCAACGAATAAAATTTTGTTAGCCCAACGCCGGAATCGGGATGCTTGTCTTTGTATATACGGAAGGCCTCTCGTATTGAGCGTGTCATGAAGCGCTTTGGCACGAACGTTTTCTCTCCGTTGAGCATGACAGAGATGACGTCCTTCTGGTTGGGACTTTGGCGCGAACATTGTAGATCGTCTTTTGTGAAGTACTCTAGGGCAGCAGACAGGTTCTCAGGGCTCCCCTTGCACCTCGTGTAAGGATCCGGCTCATACCACACGCCATGCTTTTCCTCGAGTTTTCGGGATTTACTGATGAGGTACACTGAGGCCTGTGGAATCATCTTTTGAACCTCACTCTTCGTCAGTGTTGACGGCAGGAGTGTAAGCAGTTGACAACGTTCCCGGAGAGAGATGGCGGTTTCAAAGGCCTGCCAAAAGTTGTCCACCCACTCAGTGCATGTGGAGCATGTTGGTTCGGACGACCCCGATGGTGCGTCCCTGTCGTACGCAATACGTAGCCTTGAGCGTATATTCTTGACAGCAACCTGCTCCAGTTCTGTCTGCTTTCTCTTGACATAGGCAGGCCTGTCCCGACTTCTTACGACGCTTGGTTGTCTCAGCGGCGACACATCTGTAGGTAGTATGCTGCGATTTAGATCTTCAATTGCTTCTTCAGCTGGCACAAATATGTCAGGGCACTGCTCTGAGCTTCGCATCGAGATCTCCTTAGTGATGTGCATGAAGCAATGGTAGCACAGGTAGTCCGTCGCACTCGCTTTGGTGGAACAGTCAGGCGGAAGAATTTGCTTCAACGAGTTTAGGTCCAACTCGCCAACACTTCGAAAATTCCGCTGCTTTGGTATAGTCTTTTTGTGTTTGCAAAAGTAATATGCACAAAACACTCGTTCGGAGCTCCAGGACGTCTTCATAATGTCTACATAAATAATAGAAATTAAACCCCAACTGATGGCATATAATTGCCAAGTGAAAGAACTACTGGGTGCACAAGTGACAAGTCCGAGGCTGAGGAGCTCACTCACTGCAAACATACATTTGAAAAGAGAGGTCACAACTGAGGCTGTCGGCAAAGCTTGATCCACGTCAAAGGAAGAAAGAGGGAAAGTCTCCAGACAAAAAATTGTGGTCAGCGGCCTTCGAAAAAGACTTTCCGGAATCGCACTGTCGTCCCTCCACGCGCTGATATGAAAGCACCCGAGCTTCTACCACGCGGTTCATGACACAGCCCGAGCCATGTCGGCGACCGGTTCGCGAGGGGTTGGCGGTGGGGTTACGTTGATGGTCACTCGGATTAGCCCTTGCTGTACTGAGCTACCGCCTGCAGTGCCTTATCGCCGCTGGTGTCAACTACAAGAACACACACACCCTGTCTACACCAAAACTACAAGCGTTCACCGCACACGCGTCGCCGCCGCTTTTAAGCTTTTGTGAAATTGCTTTCTTTTGCCGCGGAGAACCGCCTTATCTTAACTACGCGCCTGAAATCCTTCCAGGCGGGCGTACACAATATCAAGCGTTTTGAGAAATGCCCGTGGAGTAGAACTATGGGAAAATTCGGAGCCCGCAATGTCGATATCGTCGCCGTTGTGTTAGTACGCCGTCGCGTACTGCAGTCCCCCGTTGGGGGAGGGGGGGGGGGGGGGGGGGGCGGTCTTACTACGATAACATGGCGACAGCGTTTACACTCTATGTATTTACGCGAGGCTCGAGTATTTGGGGATAATGCTGCCGGTTGGTGTGCCCCTTTGTGCCTGATATTATCGCCCGTGACGCCAGCGAGTGAGATGGCGACAGGCATGACTGCTCAGTAAACAGGCGTCGGCGGCCATGTTTTGCTGGTTGAAGCGAACCCCCTTGTCCTTGACAGCGAGCGGGGAAATGCGAAAAAAAGATTGTATCGGCCGTTTTGCCAGAATTAGCGACGAGTGTCGTCTGCGGTTTCCGGCAACTATTTTGCCATAATCGTGAGCTTAGCGAGGAAATGATTTTTGCTAGCCACAGAACACTACCACGCAGAAAGGGAATGCTTGAACATGTTTTTGTTCTGGATATATATCAGGGATATATATGAGAGAGAGAGAGAGAGAGAGATGAAGGTAGAGCGGAAGAGGGAATAGCATATAGTGTCGCAGGAGAATAAAGTAAACAAAGTTCCTAGTGGCCGATGGCTGCATGATCTTTTCTCGGATCACTAGTCCGTAATATGGTACCTCTTTGTACACAGTAGTTTCTCCTTAATTTAAGTGTGTGAACGATTTCTTTAGTTATCATTGGCCTCATCTGAATAAATATATATAAAAGATGTGTGTTGGTTTCATGAAGCTGGAACTCAGAGTCAGTTCTTGTATAAAACACTGCTAAGTGTAGGCTTTGAAAAAGGACCCTACTTTGTGGAGTTGTATCTTCTTTCTCAATAAAATGATGCAACATGTTCTTAATGGAAATGAATGCCGAAATAGAGTATAACAGGTTACCTAAATTTAAGAAAAATCGAGGGTGGTGTTTTTTTTTTATTCGCATCGTAATTTTTCTTTGTTTGATTTTTTTTCCATGTTTGACTAAATATATCCTAACTATTGTATCACACAGATACCTTAGTTATTTTTTAAATATTAGCTATATATTAGTAGAATAATATCTGCAAATTATATCATAATGATTAAATTATTTCATGAGATACAGACCTCCAAAGTTTGCCATTTGTCGTTCGAGCAGGCATGTTTGTCAATTTTTAGAAAAATAAATAAATTTTAAATAAATATGATTACTTTATATTACATCAAGCTATACCCATAGTTTGCGCCTAAAACGTATTAGGGTTCTCCTAATGTTATCGCTTTGGTTATTCACTCTCAAACGAGCCCCCTCCATCAGTGCGCGTTAATGCAACTGTCCACCACCTCATGCCTTACGATTTTTCCTGTCCCCAAGTATTTTTTCTAGTCAAAACTAAGTTTGGATTCGTTCATACCAGACACTAGACAATAACATATAAAAACATCAGTTGATTTGAAAATGTCGACTAGCCATCCTTTGGTCGATCTTATCTGAAATCACCCAGGTGCAAACACACCAGTCGCAGACGCGTTGTAAGTGCTGTAACCGTAGCGAGGACAACGAATCGCATTCGGCCTCAAACTCGGAAGGACGCACCTTCTTGAGCAGCATCTGCCGCATCTTGGCGTCGGCCTTGCCGATGGAGCGCAGCGCCGTCGTACTGACGGCAATTCCCTCCTGCTCGCCGAACCGCATCAGGTCGAGCAGGAACCAGAAGTTGAAGCGGTAGCAGGCGTTGTTCACCAGGGTGCCCCAGGTCTCCTCGTTCACCCGCAGCCCTGCCGCCTGCAAGGCCGTTGCGTCGGAAGGAATGGGGGACCGAAGCCGAAGCAGACGCTTCACTCTCTGCTTTTGCTCGCTTCCTCCTCCACGAAAGTCTCTCCCTCTTTCACCCGCTTCTCTCGTGAGGGATTGATTAACCTTTTAAGCTGTTTCTAGTTTTTGGGAATTTTTGACCCTCAACTGCTTCACCCTTTGTTGACGGGTGTTGCCTACAGGCGGCAAACCACGTAATAATATTTTTTGTTTAAAAGTTTCGGTTTTATCACATTTTTTCTTAAATCTCGTAGTCTCGCAACAGTCCTGAAGACAGAAGCTACAGCACCATCTATTAAAAACATAAGCAAAAAAGTGAAAGCCGTTTACAACTTCCTGTAACGCCGAATTGGAGCGCAGCTCTTGAGGAGGAGGAGTGGAGGGTATATTCCTCCTCCTCCCTCGTGATCATGCCTGCTAGTCCTCCTCCCCTCCTGCTCCCCCTCCCTCTCCTTTACCACCTCCTCGTCCTTCAAGCTCCTCCCCTCCCCTCGCCTCCGCCTCCTCGTCTCTCCTCCCCCCCTCCTCCACCTTCGTACTGCTTTCCTCCTTGCCGCTCAAGCCGGACAATGAGGGGAGGAGGAGGAGAAGGAGGGGGAGGAGGAGGAGGAAGAGGGGGGGAGGAGGAGGGGAGGAGAAGGGGGAGGAGGAGGAGGGGAGGAGGAGGGGGAGGAGGAGAGGGAGGAGGAGGAGAGGGAGGGGCGCGGTTACGCCGACGCCGACGCCGACGGCGACGGCGACGCCGACGGCGACGCCGACGCCAACGGCGACGCCGCTCAGGCTGGAAACGGGCCCCTAAGAGCTGCGCTCTAATAGTTGACAAAAAAAAAAGTTTCGTGCGCAAATACCCAGCGACCGAGAACGGCGAAACGGCAAGAAATATGAATAGGTGTTTTTATTTTTTGCCACTAATATTTTACGACAGGTGACCATTTTACTTGAGGCTATCGTACGCGCAGATATTATTGACTTTTTGTAATGATTCGCAGAGGTTACGCAAGGAAGCCACTTTTGGAATTTTGCCTGGTGTTGCCCACAGTCAACAAAGATATAACTTGAAACTTTACCTTAAGCTCCTTTTTTTTAAATTTCAGTTCTGTTCTTTTATTTGATCTTGTTAAACAATTATATCTTAAAACCAAATGTGTTGCCTTCAATATCATATTTCTAGCCACAAAAAGAATAGAAGCACAACTAAAAAAAAAAATATTTGGTGCTGCCATTTGTTGGCAGAGCCGCAAACTCAAGGCCCGTTCACACACTTGCAACTTCTTAAAGGGACCACCCCCCAAATATTTTTTTTTTCCATTTTTTGCCAGGCAATTTATTATGGTGTCGGAATACTACCCAATTAATTTAGCAAAAAAATGCAACTGCTTGGAACCGAAACTCCCGCACCGCATGGAGAAGTGGAGAGGAGAGTGTGAATGACGGAAGTCACGTGGCTACACCCAACCGTGCGATTTTTTCTTTTCTTTTTTTTTTTCTTCTTCCGTGAGCAGCAGACGAAATGCGTTCTGGGATCCGTTCGTCGTGCGATTCCTTTGCAGTTATGTTTGTTCCGCTCGCTGTTCTGTACTTCAAGATGAGTTGTTCGGCTCCAAAAAGAATACTCCCAAGATGTTGCGTGAAGAGCTGCCTCACATGTCCTGCATCTGAAAGTGGCATATTGTGCGACAGAGTGCACAAGTTTCCGAAAGATCAACGGGTCGGGATCAATGGCTGGCTGCATTTCCTGTAGAACAGTTACAGGAACCTCGGAAAGCAGATACTACCCGATTCATTTGCTCCTTGCATTTTGTGGAAAGTGACTACATTGAGTTCGCAGGTGTCAAAAATGGAATCCCATACCACTTAGTTCAGTGACGTATCGTCCACAACAATTGTTTTTTTCAATGATAATTGTAAAAAAAAAATAGAAATGTAAACATAGAAAAATGTTTGAAAAACAAAACAAAAATGTACGCCCTTACAAGGGATCGAACCCGTGCCCGCTGCGTGTGAGGAAGACATCTTCCCACTGAGCTACTGAAGGAACTCTTTCGTTCACAGTAATGCAGCGGGTCGACATTATGTCGGAAAGTTTGCTGTCGATTTCCCTCCGGTGCATGCACTCCCGGCTTGAAGTCGGGCAGCACCACGCATTGGCCACATTCGCACCTGGTAAAGGACCCGTACGCGTGCATATTCAATTCGAAGTATGCACTTCGTGCCTGACGTTTGAGCGAGCAACGGCTCACCGACGTCTTCGTGCAATCGGCTTGCTGGTCGGGCGTGTCGTACGGGATGAATATCAATTCTTTTGATCAGTCCAAAATTTCTCTTTCAAAGGAAGAAAGAATTCGCCGGTACCGTGAACGACGGTTCTTGAGTAGAGGTCCCACGCCCGTCGTCCGCTGCCACCCGTGAGTCCCACGAAACGACGACATGTTGAGAATTATGCAGTGAATGCACAGAATGCTTCCGGTTGTCTGTGCAACCTTTTTTTTTTCAATCAACGTACAGTGTAGACCGCATATAACGTATGTCTCGGGAGTCGCGAAAATCCGCACTATAAGCGGTACCGCACTATAACCAAAACATCAATTTTTCAGGCCAAAATACATGCCATGAGACAACTTACCTTTGTAAAAGAATTTATTTTATGTTAGATGAAAAAATAAGCTTAGTTTGAGGAAAGTCTTTATTTCAATAGACTAGTGCAGTTACGTCTCAAGTGTGTCACACATTTTAAAAGAAATTAGCGGCTTTTGCCTGGCGCAGCCTTTTAACGGCGTCGCGGGTTGCGGACGGACGTCGCGAGCGTTCAAGATTGCTAACCCTAATCACTTTTCTCCGGAGACGAAATTGCGTGAAAATTCGCATCCTTCATACGGTACGCGCCAGTACTACCTTGAACTTGAGCACACGCATAAAATGCGCCAAATAAGAAATCCGGGCGATGTTCGAGGACACAAATGCTTAGTAATCACCACTGTAGTCCAAGTAAACAAACACGACGACACGGGCGTTTCTGCTGTTTTGAGAGCGCCGCCACGACATCGCCGCACGAGTAGGTGGATCTTCCCTTCTAGTACGCGCTGGGTTATAGCGACACACAACGAAAATTCAGAGTCAAGGATAGCGCTTTTACGCAGAACGATGAGATGCATGCCGTCTACGACGACGATCACAACCGACGCCCGCGACCGGCATGGAATGCGCGCGAACACTTCTCCTCGACCTGGGATTGGTCTGTCGTTGCGGTTGTTTGTTTCTTTGTTTCCAACGCAGCGGAGGGACGCACGCACGTGAACGACTCGTGCGTGCGTCCCTCCGTCGCTATGGCAACTGAAGCCTCTCTCTTCGCTTCTCCCCGCGTTTTCCAGCAACCTCCTTGCCCCGCTAGTGCAGTTTGTGGCTCGCGCCGTCAGCGCCGTTATCCAGTGTCGCCCAGGGAAGCGAGCTCGCTGCTCCGGTCATCGGCGCGGTCGGCGGGCAGTGCTAAAAACCGCACTATAACCGTTATTTCCCTTCGCGCGCCTGCATTTTAAGCGGTATGTAATTACATGGAGTTCTATGGGAGGTGAACCGGTGGTTTAAAAAAACCGCGTTATACCCGGTCCTGCACTATAAGCGGTTACGTTGTAAGTGGTCAATACTGTATTTGCAGCTTCTTGGAAGACACAAAAAATGGGTTTCATATTTTTTTCTATTTTTGGTACTGACTGTGTGCCTTGAATGACCCACGACTTTGATTAAATTTGGTGGTTGCGTCTAAACCTTAGAGAATGGCCCGCAACCACAGAAAAGAGAGTGAGCGCGACTCAAACCGGCCAGTTCTTGATCGGCGATTTTCGGGCGGAAAGAAAACAAATTTCGAGCCGCAAATTCTCTTCTGGGTAGTTGGGCTCTCATATGTCATGTACAACTAAAAACCTCGGCGAGCATTAATACCCTGTCAGTGTCCCTTTAAGACCAAGTGCCTTGGAATTTCTTAATATCTCTTACAATGAGAGGACACACTGGCTCCATCTATTGGGTAGCAGTGGAAACTTGGCAGTCACGCATAATTTCTATTTCTCTCGCACATCATCCCTTCTTTCTTGACTCGAAAAACTTTTGCCAACGTTATAAACAATCATTTCTCATAGGTATTATGCACATTTGACTTCGTAAATCCAGCAAAACCTTCACTCTAGTGAAATGCAGTTCCAGGGTCACCACATAGATGATGCCAGTGTGTTCTCTTGTTCAAAGAAATTCTAAGAGGTTTCAAGACACTCAGTTCTAAGGAGTTGCAAGTGTGTGAACAGAACTTAAGCCACGAGCGAGCCTGGTTCGTCCCAAACGGTTGAGTGCGCGAACTGGAGAAAGCAGACTAGCTACACTCGTTCTGAACGGTTTGGGGACGGCTTTAAGTTGACGAGCTAGGCTCGTACGAAACAGTTAAGGGGTTAACACATTCTAAATGATGAGGCTGTCACTTTAACTTTAACCATGTTGAGCAAACTGTGTTTTTAGCCAGGAGCTTCTTTTCTGCCGAGTAATCCAAAGAAAACTTGCGTGACGATCACACGACGTGATGCGTTTAGACAATGACAGCTGCGCTGCCTGTTTGACGATATGGCGATGACGATCCATTGACATTGCGCCAATCGTGCGTCATACGGTGGTCTGATATTGAAATGATGTTGCATTGATTTAGCATCGACACGTTGATGAATAAATGATTTTAAGGTTGTCATGTGTTTTCTTGCCAAATTTTGCGGGGAAACTGAATTGGTGCATAGGTCCTGCGACGCCAATTTATCTGCTCAATTTATCGGGGATACCAAATTTGTCTGTAGGTCCCGTGATGTCAGGTCATGCGACAATTTTACCGCCAAGTTAGCGGGAATTGGTGCTTAGGTCACATGACGTCAATTTGTCCGCGAAATTTAGCAGGGAAACGGACGGCATTTACGCTTACGCTGTCACGAAATCGGAGAACAGGCCACTAACAGCTGTCGCTGTAAAAAAATCATGAGCCATCCCACTCTGTAAAGGTGGATGACCAGCGAAGCTGTTTATCAGATGACACAGATCCGCCCCGAGGAGCTGGAGGAGACTAGACACCCGCGACGGGACCACCACCCGGCGGAAAGTAGACACGCGTGACAAGACAGCCACCCCTGGAGAGCGGAAGGAAACTAGGCATGCAAGCGCTTGGAACGACGACAAAGAGAGGGTGGTGCGAGCTAGACATGGCCAACGCGGGTCACACAGCGGCAAATCTTTTAGAAGCCTTTAATACATACCTGAGTATCTACTGATCTTAAAAATAATGCCTATTAATAACTTATATACTGAAAATGCATATCCAGGTGATGAGACTTATAAGCTTTTGCACAGAATGAAGCGATTTTGCATCAAGTTCGGGACCTGGGATTTCGTTGATGCACACGAGAAATCGACGGAACCCTAGCCATAAACAGCTTCGCGGTAAAAGACCGACTATGTTCACTTATCCAACGGCCCCTACGGACGCCTCTGGAAGCTTGGGACTGGTGCTTCCCGACTCTGCGAGTCCCGATCATCCCAATCCCCGCTACGCCCAACAGTCGGTGAGCTCTGCCTCTTGACTCGGAGAGCGGCACAAAGTGCCATATTCTGAGCCAATCCGGTGACTCTCGAAGACGCCCACTTGCTTACCTTCATAGAATCGAGGAACTCTCTGCCCTCCTTCTTTGAGAAGATGCTCAGGGCCGTGACTCCGAATGTGATGACGTCCGGGTGCAGGCCACGGCTCCTGATGAGCTCCAGGACGTCCTGGAGGTACATGTGGGTCACAGTTTGTCTCGTATAGGAATGTTCCTTCTAGCAATATCTCGGTTAGTTCTGGTGTTCCACAGGGATCGGTTTTAAGACCTCTTTTATTTTAACTTGATATTAATGATGTTGCAAATGGTCTTCCAGTAAAATTGGCTGTATGCAGATGATTGCGTTTTGTACAACGAAATCGACTCGGTAGATGACCATGCCTTGCTAGACGGCTCTTTTGTACAGTTTTTAATTGGAGTCGGAAGTGGCAGATGGAAATTAGTTTTGAGGAATCTGTCGTTATGACATTTATTGTTAAGAAGTAACCGTCTTTTTTTTAAGTATGGTACAGGTAAAATGATTCTGCGTCCAATCCATGAATACAAGTATTTCGGTATTTTATTCACGCCTAGTATCAAATAGGATAAGCACATTAGTTCTATCTGTTCTTGTGGTCTGCAAAGGCTAGGATATGTCAAAAGAACCTTTAAATCTGTAACTAAGGAAGTTAAAATAACGGCGTATAAGACCTAGATTAGACCTATCTTAGAGTATGGTTATGTGGCGCGAGATCCGTATCCAAAGGATGATATTAAGCAGATTGACGCATTACAAGCAAAGGCAACTAGATCTATTTAAATTAAATATGACTGCAATTTTTCTCCTACATCTTTCATGACTGACATAGAACTTATGCCTTCCGACTCTAGACGCGCTGTAGAACGACTTAAGCTTAAACACAAAATAGTGAATAACTGTGTGCTTAATCGGTAAAATATATATTGGTTTTGTTACACATAACGCACTTGAAGCTTCCCTCCTTTAAATATTGTACCGTACAGAGCCCACCTTAACTGTTTTAAATGTTCTTTTTTTTCCTCAAACAACAGAAAACTGGAACATAAATGAATCCGTTTGTTTTCTCAATTCAGATAGATTTTTATTAGAAATACAGTAGGTTCCTTGGTATGGTGCCTGTGAGTCTACTAGTGAAGTGTATGTGATTGTTTTTGTACTCTTTTTCAACTATATTGCATTTTGCACGGCTTTTTTAGTTATGTTCCATAGGGTGTTTGCCTTTCTGAATGTATATGCATGTTTTCTTTCCACTCCTGCAATGACCTTATCGAGGTTGCAGTATTTTGAAATGAATAAATAAATAAGCATTGAATCCTTTATTGCCCAGACTAATGGTTATAAAATCGATCACTGCCACAGAGCCATTGTTTAGTGATTAACACAGACACTACTGGTTGTGCAAGTGACTACTCCCGCAACACCAACATCTCGTAATTAACGCCCAGACTAATGAGAGTAGAACTGATTACTGCAGCAAGACCATCATTGAATAAATTAATCTGATAATCGTTATTGCCGGCGTATTCTAGCGAATCTCGCATGTTTCATGACGGGCAGCGACATCACGAGACAAACTTCCCGCTAAATTTAGAGGGGATGTTGCAACATCACATGACGTCACAATGTTATTGTCACACCAAATTAAATTTAGCGGGGCCTAAGGGCAGTAAATTTGGAAGCGGCAGTGCAAATGTATACGACAGAGCGTGCAGCGCCTTGGTTGTTGCCACAGTTCCTCCCAAAATCTTTTTACTTCTACCGTTGTACGCGTTACTGGTTCCCACAACAAAACCGCAGCGAGCGTCGGCTCACCCGCGCCTGCTCCCTGTCTCCACGGAGTGCCCTACGCTTGATGAGCATGTTGAAGAAGTCGACGTCGAGCTTGACGCCCATCTTGTCCGCCTCTCCGATGAGCTCCACCTCGGAGTCGCAGTCCGCCGGCAGGCAGTCGAGCAGCAGCGTGATGGTCTTGGCGTCGGGGCGCACGCACATGTCGCGCAGGTGGTCCATGATCCCCGGCACGCCGCCGCACACCATCAACCTGCCGGTGTGAAACCGTGATGTGGTGTGCAGAAACCCCCAAACCGGGATGCTGAAATGAATCCACACTAGAAACCGGATTAAAACCATTATTTTTAAGGGAAAAGAAACAAAACCGAAACTGAAATCTAACATCCAATACTGAAATGGAACCAAACATCTGATGTTGAGCCGGAACAAAAACAATAATCTGATATGATATTGAACCCAAACCAGAACAACGCCGAGCCTCCAAAAGTAAAACCGAACAGGAACAGAACATTTGATATTGAACCCGAACCGGAACAAAACTGAAATCGAACATCTGATATTGGACCAGAACGAAAATCGAATATCTGATATTTGACCCGAGCCAGATCAAAGCCGAAACCAAAACTACAAAACCTAACCTGTCTAAACCCGAAACTGAACAATACCCCACTATCTTACGCATCTGATATTGAACCCTAACCTAACTTAGTGTAACCTGTACCAACCACAACACTCATGTGGTGCTTACTGGATTACCGGAAAACAGTTCTTTCATAACTTACAAAAACCTTGCTCATAAAGGTGGGGGGCTATTGAGTGTACATAAGATTAGTACTGGAACAGTTACAGTCTGCGGCATGCATGCTGACCCAGAATGGTTTACACTTTATGAACAAGACATTATACCTATTTTCTTCTTTCTATGCGTTTTAATTTAGGGTGCAGGAGACACCAGACTTCATCTTTGTGTTAGGCAAGGATCGATTCGTATGCTCAACCAAAGCTGCAGGAAGCGCATTAGGGGCCATAATCAAAGCTGGAGTCATGAACCTGAACTAATTCGTGCTTGGTAAAGCTGGTAGCCAAACCAATATTTTGTGTGCTTGCCTAAGCTAAAACCAAACCAAAAAAAAAAAAAAAGTTGCTGAATTTGAACTGGAAGAGAAGCGATAAAATAGATATTTTGCACTCTCCCCAAACCCCTTGATCACCTGGCAGCACAGATACCTGCGCAAACAGATTTGGCCTTTTATTTAGGCTTCAGCCACCAAGCATAATGAAACGCCTGTCAAAATAAATTCATTTAAAACTCTGCTCTGTCCCTAACAGCTCTGAGCTAAACTGCTGTGCACAGGGATGTCGAGAAGATTAGTCTGCTCCCGCCAGTGAAATAAAGCCAGGACAGCATTCCCAAGAAAAAAATTAGAAGAACCAACTTTTACTGACACCTACAACTTGTGCAGATTCACCACAGAAACTGTCTGCAAGAAAGTAAGGTAAAAAAAAATAGAGGAGCAAAAAAGCTAAGAAAGCTGATGCAATAACATGGCACAGCGCACGTTACTAGAAAACCGTTAGCAGTATCTTAACCGTAATGTTTCGTCGAGCTAGTAACTGTTGTATTATTAAGGCACTGGCTAGGCAGTGCGGGCCATAGATCAATTTAAAAGGTTGAACTGTATGCATCAATATTCATTCGTAAATAAGCTGGCTGATAGACGGGGCTTAATCTAAAGGTGACGCCTTCCCGCAGCCTCAGACAAGCACTAATCGCTACCTTTGATGAGCCTCAGTGACTTCGGTAAGACCAACAATGTCGCCTTTGTACTTGAAGCTGGGCGACAAAAGATTGGGCAGGACAGCCAAGCTAGATGACGCCGAAGACAGCCGCTCCTCGTCAGTGAAGAGCGGCTCTTTGATGGCTTCAGACGCCACCTCTGAAACATAGACAAAATGCAATACCGTAAGATTCGGAAATGGCGGTTTGCCCGGTCACCGCACGACACTGTTTTTGACTGACTCCGCTCACCTTCGGCAACAATAGGCTCGTCGGCGAAGGTCGATGAGATGCCGTCTTCAAGTACCCGAGCCTTAATGAGTAGTGTCTTGGCCTTGGGTTCCTTCTTCCCGCCGGCTCCATGGCTGTCTGAAAGATTTGGCTTCGGCTTGGCTGAATCCAGCAGCTCCTGGAACAGCTCTGGAGGACCTACGCCACACTCGCGAACCGTCCGCAGGAACAGGTTGTAGCAGTAGATGGAGGGACGGATTTTCTTCCACAGCATCTGACGCATCACCTGTGGAGCGGCGTTGTTGCGACGTTGCATGTTTACTCGAGTAATAGACACTGTTTTTTGAGAAAGCTTGTGGGTCTGCATTCTCGTGGAACTTGCGGATAGCCAATTACCGCAATCGACAAAAAGATACCAGCTATTTACAGGATAGAGACGAAGTCTTCTCACAAAAATGTTATCTGTCTGCGCAAATCATATTTTTTTGTTCTCAACCTCGCTATCCGATACGTTTCTAATATAGCAAGTTTGTTTCACTGCACTCGTGCCCATACGAGCCCACTCGCAGCGTGGAGCGAGTTTGTTCACGCCGGCACTCCACAAGTGGCTGCACTTTTTCTGAGTTAGTTACGGTGCTGGCACTCACGCACTTGCTGCACTGAGAGAATTGAGCATGCGCCAAAATGCAAACCTGTCATGCGTCGTTCAGTCGAGGCGGGCGACGTGCAAAAGCAGACGAAAGGGGTTTGTCTGCCACTGGTCGTCTGCTAAGAACTGCCATTCGCACAAAGCGCAATCAAAAAAAAGAAACTGGATTTTCTGCTACAAATTGTGTCTCACTATAGACGGTATCGAACACGAGCTTGAATTGTAACTTTCTGCTATTTCATAAAGGAAACAATAACCCATATTTTCGAAAGTTCTGAGTAGTTTTGTTGCGGTACAGTTCGCACAGTTGCTGAAATCTATCAATCAGTAAAGTGGCTCGGGACAAAAGCATCGGGATTTTTCTCACAAGTGAAGAGTTATCATACAAATATGGCCGAATGTGAACTCTCGAGTGGGCAACTGTTGCCGATAAAGCTTGCTCAGCACAAGCCGTGACGCGTCCAATTAGCAGCCGAGAAAGCTAAACATGGTAATTTTTAACCAAGGCTTGGGTAAAATCCCCATGTTAAGCATTTACCTACACTGGTTACTTTGCAAATTGCACCCCCGTTTTTTGTTCAAGAAATCTCTCGATCTGACCGCTCTCATTGGGAAGAAAAGCTGACACATCTATATGCGACCAAAAACCGAAATCGCAAGTGCCGCAAAACGTGTTGCTGGAGATTCTAACGGACTAGTCTGAGACCGTACCCTTTCAGGGGTTCACGCTTAGAACTGGTCAAGCTTCTGCGTGAATAATCTTGACGATGTTTTCTCCAGTGTAAACAGTTATAAGAATTGAAAGATTGCTCACTTTTTTCTATTTGTTACAGTTGTTTTGTTGTCAGCTTGTGGCCGAAACACACGTCGTCTGTGAACACCTCAACGACAATCGAGTTGTTTGAGTCATCGCAAAAAAAAAAACAATACAGCGACTGCACTGTTTCCCGTTCCCGCCTGTCACTTCGACAGCTGGGGACTAGATCTGGTTTGAGGTCGGCACTCTTACTACAGCATAGATGGCAATAGCGGCAGTTTGCACTCGGCAAGTTCGTTCATGACCGGTTCTTCATGTGGCACTCTGCGAGTGCGATGCATTCTTGGGGAGAATTGGCACGGTGCCAGTGTGTGTGAAACAAACTCGCTATCACGCAGAAAAGGAGGCGTAAAATGAGTAGTGCATCCGTTACTCAACTAAATAGGGTAATTGACATCATCCGAGAAAGAACCAATGATCACAAAGTTCGGTAACATTTTTGTGAAGGCGTCCGCTAGTCGAATCCATTTACAAAAAAAAAAAATCCGGTTTGGCTGCACCGTCGAACCCACCTAGAAGAATCTGGTTCAGCAGTGCTATCAGTAGTTTGTTGCAAGCAGACACTTAAAGGGATACTCCACCGTTTTTTTCATTGTCTCCGATTTGCTTGAAATTTTGCTAAACTAACCAACAAACATTGCTAAAATAGTATCCCAAATATTAGGTCAAAATATTGTTTTTTCGCGAAGTTATTGAATTTACAGTTTTGGTCTTCACCATGTTTTTCAAACTGAAAGTCTCTACTGGCAACAACAACAAAGTGACGTCAGTGGAAGGCAGGGGTTAACTTTTTGGACTACAGAAGTTGTTCCCAACGGATTTGAAGCAGTTTCATGGTGTCAAATGAGTGCTTTGGAAGCTCGCTCCCATATCCGCGCTCCAGCACGGAACAAATGATTGGCATATTCTATTTTTAGACGACTTGCTCGACTGGCAAGCCTGCCTGCCACTGACGTCACGGCACTGAAAAGTGCGCGAATATTTGAATATTGGTTTTTGCACCATTTTCATTTGTCGATTTCACGATACCTATTATGAATTTCGCGATGCTAAATAGCATACCGGAAAGGCTAAAGGCCGGGGAGTCAGAAAATATAGTTAGTTTAAGTAGCTCAAAAAATCGGTGGAGTATACCTTTAAGTGTTGAAAGCCTGTTTTAAAAAATGACCCTCTGAGAGGAGTGTTCATTGCAAGAGTAGTTTGTTATAGACGGGACTATGATCAGCATTCGGCACAGCTGTTCGAGTCGATAACTTTCGTGAAATAGCTGTCAATCTCATTTAGAGGATAATAAAACAATGTTACAGAACAGTGTTGCGGGATTCTGTCGCAAAGCATACCTTGAGGCCGAGTGTGAAGCCAGCCTGTTTGTCTGAGATACATGCCATGAGCAGGAACGCAAAGGTCTCCGTCGTGATGGCGTGCTTCTGCGCGGCCATTTCGTCCATGATCTGCGCAAAGAGGAATGCGGTGATGAAAGCACTTTTGCTCACACTCCAGGGCCGGTTTTCTCGAAGCGATGGTAAACCCAATTTGGTAAACCACGGTGTCTATTATTTTTGATTGGGCAGCAAGATGCGCCATCTATCGGTGAAACAAGCCGATCATTTTGTTTATCCACTTTTTCCGCTAGTTATTATCGATCTAGTATGGTATTTTAAGTCAAAATGTAGTAATGTTGTACCTGAAGACAATTTTATTTGCTTCAGATGGTACGAAGAAATTTTAGCTACTATGCTAGAGTTCGCCGACGAATATTCGAAAATGTAAGAAACATTTCCTTCAATATGTTTCGCCATAAACAACACACAACTTTCCCGTGTGCCTTCTACTCTGGCAACGCCGGTGCTGCAGTCTCGTTTTTGTTCCTTGCGACGCAGGTTTCTGCGATTCCTGCTGATCTCAACTGTTTGCCCCCTTTTCCTTTTGCCCAACCGATTCAGCGGTGACGAGGAGCTAAGCATCTCGTCACCGTTGAATTGCAGGCCACCGGGGATATGTAGAAACCTCGATGCTGTCAGCATACTGTGGGTGCACTGCGAACAAGAAAACAGTACAATGTCCCAGCTGTTCACCCGGAACAAAGACTTTATCGAGGATAACCCCCTTTCTTCGCAAAGTAATCGCTGCTCACGAGTTGGCGTGCATAATGTAACAAATTAAACGTGTTAGTATAAATATATACCAACACTCGTTCGCAAAACATTTTTTTTACTCACCATAAAAACACTTGCAAGGCTTATGTACCGTCACATGTCTTAGATCCCGGACTGCTAAAGAATGATGCGCTCGCGGAATGCTGCCGCCGGTTAGTTTAGTAGTCCCTCTGAACTACCGCTTTGCTTGACGTGCTAATAGGTTGATGGTGCGTCATTAATATAACAGCCGGATCGAAATGAATGTTCAGCAGAACCAAGAAGCCCTCATTAAGCGACGTCGCGGCCATTTTGCTTGTAGGTACTGCTCCTCCCTCGGCGCCCCTGCTCTTTCAGTCACGTGACCTAGAATTCCCTCTTCTAGGGACAATAGTTAACTTTAAACCACGGTTCGCGTTCCAGAAAATGGGCCCAGCTCGCACTCGCACTACTATAGAGAGATATCTTTGTGAAATAACAAGCCCGGTTTGTAATTTGTGAAGACCCCCAGTCTGTTTCCCTGCCCCAATATTTCTTCAGAGTGCTTGCCGGGGAGTTTGCAGCATGGATCTGCGTAAAAATCTCATAAATGCATTAAACCGAAACACACATTGTAGTGCCAAACAGTGAACTCTATGAGTAGAAAGCAGTCACTTATTTATGTTATGTGTAACATAAAAATACGACGACACAAAATGGGCTGTATGGCTTAAACTGTAATGCGTGTTCATTCTGTGAGCTTTTCTAGTCACGGTAAGCCACCGAATTTAGCAGCCAATGTCTCGCCTCAAGCCTAGTGTCTGCGTGCGACGGTTTCTCGGGACGTCCCTTTTGCCACGTCACACTCATCCCATGGAAAGCAGTCCTATAACACAATCTGTGTTGAAAAATGCAAACATACAAAATGTTATCAGAAAGTGCACTTTGAACGAAACAAAGATGATCAAGGGCAGCGTAGCATCCGTCAAGACGCTCAGCTAATTACGGCAATGCCTTCCGAACGTGGCGGAAGTGTCAGAAGCCGGTCAAGAGTCACCTTGAAGGCCATCTCGATGTCGCCGCACCTGCCGAAGGCCTTGATCATGGCGTGGTAGGTGATGTTGCTCGGCAACCAGCCCTTGAGCTGGATTCGGTCGTAGAGCAGCTGCGCCTTCTCCAGGCCCAGCTCGCGGAAGGGGGCCTCCGCGCATGCGTTGAACAGGCCCGTCAGCACGGCAGGCGTCGGATCCATAGCACGGTCCCTCATCTGTGACAGTGGTAATGAGTGAAATTGGTAGGACGGCGATGGGGTCCGTGTCATTGGAACGCGGACCCCTCGCATCCACTGGAACCAAGCCACTGGACCCCAAATATGGCTACAACGCTGCCCCTCAGCTGTCGGTTTGTGCTGTTAGTTTGTTTGTTGCTTAGTTGGCAGCACGTAATCCATTTCGAGACAAGGGATCGGCAAAAGTTCTCTTTGCAGAGGCTGATAAGATTTTATTGCCTTCTGTTCTACTCTGGTCCGGTGCGTACAACTAGTTCCCGGAGCGACCGGTGCAGAAGAGAAGGCGGCGCCAAGATCTTGTCAAGGTCAGTGTTAAAGTATGGGTTGGAGACAGTTCTCCGAAGCGGGCTCCTATGGAAGTTTCCCAACTGAGTGGTTTTAGTAATGTTGGTCAAAAGCATAGAGCTCATATAATAGATCTAAAGCAGAGGTCTCCAAACTTTGTGGCCGAGGGGTAGATTAGATATCTATTGCTAGATTACATATCTGTCGCGATATTGAGGGCCGAAAAAAAAAATACTGATTATAAACGAGAAAAACACAAAACAAAATAAATAAACCTAGAAAAGCATTTAAACGCAGAAATGAATGTTAAAGTATTGAAAAACCTAAAGTGGATGAATACATATATTTCAACTTGAAATGTAATATTTAGCCAATTATGACATTACAGTCACAGCCAAGAAAACTCTCCAGGCAAAAATAAAAATGCATGACAATTTAGCACATTCGTGCAGTGCAAAAGACTGAGCAGAATGATAAAACAAATGCTGACAATATGCAATAGTTATGAAAGAGGGCACTAAACAGAGTATACAAGATAATGCAAAGGAATCTTAACATAGTCAAACAGACACGAAGCAGGGGACCAAGAATGGTGATGACAACGTTCAATTAATATCATGGCGAGAGGACCCGCGCTGTGATGCAGTTTCTCTAGTTCTTTCTTGTATCTTCGTTACGCGCATTTGGAGCGTGCCACGGCTCCATTTCTTTAGGCGCAATTTTCGCACTGTAGGAGCGGGTCTGCTGGCCGGAGGTGGGCCGGACTCCACTGGAAGGACTGTGGCCAGCCGCGGGCCTGTCGGAAGACTTCCGTGGGCCATACTTGGCCTGCAGGCTGGGTTTTGGAGACCCCCTGGTCTAGAGGAAGAGGTTAGCCTAATTCCGGTGTATTTAGGACTCCTCGAAACAACGGGGCATAGTAGCAGACGCCGGTGGTCTCGAATTACTGGCAAAGCTTCAATGAAGTCGTGTCCCGTTAATATTACCTCGTTTATATGGCCATCCTCTTATACTTTCAGGGGTAAACGTTGTCTCATTGTTACAGACGAAACCACATTATGAACCATATTTCGGGGGAAACGGAGGAGCCCGTATATTAACGAGACATCACAGTAAACACAAAGAATCATCAAACTGTCACTCTTGAAAGCGGAACCCAGTCTTTCTTAATTTTATTTTGCGAGCAAACACTGGCAGCATGAATTGTATATATAAAAAAATAAAAATAAACAATTAAAAGGCATCTAAACAACTTCAATGCACTACAGCCAAACAGACGTGCCTAACCTGTCACCTTTTTTTTTCTCACAGTTTTTTGTTGCTATTTTTCTTTTGGAACTACCGATGTCAGCACTTACAATTTGCAGTGTTATGCCCGTGTCTCCCTGGTGAAAAGCGGCATCCCGTTTTGTTTGTTGGTACGGCAGTGGACACCTTATACTCGCGTCGGTTGCAGTGGCCTTGCTCACGATTACCTTTTCGTTCGTACACTTCTGATTAAGAGAACTTCAGTTTGAGTCGCATAAACTTCAGCTAGAGTAACACCAAAGCAAGTCCATCACACACAGTGAATGAGGCACAATCTTGCACCTTTTCTGTACGTGACTGGTTTAGCCGACGATAGAAAACACTCAAGATGATAAGCGACATGTAGGTGGCGATGCTTGATTGACTCTGTCCAATCGTAGCTGTGGCCGAACCAATCGTAGCTGCGGTCGAACTTAATGTGAAACGGGGTATAGTGGCAGCTGATCTCGTGTCGTAAAAGCAAACGACCAAGTGGCCTGCCACACAATGAGAGGGCCAGCAACACTTTGTTGGCGTCGATGTGAGCCACTTGCAAAGTTAACCCGTAAGAAAACACCCAACCTTCTCAAAGAGCTGCAACAACCACTCGCATGCTCAGATGTGCTCGGTAGCCTTTTTTGTATGTGACAAAAACAGGTAGCATTCCGTGGCATTCGGCAAAAAGCTTCACTTCCTTTGCAAAACCAGGTGGCATTCTTTGGCGCTCAGCAAAACTTGGTTGCCTGAAAGACAAGCGTAAGACAGACTGCACAGTTCAGTCCGTGGTCTGACCACAGGGATGTGTAACCTCAACCAGCGAACCTCTAATGAAGGTGACCCCTAGGCAGTATTAAGGAGTGGGCTCGTTAGTAGGCCGTAATTAAAAAAAAAAAAGAACAGAACAGTGGAAAGGACACTGACAAAGAAAAGATGAATGCACCACAACATTATGTCTTTGTCCGTGTCCTTTGCGCTGTTTGCTTTTCAATCGCTAGTCTCAAAATTTTTCTCATGATTTTTTATCCTAAAACATGGGAAAACAAAGTCACCCCTATTTAATGTTACTACGTACAGTGGCGTAACCAGGGGGAAGGCTTATGGGGCTTCAACCCCCTCCCCGAAATCCAGCTGACCTTATAATATACACATGCATTCTGACCCCACCTCCCCCTGTCTGCACCCCTAGTCATGGACATCCCAGCCACCTCCGCCCACCCCCGAAAAAAATTCCTGGCTATGCCACTGCTACATACCTGTGCTGGCACCTCATGAAAATGACTAACGAAGGCACGGGCAGACATAGATGCTGTTCCGCTCACCGATAAGCTCACAGGGAGGTGGAAGCGTCGCGCTCGCGCAACCATCGGCCCGGCACGCCGTGACCACACTTCCTGTGCCCACCATTGTGCAGAGACTGGGGTCGGGCGATAAAAGGCAGGCGACTGATTGGTCCTGCGGGAACTAAGCTCCCACCGCCCTGTCGGCCTAGCATGAGCCAAGTATAGAGTGAATGCGAAGAATTAGTGGCACGTACGCTCTTGAAGAGCTTGAACGCCATCTTGGTGTACCCCACGCGTCCGCAGCCGCCGATAAGCATGGTGAACATGGAGTGGGTCGGACGAACTCCGTACGCTTTCTGGATCTCGAAGAAAAGGTTCAGGGCCTCCTTGATCTGCGCACATGAACGATTACAGAGAACAATCTGTAAAATTACTATTCACAAAAAATCAACAAAAACAAAACTGGTTGGAAGAAAAATATGACAACTAACCCAGCACGAGGATCACGTCACGTGCTCTGAAACTCTCGCTTACCTTTCGCTCGTCAACCAGGGTCTTGATCTGCTTCTCATATACCCTCACAGGCGACCTATCCAAATGGACAAGCACGGACGGATCGTCATCGTCGTCCTCAGGCAGGAGTTCGGCACCGGTGCGAAGCGGCTCCGAGCCGTCGGCGAGCGTGCCGAAAGTGTCCGGGTCGGCGTCGACGAAGGCCGAGTTCGTCTCCGTTCGCTTGAAGTTTTTTCTCCCGCCCTTACCTCTCGGGCGCTTCGACTTGGCAGCTTTTTCCGGCGTTTCTTCGGCGGTTTTGGTGATCACGGGTGCCGGCAGCTCGGGCGTTTTAAGGAACGTCTGGCTTGCTAGCGGCGTACAAAATGCACGGCTCGACTGAAGAGCAAAGACTGGCTTACTGTGAAGGTGGTGTTGGTTTTGGTGCCATTTGAACAGCCCAGCAAGGCGGGCGCATGGCCTGTAGCGCGGCAGCATGATGGCCGGGCGACTGGCCTGTTTTTCTTTTATACGTTTGTTGACAGACTAGCGACCACGCGTACGCACAATCCAGTGATTGGGAATGGACAACTTTAACGTCACGAGTTTTTTTCCTCAAAATGTTCAAAATAAAGGGTGAAATTGGATTTCAACGACGGCGTACCAGCGATTCACGCTTTTGATTCAGGACGGGGCCATTTTGATTATGCGCTAGCGATTAGGTCAGCGTGCATTAGCTGGCAAAAAAAAAAAAAAAAAAAGAAACGACATTTGTTATATCTTCGTAGAACGTTTACCTTGTATTAGAACTTCAATGATTAAAATAGTTTATTTATACTGAATAGCAGAAAAATGCCTTCCTGTAATCCAGGTGCTGATAGCAAAACTTTATACGACCGAATATTTTGAATGACGTCACAAAGATTAAACGTGTTTGTTAACTGACGATAATAATCCCCGCAGAAGGAAAACAAGCAGGACAAAGGACAAAAACAGATCTCCAAACACAGCTAGGTGACTTGTGCGTGATCAGAAAACGAAAGATTTCGCGTGTTTTTGCACGTGATCACCCGAATGCGTCAACAGAGTAGGAGAGTAGCAACGGTTTCCAACGAATAACGGAGCGCGACCAGTGATGCTGATGTAGGGATGCTCGGGGAGATGCGGGATGCGGAGCAACGCTCTTGGGGATCAGCGTCATTTTCATCTTCGAAGCAAAGCGTACTCGCTACCTCCAAGTACGTAACCATCGCGGCCCCGCTCACAAAAACGGGTTAATAATGGAATTCCGTATTCTGTAATAAGTTCGCAGTCTTCAGACGGAACGCCGGGAAACTAGAACGACGCAAGACATGGCTAGGTCATCGTAGACGTCAACGTCAGAATCGTCAGTCGTAAGTGCCGCAGTCTCCGCAGGTCATGGTTGGTATCGATGCTGCTTTAAAAAAATGATCTGCCTTGAACTTAATGCCGGCATTGACTTTCTATATCACCCAAGAACACACTCGGAGGCTTAGGTGGTCAGTGCAGCAAACCTACCAACGATTCGCACAATAACCATTAGAAGGCAGATCTTTTTGCAATCACCAAACAACAAGCGAACCATCTGTGGACTCCACCTAATCACTTTCCAAAGTAACCGGACTACGAGAAAACGAAACTGAACTAAAAACGCTCGTGAAGTGTGTGTGAACTCGTTGTGTGAGTTACAACTAACAAAATATGTAAAACGTCAGTGTGCTGATTTTAGCTTCCCTGCCGCACACAAAAACAACTAAGTCCCGCGTTCTAAACTAAATGTTTATACGTGACCCCACATATCCAAGACGTGCGAACACGGCTTCAGGATCGTCTGCTTCAGTCGGCTTCAGAATCGTCTGCTTCAATCTTCTTCATAATTGCTTGCTTCAGTCGGCTTCAGAATCGTCTGCTTCAGACGGCTTCAGAACCGTCTGCTTCAGTCGGCAGCATAATCGCCTGTTTCAGTCGGCCTCAGAATCTTCTGCTTCAGTGGGCTTCTTGATCATCTGCTGAAGTCTTCCGAGTGCCAGCAAAGGGATCCGCCATGCTTCTAGCCCCGTCTGAGATCCATTTCCTGCACGATTCTGCGAGTTCGTACATCCTGACGCCGGACGTCATCGACGACGTGGGACACCAGCTCCTCCAGCAGAGCAACGAGCGCGTCCCCAGAATCCAAGTCGTGGAAAAGGACGGCTCTTGGTTTGCTCTGAACGACTCCTACCTCCGGGTGTACAGGGAACTCGAGCGGCAGGGCAGGTGCCCCAAGATCCGAGTCGAAGTGGTGGCCCTGAGCAAGGTTCCGCAGAACGTGCAGAAGGGCATGATCGTCGGGGAAGAGAAGTCGGAGGACGTTTCGGCTCCTGTTCGCTCTCGTCGGGCGGTCGCCAACCGACAGCAGACGACAAAAGCAGGTAAGGCGCGTTTCTTTCAATAAATGGCAGCGAACTTTACCTTCGAAGTCCTAGAATGCATCATGATGTTTAAACCCAGAGGCCGGGAAGGAAACTTGAAGACAAAGAAGAAGGGAAAGACGAAAGTGGACAAACGGTGTTTTCTTGTCCCTTCTACTTTTTTTTTTTTTTTCAGGTTTTGTTTTTAGTTTTAGGGTTTAAACATCATTATTAATACTCACCAGCTCGCGTGCGCTTTGATAATTTTTTTCCCCTAGCATCCCCAACGTTCTTGGACATCCCTTCAGTTAAAATGAGAATTTCGACTGAACAGCAACAAATATCGCAATGTCATCCGGAAATGTTTTAGATGACAGTCATAAGATATCAACAAGCAGTAATTAAACTTTTGGACGCGCATAGTTTTTAATCCACAACTCTACAGTTTTTTTAGTTTTTTATTTTATGGGTTGCATTAACAAAATGATCAAAGCCTGTTTTTTTTTTTCTTTTTCTTTTTTTTGACAGAAGGTTGTAATGTTTCCGAGGGCTGTAACTGCCTTATATACTAGAACGCAAATCAATTATAATTTTTATATGTTCTTGAAAACTTCTTATTCCACGAAATGTGCCAGGAAGTTGGCCATGAATGCATATGTAATGCAGTATTTAAGAAGCGGTTGTTTAATAATAATAATAATAATAATTTTTATTGTTAATTTGTTTATAAAAAGTCGTTGCGGGAAGTGAACGAGGGTATAATAATTGTTTATTAATTATCCCGCCTCGTGAATCAAGACACATGAAGTAATAGTATCAATGAGTCAATTTCCCCGTTAAATCTAGCGGGGAAATTGACGTCACTGAACGTTGCGATGTCCATCTTGACGTCACGTGACGCTAGGTGAAGTGAAGTCAATTTCCGCGCCAAATTTAAAGGATAAATTCACGGACCGGTGCACCGGAGCTCGCAGCGCTTGGAGCGAAATCTCGCGCTGCATAACCCAGGGATCCTGAGTTCAATCCCCACCGCTGCCCGTTTCGATCTGGATGAGCATCGTGGAGGCGTGAGGTCGTGTATCACTACTACGTGGTGCACGTTAAAGAGCCCAGGATAGCGGTTCTACTGCACTGGCTAAATTTCTCACCTACAGCTGAGACGAATTGAGGCTAACTACCGGCCGTCTTAGCTGGTCTAAGCATACGTACAACAAAATTACTTTCAACTTTCTTTGTAAAAAGAATTAAATTTTTTTTTTTTTTTATAGATGCAAAAGTAGTAGTTGTTTGTTGTTTATGGCTTAGAAAGGAACAGATGTAGTATATGGATTAATCCTATAGAAATCTTTGTGCGCTACATACATCCAAGCGTTGCTCTACGCTGGGTAGCAATTCCAAGGGTGAACTGCCACAATTGTTTTTGCCAGCCGCTTTAGATTAAATGCACTTATTAAATAAGAAAAACTCGATTTTTTTTTTTACTTTAGCGGCCAAATTGGTGTCTTGTTTTCACATGTCTACATGAAAAGAAGAAGAAGTTTATTTTTGAAAAGTATTAAAGGGTGGAGTAAGTAAAAACAAAGTGAAATGAATATTAAAGTTTGAATCAGAAATAGAGAATGCAATTACTTACAGAAACAGTCCTTTACAGGGTAAACATCAAAGATGAAGGGCAAATAACCGCGAAAGGGTTTCGTATCTTTATGAATTCACTATTATTTTGTGTATTTGTTTTTGCATACTACGACCTCATTTGAGGTTATTGCGGGGGAAGAAACTACAGCGACGCAAAAGACAAACACTGCAGCAAGAATGAGCGAGCAAACGAATATGAACGAAAACGCCCTAAGGAATAGCGCGGTTCGACATCATTTGCATAGTCATACATCAGAGAAAAGAGAAAGCGTGACAGTTTCTGAAATAAAGTCATTATAGGAAGTCGCCGAGCGTGCGAGTGGACACAGCGAGATTAAAACGCAGCCGTGCATGGAAAGAAAGAATTCTTTAAAGCAATTAGTACGGGACAGAAATGGTACAATGCCCACAAAGGACTTTGTGTCCTCCAATGTGTGAAAGCCCGAAAAAAAAAAAAAGAAGATATTTTGTGCGCTCAATGCTAGAGTTTCCGTTAACAGTAGTAAATCTAACGCTAAGTTAGCCTATAACTCTGGTATCTGTAGCACTATTCTACCGTTTTTCCTATGCGCGTTGAGAACTGTCTCTCCTCCATCTCGGAAACATCTGCAGTGCTGGCAAAGGAACGGGCGCGAGCGTGCGACTTTGGAAAGTGCCTTCTGTGCGCGAGCTGAGCTCGTCGTACGCACTCGTGCTCTTGTCTGCGCTGCCACACGGCACTGCAGACATTTGTGAGATGGAGTATAAAATCGGGAATTTAAATCCCACTGTTTCCGGTTGCGATATACAGGGTGTATTTTTTAAACTTTACAGACTAAAAAAAAAAAAAAAGCCGTCGAGGCTGCACAAATGCGGTTTGTGCGGGCAGGTTAAACGGTCAGCACAGACAAAATATAGGGGGCTATTTGTCGCGATGGGTCGGTTAATTAACTAAAATTTGTTCATTAACTTCTTTTCTCGGTGAAGATAAACATACGATTGCAATTACCAGCTTGCTGAGCGTCATCGAGAACTACTAAATCAGCCTGTTTCCGAATGACTTGGAGCGTGTGGGAAGCGCTGATGTTGAAACTCCTGCAAGGCTGTGGGCGAGAAAACGCGCGCGCGCTTCGTTTTTTGTCATCCGCGTTTTTTGTTCAACACCAGCTTTGCGCCTGGTGCACTAATGGTAACTGCAGCGCACTTTACGCGTGCTTCCCACGCGCTCCTAATATTTCTAGGGACACTGAACCGAAATTTCGAACTCACAAAACAAGGCTCGACAGATAGGCGGGACGATGCAAAACCCAATAACATCACTCATACAGCAATATCTCAAACGGATTGCCATATTTTTAGAAAAGAAGCGCCCGACTGAACCCGGCCGACGAGGCCGACAAGGCAAGGCACGTCACGATTCTTATTCCCTCTCCTCCTCACTACGTCCCGTGTCGAGCTGGTGAACCGAAGCGAGGAGGAGAGAAGCGAGGCCGCTCCCCCTCATTCTCAAATTCTCCCGGAGGACAGTGATGTCAGAGGCCTCGCTTGATCGCGGGCCTTTTTTTTGGAAAGTGCGGCCATCCGTTTGAGATATCGATCTACGAGCAATGTTTCGGAGTTCGTAGAGTCCAGTTCAACGCTTCTAGAGCCTTATTTTGCCAAATTCAAATTTTGGTTCAGTATCCCTTTAA